TGTACAGCCGCGATTTTCTTTGGGTTCATCTTAACTCCCTCTGTAGATATAATGAAGCCTAGGAATTCCGTCTCTTTGACGTGGAATTCGCACTTTCCTGGCTGCAGGTACAGCTTGTATTCCTTGAGCTTCCTGAGCACTTTCTTGACATGTTCCACATGTTCTTCGAGCGATCCGCTGGAGTACACTAGTACATCGTCCAGGTACGCTGTGACAAAGATCCCAAGGTACTCGTGGAGAGCGTTGTTGATGACTGATTGAAAGGTTGCCGGCGCGTTCGTCAAACCGAACGGCATAACCGTATACTCGAACAGTCCGTATTTCGTTTTGAACGCTGTCATCCATTCGTGACCTTCTTTAATCCTGATTCGGTAAAATCCTTCCCGAACGTCGAATTTCGTAAACCACTTAGCTCCTTGGAGTCGATCCATGAGCTCTGTAATGAGTGGTAAGGGATATCGGTTCTTCCTCGTGACGCTGTTCAACCTTCGGAAGTCGACACATAGTCGCCACTTTCCGTTAGGCTTCTTTACGAACAAGATGGGTGAGGCCATCGGGCCTGATCCCGGTCGGATGAATCCCTTCTTCAGATTCTTCTGGATGTAGTCCCTTAGCTCAGCATCGTGCTCGGGCGCTATTGGGTACATTGGTCCTGGGCTTAGCTTAGCTCCTTCATCTAGGATGATCTCGTGATCCCACTCCTGATGGTCTGCTAGATCTGTAGCCTCGTTTTCCTCGAAGAGTTCCTTGAACTCGTCGGTTTGATACTCTCGTGGTATTTCTAGTGGTAAGGGTCCTTCCTTCGTGGTCGCGACTTTCCTTATCCAAATGACTCCTATTTTCTGAGGGTCCTTCGCATAGATTCTCGCGATCTTATGCGGTGAGATGCTGCCGAATCTCCCGTCCTGGGGTGAGCTCTGATTCGTCGGGCGTGTCTCGTGGCGTACTCCTGCAACCTTGTGCACAGGTTCTCTTTTGAGTATCGTCCTCATTCGCCAGTCGATGGCGGGGTTATGGGCGTCCAGCCAGTCATAACCTATCAACATATCTAGTCCTCCTAGATCCATGATATCGATGTCCATTTGGCATTCTATGCCCGCTATCCGTAGCTTGGTGGACTCGGTTTCCATTCGTATCATGCCGCTTCCATATTCCATGGGTTTTTCGTCGGCTAGTATTATCGGAATCGGTTTACTCTTGATTCGATATGGTATTTCGTATTTCTCAACCACTCGTGGGGAGATTAATGTCCGTGCGGCCCCGCTGTCTACGAGCGCCTGGATGTTCTGACCTTGTACAGATACGGTTGTGAGCAACTGCCTTGCTTGACCATCGGTATCCTGTACTTTCCTAAGGGTCGTTTTAGGTATGCCCTCGCCAGTGTGACCCTGTTTCTGGCGGCATCCTAGTTTTTTGCCTGCTTACCTTTCCTTTTCCTGGGAAAGTAGCCTGTGTCGGTTTTGGAACTGTAATGGATTGTGCATCTGTCGTCGTAACAAAAGCTCCAATGAAGGTTCTGATGAGGTATCTTTTCCTTGGTGATTTTCTTCCTTGGCTCCGCCTTCTTGGCTTCGTGGATGGGGCAGTCTGTTACTTCGCAGATGTTTGATGACAGGGTGACATGGTAGTAGTCGTCCACTTGTCGTGCTTTCTCGAGTTGGTCGCGGTGGAAGGAACATCCGTTCTTGCACTGTGGCCATAGGAGTCTCTCATGGATTCCTATTTTCTCAGGCTCATGGAGGTGGCAGTTGTCCGCTAGACACTCGTCTGCCCACAGGTTTAGGTGACAGCACCTTTCCTGGTCCTTTCTGCAATCCTCTTTATCCTTTTGGTGGAACTCGCACTCTACTTTGCAGTCGTACCAGCACAATCCTTGGTGTTCTCTTGTGTCCCTTTCTTCGGGTCTTTCGAGGTTGAGAACCTCTGTTCCTGGGTCCTCGAAGTACGGTTGTTGGTGTATCGCCTGATACCCAACTTCTTCGGCGTCCGGGCCAGTTATTACAATTCGGTCCCGCTTCGCACAGTCGTTGGCGTGATGTGCGGCGTCTCCGCATACCCAACACTGGTTCTTTGCTAGTCGTTCTAGTACGACTCTGTCCTCGACTTTCCAGTCGGTTTCCTTAGGTTTCTCCATCGTGAGGATGTCGTCGGCTCGCTTTGGTTGCTGGATGACCTCGTAGTCTTCCTCCATGCAGGCTTCCTCGTAGAGGTCCATGTCGCTAAGGTTGTCATCCGGTTCTATCTGAGCCGGGTAGGGCGTGCCCTGTCTGACCATCCCGATCTTGACAGCTGCTTGCTTACTTGCTTCACCCGTGGGGCAGTCTCGGGCGAAGTGTCCAACTTCACCGCATCGGAGACATGCTTTCTTGTCATAACGCCTCTGGCGTTCTTCCTTAGAGAGACCGTCGTGTCTCTTTCCTCGGGATTTCTTGTCTTTGGCCTTCTCTTGTACTTTGCCGGTCATGATGGCATCGCCATCCCTGTCATACCTTCCACGCTGTCTCTTTATGTTGGCCATGTTAGGGCGGAAATACTTTTTCTGATCGTTTCGCTCCCATAGCCTGTTGTCGATGCGTGTAGCAAGCTCGATCAACGCGTGTAGTGTTCCGGGCTTGTCGTGGTGTACAAGGCCATCCTTGACATTTTCCTTGAGGCCTGCTTCGAAGACCGTTCGAAGTGCCGCATCATCCCAATCGATCCTGGCCTGTAGTTGCTTGAACTCCGCCGTGTAGGCTGATACAGACTTGGTTTGCCTCAGTTGAGTAATCCGTTTCTCAGCCTGATTCTTCGCGTCTACTTCTCCGAAGATGCGTCCCATTTCTTGTTTGAATTCCGTCCAACTCGCGAACATGGTTCGGGTTTCTTCCTTAGTTCCATGTTGCGTGATATCCGTAAGGTAGTCGTCCACGTATGGCTGCATCCAATTGGAAGCCTTTCCTTTCAGATACGTGCTTGCCATGAGGATCTTTTCCTGGTCGTTGGGTACTTCGTTGAACTCGCAGTACAAGTCGATGTTGGTGAGGAACGTTCGCAGTTCTTCTCGACTTCCGTCGTACTTCTCGGGTGACGCCATCTTGGGTTTCTTCGTAGTAGATGATCGTTCGTTGGGGGTGGCCATCAGCTGACTTGCAAGCTGATTGATCATGTTCTGCATCTCGAGCATCTGCCGAGACTGAACTTGGGCCTGTTGCCTAAGGTGTCTGAGCTCCGTGGCACTGGGAGTATCTTCTGTCTCCGAGTCGGATGCATCCAGCATCTCATCGTTTGCTGGTGCTGGTGCCGAGGGTCCCGGACCCTGGGCCGCGTTGTTCTGAGTGACTCTTGGGGCTGACATCTTCCTTAATCGGGCAACCTGGTTGTTATTCACGTCCACTGAATCCGATGGTGGTCAAAGTGTTACACGGGGTTAGGCTATACTTCTCTAGGCTCGGTCCGTACTAAGGCGAGGTAGACTAAAGCGGTAGTCCGTGAGGTTTGTCTGGCGATTCTGTGGAAAAGAGTTATCGTGGAATAACTGCAGGTAAAGACAATCCAATTCTATAAACGATAGAATAACTAGTTGACAATCTGTGTAAGAGATGAACTATTTGAGTTGACCACAATGAGTGTAATAATGAAATCCAACACATTCTTATACCCATTGCCTTAGGTCCTGTCCTCCCTGGCCTCCCATCCTAGAGGGAGGTTTGGGAGGACCGTGGCTTCCCTAGCCCCACTGGCCTCCCGGAGGCCTGGTCTTGGCGGGATGCCAATCCTGATCACGTGACCCCGAGCCCCGCGATCATCGTTGCGTTCTGACTTGGTCGTGGTTGGCCTTCAACCCCTTCACCCCATGTCAAGGAGAGAATCCTTTGTGTTACCTGTAACACCCACGCCGTTGGTAATATTTTTAAGCAGCTTTAACCACTGTTCATTAGACCTAGGGCCATAATATGTTCTATAAATCGTGTAGCCCCAATGCACCAGGAACTGTTCTTGATCCTCTTCCGGTCCCGCGATCCTATCTTTGGGCCACTTGTAGAGGTGGTCGAGAAATTCTGTAATGGTTTCTATAGCGGCGGGGAAAACAGAGATGGAGAGTGGCTTGTGTAAGTGTGTACGTATGAGTAAGTGTTGGTAGTCGTAATTGGCCTTTCAGAAAGGCCAGATAGGCGAAGGCGAAAGGATCAAGAAAAGCGACCTTTCCTGCATATCAAGACGATAACGTAAGAGATACCTGTGCCGCTCTGCGTTAGCACCGAAATGCTTCCCTACCCCACCCAAGAGGATGTGCGCGGTCCAAGTAGGATCGCGCTCGTTTTGGTGACAGGTATATTATAATTATATCGCAAGTTATATATAGTATAGACCTTTATTAATCTCAATGCCTAGAACTACAATTTGGACATACAGACTTATAAGAAGGCCCTTCGCCACAGTTAAGTAGGTTGGGCCGCAGTTGGATCCTCACAGTTTGCGGCTGAAGGCGCAGCCGCGAAAGAGGCAGACTGAGGCTATGCTATGGAAGCCAGCGCGCAACTCGTTTTTACCTAATTAACATATTCGACGCAATCTGATATGAAGACTCTAAAGCTAAGGATCAGAATGTTGTACTACTGTTAGCTAACCTTTCTTTTTTTGCGACTTGTAGAGGTATCTATACCCTAGTAGTATCTGCCCCCACCCTTGGCACGACTTCTCATTACCTCGGTCTAATCTTCGGCTTCACTCTCCCGCTGTAATCATAATCACAGCCATGTCCACAATGCGATTATCGGCCGTCTCCACAACGCGATCATCCCAAATCAAGGTTGGATGGACGTCCTAGAAAATTTCTGCGCTCCTATCGGGAGGCTCTCGAGTTGTCCTCAAAACTCTATTCCCTTTGCACGCGCCTGGCGAGTGATTCGCGAAAGGAAACCATGCTCGTTGACAACGTCTTCTCTCCAAAGCGCATGCTTCGCTATGCATTAAGCTACCTCGCATGTTACACATTCGGTGCACAGGCGGACTATACCACGCACCTGATTGTTGATACCGACATCTTCAGCGACGTAGAGTACGTCTTGACCGCCACAGTTCCCCTCGCGACGAAATCAAAAATAGTTGCCATTTAACATATATGCAATAGTGACGTCGCAGCCCTCGTTCTCGCCGCCACCCTTCCCAACGTCTCCCTCCTTGCCGTCAACGTGAACTATCCCTCCGCGTATTCCCCGCTTGCGGCCTCCGCCGTCCTGAACTTCTACGGCCACCCAAATACATCCATTGGCATGCGCCGCCCTTACGCCAATGAGAGCTTCTTCGATGATTGGGCGTATGAACTGGGCGAGTACACGTCGAAAGTGGCATATCATTTTTCGGGTGGGTCGTTGCCGTGGTTCAAGCCGGAAAAGTCATGGCAGCCCGTGGACCTGTACCGCAAGAGCCTGGCGGAGAGTGCGGACTCGAGCGTAACGATCGCTTCTATTGGCTTCTTCGATAATCTTTCCGGGCTGCTGAGTTCGACTGGTGATGCGTACTCCCCGCTTTCCGGGCCTGAACTCATAGCCAGGAAGGTCAAGAAGCTGGCTGTCATGGGCGGCGGTTATCCCTCTGGTCACGAATACAACTTCTGGGGAGATGATCCGCTCACCACGGCACATGTAGTGAACAATTGGCCCCGCACTGTACCTGTCACGTTCTTGGGCACTGAGGTTGGGGATAACGTCCTGAGTGGGGCCAAATTGACAACCGAGGGGACCAAGGGCGATTTGGTGACGGCGGCATACGGATGGTACGTTGGATACAATACCACGCGAATGTCTTGGGATCCCTTGACTGTTCTATATGCGGTCACGGGATTGGGGTCGTTGTTCGAGTACGGAAACACTGCTGGATACAACCACGTGTTTCCCAACGGGTCGAATGTGTGGGTTGTTGACGAAGGTGTCACGAATCAGCATTACCTGCAGTTAGCTATAGATAATGTGACAGTGGCAAACGAGCTTGACGGCTTGTATTTAGACGCGGTGCGGCGGTTCAGTAAAGAGAGATAAGGGTTCTTAGATGCTAGGAAGGTAGACTTCGCAACAAGACCTAGACTTGTAGCTTCGCGGAGTCCCCGTATGACAGATGCGCTGACAAAAGTCGAGCGTCAGACATGAATTCCGCACTTTGACGCTTCTTGCTGGCTGGATGATACACAGAGTGTTGTAGCATCGTATCGAGCCCTACATCTAAGAGAGTTGGAATAGCACAATTGGTGACATCGGGTCGTTAAGCCTTCGGGCTGGGGCACCATTGAAATCAGCCGTAGTTGCTGTTCTTCGAGTGGATAGTACAGCCGGGTGCGACTTGCGTGACCACGTGTCGTCCTTCTGAACATACACATTACTATCTTCTGCGGTTGAGCACCCTTGGCCTGATTTCAAAGGCTGGATCCGAAAGATATTGCGCTGAGCAGAGTTGAGTAATGGCAAACCGAGGAAGGCTAGGATGACCCCGCTACTTGCTTGGAGGCCGCACACTTATATCTCGAGAGAGCTAGACTGCTACATAGTCAAGCTGCAGTGTTGTTATTCACTTCTACTGACTAACGTCGCGCCCTTCTCTAAAGTCAAAGTTGACTGTACCTCCTGTAACCTGAGTTCCTGGTACTACATAGCGACCCGGTATGGGCCCGTAAAATACAGGTCCGTTGTAGGCATGTGTAGCATGGCCATAGCTTTGCGACATATTGTTCTGAGGTAGGGTAGAATGCGCGTCGCTAGAAGCTGTGTTAATCTCCCTTTGCAATTGGGCAAACGCCTTCCTCTAACCCTCTCTATATATGAGCGGCATATGCACGTTAAAGATACCCAGCAGTGAGTATGCTGCATCCTCTTCGCGCTTTGTCTTGCGTTGCCCTACCTACGACATGCGCTCGTCGACGCTGAGTTGATCTAGAGGGCGGCTTCCCTGGAGAGCCTCAACGCTGATCCCAGTAACACTGTGAAGTTCCTGCACTAGAGAGTATTTGTTGCCAAGCCGCTCGCCCTCAGCCGAAAAGAACTTAACTGACACTGGGGCGACGAGCTCCTGAAGCGTCCAGCCTCGTGTGAGCCATCTGCTTTGCTGAAACGCACGGTTCCAGTGTTGTTGGGCAGGCGCGCTACTGGTGAGGCTACTGGTGAGGCCACTGGTTAGGCTGCTGGTCGAAACGTCGGATAGATACACGTAGCATCGGGCAGCATCGCGATACCAAGCGAACATGGAGTTAATGGCCTCACTAAGCTCTGCGCTGCTCGACTTGTCAATGCAGCAAGTGTCTACCTAGAAGTAGCGGAGACCGTTCTTAGCTGCCTAGTCTGCGCAGAACTAGAGTTTCTGGTAGCCGGCCTTAGTCGTGCCTGTATCTTGCTCGAGATCTGCAAAGGTAACCTCTTCTTGGTCTAGGCCCCAGGCATGAGATAAGATAGCATAAGGGGGGATGGCATCGCCCACAAACTCTGTCAAGCTGTATCTACCGCCGTGCTTGCGTTATAGAAGACGCATGGTCCGTAGACGACGCCGGAAGTTCGGCTCCAGACGATGTGATTTCTTGGTCGAAGATGAAGGAACGAAGACATCAGGCGATGATAAGGATGAAGTGGCTCCTAGACGGCAGGAAATGAAACGTCCAAGGCTGAGGCTGAGGCACGCTTGGCATCCTTCCAGCATGCGCAGCTGCAGACCTTCTCCGCGATCTATACTGTCCTTACTTCAACTCCTCGAGATCACAAAGTTCCGCACAAACACCGACTTGCACCGTCTATGGCCAGCACGTTCCATGGAGCCATCGACGCTCATGTCGCCATTCCCGCTCCACATTGCGGGCCTGGTGGGACGATGAACTTCAACTTTGGGCCTGGCTGGGCAGATGGTACCCTACCTTAGGATCGCGTCGCCATGCTACCACCAGGCTAACGAACGCCAGGGCAAGTGCGCAGAGTAGAACTGTTCTCAACGGTGCCATTTGCGCCGGACCCTAACCTTGTCGACCGGCCTGGGATCGCCGCTTGGGTGCGCGACAAGTGCGCGGGACTAGGCGCGCGGGCAGCGCTGGTGGGTCTTGGCAGCGTAGGGTACGTCGACGTCGCTGTACTAACTACACGCACGCTACAACACGACTAACAGACAACAGCAAGTCGCAGCTTGCCCTCCAGTATGCCCACAGCATCTGTGATGCTGCGCCGCAGACGTTTGTGTTCTAGGTGCACGCCAGCACCTAGGCCTAATTTAAGAAAGCCTACAAAGACATCGCGAACCGGCTGGAGCTTCCAGGGAGGGACGATCTAAAGGCGAACGTGTTGCGGCTAGTGCACGACTAGCTGCGCGACGAGACAAATGGACAATGGGTGATAGTTGTCGACAACGTAGACGATGTAGAGACCTTCTTCCCATTGCGGAAGCGCCAGCGCCATAGAAACGAGACAGATGCCAGCGCCTAGATACCGCTGGCCACCTACCTTCCGCAGAGCCGCAACGGGGCGATACTAGTCACGTTACGGAGTTAAGACGCAGCGACTAGGCTAGTGGGAGGCTACAACCGGACTAAGGGAGTGCTTGCGATAGACAAGGAAGAAGGCATGCAGCTTCTTTGCAACAAGCTGCAAGACCCGCTAGTTAAAGAGAGCGCTCTAGATCTGCTGCACGCGCTGGACTGCATACCTCTTGCTGTCGTCCAGGCGGCTGTGTACATTAACCGACGCGGGCGCATAACAATCGCTGGCTATCTAGCCGACTTTTAGAATAACAGCAAAAAGCGCGAGAGGCTGCTCAAATGGGACGCGGGCGAGCTGCGCCGCGACGAGAGCGCGTCCAACTTAGTAGTGACAACGTAGCAGATGTTATTTAAGCAGATCCAGCGGGAGCGGCGGTTAGCAGCCGAGCTGCTGTCGCTGATAAGCTTCTTTAACCCGCAGGGAATACCTGAGTTGGTGCTGCGAAGACACAGTAGAGCAGCTGCAAGAGAGGCGGAGTTGGAGGATGACGAAGACGCAGACAGTGCGTTTGACGAGGACCTAGACACCCTGCAGGCGTATTCCTTGGTATTGATAACAGCAGATACTGACGCATTCGAGATGCACGCTCTGGTGCAGTTCTGCACGCGAGTATGGCTATCGTCGTGCAGCGATACACAGCAGTCAGAGCAGCGGTTTGTGGTGTTAATGGCGCAAGAGCTGCCTGACGGGGAGCATGAGAACTGGACAAAGTGCTAGCAGCTGCTTCCACACGTTAAACCGCTCTTTAGCACTTAGCCGGCCGGCGAAAAAGCATTAAAGGCATGGGCGCAGGTGCTTTACAATGTAGCATGGTATCTTAGTAAGATAGGAAACTATAGTGTAGCGCATTAGTTAGCAGCAAAGGCAGTTGCCGCTAACGAGAAAGCATGGGGGCGGGAAGATCTGAAGACAATGGCTAGCATAGATGTACTGGCGGCAGTGCTGGGGTTTCAGGGCAAGTACGAGGAGGCAGAAACGCTTCACCGACGGGTGCTAGAATGGTCAGAGAAGAAGCTGGGCCAGGATCACCCCGACACGCTGAATAGCGTGAGTAACCTGGCATCAGTCCTCCGGAATCAGGGCAGGTACGAAGAGGCAGAGACGCTTCACCGGCGGGCGCTAGAAGGAAGGGAGAAGAAGCTAGGCGAGGGCCACCCTGACACGCTGACGAGTATGAGCAACCTAGCGGCTGTGCTGCGCCTGCAAGGTAAGTACAGCGAGGCAGAGACGCTCAATCGGCGAGCCCTAGAAGGGTCAGAGAAGAAGCTAGGCCAGAACCACCCGGACACGCTTAACTCTGTCAACAATCTCGCTGTCCTCTTGGGGACGCTGCACCGGTACCCAGAAGCGGATGAGCTCTACCAACGAGCGTGCGATGGGCTCACCTAACAGCTTGGTTCTCAGCATCCACATACTATCATGGCTCGCAAGAACTTTGCAGCTATGCAGCAAAAGGCAATAGAAGCTAGATTAGCGCAAGGTGATGATCTACCTCCAGGCAGCTCCAAGCGTCCTTATACCACTAGGACTCGTAAAACAGACGTTGACTAGATGATACGCCACTTCTAGTCAAGATAATGCATAACCTAGGGTTCACGGCACATATTGTACCCGTGTATATTGGTGAGAGATCTCCCACTCGTGTCCGTAGACGGATGGTCTCCGTTGATATGATCTTCATCGGTACTGGGTCTGTCCTCGCATACGCCTTCGACTCGGCTTTCCAGCACGTTCCTTATGGCTGGAGATACGTAGTGAGCTTGGGTGCGTGGCCATGTATCCTGCTCGGGCTCTTTCTCTTCATGTGCTCAATAAGTCCTCGTTAATTAATGTACCACAATGAGTGGGAGCAATGCATCGAAGTCATTCGTCAAGCTTATCCCGACGTTATTGACGAGCAGATGAAATGAGACGCTGTCATACTAGATTTCATCGGCGTGGTACTCCGTGAATCAGAGATGATCGAAGTCATACGCGGGATGATGCCTCATTGGTAGGCCTGCGCTCTACCTTCCCTTTGTAATACCGATAGCTATGCTCTTCGCACATCGTAGTATGATAACGATGTCCACGGTCGATGAGGGTTGCTCTGACGTTGTTTGGATCGTCCACAATTTGTATCGGTACAATAGATAATTCTGAGATCGCTCTCATTCCTTTATATCTCTTAATGAAAAAAGGGGTACCTTTGTGTGATCAACTTGCCGTCGCTGTAGCTGAGATCCCACAACGACCACTCCCACTTGCCCGCAGAGGTCGCTCTATCAGAGCTCGAAGATGCCTTACCCTTACACAAATAGTTCATTGGCTCCACTACATACTCGGGAAATTGTCCTCCTTCTTTGGGATCGTCTTGTCTAAACACAATCGTGCCAGGCCCGAAGAGGAGCCACAAGTAGTCAAAACTTGCACACTTCTGCGCATGCATCTCGACCTCGGATTGGAACGATTTGAAATAGAAAGCCCGAACTGGGGGTGCATTCAGTAAAACCCATAGATGTTCACCAATGGCTCTGTTGCATTGCACATTGGTCTGCCAGCCAGTTTAGGAGTCAATGAATGATATTGACGGATTTCCATTCTCACATGCGGCCAGATCCCGTTGTAATTCGTCCCAAAAGTGGAATACAATTGAGTACGGATGATCGAGAACGACTTCTTCTCCCCGGAGATCTTGTGCCGGGTAGTAAGGTGCTATGTTCATAAACATGACAAGCAATTCTGGCGACAGAATTCTGATGGCGGGAGGGGCCGTCCCGTTCACTCTATAATCGTGACCGAGCTTGAATACGTCGGGATCCCTGTCGCCTTCGCGTCCAAGACTTTTACGGTTTTGATTGAGTCGTTGGGTCAGCGCTGTTCCCCACACCTGAGTTTTGACATCGATTGGAGCTAATTGGCGCCGTTCTACAACGTTTTGTTCAAGCCTTTCAAATGGTTCCCAGACGTACCTCGCGATTCGTCCGACAGTGGAGTGGTCTCGATACCGCTGTGGTGAAGAGCGCTTCCAAGAAGAATGACATCAAAGAGAAGAAGTAGCCACCGGAATGATACGCCATTGTTCCAGCGATTCGATATTCGCTCTGCAATCGATTTCGATCGAATCCATGAACTACATAATGCGCATAGTCCAAGCCAAGCAACTAAGATGACGCCTTACCATTTCCTGTCTAGCCTCGCCAAATCTCCAGATTTTGTTGGTCGAACGACGTGTCACTATGCATACACTTTACTTTACACCATGCCGCATCCCTCCGGTAGCCGACAAATAACTCCGCCATGGACGATCCAACCAGTCCCACCTCAGGCAGTCAACGAAATTATTAAGTTCATCAATGAAGCTCGCAAGGTCATGTTTTCCGGTCGTTCGTTACCACCAGACACTACATCCCTATTCAGTGACGGTAGCTGCTTTCTCGAAGCGCGGGACGGCAAGGAATTGATAGCCGTTATAGGCTACGTACGCTACGACAACCGGCATCCTCAACTCGACTATCACGCCGTGCGGACACTCGAAGTCGTGCGATTGTTCGTGCAGCCCCAGTATCGGCGTTGTGGACTCGCGGCCGAATTGTTCCTAAAACTTTATGAGAGAGCTGTCGAGGAGGATGTCGAATGTCTTTATCTGCATTCGCATCCGTTTTTGGACGGTGCGATTAGGTTTTGGCAGAAGCGAGGATTTGAGATTGTTCTTGTGGAGGATGATCCGAAGTGGCAGACTACGCATATGGAGACGACGCTGAAAAGGAGGGAGTGAATAGAGGGGCACTACGTGGGTTTGTGGCATGAGATGGGAGATTGGAGGACGATCGACCTAGAACCGTGGGCGATGCTTGGCCACGAAGAACTTCGCAAAAGCTGACTCAATATATCGCGCATAGTTGCAGGCATTGATCGCTCGAATGATTCATCGATGTACTCCGGGGATGTCCGTGGGTTGAGAGTGGAAATGAAAGTTGGGGACACGCCACTAGTTAGCACCAACAAGACTCTGGGCTGGCTATCTCACTGTAAATCTGAGGCTGTCTGCTGTGAGCATACTTAACTCAGTCGTAGTCGCAATTACGACTGCGATGATAACAGTGTTCTTGAATCTACGCCCACAGTAAGCATTTTAAGTGACAATCAGGAGTCACAACATACCTGTCGAATATTGAGCGGCAATCTGCAAGATGATAGAAGGGCATAGATCACGTTGGATGTAGTGTTGAAGAAGGTTACGGACAGACCAGGGGAAGATTTTCTCAAACGTGTGATGTCTTTCTCACACATGCTAGAACCCACCGCATTGCTGGGCAGTCATCTCAACATATAATAAAACACGTTAGGTCATTATTCATCATAGGTAACCTCTCCAGCCTTTTCGAAGAACTCGGAAAGTTCTATGACAATCATCTTTTAACATAAAGTCGTCAGAAGCGTTGATCGAATGTCGCGAAAACGAAATAACCCGCTCATACGTCTGTTCGGCAGATCCACCGACACCCTTTTTCAGCATCAGTCCCCACACTGTTCATAACACCGATGTTGTGGTGTCTTGCTCCATACCCAGACGACTTGGTTCATCGGGTTCGCCGGAGATGAAGACCGGCAGGAACCCATCGGGAAGTCGGATCTCCTTTTCCTCGGGTTCTTCTTCCTTGACCTTCCCTGGTGCTTCTTTCTGAACTTTCCCTCTGGAAAACTGAGGTTGTTCAAGTATATAGTGATGCATCGCCCTCTCATTTTCACCTATGCTGAGCGTGAAGGCATCCGGCCAAGTCTTAGAGAACTTTTCCCGCATTTCGTCATCGTCGATATCAAAGTCAGGGAGACTGGAAGCAATGGTGTCTTCGTCTCCGTTGCAGATATTCAAGTCGAAGCCCATAGGAGACGGACTGAACAGCGTTCGCAATTCATTCAACTCGCTATGTACGGAGCAGCAGATACCGGCTTCTACATCTATCTGCCTTAGATCGGATCGGATTGAATGTACCTTAATTTAAATATGTTAACATGCACTTCTAACGCGCCCTAAGATGTTTAAAAATCATTAGTTATTCTTATCTTAGCTCTTTAGATTCTCTTAGCTGCCTATGCTCTACCTCCTTTAACTAGAGGCAGATACCTCTTTAGCGATTTCTTAAAGCTTAACTTAGCAGTTAGCTTTAATAACTTTAACCTTAAGTGTAAGGCGTAACTGTAGGCAATAGTGCTTGCTTCACATTACTAAGGATAGTAGGAGATAGCTTGTATATTTAGAGTACGGGTGTAGGTTGTAAAGAGAATAATCCTTGCCTCTCTCTGTAGAGCGAGGCGCGCCTTATAAGCAGGTTTAGCGCGTACTCTGTTCCTTCAAGGGACGTGTGCCTTAAGTCCTCGTTACACTTACTATCCTTAGTAACATGAAGCAAGCACTATTGCCTACAGTTACGCCTTACAACAACAGTGCATTAAGTATCATTGACGATTCTATCATTTGACAACAGCCTCTATTACTTGCGCTTAGTAAAACCATCTGTTAGTAGCGGGGCATGTGAAAGAGCCTCCCAGTGATGGCAAGCGTAAATTTGCTCGTCAGAGCCGCTAATATCATCTTTACCACGTTTGTGAACGTCTGCATTATACGATCTAACAACAGTAGCAGGATCCTTGTTCGCATTGATAACCTCGGTGATTGCTTGGACATATCTTCCAGCGTCTTCGAGTGCGTTGTTAAGACCCTGGGCACGGTCTGGACAGGTGATCAGATAAGCCTCATTTGTTAGTGTTTAGGGGAAGCGGCTTACAAGGAACCATGGGGTGCGCAGTATCCCCAGCAATTGTGATCCTTCCATCGTAGTTCTTCCAGGGCTGAATATTCTTCCAGGTAGCAAACTAAACCTCTGTCAGGAGCGTTGAAGTGGAAATAAGTTCGGCTAGTCACCTACACGATCTAGAGGAATCTTAACATCATCCCCGACCCACTCTGCTAGATATTTCCAGGGCTCGCAATAGTTGGCTGCTAGCTGCTTGAATAGTCGGGACCGTTCTTCATATGTCTCGGGTTGTTGACCTTCGTTCCAAATCGACAGGGATATCGAAAAGAGCCAGCCCTCTGGCTTGTCAGCATCGGGGACATCAGCGACTGATGAGACAGATTAACGATTCAGTCGCAGCGAATGGGTATGTCCACAATAAAACTTACGCGTTATGAAGAAGTAGGTGTTCTGGTCGGGATGAGGTGCCAACTAAGCACACGATCAGTTGAGGCCGTTACATGTTTAGCTTTGTTCAGCGACTGACCGTTGCGATTGGATGAATCTTGCTGCGAAGGTAGCGAGCTTTCTTAGCGTCGAAAGAGCAGGCAAAATTCTAGAATAGGTAAGAGGACAGTATGAACAGCATTCTCAGTTGTTAATTTGGGCCGAAGACTTACGAGAATAGTAACAGGGGCGGGATGCAACTCGCTTGCGCCTACAGGTACGATCAAACTGCGGACTTTGCTTCTCGCTGATCGAAATGTAAGAATGAAGAGCTTCTGGCACAAGGGATAATACTCACGCCCGTCTGCGCCCACAAGGTAGCGTCCTCTTCGGACTTCAACGCCATCATTGAACGTAGCTGTCACTGTATCACCTTCGACGGAGACGCTGTCCAGTTTCATGCCGAATTGAATGTCCAACCCTGTTCCGAATAAGTCGCGTAATCGTCCCCTTTGAACTCTCCTTGGTCCCTCGGCTTTGACGTAAGTCAAGAGCTCCCCTGTTTTGCCGTTCATGAGCGGTATCGTTCTTGCATCTCCATCGGACAGCACAGCCCATGGATCTGTTTGTGCTTCATTCAGTCTAGCGAAGAGCTCTGGAGGCAGACAAGCCTCTACATTGGGTGTCGCCCAGTGCAGTGCCATACTCCAGACACCAGCCCGTTCGATGTATTTTTCGAGACTATGTTGTTCAAAAACCGCGACAGATATATTAGCCTAGACGTTTGTCAGTTCTACCGTTGGATTGGAAGGAGCGAGAACTGTCAATTGACTCACCCGCTTCAGACCCTGCGCGATAAGCAAGCCAGTGGCACCTAATCCGTTGTCAAACCAGGTTTCAAACAAGGGATACAATTATGATTACCAGCTCCGATAATTAGAACTTGTACAGTCTCCCCTGAGGTCATCTTCGCTATCGTTACTGCGGTTAGTGTTCTTTGTCATGGAATGGGTTTAGGGAGCTACGATTTGCGAAATTTTAAGAATGGAGTCTGTAGTCTCTTAGGACCATAGCTTTATAGACACCTCTCATGCAGCTTCTGCAAGAGGAAGGTCATCGCTCATGTTCCAGTTTTCTTCGGATACAGAACTTGCGTGACAAAGGACTGATATTGACGCATGTTGCTCGTAAAAGCGGCACGCGACTGCCAAAAAAAAACCCTCAGTTAGTTAGAGTGGATTAGTCAGTATCGCGAGGACGTTTTTGCATGGAGTTAAGGAAGGATACGCGGCTGTTGTACTTTCGGTCTAAGTGAAAGACCGAAGTGCGCTCAAGCTACTTCGGTCCGAACGCCGATCGTTCGCATGCCGATGGTCCCGACACCAGCGACGTGTCAGGTGGTTGCACTTAGCGTCTATCACCCGAGTCTCCTAACCATTACTTTGGGGATTTCTTGTGAGATTGACTTTTTTGAAGGATAGAACTTGAACCCGACGCCGGACTTCATGTACATTCCAGTTGTTTCGCACTCTTCACTACAACCAGAGTTTTGCGTCTTCTCCATTTTATATTATGGACTTGAACTCGATGGAACACCTCGACCTAATTTCTGACAAGGCAATAGCCGGTGTCTTCAATCCGGGCGGTCATTACAAAGATCCTCCACTTGCAGAATCAGATCCTACTGTTGGTTACAAACTCAATCATACGATGATGCGCATCAGGAACCCGAAACGCTCTCTACACTTCTACATCGACTTGGTGGGAATGCGGACCATTTGGACCATGAATACTGGACCATTCACTATCTACTACCTTGCCTATCCATCAACGAAGCAGGACCGAGCTGACCTCACAGATTGGGCTGCAAAGACATTTCAAGGGAGTGGCCTCTTACATAGTAGGGGTCTCTTGGAGCTAAAGCATATCCATGGCTCGGAAAAGGCTATTGAAGCCGGTGGCTACGAGATGACCAGCGGCAATCACCCACCAAACTTAGGGTTTGGACACTTGGGTTTTACTGTTCCAGATGTCATGGCTGCAGTGGAGAGATTGAGAACGGCTGGAGTCCGGGTTGTCAAGGAACTTGGGTCTCATGGACGTGTGAGTATCCCTCTGACCGATTGGGAAAGACAACGTGGCGTGGGGGTAGATGAAATGGCCCAAAACTACAAGGAGACGCTGAAGCAAGTTGCTCATGTTGCGGATCCGGTAAGTCATTTACCGTCTTGCTTAAAACTACTAATACACGGATAGGATGGGTATATAATCGAGCTGGTCCCCCAAATGTTTGACTGAGCTTGCATTTCTTGGCAAACTTAGACGGTTGCTTGATAAGGAATGGTTAAGAGACACATAGATTGTTTGTGCAGAGGGATTTTGCTGCCCTCCGTCCGTTTGTTGATCTTCTTGATCGCTTGTGTGCTCAAGATCACGAGTGTTGTCCGGCACTTCGATTGATGCGGCCCACGCCGTTAATGTGGATACCGAACACACAAGGTTCATATAGCGTAGCTCTGGTGTCTCCTAGAGACATGTGCTCACCGTAGTGTAGGAAATTCCCATTATCTACTGGCTCGACAAAATCCATCCCCATGAAGCCCATGGTGTCCGCAAATATGCCAAGTTCCTGGAATGAAGGAAAACCAACAATGCCTTGTACATTTGAAAAAGTCTCTTGGTTAACGAACATCGACCGATTCTTGCATGGTAGGTGTGATGTTGTCGTCGCGGCAGCGGGTGTATCCTCAGTTTCCCCGGGCTGTGTTCGCTCATCATGAAACTGCGCACCGTGAGTGGGGGGTTCCAATCGCTGTATTGCGTTGGATTACATTTGTCGTGCCGTCATTACTATAAAGCGAATGACCTTGTCGCGTATGTCGCGTCAGAAGATCTCGTAGAGTACAGTTTTTCTCACAGTAGCACTGGTAGGGTTTCTGCTTGATGTCTGCTTGAAACATCAATAGCTATCCGAGAATAGCTTCAATGACCATGGACGTCTCCTTAAAGATTTCTGTAGATTTTCAAGGCAACTGGAGCGCAGTGAGCATTTAGAGCATATATATAACGTAGAACCTTCGATTGCATCCAGGGTGGTGTTGAGAAAATATCATTCTATAGCGCTTCCAAGATTGCTGCAGAAGGAGTCCGTGCAGAGGTGATGTAGAACACAGGACACTGTTACTTCATAGAGCATTATCGGTCATACTCGAGTAAGATGTCTGAAGAGCAGGATCAATCTAGTAAGGGAATAGAGAACATAGATATGTGCGTCATAGTGGCTATCGATTCAGCTCTGACTTCTCAGGACGCCTCTCTTGCGGCTGAGTCGTTGCGACTAGGCGTTTTCGCTCTCGATGTTTGATATCGAAATTTGTCGAACAAATGTAAGGGCTTGCCAACCTTTGAACGATTCGGGTTATCGTGGTGGTGAGTATATGCAGTCTGTTTGGAAATCATGTTCAGTCTAACAATTGCATGAGGTTAAGATCGTAGAAAGTAAGGAGCTAAAATTGAGGAGATGTTTCGCTGGGTGGGTGCCTAAGCTGACAGAGCCCTCCTTACTGGTCCCTATGCATGTGCATCACAACCCCTGCGATCAAGGAAAACATGTATGATTGGACGAGGAGTTACGTTAAAAATGTAGTGGCAGGGATTGGTACAGCCTGTCGCAGTGTCTGAAATGGCAATAAAGCCCGCGAGAATGCTCGTTTCTAGTAATTCGTCAGATAAACACTGAGAGGCTGAGAAAACGCGTAAGAAAAAGAAGCAGGCATCAGTTTCGATGACGCTGCATGAATAGTGGGGAGTCAACGCTCTTGCACTGAGCACATTCCAATATGTAGAATGATAGATAATACCTCTATGTCGATTCTTATTGTTATATGTTGTTTTCACTTTGTGGCTACCTCGATCTACCTTAGTAGCTGCTCCAGAACACTGGCTGGAGTAATTTTTGGTGGTGCAAAGTCAAGAATCTCCTGACTCGTTGGTACAGTCGGAAGAGGAGAGTCGAATGTCTCATCTGCTGCTTCCTTCATCATGTCGCTCAGATGTTTCAATTCCGGGGATGCCGCTGCGAACTCATCCAGCATTGAGTTGTCCCTGAAAGCAACGTGTTCAACCTTCGATCCGATACGTTCCTCTACCATCGCCACGATTTGAGCGCCGGTAATACTTTCTGGGCCATTCAGAACGTATTTTGCTTTGTTGTGCCTTGCTGTGTCGTTCTCAAGTATTAGCTTCGCTGCAACCACGCTGACGTCCATGGGTTCAATGGCTCCGACAGGTTTGTCTTTGTTACTCATAAGTCGGAGTGTGTCCTGTTTTCCTTCCCCGTTTTGCACCTTTTTTATCATCTCGGCAGCGGACGACAACCACATCCCGAGAAAGACGTTAGGTTGGAGAGAGGTCCAGTGCAATTTGTCGTAAGCCGAAGACTCGAGCATCTTTTCGATAGCCCAGTGTTGACGTGGATAATATGCTGGACAATCCGGACGTACGTTTGAAGCTGTTGTAGAGATTCGCACAACATACTGCACTCCAGCTTTAAGAGCTGCATAGAAGAAACCTGACTCCTCAGCGAATTGGTTGGGTTGGTTATGCGAGGCGATGAACACCCTTTCCACTCCATGTTCGCGGAGCCATTGAGATGTAATTGTAGGCCAGTTGAGCTCTACAACTTCGACGTTGGATAGCTTCGCGAACTCCTTAGCATTAGAGCTGTTGGCTGAGCGTGTCTGAGCGATGATGCGATGTTCAGAGAAAGTTGAGCTGGCTCGAATGGTGTCTGATAAGAGTTCCACGACCCCACGACCCGTGTTTCCTGTTGCACCAACAATGAGGAAGGACGGCGACATAGCTGGAACGATTGCGTGTATTGAACGATAGATGAGACGAGAGAAGATAGCTTGTTGGAATCTGCATTGTTGCGACTTTCGATGCAACTTTAATATGAAAAGTTCCGAGACCTCAAATGTTCGAGTTGCGCCGCAGTTTGTCCGACTACTACTTTGCTCTTAGGAGCGGAAGCGGAGTGAGAGTAACTACTCAAGCGGCGAAATAGCGCCATCTCTCTGCAAACGGACGGCCGTGCCCGCGGAGCGGGGCGATCTTCCGATATCAGGCCGGACGAACATCTGCTAATCACTGACTACACGATCTCACACGTGCGATACGGCCATCAAAACCTGGTTTGAACGACATTAGGAATGACGACCAAGAACTTCGACCTTCTTGTCATAAACACAAATGATGCGATCAAACTGGGGTCTACATTGTAGCGCGATCGTAGCCAGGGTGATCGAAGTCTCAGGAGTGCTCTCATTCCAATACTGTCGTTGCACGCATTACATCCTATTTTTTTCAACTCGGGCTCGCTCCCGAGCTGCTGCAAGACCGACGGGCGCTGGCAGTCCTCTCTTGATGAAGATTTGAAGAGAAGACTATTGCGGATACACGCATCTGTTTATTGGAGTGATATTCCCTGGGGACGTCGTGGAGAATGGTGCGAAGGTGCAGAGAGATCAATGGTATCGCGAGTCGGAACGTGGTGCCGCTAAAATTCGCCGCGGGAGTCCTGCTGAGGCAGCCCACCAATGTCGGCGGCTGCTACCGCCGATAGCCTCGGAGTGCTTCAACACGTGCAGTCGCGCATCGCAGTCCACGACGCGCTTTGTCTTCGACACGCTCTGACGACCGATGAGAGACATGCAAAGTTCCTGCGAATTCGAGTGCATCCATCTGACAGAGAAGTAGACTTTGGTAGATGTCGACGCAATGCCTCGCGATGGATTACAACTAGCAATGACCATCCGAGCAGGTTGCGTCGCTGGCCGAGCTTACGTACACGGCCCACCATTCTGCATCACATCTTCATGAACACGACGGGAACACCAACATCAACACCAGCATCAATGCCTGCTACCGCAGAAACCATATACACCGGTCGCAGACAACTGGTTCCATACCCATTCACCATCGTTTTACCACGATGAAATTATCGCACAGGCATCGGTACAGGGTTGACGCAACTCTGCCATGTCGAGTTATTCGATTTGGACACCTGTAGGTCTCGTCAGCGTGGCTTCTCATCTTCCCGTTTACACTCACGTTGAAAGCCGTCGCATACGGGTCCCAACTAGGATCTATATGCGGAGCATACTCAATCACATTCAGCATGTAATTCAGCGGCTGCGCGCCGTAGAGTCTGCTAAATAGGGCATATGTAGCATCGAGACCTACGTTGTTAGCTAATGCGCCATCACCGCTATACGAGCTTCTCCGCCAAACGTACCAGACGCCGTTCCTGACGTGGTCCAGATGTTGCCATCCTCGACCCAGCGTGCCTGCGGCACCCACGTAACGTTCGGACCGCGCTCCGTTATCCAAATCCACCCAGACTTGTTCGTCGTCGCTCGCTTGCCGTCCAGAATACCAGAGCGCGCCAGAGTCGCACCGCCGAAGCTCACGCCGACCAGGTACTCGAGGGACGCATATCGCAACTTGACGAAGTCTTCCACGCTAGTGTTGTTCGTCTGCTCTAACGTCACGACACCGAGGCCACCGGGCACGAACAAGATGTCAAGCGCCGGAGCGTTCTTGAAGTTGTGGGTAGCCTCAACGCGAGGCGCGATGACGTGTCCAAAGTCGGTTGGCGGCGCGCTGAAGTCGTCAGGGCCGTAGGGCTGCATACCAGCAGGGACCAGGCCAGTTTCTTCGGCGATGACGGAAAGGGTCATCTTGTTGAAGGCCGAGAGCTGTATCGACCATATCAGCGCTGAGCATCAAGCATATCGAGTGTCCTAGGCTTCATACTACGGTGAGAATTTCCTGGTATGAAGCTATAACCTAGCTCGCATGTATCTCATGTCTCCACCCGTCCCATCTCCTTCGTTCTGATCGTACATGTACACTGACACCATGCCAACACTTCCCAGACTCCCTCGGTAGAGCTGGGGAGGCGGGGCTAAGTAGGTTGCGATAGGCGTGGCTAAGCCCAGTTCAATGTCGTCGTTCGCAGACTGTCGATCGCTACAGGTTGAGCCTTGCTTGGTGTCTGATGAGGATCCTCGTATCCCTTCGCATCCGAAAAGCTCTTCATCATCGGACCGTTGTGTCACTTCCGTTGGCTGGGAGAAGTACCCATGGTGTCCATAAGGATTCCTCCTCAACTTCCTGGACTTCTTTGACGGATCGCTTTCCACTTTGCTTTTAGTCTGCGACGATTGTGCATGCGAGGACTTGGCTGGCGAAAACCATTCTCGAGGTTTCGGTGTAATAGACTTGAGGGGTTCGAGGTACTGTTTCACAAAGGCCTTGAGCGCTGGTGCGTTGGCACAGATGACGCCGATATGAGCCTCAAGAAGTGTCCAATTCCAGACTTCCCAGAGCTGCCAGGAGACATCGTAGGTCTCATAGAATAGGACCCAGGTTGCGTGTGTTCGTAATGCCCCAAATGCGGCAGCCCCATAGGCGGTAGCAAATATTCCCATCAGAGCCACCTTTTGGCGAATCGGAATTTGTGCTTTCCAGTATATGAAGTTTGGCAACAGAGCGGTAATCACGTCCTGCACTGTCGAAACCACACCGGCAGCGACTATGGCAGCGCCCTCGTCGTAGCAATTGAACTTCACACCTTCTGCTATCTTGATGACATCTGACTGCTCCCAGTAAGCAGACATAGGACGACAGACAAAAAACGGACAGACGAAGAAAGCGACAGTGGATAAGGTTTGGACCCCAATTGCAGTCCAGGTGACAATCCGAAAGGCTTTCGAGACACCGCGTGAACCTAGGCGACGAAAGAAGAGTAGAATAGAGACTTTGACAAGCCCTCCAACGAGAATGACAAGCATCTCTATCGCTAATATGAGCTTTCTCTGTATTGTGAATAAGGTGAGATCGACGTCCCATACATGTACCCCCGCTGTGATAGGCGTCTGCCGCTGTAAGGCGTTAGCAGTGACTATTGATTTTCGTATCACACAATCTTACTATATGGTACAAGAGTGGCTAAGGCAATGATGAATGGCTACTAAAGGTGAGTGCGTGTATATCTTAGTTGGAAGTAGGGAGAATACAAGGGCAGCTATCATAAGCCAGTCATCCCAGCCCGGATTTCGCTGTAGATAGAATCGGACCCAAATTCTTGCGAATATAACGAAGAAGGTGATTGGTGACAGGACACCCGCAATTATGGTCGTCACCCTGCCTCTCCCTTCTGGATTAACCAGGTTCGGAGCCGGCCATGAGGCAACGACCGATAGAGGAGGATGTGGACCGCCGGGCATGTGAGCGTAGATGAAACGGGGAAGCGACTCGTTATTTCGTTGATATAGCGAACGGGCATGCCTTACTTTGGAGCCCTGAATATATATTTCGCAGCGCTCTACCTCTCGGCTGCTCATTTTGTCCATTCTGATCTAAGTCTTGTGATGACAGCTGCATCAGGCCGCCACTGGAGACATGAGTCGAGCCAGTGGGTAACGGCATTGCCGACCTCGGCAAAGGTCTGATACAGAGCTGAGTAGCTGGTAGTGTCCTCGCATGCATACATCCCTTGGACGCCGTCAATCTAACGGCGTCGCGTAGTCCTCAATGATGATCCCGCCGAGAACCTGGCTAGGCCTTGGTAAGCTTGCGTAGTAGGTGGCTGGCGCACATTCATGCACTGCATGGTTTTTCCAGCAAATATGAATCTCTTATATATTCGAGACAGTTATAGCACATCGTTCTTTCTGCGAGAGTAGACAGAGACTTCACATCGTGAGGAAGCAGAACGAGAAGGCTTCAATCATTGTGAGAATAGATTCTGATCGATGTGAGCATGCATACCAACCCGACATCGGTATAGCAAGATTGTCAGTCACGGTACGTTTGCCTCATTTGAATGCAAGTCAGAGCACTATGTTCCTTTTCAGCGTCTGTTCAAACACTACTAGGTGAAGCTCATAGAATCAGCTGTCAATGATGACATCGCTTTTAGGTCGATGGCGCAAGCAGCTCGTGCATCTGTCACTTTCCAAATAGGCTTAATGGGTACCGAGTACCGAGGAGGCCACGCAACGGCGAGCGAAATTTAGGCTCTGGCCAGCGTTCATTCGCTGGCATCATCTTAGCGTCCGTTGCCATGCGCCTTCTGCAGGTCTGTGCAGCCACGCGATCGGCAGTTTTTAGCGAATGCAGCTCAATGCCGAGGAGGTCACCCTATTTTGAAGAGCCATTTGTTGTTATTGCCCATTCCATCACCTGCACAAGTGACTGCGTATGTATTTACTGTGTGCACAGCTTAAGCGCGGAATAGTGTCGTGGAGGAAGGCACTCTTGCCATGCTGTACGTCACGGCTGCTGCCGCTGTCACAGCTCCTGCAATCCAAAGTTTGGGACCGCCGTTTCAATCTGTCACCTGCATGAGCCCAGACGAGATACCTTGCGACACAATAGGGCAAACGTACGACGATCCAGGTCAGGAACCTGTTTACGCGTCAAAAACGGGAAGAGCCGGACGCCTGATCTTTCGAAGGGTCGCACTGACGGAACATGTTGGATTCAGAAGTGGAGATCTCCGACGTGGATAGCGGGAGCAAGCTAGCGAAGCACGTAACGCTTGCAAGCGCCACTGAGCGTGCCGAGATAACGGCTATTCACAACCTTGAAAACTGGGTATACGAAGCATGAATCCCAAATGTTCCGCAACACCTGTGACGCAGATGGTCTGAGAGGGAGCTGTCATGACAGAAGATTCTTACTTCAGCATTGAAACGTGTTCTGTTATGCTGGGCTCAGTGCGCGAAGCTCGCGAAGGAAATCCTGATCAAGATCATCTTGTACGCAGCAGTCCTTCCTAGGCTACATGTTATCAGAAGAAGTGTTGTGCAAACAGTGTTGCGATACATTTCACGTCTCCAGTTGCGCTTGGCTATGGACGTGATAGGGAATTAGTAGCGAAAAATTTGACGATGACTCGCTAATTTCTCCAAGCGTTGCAAGCGGGCCCAAAAGCGGAGGGAAACGTGAAATAGGGCCGATCCATGGCTAATTAGAAGTAGCAATAGGTTGCAGGGTAAAGCGAGAAGGCCTCGACCTTTTCCGCGTATAACTTGGGAATACTTGATCCGAGTCGAAGAATTCATTGAGATCACGAAACGCGACATCTCGCGAAAGACTGTGAGTAATCTGTAGGAGCGCCATCGTTCCACAAAACGATAGCCAGTCTACGGGATTGCAAAATGAGCAGCGTGGCATGACGGGCGTTGAGCGTGATCGCTTCAAGCCGCACAAAGCTGCCCCACGCTGGGAGAGACCCATTGACAAAGCAGTATCCTAAGCGATTTTTAGTGTTAGGATCAGGGTTAGGGTTCTAACACGTTGTCATTCGAGACTGTAAGAACTGCACGAGCGCTGGTGCCGTGCGACTTAGCATTGTCAGCATCGACGCTTTGAGACATGACGCGAGCGAGTGAATGATGCGAACCTGTCTTGGCGGTAATGAAGATTAATGCTGGGCTGGAGTGATGATATTGCGTAACGTCCAGCGCGCATCTCAATCCGAGCTTTGATACAGTGAACTACAGCAACGGCATCCTGAACATTCCAATACGGCGACGCTCTACTGCTGTCATAACAGAGATTATTGACAATTGCGCATTGCGATTTGAGGTCCCCAGTGTGTGATGTCATGGTTGCAGCATGATGCGCTGCATGGCAGCCGACGCTGCCAACAATAAATATCCGTTTGGTAGGGCAACAAGATGCGACAACAAGATAGTTTTCGCCATAGTGAGTGGGATGCGAAGGAGTTATGAGGAGTGCGATTCGTGTGTTTGATGGGGAATGGGCGAATGCGACAACGGTACGACCCTTCCCCAAGTTCGATGCATACATCATGCGCTCTGCTTCGTCTTCTTTCCAGTCTGCGTCTTAATCTCTCCCTCTTCGTTCCGCTGCAGGAGCGCCAGAGCCTCTTGAAGCAACCTCTTTTCACCGAGCCTAACCGTGATAGCCATACGACGGCGCTCAGCCAGGTCGTCACCCTTGAGAAGCGTCTCGTCTTCCTCCACGCTCGTAGAATATGTCGCAAGCTTTGCGATCAAGGCCTTTTCCACGATCGTTTGGTAGTCGTCAATGCGTTTCCGCTTCTCCGAGAATAGCTCTGGCTTCTGCTTCTTGATGCCTTTGAAAACAGCCTTCACTTGCTCTTCCAGCTCCGGGGATACTTCGCGCAGCTGAGCCGAATACGTGAGCTGCCCTTCCGAGTCTGGATCGCCGGAGTCGCGCTCGATGATGAAGTACTCTTCGAACTTTTCGTTCTCTTCAAGCTTTGCCTGGGTCACTGTCAGCTCATGCGCCCGTCGGAAGTGTGACAGTCATGATCATACTTCAACCTTGCTAACGACCTCTTCTGGCACTGTGAGCTGTTCAATGAGCACTGCGCGAACGAGGCTCCAAGATAGCTCCGCTACATCGTAACGGGCATGTTCAGGTGTTACGTAGCCGTAGCGGCGTAGTAGCTCGGACGTTGGTAATGGACCGTAGTAGTTGAGAACTTCCGACCCAGCTGGCAGAGTTGATCGAAGAGACGTAACTTCGAGACTGTCGCCATGATTGACATGTGCCTGTCGGGGGCTGTTAGCACAGTGAAGTGTGCGTCCTCGCTGCCATGCGACTCACATTGAAGTCGGCATTCGCATTCAGTATATCTGCCATGGGTACCATTCCAAGAGGAGTGGTGCCGTCACGATCTTCGACCCATCCGTCTTCTTCGTTGTCGGACTCCTCGTCTTTGTTATCCAGGTCGAAAGCGTAAGACATAATTATGCTGCCCATGCGGTGCGCAAGATCAAGAAGTTCTTCACTACTTGACCTTGGAGCGCCTTCCGTGTAAAAGATCGCGGGGTTCTGCTCAATGACAGGAACAACGCGCGATCGTAGCATATCATCACTTTGCTGCTTTCCGACTTTCTCGGCTGTTAGACATGTTCCCTCAAGCTCTTTGAGTTCCGCCTCGGACCAAAAGATGGGTGTATCAAACGTGTGTGGTAGTACGTCCAGATATGGTTTCCAGTGTGATGCATCGCCCTGTAGATGCTCATACATCATGACCAATATAAGGGACGTCCACGAGTCGAGGGGTTCTTTCTCATCGTCGCCTTCACCACCAACAAACGCGTCAAAGACTTCTGGCAGTTTACCAGGGAGTTCGGAAGTCTCCACGCTGATGATCAGGTCTCTAGGGATGCTGAAAAGCGTCGTGTCCTGGGGTATATCTTGCTTCGCGACTGTGCATCATCAGTACACATGATTCCAGGTATTTCTGGTGTTTGGAGATCGTACTAATCCCTCGGCCTGCGTCCTTGTCTCTCAAATCTTGAATCTCCAGCAGGTCGTCTCGAAAGACACCGCCGCCGGCCTTGAACCACGCCAAAAAGCGATCGGTAGCTCCTTTGAACTCATCATCAGCTTGTGCGCGCGACATACCGACTTGGAAAATTAGTCTTAGTATCACGACTTAGTGTTATGGGCGACGTTGCAGGGCTTGCGCGCCTCTGTTCGCGTGGACGGTAGTCGCGTTGGCGCAATTGGTGGGTGCAGAATCAGACGCGACTAACGTGATATCGGAGATGATGATAACTCCGGACACCGAGCGCGTCACCGCCCAAACACACTTCGTCATTGCACCACACCAACACCCATCAAGGCATGCATTCATCTACAGAAATCGTACAGATCATGTGATACTCAATAGTCTAGTCGCACGAAGCAAATGCGCCTTCGCCGCCACGCATCATCATCAACACCCTCCCCGTGTTGCTGTGCCACTGTCAATGCGCAAGGCTGCCCGTTGTATCACGTGCGCTGTCGTTATTGGCGCACGATCAACGACATCTGGATGCAGACTTGCCAATAAGCAAGCTGATCTCGCTTAGTTCTTGTTGATTGCACATTACAGATTACTACCCGGGACGTGTCACTATGCACGGATCTTACTACTGTCTGTGATCTGCAATCGATAAGAACCAAGCCAGATTGGCTTCTTGGCAAGTCTGCAACGATGGCCGTGACACCTTCACCCCGGACACGAGCACCGTACAAGACAAGTGCAAGACCTTGGTTTAAGCGTCCGCTGGACCTCTCAATCACCAGCCCAAGATGTGGGTGCAAGGCGTTTGCAATCTACTCGACACGCTATCGAAGCCTCCATGGACGAAGCCACTGAACTGGGACCTCCACATCACAATCGACGGCGAAGGACGCATCCCATTCCACTTATACGTCAAATATGAAAATGCTCCACCCTGTACCTCATCCCAAGCCGCCCTGTCATCACGCTTCAGCCAGCTTTCCACAGAGCTTCAACTGCGCGTCTTGGACTTCTGTTCTGTCCCTACGCTTTATCAGATGATGCACACACCCATGCTTCGCATCGAAGCTGCAAAAAGATTTTGGTCAGAACCGGATACATACTATCTCATCGAAGCCCACTGGCTCTTTGGAGGTGGGCACCCAGGCTATACATGCTACGACCCGTCCTTCATGGCTTGCGTGCAAAATGTGGAGATCGAGTACGACTTGTATTCTGATTGCAAGCTAGCTCCTATTCCAGACGATGTATTAGAGCTTAATTACGACAAGGCCCGAGAGTTTTGGAGGACCTTTCGAAGGAGATTTCCTCGCGCAAAAAGGGTTGTTGTCAACAAGAATTGGGAATCGCTGAGCATTCGATATCAAAACGATGAGCCTATTGCCTGTTCTCTAAAGGTACTTGTCGAGACATGCCCAATTGACCTCGAGATTTCGGCTTTCGTACTAGTGGAGGTAGGCCGTGGTGGCGGAGAGCGGACTGCGCCTCCTGTTGCAAAGAATTGCCACAGAGTGCTCTATCGTCTCGCAGATAACGGCGAATGGAGAAAAATCACTACATCTGGTTTCCAACGCAAAACCGTTCTCATGCCTCTTAAAAGATTTTATGGGCCAGTTGGTGAATTCAACGGACTCTTGCATGAACAACAGAGGATCCAATTGCAACTAACAGGCCTCGGGGCTGTCGCAATCGAAGCTTTAGATCGACATTATTTCGGCAACGAGAATCCTGAGCCATTTTATTGTCCTATGTTTGGATGCGATGTCTACATCGAAGAAGCTGGACAGTGGACGCAGCATGCCGCAGAGACACATAGGGTTGACATGTTCATAGCACAACCTGAGATTCTACCCCGCGCATTACAACATGACTTCGAAGAACGCAAGAACAACCTAACAAAAGAGGTGGAAGCAAGAAGAAAGAAGCTTGGGAAGATCTTTAACGATTGGAATGAGGAAGGGGGTGAGAAGAGACGGGAGCTAGAGCGGGGTTGGATTCATCAGTTGGAAAACGACGAGGCATGGAACACAGGGGTAAAGGGGGCAGACAGTGGGCTCTGGGAACAGTTCAACAATATGATGGACCCAACGTGGTGTGGATACTAAACAAAGCCCGGATAGTATATATCAGAGCTATAGTTCTGCTTTTTAAAATAGACTCAAAATCACGTAAATAGACCTCGTACGAGAAAAGTTATTATCTATGAGTGTTTTCCGCCTCGTACCGTTCGCATATCACACCAGCAGCGAAGCAGTTTGTACAGCCTAGGATAACTGGGCATGTTGGATCTGATAAGTGTCTCGACAAGTGCGCACGTCGGTAAGGAAGTGCAAACGGACATCCATGCGAAGAGGGGTCATACATCGTTTTGCGCCTCACGTCGAGCCTCCGAAGTCGCTGCCACGCATGAAGTCACCAAACTGCATCACACAATATACACGTTCATCGCGAGACATTCAGAAAGGAGTGCATGAATCGACTTTATTCAGTAATCAGTAGAATTATACGACTTTACCGCCGACAACAGCCCGGATCTGATCATGTTGATCTAGCTTGTCCGCAACGCTCACAGGTAATGACGATCAAGCCATCGGCCGGCTCGAGTGATTGGACAATCGTCCACAAGTCCCTAAGAGTCCCCCCGGTTCCGGTACGTTGTCTACTCCGCCGCAGACCACCCAAAAAGACATGCTCTTTTCTGCGACATGTAGTAGAGAAACTAGAGCTGCTCGAGGTACTGAAGCTATCAGATCGAGCACTTGCCGCCCGAACATGTATGTTACTAGCCTCCATTGCAAGGCTACCAGGTCCAATTGTTATTGTCTGTCTTGGGGATCCCAGCATTCTTGCGATTCTTCATGGTCTTACTACTCTCACTGGTCTTAAAGACCCTGCAAGCCTTACGTGTCCTTCAACGCCTTCGGGTCTTGCAGCTTGCGGTGTATCTGCTTGGTTGCTACGTTCATCTCCGTCTCTTCTGCCGAGCAGTCGCGCAATCGTATCCCTCACTGCCGTACCCAATCTTCGCCGACGCTGCGGCCATGGAGATTCTACTGCCTCGCTTGGGTGATAGATGAAATGAACACGATCCGTGCGCACAGTCTCAGAAGCTGCGATACGGCTAATTTCAGGTATGTCCGCGGACAGGGTATCTTCGACAAAGCTATACGGATCCTCGAATGGCCTTGAAGCCCAATCCGCTTCGCGATTCTCCCCAGTTGGCTCCTGCATTGTAAGAATGATCTCCAGAAGAACACTCGCCGGGATATCTCGGATAGTGCTGAACCAACGGGTACGGCAGAGCGGACGCTTGTTGCTCCACGCCTTGCAACCTTCGAGCAATTTGCGCAAGCGCGGTCATCGCTCCGTAGTCAATAGGCTTGAAATTCGGCGCAGTAGAGCGCCTCGAATGTTTGTGCGTTTGGCGCAGGCTGCGGTGGCTGTCTTGAGTGTTGCATAGCTTTTGCTGCTCCATACCAGGTTGATACTGACAGCAGAAGTTACAGAAACGTATATGTCGCCCTCGGTGAAGCGCAGTCTCATTCGACAGGCTCAAACTATCGTGAGTCGTAGTGTCGTAGAGTTATTGCAGAAAGCTTTGGAATATGTCAACCAAGTCCGAAACAGCTGTATCACGGAGCATCTATTTCCGAATGTCGAACGAATAGCGTCCAATTCCGCAAGTCCGTCACGCGCAAGCTGTCCCACCAATGCCTTCCAATACGCGCCATAGACTCGGTATTAGATTTCGTTCTTATCTACTTATTTTCCTCGGGCATTATATCAGCCCCGCCAACAGTCCGCTTTACCAGACATGGCCCTTGTCTTGCTGAACAAGCTTCACATTGATGTTCCGCCACATCAACACTCCGAAAACCCCGAATATCCAAATACCGGCACTCACGAGTAGAAGTCGAGACATCGCGTCTTCATATGCATGCTGAATCGCAATGCGCGTCAGCGAACCGATCGGATAAGACAGCTGCTTGGTCATGTCGCCAAAAATCTTGTGAAGATCTGATAACGTCTCTTCGGGCAGGTATTGCCGCAGTCGGTTAGGAAGTGTGTCCGACCAAATTGAGGTGGCCAGAGTCAGACCAATAGCACCGCCGATGTTGCCGAAGATGCTGACGATGGCGAGCATTGCAGCGACGTGCTCGCGCGACCCTGCGGCGAGGATAGCGATCTCATCAGTGACGACGAGAACGCCCTGCGATATGGCGACCAAGAGGGAGCACATCACGATGTAGCTGATGTTTCCAGGAGCGAGAAAGAAGATCATGAGACCCTGGCCCAACATGCTGAGCGGGATACCGACGACGAGCGACATACGCTTGAAGCGACCGGTTCGATGAATTAAGTAGCCAGCGAAGACGGCGCATACTACGCTGACCACGGTATATGTCTGCGCGACATAGCTTGCCTCTTCCACGCCGAGACCTTGCACTACCTGTAGGTAAGAGCCGAAATAACTGTTCCATACGGCAAAGCTTCCGAAAAGACATGTGCATAGTAGACATGCGCCCAAGACGGTTCGATCCAAGATCAAGTTGTATGGAAGGAGAGGGATTGTCGCAAAATCCCTTTCCCACAATACGAATGCGAAAATGAAGCAGAGGCCAAGTACGAGCATGCCGACTATGATCGATAATGACCAACCTTGCCCCGCCAGCGTGTGAAGATTAAACGGCAGCAGGCAAAGAGTAACGCCCACCGAGACTAAGCACAAGCCGAGCGCATCAAACTCGCGGCTGTAGTGTATCACAGACTGCAACACATCGCGGCCGCTCTTGCGCTCGCGCACAATTTCCATTCTCTTCGCTTTCTTATAGGTCCACATCAGCAGCCCAAAGAACGGCAGCGTCACAAGCGGAAGAAGCGCACCAAACATACCAAACGCCCACCTCCATCCCAAGCCACGAAGGTACCCTTGCGCCAGAGGCCCAGCAACCCATCCTGTGATCAGACCAGTCGAGTTCATAAGCGCCTGCATCAGCGCCCTGGTCTCCAATTTCGTCGTATCAGCAATGAACACCGACAGTATATACTGCACCCCGTTGTTTCCCACGATATGAAAGATCATAGCCGCAGCGTACATTCCCACGCCCTCGCATACCGTCATCGTGAGCAACCCCAGCGTCCCGAGACACACGCAAAGAATGAAACCATGCGGTCGCCCGAAGACATCGATGATCTTTGCGATTGTCAGGTTGGTGACGCCGCCAACGACGTTGCTAAGGATGCTGACGGTGGGCGTGAGCGAATGCATGGAGAAGGCCGATGTGACGTATGGTATGAGCGCTGCTGTGGTGCCGGCGAGCAGCGTTTCGACGAAGTAGATAAGCCAGATCATTATGTAGGCTGTTGTGAGGGAGTGCCCTGTCCATTCTTCTGTTGTAGCTTCAATGGCGAGAACGCCTGGTTGGGTTGCGGTGAAGGAGACGTCATGATTGGCTGGTGGGTCTTCCTGATGTTGAAAGTGGGTGTCGTCGATACTGGATCTAGCAGACCTGGCAAAGATGGATGTTGGAGAAGATGGGGAGAGAAGAGGCTCTTCGATCGACGCGCGGGAAGGATGCATGTTGCAAAGTTGCGGTCATAGGAGAGTCGGGTGCTTGTATCGGCGGCAGTAAAGTCGACCGTGTAGAGACAGCTCCGTGGCTGACTACACCCACAGCTCAACTGGTTGGGGTCAGAGCGCACATGCGAGTGAGCAAGCCACGATCTCTTGTGCTAAGCTGACTTGACACCTTCACCGAGTAGACGTCACACCACGAGCATGACATGCAGGTGGCACAAGCGGCTGGGCGAAGAGCATATTTGCGATCATTATGGCCCGAAACCCTGAACCTTGCTGATGCGCAAGAGTGGGGGTACAAGATGCACAGCTGACATGCATTTGGGGGCTGCATTGTACTGCTGAAAACTGTTGCATGGATCTGCTCACCAATGTCATAGCGCTGGGCGGTGAGTGCATCCGCGTCTTTCTGGCATTGATGCTGCATTCCAAGGTGACACTGCACGCAATCGAATAAGGTAAAGAGTCAAATCACACGTGCAATAGCTACCATACTCCACCACAATCATCTCAGAACGCTCAGCCTCGCCTGGTTCAACAAGCAGCAACATCAACCAATTGCGCATATCTTGTAAACTCCTCATCACGTGCAAGCATGTCCCGCTCCTCGGGGAACGTCCCCAACACCAACTCCACGCCACCATTGGCCTTCAGTGGGAAAACCACTAGGAACCTAAAGCGCCCACTGCCGCGTTCCAGCTGCGGTCTCATGGTCTCCGGCGAACCTCCGTTGGCGAAGTAGGTATCACCAAAGCTGATTTCGTTCATCTGGAAGAGGATCATGTTCGAGATCATGGCGTGCATGTGGTCAAGACCCATGTTGGCTGTGGAGAACCTGCTGTGATCTGGCAGTGACTGCAAGAGGGTGAAAGCGTCGTGTATCAGTGCCGGTGTCATGCGCGCAGCAGACGCGCGTAGCATCTGCGCGATACTTGCAATGCTCGTGGTGGAGGCGCAAAGTTCTTCTACTGGCATGCTCGTTCGGTTGAGCGTGAGCAGACTGCCCATGTACGAGTCGGGTAAGAGGGAGGAGAAGTATGGTCGTCCGTCCGTTGGCAACTCGAGAATGGAGCAGTCGTCGGGGCTGAACTGTCGACCATCGGCCTTGGCTACAGCGTAGCGAGCTCGTAATGCGGAGCGCCAGAAGAAGGCTTGTACCATATCGCTAATGGACGTAGTGATGCCGTTAGCAGCCGGATCGCTTGTGACGTCCGCTTTGAGCAGCTCGACCTTCTCGGGTGGGATCAGGAACAGGGTAGTATCCATCTTCCTCTCTGCAGCCGTCAAAGGCCATATCGAGTGCAGCGGGTATTGTGGTGGTCGGCCCAGAGGCCCTGCTGGCCTGGAGGCATGCCTCGCAATGACATCGTCCGGGGGAAGAAATGGAAGTAAGCCCCAGACATCAGGGTCGATCTCATCTACTGAACGCGCATGTCCCTCCAGATCGTGCAGTACTTCGGGAAGGCTGTGATTGAAGCTCTCCGCATCGTACCACGCACACGTTGCTGACGAGTCCCCTTGCAGGTACCTGCAGTTCTCGGCCCATGCCTTAATTGCGATGATCGCACCTACGCCATCAAGACAGCAGTGGTTGAGGTCAATAGCGAGGATGCAACCGCCTTTGATGAAGTTGGCTTGCGCGACAAAAATGTCTGCGGGTAGCTGCGGGAAGGTATCTTGTCGCAGGACCAACTCATCCTTGAAGGCTGAAGGCACGAACCCACCTTCTCGTAGGGTCTCGAATGTCGGAAGCACATCAGATAGATCCTTGTACACAAGCCGGTCGCGAGCCGGTTGGCCAAAGGGTGGCACGGAAACGATGAGGTCGCCATTCGCATATGCAATCTCGTCTTTGGACGATCGGATCATCTTGCCACCAAGAGCAGGAATGAGCTCGAAGGTTCGATTGAGTCCTGCTTGCATGTTTGCAAACGTCTCTTGGAAGGTTGCGTCTCCTTTTAGAGGAAAGTAAAACACTAGGCCCATGTAGTGATTTGGATTGACGTAGTCGAAAGGATTCAGCCGGAAGGACTGCCACGCTCTTCGCTGAGCGACCATGCGCTGCAGTTTTGATTCTTGATCGTCATCTGACCTGGCAACATTCTTCGTTCCAGCGATCATTGGCTCTAGAGCGGCGGTGAAATTGGCCAGGGTTGGATTGGCGTAGAGATGACGGGGCGCAAGTTTGTTCAGCCCCGTGATAGCTGTTCGAATGGCATTAACGGCCGCAGACACTCCCAATGAATCTAGACCGAGAGCGAACAGGTCATCGTCTGGAGTGGCATTGGAGATGGCTGGAAGAGAGGATGTGAGTATCTCTCGGACTGACTGCTGCAACGTTGATGTGGAGCTACTATCAACTATGAAAGACCTCTCTTCGTTCTGGAAATTGTAAAACCGCTCGACGTAGTCGTTATATAACGCCATTGTTGCTTTCCTCTTGACGGTCCCTTTATCTGTCCGGACGAAGGGTTTAGCTGGTTGCGCGAAAATGACGTAGTCGCGTGTCAAATTGACTGTGTGTCGAGCTGCCGACATACTCGTTTCAATCGTAGCCCAGATACTGTCCATGATTTCATCGCTCTTGGCCGCAGTATCCTTCAACTCAATGAGAAGGCTTGCCTGGCGCTTGTGGCTCCCTACAACAAGACAGCCTTCAATCGCGGGGTGTGTTCCAACCAGTGCCTCGAACTCCAATGGTAAGATCTTGTAGCCATTGGACAGAACGATTAGATCGTCATTGCGTCCTGTAAAGGCCCAAAGATTGGGTTTGGTAGGGTGCTGCTTGTAGAGGTCTTTGAAGTTGATAGATGTCTGGTCTGGGAATGTATGGAAGATGCCTTGAAACAACGACGAATGTTCGTTGCGGTGCACCCAATGCTCGTAGATACCAGGCTCTACTTCCTTGAACTCGAATCCGGAGTACGGATGGAAGGCGAACCAGAACCAGTCCTCCCTGTCAACGACCAGGTTGCCGATGAAGAGACCCTCCGTCGTTCCCGTCAAGTTGAGCACTCTGATGACGTCGTTAACTTTGCCAGCACTGATTGGACTGACTGGGCCACCGGAAGCGCAGATGAACTTAGATGCATGGAGCTTGGCCAGCACATCAGGCGTATCTCCAAGCTCATCGACGAGTGATGGTACCATACTCCAGATGTCTATCTTCGCGCTATCTGCGAGGTTATCTACCAGCGACATGTTGGGTATAACGTTTGTCGGCCCCATGACAACCTGCAGACCGAAGAATATGGGCATCAGTATGTTCATGATGATGCCAGCGCCGTGACACATGGGAAAGGAAGAGTAAATCCGGTCTCCTTCCTTCCAGTCCGACGTCCACGGTACCATTCCCTCATCACCGTCAACAGGTGGAAGTAGGCGAATCGCATCCATCGTCCCAATCAGACTGTGAGACCATGGAATAGGTTTTGGCACACCCGTCGAACCCGATGTGTGAAGATAACAGAAGGGATCTGAGGCCGCCGCATCAAACGACTTGTTGTAGGGAAAGGGCTTGGTGTCATCGGCATCCAAGAGGTCATCCAAAACTGGTAACTCCAACAACTTCATCGAACGTCTCTCCAGGAAGTTCTTCACCAGAGGTACTGCCTGCACTTCGCCTGCTTTGGCCCAGATCTCGCAGTCAGTTGCTTCAAGCACGGCCAAGGCGCCTTCAACACTGTTTTTGGGCGAAAGATTGAGTGCGGCGTAGCCCACCTTGACGCACGCGTATGTAAGGAGGACATGTCGGAGGTCGTGTGGCCCGATATAGCCTACTGGCCGAACCGATGTCGACTCGCCAATCTGGCCGTGAAGCCACCAGGCTGTCTTGTCTACGGCATTCGCAAACGCACGCGCCGATATATCTCGGAATGTCAGACCTGCACCAAAAGGTTTTGCGATGGAAAAGACGACACGGTTGGGATAAGTTTTCGCGACTTGGTCCATGATCTGAGGTATAAGACGGCGGCCATAGGCCGGCTCTTCTTCGGTGCTGTTTCTATATGATGCCTCCGAGGACTTCATCTTTGGTGAAGAGCGTGGTGGAGAACGTGGCGGCGATTGTGCGAAAGACGTCGGTGGAGTCGACGCGCCACTAACCATTGACATCGCGCTCGGTGATGAATATCCGCTCTTTGTGCCATTAAACAGGCTGCGAGCCTGCAGATAGCTGGTATTTGCCTCATTGATCCATGGCATATCCGCTTGTTGCAGTTTCCTCTCTTTGAAGTAGCTTGGCCGACCATTCTCGTATATCAGCTCGAGCCGCTGGTCCTTTTCGAACTCGCCCTTGGGAGCGCTCACCCATTCTCCATCGGCTAGCATGGCTACGCTGCAGTGCCATGGTGTGGTGTAGCCTGTTTTGGTGTTAAGGAGGCTTATCGAAATCTTGTGGTCGCCTATCGATTCGTGTATCGACAACCTCAGATGGTTTGGGAAGGCTGCCTTGACAGCTCCCGCATAAGCCTGTACGTGGTGTCAGTGTCTCATAGCTCAGCAACACAGAACAAGGGTATTTGGACTTACGTATCCTCTGTACAGCATCTGCTTGGCGAGATACTTGACGTCCCTCTTGTATTGATTGCTACCGCGGTTCTCTCCAAGTACGAATATGTGTTTCAGATCAGACTCGAGAAACTTGCGGTAGCCGAGATAAGTGAGTCTCGTATCCGCATTCTCTTTGATCTCTTTGTCGATATCGATATCCGGCCTTCCGTGCTTGTTCAAAAGCAGTCGCCTGAAGTTGGTACAATTGGCGACATAGGTGATCTCTCGCAACTTGTCTGGGAGTGGAAGGTCTAGTATATCCTTCAGGCGAGAGAAGGCAACGTACGTGAACTTCTTCTCCACTGCCATCTGCCGCAAAGCCTCGCCATAGATCCATGTTTCGCGGTCGGATATTGATAACAAGTCTTGATTGACGTGTCAGTGGAGGTTGTTCGTACCGGGAATAGATACACATACCGTTGTAAGTGATACCATCGGATATGATGGTGACTCTTGCTCCGGGCTTGTACACATCCTTGATCCTTGCGCACATGTGGTTCAGCCGCTGAAGCGCTAGCTCTTCAGCCTTATCCGGAAGGGAGCCAAGCACCTTGTGAACCTTGTTGGCCGACTTGAAAGGGAAGGCCGGCAAGCATGCTTCAACACGCTCACCCGCCAGAACGAATCGGTCGATTACGGACAGGAAGTTCGCGGTTCCTGCCGCTAGGCGCTCTTTCGAATCATCGAACTTGTTGAGGGCATGTTCGTGAATGATATCTAAGATCTTGGTCGACATAAGTCTTACGTCGGAAGACGATCCATGAATCGACGGGTCTGTGGGTTGGAGCGAGATGCCAAGGCCGTTGGAGCTGTTGCCAGTCAAGCCATTGAGGCGTATCGTCATGTCCACCATAGTTAGTGAGACATCAAAACACTTGTGGTCTGTGAAGGTGAGCAAAGGCTGCCCTCGGGTTCTGGAATCGCTCATATAAAGACCCTGGGATGAGACAGTGGTCAGGGTTGCGTTGGGTAAGCAGGTAAGATGGGGGATTGCCACACGAGCCTTCAGGCCTAACGAAGGCTGACGGAAGCCACGATGGCAGTGTTGTGTCGGCAACGGCTCGCAAATACAGTCCGAGCTCCGGCATTGCAGGGGCGGCTGAGGTAATATGAGGTTATTCGAGGCGAGCGGACATTCACCGGGTTGCATATTCTCAGGCAGCATACAGTCAGCACGTCGTGCGAGTCATGGCAATCATGAACAGCGTTGGTATGATGGAATGCCCTGCCGTTGACGCGATTGTGTTCACGACGCTAGCTGGAGGTGGAGGGTCTACGATTAGTGTGCATGTTTAATCCGGCCAAGTTGTGTCGTTGAAGACAGTCAATCTGACAGACGACACGCCCAATCCCACGATCGACAAGCTGGATGAAGGCCAGAGTGCGTGGCAGTCGAAGACGCGGGTCAGTTGGTGTGTGATGGCGCGTTGGCCCTGCCTACCCAGGTGAGGTTCGAAGAGGGGTGCCAAGCAGCAAGTGTCTTTTTTGGCAGCGGTCCGAGCGCGAAACTCACTCATGGCGCTTCGCCGCCAAGCTTCTCCTCCATTGCACCCGCGCCGCCACACGTTCGGGCGCATGCTCAATACGGCCTACTCTCACCCTTTGATCACAACTAACACTCGAGGGCGCGAAGTCTACTAACCTACTAAACGCAGCGAGTCCTTGTCGCGTCCGCATCTGTGTGTGCTGACACCAACATTACCAATGCTCTCAACATGACCTCAACGATTCTCCTCATCCGCCAATGTTAGTGCGTAGTTTCAGGCAATTGTAGAATCCACAGCCGCCGTTCTAACTCTTTGAGCTCACAGGTGGGTCAGAGCGGCGTCAATGCCAATCATCCCTAGCTTACACGATGTTGCGATATAGCTCCGTCGAGCCACTGCCTTCAGGTAGACATGCGGGTTGCGAACGGCTCAATACGAGGTAGATCTGGAAGCCAAGGAAATAGGGTAAGCAATACAGTATCGTGGGAGTATCAAAGCTGACGGCAACTGTACAGTCTTACCTTCATCCCGAGCGAAGACCAGGCTCTGCTCTGAGTCAACGGCGCGTTCTCTTTGTCATAATCGTACGCTCGTACCAGCCCAGACCCCTAACACGCCGCCCATGTTTTCCCCTTCATTCGAAGCGTCCCAGCTATGTCGACACAAAGGGACAACCTGAACCTCCACGTCAATCGTTCCGCATACGCCTTCTTCACGAGCTAGAACGCTGTGGGAGGTGTCTATTTCTTGGCTGCGGAGTATATATCCCTGGGAGGTTAAGAAGGAGATTAGTCGTGTGTCGGGCTTCTACATGACATTTCTAGTGGCAAGAGACGCGTCGCCAGACTTGCTAATAAGAGCAGCTGATAGCCGAAACGTGCTCATGCGAAATTTGCTCATTCGAAAACGCGCTCACGGCTGAAGGCGCTTGTTTGAGAAGGCGCTTATCTCGTGCAGCTTGGTGGCTGACCCGGCGGGATGCCTCATAGTAAGGGCTGGACGCGGCTGCGGACTCGTGGGAAGCATGTGTTGAAGGCCTGGTGCGTGGGATGAGATGGCGTCGGAACCAAGCCCACAGCGGCGGGTAATATGCCCTTAGACCGCTTGCAGTGGAGCGGGCCGTTGGACAGGGTCCGTGCTCGCGTATGGCTTCTTCATCCTCACCCTGGTTCGCGGGTCAGTCTGCACCCCCGCTTACTGACAGCATGGCGCCTCTGCGCCCGCCGCAAATACCCAGTACATGTACACATGTAAGGCCATGATGCGTCGCGGCTCGCTATCACGACCTCACCGGCCAACATGACACACGATTCAACATCATACCCATACCCGTATTCGCAGGCTGCGCAGCTAGATCCGCGCATCAGCCTTCCGCGACCGTCCATCGATCCCGGCCTAGCACCCTTGATCGACTCCGTCCTTCTACCGGAAGAGTTGGATGTAGCCTTCCTCCGCGGCTTCGATGTTGGTGGCAGTCCCGAACCAATTATCGCCGCGAACCCGCATCTGACGCATACGGAGCATGCCGTGCCCAGCTCGTCCGGCCATAGCATCGCCTTGTCAGTCTTCGCCCCGAAGACTTTGCCTAATGCATTACCAGTCTTGTATTACATACACGGTGGCGGCATGATCTCAGGTGATCGCTTCAGTGCTGTCGCTCAGCTAGTCGATCTCGTCCAAGACATACCATGCATCATCGCCTCGATCGAATACCGGCTCGCACCCGAGACGCCTGCACCAGGAGGCGCCGAGGACTGCTACGATGGGCTCGTCTGGCTCTCGACAAACGCCGCGCGCCTAGGCATCGATCCAGCCGAGATCGTCATCTGCGGGTCCTCAGGTGGTGCGCCCCTCGCTGCAGCTACCTGTCTCATGGCTCGTGACAAGGCAACTCCATCCGTGCAGATCAAAGCGCAAATGCTATTGTCGCCCATGCTCGACGACCGATGCGACAGCGTCTCAGACCACCAGTTCGAGTATGGTGTGCCCTGGAACGGCGCCACGAACCACGCGGCCTGGAACCACGCCCTTGCAGGTCAGCGTGGTACCAACACAGTCACCGCATATCAGGCCCCATCCCGCGCTACCGACCTGTCCGACTTACCTCAGACTTACATCGATGCGGCTGAATGCGAAGTCTTCCGCGATCCTGCAGTTATGTATGCTATGGGCATGTGGCGGTATGGTTCCTCGTGTGAGCTGCATGTCTGGCCCGGAGGAACGCACTTGTTTGATGCTGTTGAGAATCCGAAGGTGCCGGTTGTGGGGGCTGCGATTGCTGCGAAGAGGGCTTGGCTGAGGAGGGTTATGCTGCCGTTAGGGGATAATGGGAGCACAACATGAGGTGCTGTGCTTGCCGTGCTTTCGCGTTTGTGTTCAGGTCGAGATTGTTCGTGCCATTCCGTTAGGTTCGAAATATCGTTGTTAATATGCGCTTTCATGATGTCCGTTGCTTGCGATCCTGGCAGCTGGCCTTCGCTACTATCACCACCTCTCATTGTGCTCGACGGCTAATTCATCATGCCGCTCATTGCTGGCACGCCTCCGTGGCCATCAACATCCACACTCTTGTCTCTTCGACACTGTGTCCTTGAGAGCATCATCACTGTCGCGAGCCCAACGTTGAATGCACCGTAACTTACGGTCAGCGTATCCGCTGACGTTCCAATGTCTTTGTTGGGTCACGCAGCGACTTGGGGCTGAGTCTAACCCAGCTTACCGTCGGATATGTTGTCATTCACCAACCTAAATAAGCCACAGTGACGAGCGAAGGATCCTTGGCTGTTAATAAATTTGCTCATATAGCCAAGAATACAATGACTAGACTCAAAATATTCACAACCCTAGTGCAGCAGGTGGTAGGCTCGGTATCGCTCGGCTGTGCCGCGTGATTCGCTGCATCCGGTCCGGCAATCCAGGTCATTTGGGTAAGCTACTCGGGTCATCAGGTAAATATCACCTCATTGTACGAGGCCTTACGAGCTCCGTCGTTGAGGTGCTTCGCACAATGAACGCATCCTGTTTCGTTTACTACCACAGCAATCATTTGCAAGATGACGCGTAACATGCCAGACCAGAAAAATGATACGCAAAAAGTTCGCATGCTGCGACCACTAGGTACGCAAACTCCAATCCGTAGCCCATACCCTTCATACCAACTCACCACCCTACAGGCAAATCCGAACAGCTTTCTGCGGTGTCTCACGCCCTTGGCTTCTTCAAGAATGTTGGCATGTCTGCACACTACACCTTGTCAAATAGTACCGAATCACCTGATCTGAAACGTGTGATCTATGCAGCATTGACGGACGTCGTGGAGAAGCACTCTATCCTCTCTGCCATTCCCATAGATGAAGCGTCTCCAGAGGCTTACTTTGCGAGATTGGGGTCAATCAATCTTACAAAGTGCGTGTTCTGGAAAACACGGACAGGCTGTGCTACGCAAGGAGAAGGAGACCGCGAGCTCGACACGATTCTCGAAGAGCAGCATAACATTGACTTCAAATCCAGTTACGGTGGTCTACCCTTCTGGCGCCTCATCATTCTGCAAGACTGTAGGACTGGAAGCAGTTTCACTGCATCGTTCATCTTCCACCACAGTCTCGGCGACGGCGCAACAGGGTCAATCTTCCACACGTCTTTCCTTCAAGCCCTAAATATCGCCATCTCTCTGCCATGTTCCGTCGCCCACAGCAACACGTGCATAGCCGTCGACCCGAAAATTCAGCTTGTCGAACCTCTGGAACAGCTTCACCCTTTGCCCATCAATCCCAATCCCCGAGACCACCGAGCAGATGGAGGAGAAGAGTTGAAAGAGTGGTTTGGAAAACCTATCCACACAACCCTGAAATCTCATTACAAAACACTGTACTTCTCATCCGCAACCACCGCGAAGTTCACGAAGAGGTGTAAAGACAACGGCATAACAGTTACATCCGGTCTCACCGCCGTACTAGCAGGCGCTCTCTTCTCCGTTCTACCAGACACGGTGGAAGCGCTCACGGGTATTATACCAATCAACCTCCGCCCGTGGCTCGATCTACCTCCAAACTCAGCGGATGCCGCGATGGGAAGCTTTATTGACGCGATGAAAGTACAAATTCGACGGTCGCAGTACAAAGAAAGCGGCAACGATCAAGAAAGCACAATAAGCGGACTGCGGGCAGCACGTCACACCGCAAACGCACTCCAAAAGTATCTAACAGCAAACGCCTCACCAACCGGCGAACCATACACTTCCATCGCGCCGTTCAAACTCATTCCTGATATCGCCGCAGTGTTTACGTCCATGCTCGGTACGACCCGCGACGCTGCATTCGAGATATCAAATTTGGGTCGCTTTTTACCTTCACCCGCTGCCCATCTCAGCCCTAGTAACGAAACCGGTGCGCACTGGCGGATTGGTAGAATGGTGTTTAGTCGCAGTGCTGTTGCGTTTGGTGCGGCCGTTACGACGAGTGTTGTTACGGGAGTGAATGGGGGATTGAGTGTGGGGATCTGTTGGCAGGAGGGTGTTGTAGAGGGTCGTGTGATTGAGCAGGTTATGAAGAGGTGCAGGGAGGGGGTTGAGGGCTGTGGGTTTTGATTTAAGTAGGGGGTGCGGTGGTGGGGATGGATGGGTGCGAATGAATTGCTGGGTCATTGGGTGGGATGAGGCTGGCGTAGGCTGGTAATGCGCTCAACCTGGCTTGATTCATCGTGTAATTCATCTTGTTCAACGCTTCTCGCGCGCAAGGCTGCTATACTGCTCAACCGAAACTTTCATTATCGCAAAACGAACCTTTCGACTTGACTCCGGTGCGAGTCGACGTACGCATCTGACGCCGCTATATTGCTGTCTTCATCCCCGAATATGTGGCAGTCACCACTAACAAGCATCCAACATCCACCTCGAGACTGCCTAAGAACGCAAGGTGCAGTGGCACCTGCAACTATGCAGACCACATCGCCATCTTGTGCGGCCCCAGGTACGATTGCAAGCTCACCGTTCTGCATCAAGGCAATGCTACACTCTTGAAGAGCTTCGTATAAGATTGGCGAATGTTGCTGAATCGAGATTTTCCGTATGCTACCCTGATGACGCGTTAGAAGGCTGCTGTGGCCGGCAAGGGAATTACTCACAAAATGAACAGAGGAACCATCAAAGCGTGCTAAGTTCATGTCGAGATCTCCGCCATCCATGGAGGCCATTGCTGTGGATTGATCAATGCCAAGTATTTTCTATGTGTGCATAGATCTTACCATCGAAAATCTTCCCACTAAAGTGACCGGGTGTCTCGATGTCATCAATCTTGCTTTCCTCGTTCAGATGTTGCCTAAGATTGTTGAATTGGTTGTATATTTGACGCGTTTGCCTCTCCACGTCGTCCATATTAACGAATCGGAACACTTGACTAGACTCAACAATCTGCGCATATTGACATCCAACAACGTGCAGTGTAGGACTGGTGTGAGATTCGTTGTACGAGTACGATAGCAGGGCGCGCTCTTGATTCTCAATATTAGTGGGCGAGAACACATCGTCTGGCTCTTCATTTCCGAAAGTTTCGTAATAGAAAGCGTTAAATTGAAGAGGGAGCGTCTGAGACCAGTCCGGTATCCAAGAAGCCATATCCCATCCATGTGGGTGGCGAGTGGCGGCGAGTAGGCGAAGACCTAACACTGGCAGAAGGAACTTCGCAACTCGTTTGAAGCACTCTTCAACACTTTGCGCATAATCGATCAAATGATCCATTTCCGCTTGCCTAGAACCAAGCAGAGATTTCAAGGCGAATACCCTGTCTCTAGGGTCAGTAGCCAGACACTTTCGACTCATGTATAGCCGATTCCACAATTCAAATTGTGGTGTGTCGTACTCGTTCAGATTTTCCGACATGAATCTCATGGGAGCAGGCCCAGGGGTACGTGTAACACGAGTGTTAGAGTGGCCAAAGTATAGGCTTTCTAAGGCATCGAGCTGTATGACGGCAGAACCATACATTATACATACATTGAGTTTCTCATGTATTTCCTGGAGGACCCAAGTTCTTTCAAACCATGGATCTTCAAGTAAAGTCTCGAGTTGCCGGACGATGGCTTCACTGGGCGAGACTCGATCATAAACTGCCCCCATAGTGTCAATAATCTCGTCCACTTCCGCTAATTCGTCCAGTAAAAGGCGACATTCTGGAACCACATCGTTAAGCATAATTATGACACCCGATGCACCGTCGTAAACTTCTTTCATCATGCGGACTTGATGGCCTCGCTCCAAAAGATCCTCCTGGTTGATACAAACAGCATCGATCCAGACTTTGCGACATTTTCTCAGAAGCCGCAAGCGACGTAGCGCAGCATGGCAATTCCTCCCAACAGATAGACTCTCTTTGGCATCATTGCAGCGAATCGTATGCGTTGGGCCACTACTCCCCCAGGTATAGGACACTGCTTCGTAACAAAGGAATCCATTGGCGAGGTCCTCGTGACATATGGTACATTCGATTGGGTCTGATTCATTTGGACTTGGATGCAGTACAAGGATACGAATCGAGTTGCTGTGTTGCAGCGGTCGGTATTGGTAAGACGACGTTTGCATGGCGAAAGGATACGTGGGGATATCGTGGAGAAACTAAGCTTTTGTACTCGAAGATGTTTAGGCAGCAACTTCGAGGCGCATGGCAGCTGACTGCATCAAGCAAGTGGGGGCAGTGCCGTGGCGCAGATAACACCACAGCCGCGTGCAGAAGCGAACCTGGTCAAGCTACACCTTGCTACCTGGCTTTGATTGGGTCGCTGTCCAGCTACTCATATCTCAACACCCCTACCGATGCATTGACCTGGTGGGCGCGGCAGGGCGAGTCAAATGATGCAGGCCTTCAGCACCTCGCCATACAACACTAAAGGCTTAATTTGTCCTGAAAGGTCACAGTAGAAGAGGTATTTGCTACTGGCGATGTCGTTCGAATTGTCGCAAGGGTAGCCTGGGTCGTCGGAGAGAATGTATTGAAGAAGAGGATCGAGGCGATGAACATCAACCTCACCTGTCGGCACTACAAGAACGGAGCAACGCTCTAGTCCTTGATGAATCGGTCCCCGAAGCACGAAAACCGGTTCATCAAACATTTGAGGGTTGCTCCATCCCGACCCTAAGTATAAGTAGCTTCAACGTTGCATCCTTCCATCCATCACATCGCCATCGAAGCCCTACAACCTCCTACAAATATCCTCAATGATCTCGTCCGTTTTCGCCTTACCCCCCATGTCAGGGCTAAGTAGCTTAGCCTCCTCAAGATTCGCATCAACAGCCTTGTAGATCTTGGCCGCCGCCTCCTCTTCGCCAATGAATTCAAGCATCAAAGCTGTTGATCGAATGGTCGCGATGGGGTTCGCAATGCCCTGGCCCTCGATGTCGGGCGCAGACCCATGGCATGGCTCACCAATCACGAAGTCCTTGCCGACATTGGCAGAAGGAACCAGACCGAGGGAGCCGACGAGTGCTGCGGCGCCATCGGATAGGATGTCGCCGTAAAGGTTGGGCGCGACAATGACGTCGTAATCCTGTGGTTGGCGGAAGAGCTTGTACACCATGGAGTCTACGATCTGCTCCTCCACATTGACCATCTGGTACTTCCTGTTTTGGAGTGCTCGGCGGGCGGTTTCGCGGAAGAGGCCGTCAGTTTGGGATAGCACGTTGGATTTGTGTGTAATTGTGACCAAGGGGGAGGAGTGGATGGATGTGGCGCCGGCGTCGCGAACGCGTTGCCGGCGGAGGGCGATGTCACCCGCCATTTCGGAGATGTTGAACGATGCCGTTTCTGAGATACGCTTGATTGCTTCGGCAATTTTGCTTCCATCAGGCGCCGTATACGTCTTCTCCTCCTTGACATAAAGATCCTCGGTGTTCTCTCGTACAATCACCAAATCCACATCCCTCAAGCCTCCCTTGACGCTCTTAACCGGCCTTACGTTGGCGTAAAGCTTCATCTTCTTGCGGAGGGCGACAATGGGGCTGGAGTAGCCTTTTGTTTGCACGGTAGGCGAGCTGACGGCTCCGAAGAGAGCGCCATCGCAGTCAGACTTGAGGGCCTCGACGGTTGCGTCGGGGAGGGCGGCGCCGGTCTTTTGGAAGGTTTCCCAGCCGGCTTCGTGGTGCGAGAAGGAGAACTTGAGGCCGAAGGAGGAGGGCAGCGCTTCGAGGATGCGGCGACCCGCGGGGATTACTTCGCGGCCGATGCCGTCGCCGGGGATGAGGCCTGGGTCGTGTTAGTCGGGTGGGTTTATGGTGGTAGCGGATATCCAATGTGCAATATCCGTGCAATTGGGCGTCTTACCTATCCTCAAAGTGCGTGCGGCCATTTTGGAGATGTGATGCGGGAGTGACAGGTTCGCGATGGAATTTTTGGTGTTGCTGCAGCTCCCGCCGAAGTTCGGAGGTCCGAGCTTCATCTGCCGCGTCCCCGTTATGTCCCCGCGGGGGATAGCGGAGATGGCCATTCATGGAAATAATCATCCAAGTTACATTGACTGCTGTACTTGCAGCTCATATCGAGCGCACTCCCATACTATCACTAACGATAGTTCTATCCCATTCCATTCCATCCTACATTACTCATACCCTCCCAAACGCCATGCTGATGCCCCCAACCCAATCCCCCCATCATACTCCGAATACCAACCCTTTCCCCCCTAATCCAGATCCTCATTCTTTTCCTCTTTCTCCTTCCCATGAACCTCCTCAAACTTCTCCTTCGGGTCCTCAGCACCCTCTTTCTTCGCTTGCTCAGTAGGCAGCAGCTCAATCACCACAACAAAGAGCTCCTGGTTGGTTTCCCGGTTCTTAAGCACATATCTAAGTGTGTGCGGTCTGATTAGTGAATGCATCAAGTCAGCTCCATATCCCACGGTCCAATGAAATGCGTAAGTAGCGGTAGTAGTAATGGCGGTGATAACACCAGCGGGACAGGAGCAAAAGGAGAGACAAGTGACTTACCGTAATGGCTGTCCGTCCCAGTGTCCGATCATGCTTATCACGGGTAAACCATACCCGATCTTGAGCGCAAACTCATTGAAATCGAGATACGGGTTGAAGAAATCGCACTTGTATTCGCGACCAGCTTCGAAGACGAAGTCCTTCCGGTTCTGCTCTGTGAGGAAGAACTTTTGTCGCGCGCTGGCTTTATCGGGTACGTGTTTGCTCTTCCTGACATCCACGCCATCGCCATCGGCGCCCTCTTCGTAGACAACAGCTTCGCCGTCCGAGCCAGGCACTTCCACATCTCCTTCTGTTTGCGCCTCGCCTTCCAAGTCGCCTCTAGCCGGCTTGTCCGCGTCCTTCTTGCCACCAATACGCAGGACGTTTATGGAGGAGAGAAGCGCGCCGTAGAGGTATGGCTCGTCTGCGTATACATCGCCGTCTAGTCCCGGGTCGATCCACCACTTAACTATACCGAACGCCTTGTCGAAGAGAGGCGGTAATCGGTCGCGGATGGGGTGGTCGAAGTCGTTGCCGAAGACGAGCTTGTCGCCGGCTATGTCTTGTTTGGGTGTGAAGGAGAAGGATATCGAGTAGCGATCGTACGGGTGTTGTGGTGTTGAGAAGTAGGGTGATGTCTTTGGAGATCCTTCTGGTAGGCCTTGGCTTCGTTAGTGATGGTGAGCGTTGGAGGGGCAGCATGACGGAGGGGCCGGAGTGGGATGCGTACCGCGGTAGTCTTTGATGCGCATGTGCACTCTCGCGTCGATCAGGTCGGACGATATGTCGAGTGGCTTCTCGCTGTTGACCAGGACATCTTCGTGTTTTGACGTGTCGTAGGTTGCGCCCGCCGTTACGTGCAGTATGTATTGCTCGTGCGTCGCCATGTTCGCTTCGGAACGCTCTGAGAAGTGGGTGGACTTGGGTTGAAGAAACGATTCGAGGAAAGGGCGGGGTTCCTATGGAAGTGAGTAACAGCTCAAGTACTGCGCGGGGTCGTCGTAATGTTCATCAGTGTTGATCACACGCGCTGTTGGGCTGCCCCAAAATTTGGTGATGGGCGATGACGTTCCGAAGCAGGGATTGTGACGCTAGCCCTCAACTAGCAAAGCGCGATCTGCCATGCGTCGGCGGCTGTCACCCTGCGCGTGGCACAAGTGCCTTGTCAACGAAGCAGAGCCAGCGCCTATGGATGAATACCTAGTGACATTCAGATTCAGAATGAGCAGCGCCCTGTTCGAAGTGGAGAAGCGGAACCAGCTAATGTACTCCATTCTTGCTAACTCCATTACCCCTACCTATCAACTCCCATACTCCCGCCCCGACACCAAACACTCCCCCTCAAACCCTCGTAAATGCATCAACATCCACCCTCTGATAAAAGCTCACATGCCCAAACGTCTCCCAATACTGCGCCAGGCGATCATGACTGATCAGTATAAGCTGGCTTGTCATATAGTTATCTGTTTCTTTAGTTAGCCTCAGTCCTCTCTACATCGTCACTAGTAGTAGTGAACATACCATCTCTGAACCCCGTCGCAGCAATATGCCCCACACTCCTCACAATGCGCGCTCCCTTGAAAATCTCCTCCTTCGCAACGCGAATCAAGCCATTAGGTCCAATGTCCGGTGCAATAAACGTGTACTCCCCCCTGGGAATATTCGGGTCGCCGGTTAGTTTAACGGCTTCGATACGGCCGCGGTACACCGTCTCGTCTTCCTCCGCCTTACCCATGTTTGATGTCTCCACCGATCCGGAAATATACTTGTGATACGCTTCCTGCAGCGTAGCAACGCTATCTTCGAGATCGTCTGCTGTCTCCATCTCCGCCTCATCATCCTCATCCCCGTTCTCAGAAGAAGATGCAGCGTCGGTAGGCGCCGTAGTCCAACTCCCCTCACTACTTACACTTTCTTCCCTCTCTCTCGCCCTTATAGCCCATTGAGCACGCTCCGGCAGCGGCTTCGCATCATCCTCATCCGGCTGCATAATCGCCAAAAACTCACAGCCGTGGCCTGCGTAGTCACCGCACCAGATACCCTGCCATGGTTTCTGGGGCGTGGGCGTGTAACTTTCCTCGGGCAGGGTCGCCCAAGTCGTCACGTCCTCGCCGATGCGCATGCCCATGCCAAGGACGCGTGTTGAGAACTCCATCCACCGCCGGATCCGGAATGTGGATTCGGAGAGTTGGTCGAGGATTGCGGGTTTTTGGCCGGGCTGGCGGAAACCGGACGGGGAGTGGTCGTTTCGCGTGCGGTCTGCGCTGGGGAGGGTGAGGGGTGGCCAGACGGGTGTGGCATCTGTTGTTATGGCTTGGGGCCATGGGCGGGTCAGCATCAGTTGGGAGAAGAGGGAGGCGGCTTGTTGTTGGCGGTCGCGGTAGAGGCCCATGCGGACTTCCTTTTGGAGGCGATATCCTATGTTTCCGATGGCTTCTTCGTAGGCATCTCGGTTTAGACGGACGATGGGCGCATTGAGATCGAGGCGCACGTTGGGGCTGAAGGTGTGGATTATGGCTTCGGGATGTTGGTCCCATGATAGAGCTACTGGCGATCGTCGTTCGGCAACGAGGGCATAGGCTTCTATGGCATCGAGTCTGTGGTCGTAGCGCGCGATGAGGAGTTTGCCCGTGTGTGCTGTGTCGGCGAACCAGATCTTGCGGCGCGCGATGAACCAGTATGGGTGGTGTTCCTGGAATAGTTCCCGCCATGTGAGACGCGCTGGTTTCGTGACGTTGGGCACCTCTGCTTCTACAAAGGCCTGCCAGAGCGTGTCTTGGAATGTGTGGGTACGCAAGACTTTGCTAACCATGCCCACGGTGAGGAGGTCTGATAATGAGAGGTAGCTGAGTACATGATGGAGTAGTTCCGAAGGGAGGTTGAGCAGCGGCGGGATGGGTGTTTGTGGTGTAGGGCTTTCTGTTTCGCGAATTCGTAGCTCCATGATGTTGATTGATGGTGTTGAGCTCCTTGAAGTTGTATGCAGCCTCTGGTTTGGGAATCGATCGGCCGTTGAAGTACCTCAGCTGGGGTGGCGAAAAGCTTATGTAGCAAATGGTTCCGTCACGAGTACCTCTTGTATGCAACCCGCACCGAAAAGAGGAGTGATGCGAATCCACCAAGGCTTAATATGGCGCCTCAATCGTCGGTCCTGCAGGGAAAGGGCTGCTCCACTCTCCCACCCGATCCTACTGTCTCGGCAACGTTCCGTGGTGACACCTTCCCACCTTCGCCTAGTCGCAATAAGTCCGGGGTAGATTGGCGTGATTAAGCAGCGAATACGAGAAGCTATGTAAGATCAAAGTACTACTCGCGTATCTTGGATGCGCTTTGTACCTGCTCTTTTAGGTGCTTGATGTTGCTTCGAGATGATGACGATGTTGCGATATCGGATGATGTGTTGCAAGGGTGAGGCGGCTCGGGAATGTCTTCGGGTACGACGGCAAAAGGGTGAGGAGGTCGATGCAGAGGTTTGCTGCAGACTGGCAGATGTGAAAGAAGTGGTCGAATTGGAGTGGGTAGGTACATGTCGTCGCCACGGATGTGTGATAGGTGCGTATCGGTCACGATATCGCAGTACGTCACCGTCCGTCCGTGCGCTGCCGCGCAGTTGGCTTTTGTGGGGTACCTCGAACTTGACTTCTGCCACCACGTTCTGATGCATACCACGCATTATTAGAGCACGCACGTCGCGACATCATGTAGCCAGGAGGTATTCAGTGATAATGGGTTGAGTATCTGCGCTGACATAAAGTGACTTCACAACTACATATCATCGTGCGCCCAGTGGTGTGAGGCAGTAAATCACGACTAAGGCATACATTATCGTCAGCAAACATCATTCATTCAGGAAAATCTCAAGCCAGGCGACGACATCACCATCTACCTACTTCTCCAATCGGCCCCCAAAAAAACCCCGCTGCCTACAAGTCCTTGAACTTGCTCTTCCACGCCGCCTGCCCCTTCTGCGGCGCCTTTTTCACCACACCCACCGGCCTACCCCCCATCTCCTTCTCCAACCTCTTCTGCTCAAAAGCTGCCTTCCTCTTCCTCTCCCTCTCCTCCTTCTTCTCTGCCAAACCCGAGATATTCCTCTTCATGGCCGAAGCCCGATCAGCCTTGCGGAGTAAAGTCTCTTCGGCGGCCTTGTTCTTGCTCAATTCCTCAAGCAGGAATTGGCGGCGGCGGCGGACCTCGATAAGTCTCTCTTGGATGCCCTCGACGGACTCGTGGTGGGCGGTCTTGGCGGCGGCGGCGACAACGCTGGTGGTGGCTGCGTCGCTGGCCAGACGACGACTCCTGACCTCGTCGAGGAGACGTTCGTCGGCGGCCTCCTTGGCACCGGCACCGTACATACGAACGGGGGGCGATGCATACATTCTGGCGATTTGTCTTGGTCGCGAATGTGGTAAGGGTGTATGTGTGTGATGGTGAGGATGTTGCGGTATTGTATGACTTGTGTTGGATTCTAGTCTTGGATGGGTTTGGTAGTGTTGTAGTGGTATAGTAGACGTAAGAAGAGTCTTTGAATTTGTGTGTGTGAGATGGTTGGAGAAAGCTGGAGAAAAGTTGGAGACGAAAGGGCTGTCTTATATGTGGGACTGAGACGACGTCTATTCTGCAGCACTTACAATAGCATAGCTACCAAAAGTGAAGGTGAACTTACAAATTTTCGCCGACAGCTAGGTTCTATAGGGCACAATAGCAGGCAAGCCATGGGAAAAGATGACTCTGGGCGAGGTGAAATGGCGTGTAAGCCAATGACACTTCGTCGAAATCATTCGGAGTGAGCGCGACTTTGGTTGTCGACTTGCTACTAGCTGCGAATCCCAAATATCGACCGCCCTACCAAGATGTGCTACCGCAAGAGGCTTCGGGTACCTTGGTTGCTATTTTCTACCCAAAGTCGATCTAATCGCTCACACATGCGCGCTGCGAACCTTGGGAACGACCAGATCAAGCATCACGTGCTGAGGCAAGAACCCTGGTTGAAGCATTCGCGTAACTACTGCATTTGCGCAACCTCTCGTTCTATGCTAGTAATATGCGCCCGCAACAACCAAGCGAAAGGCTTGCGACGATTCGGGCGTGATAGCAACGTCATGATCCGAACATGGCCGCACTCACGGCACACCTCCATGCGCTCGCCTCTGATTCGCCTCCGTTTCCTCCTGCTGGACCCTGAGGTTTCTCAGCCAGTCCTGCGGATCCGACGGAGTCATTATATCCAACCCAGAATTCGATTTTTGCTCTAAAGTGAAATTCGTCGTAGGCCGTTGCATCCACTCAGGTATCGGACCACTAGTCACAAACTGTCCAACATCTTCTATAAACCAAGCTTCCGGGTAACTTAAGTCTTCTAATGAATCTTCTTCCTCTGTCTCGGCTTGCGGCGCTGTGTCTTCTCTCGGTTGTGTTGGTGAGGGATTTTCAGCAAAAGCCCATTGCGTCATGCCGATGAGATCCATCCTACCGAAGTCAGGTGGTAATTCAAGCATGATCTCCGGGCGCCATTCGTTGCTATTCAGGTTGGTGTCGAAGAGATATTTGTCGACGTTGCCGAAATCGATGGGGAAGCTGTGAGTGGGAAGGATGGGGGTGGAGGAGAAGAGGAAGTCTAGTTCATGGCCTTCGATGGCATTCATCTCAGCGTTAGTCGTATCTCCATCAGCGTTTCCAAAATCAGCATGGAGAGCAACCTTTGAAGCGATCCGCGCAGCTTCCTCAGCCTCCTTCCGCAAGGTTTCTTCAGCTTCAGCTTCCAACTGCAGCGCCGTCGTCAGCCTGCGCAAACATCCACTCATATCCCTATTCACATCAACCCTAGTGATCTTCAGTCCGCCAAGCGCGATAGGCTCAAAGTCTTTGATAAGCTTTTGGAGCATGCGTGCTGCTGCTGTTCGGTAGTCTACGGCAGACCTTTGTGAGACAGGCGATGCAGCTACAAGCGTGACTGAAGACCTATCTGGTGAGAGGGTCTGCGCAGGGGAAGACATGTGTGATGTGAGAGTGGATGCCGAAGTGTGATGTGGCTTTGCACTAGGGCTTGTAGTCACCCGGGTTGGTGCTGGACGTGTTTTGATCACATAATTTGTCACTGCGCCTGATGGTGGCAGCTGGATGGCGGCTTGCTGCTTTTTCAGGTTTCTAGGCTGCGGCGGAGCTTGCTGTTGCTGTTGGCGCTCCTGTCGCTGTCGATCCATGGAGTGAAGCGTGGTCTGGCTGTAAATAGGATAGTGCGATCGTCCAGAAGTGACTGGTGACAGTGTCTGGCCCGGTAGTGGCGTAACTTGCGGCACGTGACGAGCGACTACAGGCGCTGTTGCAGATGCAATCACTGCATCTTCCTGCGACCTGTATTGAGAATAGGCGCAGGCTGGAGCCCGCTGTCGAGGCGACATGCCCAGTTGCGGTCCAGCATAACCAACCGTGGGGCCGCCAAATCCATGCTTTGTTACTGAAGCTGGACTTGTGGATACGGCCGAGGGAGTGAAACTTTGAGTTCGGGTTTTGGTGAAGACATGTTGCGGTTGAGGTTGCACCGGAGATACTGACTGGACTCGCGATGTAGCTATACTACTGGGGTTGACTGACTGATGGAGTGGCTGCTGCTTCGGGAACTGATGCTGGAACTGCCGCGACGCTGGGTGTGCGTGGGTAGCCTGTTGCAATGGGAACATCTGCTGAGCCGGTAATACTGCTGCAACGAATGGCTGTGATCTATGTTGCTGTGGAACACCATGACGAGAAGCCTTAACACTCGTCCTCCTCGTAAGCGTCCTTGCAACTCCTTGCCCTGCTTTCGTTCCCCATTGCACAGCAGCCAACACCTTATCCCACCTCGCCGCCTCTGTCGAATACTCCGCTTTATTCTTCTTATTCCAATCCCGCCAAGTCTTATGCGCAACATAAAGATTCCCCTTTAACACCATATCCTCTACCTTGCTCTTGAATACTCGAACCTGCTTAGCGATAGCATGTTTCTTATTAACCGCAGTAACACCTTCCCGGCAACACTTATGGTGGCTTCCCTCGGAGTGCATGCACTTGTACATTCCATTCGGCCTCTTCACACTATTCTCGAGAGAGTCCTCAGTCGGCCACTCCGGTACTTCCAATTTGTCCAGTGCATGCGTACGTTGATCAGGTTTTAGGTCGCCCCATTGCTGGCGGATGTGGATGATCTCGGCTGCAGAATCCATTGCCGTCGTTTGCGTAATGGTTATGGGAGCAGGCGGCGATGCTGTTGCCTGTGACTTGCGTCTCACATCGCGACGTCCGTTCGTTTCCCAAGCGTGAAGCTTCTCGTACCAGCGAGCGCTGGATTGCATTTGCTGCATTTTACACCAAGCTTCGATCGCCTGCTTGTTGTGGTTGTAACACTGCTCTTGCTCCGTCGTTATAGAGTCGTTACGCGCTCGCTTTGCTTGCGCTTCCTGCTCTTCATCTTCTGATCTTAGACGCTTCTGCGCTGTATGCATAGGCTGTTGGGCAGGGTCTGCGACGGCTATGCTAGGCGTATACGGGCTCGATCTGGCTGGTGTGCTTGACAAGGACATCGTATCAAGCGGCGACGTTGCGCTACCCGCCGGCGTTCTTGCGATCGGTGAAGGCGTCGTATACCCCTGGATTGCCTGTGAGTGCATCATCTCAGCGCGTTGCTGCAAATTTAGGAGTTGGGCCTATACATGTTAGTCCCCCGGCCAGTAAAGTATTCAATGTGGGCAAACTATTGCGTCCATTGTGAGTTGCGAATAGTCTTTGGTAGAAGTCGCGCAGAGGTTGAGAGAGCGGTGCGTTTCTCAACGCTTGTCGTATTGCTTATGATTGAGGCTGGCCCGTAGCGAAGAGTAGTGGGCCTTTTGGAGAAGCATTGTTCCTGCTCAATAGGGATTAATTGAAGAGTGAATGGTTATATGCATTCACTAATGACGTAGTGCTTCGTGAAAGTCAGACCTGTGGTTGAGGATGCGAGGAACCCTTGGTTGACGACCTTTAACATTTGAAGATGCATGGTACGCGATCAGGCTATGACCGCGTCAAAGTGTGTTGTTTCGTTATCTATATGAGATCTTGCAGTATACATGGACATAGTGGAAGCGTCTGGTACCCGTCGCTCCTATTAGCAAGATGTCCGTCAACATTCTTATGTCAAAGCATAAATAGACTTGAGAAAACAAGACCATTTACAAAGCATCGAATTCAGCTTAGCGAGGATTATCCGATCGATTTCGGGAAGAATAATAACCCACTCCCACGATAGCTCAAGCCAACGTTAACCCACATCCCCACCAGCATCCCTCTAAGCCAGCCCAGTACCAACACTCCAGGTCGCATCAGCATTGAAGCTCGCCGCAGCATCGAAATCATGAACACCACCGTTACTAGCAATGTTTCCGATGTTGTTGTAATGACGAATATACCTCGTCGGAAAACCCCACGCACGAATCGAGCTGCCAGACCCACCAAGTCCCGTCTGAGGACAGAACGTCGCATCCTCCTTGAACGCCTTCGACCCGTCATTCGCCTGTAGCTGCAAGACGAAATTGTAATGGCGAATGTAACTACCAGCCGTATCTTTGGATTCAAATGAGAAACAAGCGCTGTTTGCGAGTCCGGCGCGCACGGTCCAGGAAGCCTGTCGCTTGAGCAGCGCGGTACTGGAGGAAGAAACGACTTGTGTGTTAACGGTAGAGCCAGTATGTGCGAGGTAGCGGTCTGTGTAGCCTGCGGTTGTGGCGCGGAGAGAGATTGACGAACCGACTGTGTAGGCGGGTCCGCTGGTCAAGCTTGTAGTCGCGTATTTCGCCGCAACGATGTTGGCTTGCACTGCGTTCTCAGTCGCATCGGTGGGGTACCCGGATGTCATGACTCCCTCGTAAAACGTTCCTTGCGCTCCATTGCTGTTGTCGCCACCGATGCCTAGGATGATCGCGCCTTCTTTGCTCATGGGGTTGTAGCCCGAGACACTGGGTCGCGCGCCGTTGTAGTACGTCGACAAGGAGCCGGAAACGGCGTTGCCGCCCCGGAGAGCCCACTTGTTTGGTCCGCCCTTCAGAACGGTGGTGAGAAAGCGGTCTGTGAGGGTAGGGTCCGCTGGGTTGTTTTTGGGCGACATGCCGGAGAAGAGGCCGTTTTCCAGATCCGCCATTAGCCAGGGGCCGGAGCCGGAGCCGGTGCCCCAGATGGTGTTTGTGCCGAAGTAGATGGCTTCCATGTGGCCATTTCCTGTGGGGTTTGTTAGTGAAATGCGATTGATAATGGTGGATGAGAAGGTGCCTACCAGTGTCAAGATTGTTGGTCTCGGCGTTGCCGTAGTCGAAACAGCACGCATCGTTGAAATGTGTTCCGTCGAGCACAGCGTACATGCCCTCTGCGGCGTCGCCAGTCGCTGAACCGCTGACCTTGTTATTGCGGTATCCGGTACCGGGTGAGACAAAGACACCATATGCTTTCTTCCCATTTAGTGTAACAGGTGCGCCGATGGCTCCAGCCAGGTTGTCATAGCCATTAGCTTCCGGTCCGTTGAAGCCTCCAGGTGGGGCTTGTGTAAGGTGGTTACCACGGCCAGATTGATCGTAAATGATGGTAATAAGACATGTGGTGTTGGCGCAGAACTTGTCTTGTGTTGCGGCATTGGCTACACCACCAGCGGAGAGAGGTGCGACATTGGTGGTAGCGCCATCGGAGCCGCGCTTGACCTGGTACAAAGAACCGCTGAAGGCATTGTAGAGCGCGCGAGTGGTGCTGTGCGCAGCGATGCAAGGCGTGTTGCCTGAGGCGTAGATGTCGCAAGGTCCAGCAGCGACGAAAGAACCCGTAGCCGCAAGGCCAAGCGCGGCGATCTTGGATGGTGAAGGCATGACTGGCTGTTACTACTATTACCACGAGAGAAGAACCGGGCGATCGACTGGATCAACCAGATATTTGCTACATCGCCTGCATTTAAACAAATATCTCTGCAGCCTTGTTGTCGCTGTATCAATATACATAGTTCATCTCTCCGTCCGTGGACTAGATGAGAAAGGCAGTTGGGTATGCACGGTGGGCAATTTCTCCTCCAACAGCGACGAGGCCTGTACATTTACGAGCCTTAGCATGTCACGAGGTTGCAACTCCAGGTTCTCCGGCGCCTGCGCTCCCCGTATTCTGGCTGTTTGGATTGCGGGGGAGGACAGGGTATGAGGCTGTAGCTCCGGAAGATATAAGCTTTGCCGAGGAACACGAGGCGCTTACCGCACACACACCATCAACCCCCTCTGACATCATTATCCACCTTCTCTGCTCTTTCTTATCTACACATCGCCATCCACCTTCCGCCCCGCCACCTCCCCCACCCACCCAGTGTTAAGATCTAAGGTTGTAGTGCCGGAACAAATAAGCTTTGCCGAGGAACATCTGTCGGATAACAAGACCTGGACTAGCGTTTCCAAGTGCCGTCGGAGTGCACGCCGTCACGCCGCATACACGTGAGAACACGTCTGTAACTTTCCGCGATACGGCAGAGTGAACTTTTTACAGTTCTCAACGCTCCACAAACTCACTGCGGGCTAAACCTCGGCACTCGCATCCGGCGGCGTTCTAGATTTGATCGTCCGCTTTGTGACGGTGCCGGCATGTATGCGTGTGACGTATAAACCTTGAATGGCTGTCTTGAAACGCATAGAGAGTTAAGTCATGCAGTTTGGTGCGAGTGATACCAATGAGTACCACAGCGAAGGTTTGCAAGTTTGCAAGGCCTGGTTCACCGCTTACGGCATGCTTATGGTCGGCGCCTTTGCAGTCGTGGTCGGATGGTTGGTGTTCGTTCAATAGTCTAGCCGATGTTCGCCGGGTGAGCCCAAGGGCCGTAATCCAAGGGTACCGTGGGCAGGACGAAGATGGCGCAGAATGATGTCTCTCCCAAAGAGGGTTGCGAAGTTGTTGAGCTGGGTGACTATCAGTCCTGTGCGCAAAGCTAGAGCTGTCATCCTACTGACATATTGGCATTCCGTCAATGATGTTCAGCGCAGGCCGCTCACTACACGAATGCGCGAGAAGCCCGTGTGGACGAAGTGTGGCGTCGCACTGAGACTAATGGATGAATTTGGCGTCCAGGCCGTCTGTATTCTGAAACGTCTAGTTTTGTACCCTTAATAGAGCAGTCGAACATGGTATCATATGCTAAAGCGTTGCAAAAAAAACCACCAAGATGTAAGCGCCCCCAATATGCCAGTCATAACTTTATATTCCCCGCTTGCGCGTACATGATGCGCGACGTGAGATCTTTAGTTTCGAATCGAAGACGTCGCTGTCGATTTTGATCGCGCAAGCCGGGACGTGGCGTTACCGATCTTGTCCGCTGGATCGCGGTGCTAACGGTGGTAATGGCATGTGGTTCTCGTGCAGGTCACCGTGTGTTTCGTACCGCGCCGGACGTCGCTTCATTGGTTCGACTTGTAGTTCCACTTCGCTGGTCAAGGTGATCGTCATGTCGGTATCCGTATTCATGTTTCCATTTTCGCTCTTCGGCCGGATCTTACCCCACAGGCGAGACATCCCCGTCTTGGGAGCTTCCTCCTCTTCCAAGATGGCTTCCTGGCTTCCTCGCTCCAGGTCCTGTTCTGTATCCGCCCAATGCTTCATCTCATAGCTGTTGCCCTTGTCATTTGCGAGCTCTGGCACGTTGCGGGGTGCTTCGGATTTCCGGTTCGTGGAATGCGACGCTGATGCATTGGCGGTTAGCGTCTTCGATGAATGCGCGCTCGATTTCTTGAAGGATATGCCACCTGAGAGGGATTGTGATAGACTGAAGGGGATCTTCGCAAGGAGAGGTTTCAGTACTGGAGCTGAGGCACATATCTGCTATCAGTAAGCATTGTACCTCTGATTAGCACTCGTATATGGCAACTTACTACACCCAAGTCGATCTCTACAGCGGCCGCGATCCAAAGTGGATATGCGTACCAGGTTTGATCGTACTCATCGAAGAGACTCCGATAGATGAACCAGGTACGCACGATACCAGCAGCGGTGACAATCAGTCCCATTGCAAAGAGCGCGGCGACGGCCATGCGCTCACGCAGACGCATGTGAAGCTAAATCAGTCAGTACCTATTTTGCGTTGCGTGAGGAATCGAGCCAACTTACGCCCATGACCAAGGGGATCGGTGTTACCGTAGTGAGAAAGTCCGCGACGCAGTTGATAATCCCGCAAATGAGAGTCGCAACTCCCTCGTCCATACAAGTGTCTGCCGGTGCACCGACAGTCCAATAGTTCTTGATGGGTGTGCAGAAGAAGATGGCGATGAAGGGGAATGATATCAAGATGCCGAGTGTGTAGACAACATTGACATGAACCGCCCACTTGAACCATCTAAGCAAATTAGCAAGACTGTTGAAATGCAGTAGCCACGCCGAAGCTACTCACGTCTTCCCCGAGTCCGAGATCAATCGGTAATAGAAGCAATGCAGAGAGAGCCTCGTGAAGCTCGCGGCCGCTGTGAAGACCACCTTGGCTGTCATGGCGATTTTAAAGGCGGGAACGAACATGGAAAAGGGGATATCCCAAACATGTCTATCGTGGTACCATGGTTAGCGGTATGCTATGCAACTGTGAATTGCTTTGCTCACCTATTCCATCCAAATCGTAGGTTTGCCAGGAGAACGACGGCAGTGAGACCGCATGTGAAGAGCAGCGCGATAAGGATGAAGACATCGTCGATACCAAACCACCTCTTGATTACTAGACGCGTGTATAAACGGGCAGCCACAGTGAGGACGGTCAGTGCTATGAGGATGCTGTTGACAATGAGGAGGGCAGGGCCGCGCGTTTCCGGGTCAATATAATTCGGGGTCGGCCAGGACAGGAGGACATCCACCGGAGGCAACTGCATACTGGATTATCGTGGGCCTGCCCGGGGAAGTATGCGACACATGTGGGCGTGGAGGGTCGACGAGCTGCGGATAGACGGGCAAGGTCAAAGAAACGAAATCGAGGTTGCCACTAGGATAGGGTCTCGAGGGTTATGTTCAGTGAAGAGTGGGGCTGCGCACATGGCCGTTAGCTCCATCCATGTCATGAAGCGCGCAATGGGGCGCTGGCTACCGTCACGACGCTGGTGTCGCATTGGCTTCGAAGCTCGGCTTTTACACGGACCGTACGCAAGGCACGATAATCGTGGCACATCAGCGGGGTCTTGCATGCGGCGCACGAACTCTCCGTGAAGGGTAGAACCGAAAATCACAACCAAAGGTTCTGCGTAGCCGCATCATCCGGGCATCATGACGAGCACTTGGAAACGTTCGCTCTTTCATGATCTGCCTAGGCATTTGGAGCTCATCTCCAAACTTTGTGGACATATGCGTACTGGTTGGCAGCAAAAGCTCTCTTGGTTGGTCACCGGCTCGCTGGACACCAATTTCCGCGTTGCCGGAGTACGAGACATGCGGCCACAACAGCGAGTATGGCAATCCCTCGCACAAAGACCCGGGCATGTCTCAGGTCACAGGGACCTCCAATGGACGAGTCGTGCCACCTGTAGCTACGGGAACTAGGTCTTGGCCGAGCTGGAGACTTTCGGGAGGCACCAACCAGTAAAGTCCGGCAATAACGGGGGGCTTGTTAAATCGTCGAGAGTTTCTGGACCCTGAAACCATGTGTTGAATGTAGCAATCGACGCGAAACGTGATGGTGATCCTTGGGTTCGTGGTTGTGTAGGGAAGGTCTGCCTGTGCGTGCGGCCAGGTCTGATCAGGCAACCCACGCTAGCGCCGACTGCACGGGGCCTAGCGTCGGATCTTTGTCACCCTGCAGCGATCCATTGCTGTTTGCCCCACTTGAATCCTCCCTTCGTCGAACCCAAATCTACGGGGGCATTTCGATCTAATTATGATCCTCAGGAATCACAACGACGGTGCCGCCTGCCCATCGGCGCCCCGACAGCTGCGACGATTATCTCCGACGACGCCGACATCACGGGTATCAAGGACCCGTTGACAGCGGTGTGGCTGTTGCGCGCTGACGTGCAGTGTTCACAGTTCAACAAACTTTTGTAGGACGTGCAGTTCTCGCGGCATTGGGTACGGTCATATAGCGCCGACACCAAGGTACTGGAGCTTACGCGTGCCGATGTATATTGCAGAACCCATTTGCAACCCACTCTTTGATCAATGGCTACGGCGTGGGTATCACTAGGGTATATACCGACTCGTTCACGTATGACGCCCACATGCTCGAACGGCGAATCCTTCGCTCCATATCGGTTCCAAAAGCCACACCGCTGGATCCATGTGCGATATCCTCCGCATGGGACAATGTTCGCGCCCAGGCCTCTGACTCGATATGAGGCTGATACGCTCTCCTTTGCACTTCCGGGACAAGGCTGCCACGAGGCTGGCAATGGCTTGCACCTAATCCTATAGCGCGCGCAATGCACGAGCATATCGGCATGCTCTCGAGACGAGGTTTGGCGTTGCTTGTACTTCGATGCCCGGGCATATATATCTTTTTATGTCGCTTCTAGCGTCGAAACATCCTCTTTCGGCTTCAGATATTGATGTCGTAGTGAATACCCACAGTATATTTGTGGTAACGGGACGTATCTTGACAATTTCATCTGCAGGATCGATCCGCCCGAGGAACATGATTCGGGCGCGGCTCCGTGCGACCGTCATTGGCCGAGCCCGCCCCCAGAAAGGCGCACTGCCCCAAGAAAACAGGGCGTGCAGCATCGTGCGCAGTCAGCATTCGCGCCTCCGAACCATTGCCCAACTACCAGCCTTCTACGCTCAGCGCCAGAATCATGACATTTCCTCATGTGGCGCAACGCTGCTGAGCCCGCGTCTCCCGCCACGTGTGTAGCTGTCGCCATATCTACCTGACGCCGTATCGGGCCTTCTGCTGCACAGTTTTTGCTGGGTTGTTCCTAGTCATACAATATAGACTAGGACTCAGGCACACGCTCGCCCACGATCCTCTGCCGTCCCAATACCGGGCGAAGTCTACGGTTACTTGCAGGCGACCCGCCGTTGTGGATACTGAATGCAACCAAGGGGTGTTCATTCATATTTCATGTGGACTCGTGAATGCTTGACGAAACTGTCTCAGGGACTCATACATGTATCGCGGTCATTGCGATGGGGACGAAGGTACATGGAGTGGGCAAAGCTAGTTACATGTTGTTGCACACAGAAGAACAGTGTCATCGCAGGTCAATGTGGGCATGCAGGTAAGTGCGGCGAGTCACTATTGAGTTGCTCTACATCTACATTTTGAATGCCGGCCCAATAGGCAGACAGGACGCAAGCCACAAGTCGGCTTGTAGTCATGGTAGTGTATCCATGACAGGATAGCAACCCTCATTCATACTCCACGGAACACGTCCATCAAACCACTCCAATCGCTGACCAATGCTTACAAGTCTCATGACTTTGCCAGGTACCCGCGCTGATCTCCCGACGAATCCACCCCGTCTCCACGCCAGCACCTCACGCAAAGAGGAAATTGAATAGGTCTGCAGCCTACATCAAGATGGAAGCCTGCAAAGTAGGCGATCTAACGTCAACGTAGGCTCCAGGGTGTTCCCCTTTTTCATTGAATGAGATGTCGGTTACACGACAGATTGCGCGACAGACTAGGCTTATGAAATTGTCGCATTCGTGAATTCAGCACTCAGACCCCTCTCACGAGGAGGATTGGAGTCTCGAGAAGGGTAACCTATCTCGTGCTTGGTCTTCTGCTTGCACTGTTTGAAAGGGTGCTTCAGGCGGGGGGGAATTTCCGGATCACCTGGTTTACGAAGAGCGTCAAGTTGGGAATGCCAATCCACATCATTGTCGCCTTTGCAATGGCCTTCATTGTGGCAAAAGTTCTCCCAATCCTCCGAGAACATAAGACCAGTTCGATGGAGGAAGTTGAAGGTCTGATCCAGGGAGGGATTGTATGTGTTGTCGTTCCAGCCGAACTCGCCAACGATGCAAGGGTAGTTCCGACCATGCTTGGACCAGACACTGGAAATGGCTTCACCACGTGGATTGCGTGCGATCGGTAACGTGTAGGCTCCCATGAGGTTATATTGGCCGTTGCCCGCATTCATCGCTTGTCCTAGAGCCGACTGGACCGTCTGGAAGTCAGCAGTTTGTAGAGCGTCATACAGATTGTGCTCGTGGACAAAAAGGGACGAGCGGACGACATCTTCCTTGGTAGCTCCGTAAACGTCGCCGTTCTGCTGTTCAAAGAAGTTACGGTAACCAGTCGGGCCATGGATCAACGCTTTGTGGTTTTTGCCAGGGTCGTTCTCCTGCGAAATATCCAAGGCGTACATGTAGTATGCGTGATCCGGGCGTTCCGGCAGGCAAACTCGGTTCTCGGTCGGCCCACGAAAATCCCACTCACAGCCACCTGTTGGCACGTCAGCGTCAACGATGTAGGGCCTTTCCCATTGCCACAGTGCGTTGATGACGCTATGTTTGAAGATCCTTTCGGTCATCTTCATGATATCCTCTTGGATATTTCCATCTCTTCTGAAGAAGTCCTGGCCCTGCATGATAGTGAGCAGGTCTTGTCCATGGTTATTCTTGTCTCCTTCCATGAGCGTCTTCATCTCATGTGCAATGCTGATCATACTGTGATGGCGAAACTCGTTTAGGGATGAGCGTATAATCGCCTCGACATTGGAAGGAAGCTTCACAGGATCGGCTCGAGCGTTGTTGATTGTGCCGATGATGGAGATGTAGGTAGACGCGGCCATGTTGACCATCGGAGGCGCGGCAGTCTTGTCGAGACCAATGAAACCTGGGATGGCTAGTGCCCCACCAACCATCATCAGTAGACCGGAGACGACAGCCATACCCAGCTTCTCATTCCTCTTGTGGTCGTTCTTTTCCTGTTGGATTTGCGTCGAGATGCGTGATGCAGCGCTGTATGTCTGCACAAGTGAAGGCACTTGTCCATCCGCATACATTGCACCTTCCTGTAGACCAAGATGAAGGCTCTTGAACAGGTGGTCCACACCGGCGATCTGTTCGAAGAGGAAGTATGCCATCTGCCTATCGTGTTGCGGTAGCGAGGGATTGAGAGCTTGACAGGAGAAGCTGCACCCTCCAACAGTGTCGCAATAGGAGGCACTTGGCGCTACATTGGGCGCAAGCTTGTCGCGAAGATAGTGCGGAAATGAGTTGTAGCTTGGGTCGTTCAGATAGCCGGTCCAGTACGCAGCTGCAAATACCTTGATGTTCGGTAGGTGTTGCCTCCAGGTCTCAGCGGTGGGTGTGATAAGGTCACAGCCGTTCGACGCATATGTAGGCACTGAGACATATCCGCCGGGGCCCTGCATTGGTGGTGGTTTCCGAGGATCGACGTTGATGGGAGCGCCGGTGGCGAAGTTTACAAGGCAGAACAAGATTCTGGTGATGAGAATCTTGACCAACATCTTGATAGCTAGTGTCTCTACGAAAAGGGTTTGTAGTAGTAGTAGTAGTAGTAGTAGTAGTAGTAGTAGTAGTAGTAGTAGTAGTAGTAGTAGTAGTAGTAGTAGTAGTAGTAGTAGTAGTAGTAGTAGTAGTAGTCGTTGTAGTAGTTGCAGTTGTATTCGTAGTAGCAGTAGTTGTAATTGTAATTGTAGCGGTAGTGGTGATACTATATTCTCAGAAGTGTTAAAGTGTGCATGGTACCCAGCATGTTATATACAAAATCCCATTGCAGTGCGATGATGAGATTTTCGCCTCGAAAAGCGACGAATTTCCTCAACCCTGGTTGACACATATTCCAGTTTTACCAGCTGAGTTGTATCAGCCTCTGCATTGGTTACTTGCTCCGCGAAGTAGGTCTCAAGATCCAGCGATGTTCCGTAGTTAGCATGGAGAAAGTGGGACACGCAGGAAAAAAGAGAGTGAACCACAGTTCAGATGTCCGCGCACCGGCCACATACATCTAGAAAGACCAACAGTAGCTTCCCTTTTGGTCTATATCGACTCGTACTACGGTAATCAGCAATAGTATTAGAGACGCGGTAGCCTTTCAGCGTATTGCATGCACTAGATATTCTATTATGAACTCTGGGTCTCTAAGTACCCGGAGAGAACGCTTTTCTTGGGATTGCTTGGAGCAGCACTGTGAGAGGAGCTATTGGTGTCGCAGAAGTAAGGTATCCCGGGTTGCGACTAGCTAGCATCTGGCTCGCCATCCAGAGTGATATCGTAGTGGGAGTTGCGCTGGGCGGTGAGCAGTCGCGAAGTTCCGTGTTGCGTCATCTCCGTGCTGGGCTTAGCGCGTCTTCGTCATCTTCAATCCACCCGAGCTCCCCGGGGCCAAATGTCGCATGCGGCACCCTTCAATGCGACACATTCATCACCATTTCGCACGGCAATTTCAACAATGCTAGCCATCAGCTACGATATCTAGTAGTTGTATACGCGAAGTTGGATTCTACTCCCCTCCTCCGCTGCGAACGCCCGAACATGAACGTGTCAAGTGTCTTGATACGCATGCGAACAGCGCCCATTATTGACAACGATGCTCCACCACGATACTACTGCCGAAATTGACTGGCTTGATACGATAGTTTTCCCCATCTATTTCGAATGTGGTAGTCTGTGCCCCAATGATTGTCAGGAGCGTATCGCCTATTCCCTCTCCTACGATGTCCACATTGTCCGCACGATATGAGCGCCCTGGAGGAATGGATATCGTACCAATGAAGCCATCCCTGGAACCCTCCCATTTTGTGATGCGCATCCCATCACAGACTCCAGTAATTGAAGAGATCGAACAGTCTTCCTCGAGCTCCATACTCAGACCCTCGAACGTGTGTATTATCGCGCGATCCCCACGGAAGCCGATGCAGGTTACGAAGTAGAGTGGCAAAGAACAACCTCGTTCTAGAAAGACCTTGACCTGCACATCAGGAGCGGTCTCGGCAGCATAGCGCACTGATGCGAATGTCCCAGCTTCTTGGAAGAACGTAGTGGCTGCCTCTTCGCTCCACCTAGAGATGCGTGACTCTGGCTTCAGCACATCACGTATGCACACTCTTCGCCGAATATGACTGGCAATATCGCTCGTTCGCAGGCCAGAGAACATACTTGCATTCCACGCTGTGGTGCACATGGGAATATCAGGTAGCAGCATCTGCATATCCCGGATTGCTTTCGTTACTTTGATTTCGGCGTTCATTCGGGCTAGCCGCATCTGCTCGGCGTCGAGTAAGAGTCCAACTATACGGCAGACTTCTGGCTCCACGAAGCACTCGTCGAACACTTGCTCAAGAAAAGCATGCGTCTTCCTTGCCTTGCTCTGCTCTGCCTTGCTCTGCTCTACCAAGAGCAAGAGCTCGAACGCTAAAGAGAGCACAGTAACCAGCAGGAACATATACTCTGCATCCCCTCGGCACACTCCGAGGTCCTCCTTGATATCGAACGTGGCGATTGTTGGTCCAAGAACGCGCCGATCCCAGTCTGTTCTGGGATCGAAACCATTTGGCGATAAGACTGTGGTTATCTCGTCTCGGACACGTTCGACTATCCTTTGACCGAAATCCTCGAGGATTGAGGAAGGGACATCTGGTTGTTGCAGATGAGACTTCTCGATCAAGGTGCTGTGTATACCGCGAAGGATGGCCAAATGGCTGAAGGGTGTGTTCTCGCGAGGAACCGCGGCGATGGACGTGGTTGAGGTTGAGGTGGACGCTGATTGTGTCGGCAGGCTCGACAAGCTCGATACGCTCGATAAGCTTGGTACTCTTAACCAGCTTGCTACTCTCGACCGAAGGTCATCCATAATATTGAAGAAGAGGCAAAGATGGCCATCCGCGCTGCTTCAAATGCTGTCTTGTAGATCGCGGCTGGCTTGGCCATGTCTCTACGACGAAAGTCACGTTCCGTTCGTGAGACATATGTCTCGAGTTCTGCTCAGACAATGTTCACACGGGTTCCACGACAAAATCGCTCTCCATATGACAACGCGAAGTCAGCATGTCGATCCGAACAAATATAGGTATGGTGGGGACTGATTTGCTAATTTGGGAGCTGAAGGTCAACCGTCAACAAACCAACAACCCCACACAAATCGCGAAGATCTGCAACCTTTCCTGGAGATTATCTGAATGTCCGCAACGAGCCGAGCATATCATCACCAAAAGCTTCCCCACTTCTTCTTTCTGCCTCCTCTTCCGCGCCGTCCGCCAACGCGACAAATCCGACCCGTCGATAAGCCGACACAATATTCATCGACTCATCCCCTTCCCATTCCCGAAACAGATCAAGGACAATCAAGACAGCAGGATCGTACCATCCCCTCTCCCTGATGGATTTCGTGATGGCCCTCAAGATCGTACGTACTGCAACGTATTGTCCAGGTCCGCCAGGATACACCATTGTTGACACCTCACGCACCCTTGCCTCCTCACTCATAACGAAGGAACGCTGCAAACACACGCCACGTAACGTGTCTTTGTACTGAGTAAACGCTCGCTCGAAAACATCATACAATGCAAGACCTGTTGGTAACCTTCCAGCCGCGTCTTCTTCTCGGTCGCAAAAGTGTACGAACAACTGGTCGACGAACCCGTGAAGCATTTCCGTTACCTCAGGGCTCATCAGCCGTTCCATGACCCATATTCCCTCCCATTTCTCTTCCGCCCAGTTGTCCGAGAGAGCAGGATCAAGACATCGTATAGCGATCCCTCTATCCGGTAAAGGTCGTTTGCAAAGATATCTGCGACAGCAGGGGCATGTAGCTACAACACCGGGACCGTCCTTCAGCCATGGGTCGAGACAGCCACGGTGAAAAGTGTGGCGACAAGGGGTCGTGACGACGACGTCTTGCGGAACGTCACTCAAAGCCTCGCGATATGAGACGGCGCAGATGGGACTCTCATCTTCCATGTTGTAGGCTGTGAAGGCAATGAGACTTGTGGTGTAAAATTTGAAGAGAGTTGGAGCGTCCATGGTGGACACCGGTAGAGTTGTGTGAGAGACCGAGATGGCTGCTTCAGCGAGGGGATGTGTTCCTTTCGAGGGCAGTGCATGTTGAAGGCTCAATTCATACAAAAGTCCGATGGACTTTCGGTGGGTCTCGGTGATGAGAGAATTCTGTCACTATGCGCTTCCATGGTTCGCGATGGCACACTAAGCCAACCCATGGCGTGATGAACGAAATGCTTACTCCACAATACCCTGAATACTGGCAGCAAAAACGCTAAGTACGTATACAATCATTCTGTTAGGCTGAAGCTTTGCTACACCTGCACAATAGGACTGCGTGGTGCGGTGAAGGCGGGTGTTACCGAATCGGACTACCCTGGTTTCTCCGCAAGCGGACCCTGAGCCCATCCACCAACTTCCTCTCTCTTCACTACCTACACCCATACTCAACACCAAACCACTCAGACCCACAAAGCCGCAACATGCCACTACCCACCCGCACCGAGTTCTATCGCGACCATTTGGCGCCGTGTCGCATTCTGCCAGGCGCCCCCAAGTTCATCGACATCGGCATCTGCGTCGTTTGCCAAGAGGATTTTAACGATGCGTCATATGATATGATCTCCGTCAAAAGCTGTTCGCACGTCTTCCACCGAAAGTGCATCATCCAATGGACTGAGAGCTGGGGCTCGCCGCGCGACAAATGCCCTTCATGTCGGGAGGCGATGTACCAGTACATACCGACGACGTATCCTGAGATCGCGGCCATGCAGGAAGCGCAGACAATTCAAGACGCAGAGACTCGGCTTCCCGGATTGGGTCCGTATGCTGTAGCAAGAGAAGCTGAGCGACTCTGGTTCGCGTCCATGGGGGTTTCGGTCGACGGTCTCGATGACTTTGACGATATGACTGAGCCGACACTCCTGTCTGACGAGGATGGTGACGAACTTTAGGTGACAGTGGAGACAGGGGCTTCAGTCACAACTCGTCACTTGTCACTGCAAGTCCCGTCTTTCGCAGACTTCGGAGACGCATTGCCAGGATACTCTCCCACATTTCCAATGTACTCTGCCACATCGCTAGGAGAGTCTCCTACATCGCCAAGATACCATCCCACCTCTCCAATATTCCCTTCCACATGGCCAGTATATTCTGCGTCAACGTCAGGGCACTCTCCCACGTTCCCAGTATATTCTGCTACATCGCTAGGAGTGTCTACGACATCGCCAGCACACTCACTGTCAACGCCTCATAGCCGACCCTCGCCGGACGTACGAGATGGAGGAAGTCACACAGACCCGGAGCAGATATTTCAGCTGGCCCAGATGCGTCGCCTTATCTCCAACGAGTTCACGATAGTGAGAGAAATCTCCAACGTCGCTGTTGTCCGCACAGTCCATCCATCGTTGCCGAACTCATACCTCGCGATACCTTTTCAGGGCAACATCGAGTAATCGAGCGAAGCGGTAGTGCATAGCGCGATTGGATACCTCATGTTATGCAGGACGGGGCGCATGGATGGTATGGGGTTGTTGTGTGGTGTATGTGGGTGACGGGCTATTTTGTTATAAATTTATATGCAATATATATGAGGGCCTACGCTCAAAGAGAAATAGGACGAGTTATCTTTGGCGGATAAACAGGGTGTAATGAGGCAGCTCGGAGACATCACGTCACGGTATCGCGAGGTTAAATTCTCTGGGTCGGAGCCACACATTGGTAAGTAATAACCCATTCTTTTACCACGCCTTTTATCATCTTGGTAGGATCTTTACACCAAGGACCCGGGTTGGATCGCTCTCTGGAAGGTTTGCCGCTACTAAAGCCTTTCCCTACGCGAGCTTCTTTTCATAATTGGCTATTATGGCTATGGTGACGTGAAGCACAAAACTCAGAGAGCATTGAAGATGGCTGGCGGCAGCTACTCCCTGATAAAGGACCCATGGTCCTGATGAATGGTAATTTACGTCCAGCGAACATGATTGTAACAGCCGAATAGCCTGTTCGCGTTGTGGCGGTCGTAGATTGGGAGCAAGCAGGCTGGTATCCGGATTATTGGGAGTATTGCGAGGCTATGTTTCCGGCCTCGTAAAAAGGAGATTGGCGTGGATGTATTGATCAGATCCTAACGCCGGAGCGAGATGCCTTAGAAGCTTTTGACTTTTATACCATGGCCCTGGGGAAGTTCTGATACCAAGGGAGAGCATACTATCCCGAGCGTAATGCAAAATGTACCTTGAGAGGAAAGAGCGATCTCAGGAAGAAGGGCTACTAGAATACGTTTCGGCACCTTTCGAAGAACGCATACACAGATCTCACAATCCCATCCCATTCATGCTGCCAGATCACACAACAGATGTCATTTCACTTAGTGAGAACGAGTGACATTTCCACCAGTGATACAAAAGCTCGTCTTCTCCCCTACAATCATGTCTACCAATCCATCTTTTCAACTCACCCAGCCACATAAAGATAACCTCCCATGCCACGCCTAACCCCCAAGCTATTCGAAACCAAAGCCTCCCTGCGAGACCAGCTACACGAGCGCTACCAAGAGAACCTCTACATCCCAACCCTAATCCGCGGTTTCTACGTCTCCATGTACAACAAGGTGCCCAGCGGCGTCGTAGAGGTCAAGGTGCGAGCGCCGCATGACACTTCATTCCATACCCATTAGTTGTCGTCCTGGGGCCAGGCAGTGTGGCTACCGGTGAACTTGGTGATGGTGCACTTTTCCTAGAGAACCGGTCAACAATATGGTTGATATGTCTGGGAGGGTAGGGACCCGTATACCCGGTTTTATTTGTTGCAAACGAGGAGGAAGACAGGCCGTTGCAGATTGTGTATACACCGGAGAATAGGGTGGGACGTGTGGTGGAGATTAGGGCTGCAGGGGATGGCGTCCAGGAAACTGGGGATACGTAGTACAGAAGTCAGTATACTTGGTAACCCCCACCTATATGCACACTCAGAGACGCTTGGGAAGAGACTTCAGGTTCTAGCGCGAAGTCCAGAAGATTAGACAAGAGAAACTAGTCACTACGGTATGCGCTAGTCGTAGAAAGCTCGTTACAGGCTGTACTGCTATATTTGCGTGCAAGTATTAATCTATAGGAACAGATGTCTTCGCGTGGACTCAGCATGATATATCCCCATAGTGCTGCGATGACCCAGAGGCGACCTAGGAGCGACGAACCAACCATACCTTCCGCATTTCCTGCGGCTCATACGCAGGGAAATACTCGCAAACGAGAGAAGTATCGCAACTCCAAGAACCCCAACATGATACAACCGGCAATCTAGCATTGAAAGCAAATGAAACACTTTCTCACAGAAGAGTCCGGAAAAGCTATTGTCGAAATCATTAATTAAAAAGTCGGCTTGGTAGCCCCAAATATCTTCTCTTGAGTGAACAAAGCAATATGGACTTCGAGCGACGAAATACAAACCCTTTACTCCAAATCCGACCAATGTCCCACAATGAACATACTGAGAGACGTACGAAGAAGGCTATACCAAGTGCAATCTCTGTACCCAGTAGTAGCATGGACCCATCCCAAGTCGCATCGCCTCGCATCTCCTCCGCAGTCTTCCGCGCGATATACCAAACAATCATATTTCCCAGAGCACAAATCCGTCTAGCAGTTGCAGCCGCCCGGACCCTGGGTCTGGTTAGCCTCGGGCCTGAGGTTGACGCCCTGTCGTTGCTGGCCCGGTCTCAGGTTCCTTGGGCCGGCTTGGTCGATGGGCAATTTCTTCGCGATGGCAGTGAAGAGCTCCTTTACGTTCTCGCTTGTCTTGGCGGACGTCTCGAAGAAGAGGAGGCCGGCTTCGCGGGCGTATTGCTCGGCGTCGGCGGTGGAGATGGCGCGCTTGTCGGGGGATTCGGTCACGAGATCAAGCTTGTTGCCGGCAAGGGCGATGATAATGTTCTCGTTGGCTTGGCGTTGGAGTTCCTTGACCCAGGCTTTTGCCTTGTCTAGAGAGGCCTGGGTTGTGTTAGTCTGGCCGCGGTGTGTGGCGAGGGAGAGGGAGACATACGGCCTGTGTGATGTCGTAGACGACTACGGCGCAGTTTGCGTTTCGGTAGTACATGGGCGCGAGCGACTTGTAGCGCTCCTGGCCTGCGGTATCCCAGATCTCGAACTTGACCGTGGTGTTTTCATCGAGGGCGATGGTTTGGGTGAGGAAGGCGGCGCCGATGGTGGATTCCCGGTAGTCGTCGAATTGGTCCTGCATACATTAGTACTGGGTTCGTGTCTGGGACATGTGATATGCCCTACCTTGACGAAGCGCAATACTAGAGACGACTGCGGCATGTTAGCTTATGTCATGGCTGCCTTGATAGGCCTGCGCACCTTTCCGACGGCGGATTCACCTAGAGGTGTTAGTCGTATCTTGATACACATGTTATGGTGATCTCATACCCAACAGCACCAGCTTGAACTGTGCGAATCTGGAGCCTCCGGGCCGTTGGCCTTGCTGCATCCTGGCCGACATGATGGGGGTGACGCGGCGCTAGCGGGTTGTGGCGGAGAGGGGGTGGTGTAGAGTGAGCGAGGGTGTGGTACAAGTAGTGGGCGGTCAAGTCGGGGACCGGGTCGGGGTATGGGAGAGAAAGGCGGCGGCGGGTGTGGTGAGGGTGAAAGAGCTGGATGGTACTGTGACGAGGTGCTGCGTCTGGTGCTTGGCCCTAGCGCGCGAGTCGGGGACCCTTGGCCGCAATGGCCGCCATGACGAAACGTCCCATTTGAGAAAACACATCGCGCCAAACACCGTACTCAACACCACACGCCCTGATCCCCGTATACACCTCGTATAGCACACACGCCCAGGCTGGACGAAATTATCCGCCCACCATGAGCGTCGCTCTCCCCTACCGCGACATCAACGTGCACTCGTCGCCCTCGCACTACGCCTTCTCCTCGCCCTCCTCACCTTCGGCCCCTACACTGGTGGTAGACCGCCCGTCAGGCGACATCCGCCTCCACGATGGCAAGCTGCTGGGCTCGAAACGGGTGTCGAGCATTGCCGGCATCCTCGGCATGATCAAGCTGCGACTAGGTATACATCTCCGGTACAGTGCTGGGGGACGCGAATGCTGATGCACGTGAAGACAAGTACATCATCGTCATCACAAAGGCCCAGCCCATGGGCAGGATAAAGGGCCACATGATCTACCGGGTGGTCTCGACCGAATTCCTCTCCCTGCGCGAGAAGCCGCTGCACGACGCCGACGAGGACAGCTACCTCAGCCTGCTCAAGACGCTCATCAAGACGTCCCCACTGTTCTTCTCCTACTCCTTCGACATCACCAACACCTTCCAGCGCCAGGCCCACCTCGACCCCTCGACGCCCCTGTGGAAGCGCGCAGACGACCGCTTCTACTGGAATCGCTTCGTCTCCAGCGACCTCATCGACTTCCGCGGAGGTCTCAGCGGCGGATATGGCAGGCACTCGAGCGGAAACCAGCCAGGCGCGGACCCCTACATCCTGCCCGTCATGTACGGAATGCTGGAAATCAAGAACACATCCATCAAGGGCACCCCACTCACCTTCATCCTCATCACCCGTCGCTCGCGCCTCAAGGCTGGAACCCGCTACTTCTCGCGCGGAATCGACGAGAACGGCAACGTGTCCAACTTCAACGAGACGGAGCAGACCATCATTCTGAATGACAACGCATCGGGCGGCCCTGGCGGATTTGGATCAAACCAGAATGGCGCAGCAGGTGGAAACGCCGGAAAGGAGACACAGGTGCTTGCGTACGTTCAGACAAGAGGAAGCGTCCCCGTCTACTGGGCCGAAATCAACACCCTGAAATACACCCCCAAGCTGCAAGTCCGCGGCATCGACAACGCACTCCCAGCCGCCAAGAAGCACTTTGCCGAGCAAATCCGCCTCTACGGCGACAACTGGATGGTGAACCTCGTCAACCAAAAAGGCCGCGAGCAGCGCGTCAAAGAAGCCTACGAGCAAATGGTCAACCTGCTCCACACCTCACCCGCCGAGAACGTCGAAGGCGATAGGATAACATCCGAGAAATTCCACATCATCGACCCCGCCAAAGCGCAAACCGTATACGACCGCCTGCACTACGTCTACTTCGACTTCCACAACGAAACCAAGGGCCTCCGGTGGGACCGCGCCAAACTCCTCATGAACGAGCTCGAGCCCCACGTCCTCAAACACGGCTACTTCTGCGGCGTCGACATGCCCGGTGACGGCAGCGGCGTAGAAGTCCGACGCCACCAAACCGCCGTGGTACGCACGAACTGCATGGACTGTCTCGACCGCACAAACGTCGTCCAGAGTATGTTGGGTCGCTACGTCCTCAGCCGCATGCTCATCGACTGCGGTCTCATGCGCGAAGGCGAGTCCGCAGAGGAAGACCAGGCTTTCGAGCACTTGTTCCGAAATGTCTGGGCCGATAACGCGGATGTAGTGTCGAAATCTTACTCTGGAACTGGAGCGCTCAAAACCGATTTCACCCGTCTGGGTGTACGTACCAAGGCTGGTGCGCTCCAAGATCTCAATAATTCCATCACGCGGTACTGTCTCAATAACTTCAGCGACGGACCCAGACAGGATGCGTTCGATTTGTTCCTCGGGAACTACCTGCCCAGCGATTCTAGCATGAGCGGACAACTTCTTTTCGCGGATCAGAGACCCCTATTCATCCAATCAATACCGTATATCCTCGCCGCAGCCGTCTTTCTCATTTTCGTGGGTAGCTTTACCCAGCGCGCACCCGACGCTACGGTCTGGCCTTTGCGCTTACTCCTCCTCATTTCGCTCGTCACAGCGGGTATCTGCGCGAATTTCATTTGGAATCACGGTACTTTATATGTAAGTTTTCTCATTGGTCCACTCGCTCAGAACTGATAGCTAACGTTTGCGATAGGTCAACTTCCCCAAACTCAACCGCCAACCCCCTCAAATCGAAGCCTTCCAAGAGACTCTCGCTAAAGTAAGGAATAACCCTGTTGTTGGCCCGTTGGTGGGAGGGGCCGCAAAACATGAGAGGGGCAAGAGCGATGCGAGATTACTGGGGCTGGAGGAGGGGAAGAAGAGGATCGAGTAGCTATTTGGTTTCTGTGAATATGAGAGAGAGGAGGGGATAGAGAGGGAGCGAACGGGGTGGGCGGCTGTTATGGGATTAGAGAGGGGAAAGGGGGATTTGGGACTTGGGATGGATGTATAATTAGAAGTTTTTCAGTATGTATTGTAATAATCTTTGGTTGGGGAATACAACATCATTAACATGGTCACCAATCCTGAAGAAGTGGTTCTAAGTATACAACTCTCATTCCCACACTTCTGCCTAAACTACCAGACCGGCGTATTCGCCAAACCAAACTCTAAGACCGCGCAAAATATACAAAAATTGGGTATCATCAATTCGCTTTTCCGCCAATAAACATCGTACAAATCGTAATCATCAACACCTTCGTAGTCGCCCGCCCTAGTCATTTCTCCGCGGACCAGACAAAACGACCACGTCAAATTCCTCATCCAGATCTTCGTGGTCCTGATTGGCGGGCTTGACGAAGTCCCATCCATCGCCCTCCATCCTCGTGCGCAGACGCTCAAGATTTGAATTCGCAGCGCGCCTCAGAACGCCAGCCCATTTATTCTCCAGCCCTCCAGTCGCCGATCCTGTCGCGGCGTCCAACTCCGCCGACGAAGAAGGCGTTAGAATCGTAGACTCGGCTTCGGTTTCGTCTTCCTCCCAGTCGTCAAGCTCAGGCAAGATCCACAGATCAACTTCAGAACTCTCTTCTTCTGACGAGGCGTTCAGGTTGAGGCAGGTGCTTGCGTGGATATTTATGCCTCCTTGCTGTCTTCTCGCGAGCGCACTCCGGCCGTTGGTGGGGTTTGGTGCGGGCAGCCAGGTTGGTGGCGCGTTTGAGCGGTGTAGGGAGATGGACTGGTGGCAGTGTATGCGGGTTGTGGTGCCGGTACTATTTGCAGTAGTCATGCCCGCAGTGCTGCGCTTTTTTGAGGAATTTGACGCCGACACTGGAGATGCGGCGCGTGACCTGCGCGGCGATAGATCGGTTGCGCAGCTGGGGAAAGCGCCGTATATCGCGTTGCTGAGATCGTACGAGTAGTTTGTGGAGTCGCGCGCTGTGGCGGAGCTGTGTGATGGGGTTTTAGACATTTTTTGCGGGGTGTTTGAAAATTCGCGGGGTTTGGATTTTCGCGGAGATTCTTGGTGTATGCGAAAGTTTTGTTGGGGAGATTCTCGGCCCGTAGTATGCGAACAGGTGTTCGGAGTGAATGCTCAGCTGACCAGAAGTTGAAAATTTAAAGCTGGTGGCAGTGGTTTGTTGAGACGGAGAAAAGGTAGCCGAGGACAAAGTCACACTCAGATTTTCTTGACTGCAGACGGATCTGGAAGGTGGGTCTGGTTGTTGCGACGATCTCGAGCGCTTGCTCGCTGTATGGGAGTGCGCGGGTGATGGAGAGTTAGAAATGCGGTAGCCTGGTGTAGCTTGTGATGGTGGCCGTAATCTGGTGACGTTGCAAGATGGCGCAGGCTGTGCTGACTTGACTGGTTTCAGTTGGGGTCTGCTTTGGAGAGAATTTTGATGTGAGAGTGGTGAGAGAGAAAGAGATGGTTGAAAAGACAAAGGGAGAAGAAAGTGACAGTATATATCAGAAATCAGTTAGCAGTCAACCGTACATTGCTCTGGACCAGACCATCGCAAGAGGCGCTGTGAGTGGGTCGCTGCAAGTTTGGATCAGTTTCCGTGGGCTCGCGCGGCAAGGGAAGCAGAAGTGAAGCTGCAGTTAGCAAGTGAGCAAGAGTGGATCTGGAAGCGCATGTTGGATGGCTGTCATCAAATTTGGAGTGGTGGTGAGTTGTCGTGGGAGCATGTGGGTGCGCCGGGCGAGGGCCTGGGACTGCCGCAGCCGAAGCGTCCGTGCACCCTGACGTGTGTGCTGGTTAAGCTCCAAATCTTCATGTTGGCAGACGACAGCCCATCAACAACGCCGAATCCCTCCCCCATCACCCCATCCGCCATTCGGAGGCAGCCCATTATGCTGCGCGCCTCCATCCTCCGGGCCCGTCCAGCTGCCCGCCCATTGGCCCGCGCCGCCCGCCCGCAATGGCACGTCGCCCAGCGCTGCTACGCCGATAGCAAGAACCTGGGCGAGACGGCCGTCCCCAATCCGGCTCCTACCACCTCGCCCTCCGACCCCAAGGGCACCATTCCCACCTCAGACATCCCCAAAGCGCCGCCTGCCCCCGACAGCACCGTGCTTGCAGGCGCATCGCGTGATGCTCCCGCCATATCGCCCAAGACAACACCCCCCACCGGCCCCGGATCGTCCAGCATAGCCCCCGACCCAATCCAGCCCAAGCCCAAGAAGAAGAGACGCATATTCCGCAAGCTCCTGCTCTGGCTGACGGTCCTCTCTGGTCTCGGGTACGCCGGCGGTGTCTGGTACTCGCTCGTCTCGGACAACTTCCACGACTTCTTCACCGAATACATCCCCTACGGCGAGGATGCCGTCGCCTACTTCGAGGAGCGCGAGTTCAGGCGGCGATTCCCCGGCCGCGCTGGCGAACCAAGACTGCACCCCCAGATCTCCGGCGAGAACAAGGTCACCATCCCTGGAAGGAGCGGCTTGACTGCGCGCCCAGCTCAGGAGAACAAGAGCGATCTCGCCTCCAAGGGCCCTCATCTGAGCGCTGTCGACGCCAACAAGCCCCAGGACAAGACCGAGTCGGGCGGACAACAACCCAAGGTGTCTTCGCCCACACCTGCGCCCGCGGAGAAGAAGGCACCGGTCAAGGAGGTTAAGGAGGTCAAGAAGGAGACCGCCGCCACGCCCATCTCCCAGCTCGACCACCTCAGCGTACCCTCCGCAACCGAGCCTGTCGTCCAGGATGTCGTCAAGATCGTCAACGACATCATCACCGTCATCAACGCCGACAACGCCCACGATGGCAGGTACAACTCAGCACTGGACAAGGCCAAGAGCGAACTCTCCAAGGTCGTCTCCGACATCAACCTGATGAAGGAGAGCCTCCAGAAACAGACCGAAGACAAGGTCAAGGCCGCGCACGCCGAATTCGACGAGGCCGCCAAGGAGCTCGTCCAGCGTCTCGACCACCAGATGCAGGCGCAAGAAGCTCAGTTCAAGGAGGAATTCGAGAACGAGCGCGAGCGTCTGTCACAGTCCTACAAGGAGAGGCTGCAGTCTGAACTCCAGGCCGCACAAAAGGTCTACGACCAAAAGCTCAAGAACCAACTCCTGGAACAGAGCATCAACATGCAAAAGTCCTTCACAGCCAACGTACGGGAACGCGTCGAAGCCGAACGCGACGGCCGTCTCGGCAAGCTCAACGAGCTCTCTTCCTCCGTCCACGAGCTCGAGAAGTTGACTGCGGAGTGGAACAGCGTCGTAGACGCCAACCTCAAGACGCAGCACCTCGTCGTCGCAGTCGAGGCCGTAAAGTCAGCACTCGAAACCCAAGCCATCCCCAAGCCCTTCGTCACTGAGCTCGCGGCCCTTAAAGAAATCGCCGCCGACGACCCCGTCGTCAGCGCCGCCATCGCTAGCATCAACCCCGCCGCCTACCAACGCGGTATCCCCAGCTCCGCCCTCCTAATCGACCGCTTCCGCCGCGTCGCTTCCGAAGTCAGGAAAGCGGCTCTTCTCCCCGAAGACGCTGGTGTGGCTTCTCACCTCGCTTCCCTCGCCATGTCAAAGGTGCTGTTCAAGAAGTCTGGGTTGGCTGTTGGTGGTGATGTTGAGGCTGTCCTTGCGCGCACGGAGGTTCTGCTTGAAGAAGGCGATCTCGATGCTGCAGCAAGAGAGATGAACGGGCTGCAGGGTTGGGCTAAGGTGCTGAGCAAGGATTGGTTGGGCGAGTGCAGGAGGGTGCTGGAGGTTAAGCAGGCGTTGGATGTTATTGCTACTGAAGCGAGGCTGAATAGCTTGCTCATTGACTAGAGACGTGGACGGCTTGTACCTTTTTTCCCTCTTACTACGGTAGTTTTGTACGAGTATTAGTCTATAGAAACGTATTCTGTTCGTCTTGCACACCCTTGTTCTTATCTCACTGACAACCCTCGATCAGTCTGCTGGTCACCCTGCGCTTCAAAAGTCATCCACGTCCTTTAAACCTCGAAAATTGTATGCCAAATTACTACAGGCCTTTCAATTGTGACCACACTCCTCATCCCTTGTACGGAAACATACTCAATCATCAGAGTCATTCCAAGGTTTCATTCGATCAACCATCCTCCTCTCCACCGCCCGTCCGCCTCCCCCACCCACCCTTACCTGTTATACTATCTGTGTTTCACCAGAGAAGGATAGAGGGTTGCACGAGAAGTATATGCCGGGGAGGATGGTTGGTGCGTATAGCTCTCTTATTGCTAAGACAAATTGTGCGTTTGTATTTGTGAGCTGCGTGGTTAGGTTTCTGAGCTGCGAGTTGACGTTGTTGAATGTGGTCTGGAGTGCAGCGTTAGTTAGCATAATAGAGTAGATTAGTAATTAAATGAGGGACTTGTAGTCTGGTTCTCTAGTAATAGTCGTTGTGATGATACGGGATTCGATGGGGTTGAGGTACTCAGGGATGGAGAACGGGCTTTTATTGTACTAATGGATAATGGTTATGCCTAGGTACCTGGGTAGTGTTTGTGTTACATGAAATGACATCTGTTGTGTGATCTGACAGACCGCATACAGGTGAGCAAGATGGCATAGGTAATGTTTAAACACGATGAATAATCCAACAACCGTGATGACGTTACCACATGGACTCCACTTTGCTACCTCCATCCTTCCCGTTACTATTGTTCTCATCACTGCCTTTATCTTTCGACCCCTCTTCCTCTACGCCTTGCTATCTCTTTCTTCTTCTGCTCCCTCGTCTTCCTCCTCCTCTTCCTCTTCATCATCCTGAGTATTTGGCGGGGTATCCGGATCTACAACATTCCTATTTGGATTTCGCATGATGAATTCACTCTCGGAGCCTTTCTGTTCAGAATCAGAACGAGGCCGGTATTTCTTGGGCGACCCAGACGGCTCAGAAGGCTTCTTGGGAGGTGTGTCAGACATTGCGTAGTTTGATCAGTAGTTTGATCAGTAGTTTGTTACTAAGTGTGAGATGGGTAGGGAGTATCAGGTGTGTGCGACTAGGACAGTGGGGTGGGTCGAATAACAGGGAAGAGGAGAGATTTATTTATGCAAGGGTCAATAGCAGTGATCGTTCGCTAATTGAGAGTCAGAAGTAGGACGGGCGGGTACGAATGGCTATGTAGGCCGTGTAAACGCGCTGCAATCAGCTATTGACTGTCGACGATCAAAAGTCTCGTCGTTGTCGCATCACGGCCCATACAAGTCCCTGTTATCCTGCTCTGTCGGCAGTCCACCAACACAAGCCGTTTTTACAAACCCATCTTTATCCACTTCCATGTCCTTGTTCTCTGACTTCACACTTTTCGCTTTCACGTCATTGTCATCAACGTTCGTGGAGTCATCAACATCCGGCTCTTTGACATATGGTATGTCATCAGTCTGCGTTCCCTTGGATTTACTTGCTTCACAAAGAACTGGTGTGTGAACTGGTTTGGTTCCCTCGCTCTTCTTGCGAGACTGTACGTCTGCATATTAGCCCCATAGGTTTCGCCTTCTCTTTCGCTCATTGACGTGCTCGGCAAAACGGTCTATGTTGCTAGTCTCTGATGCCACAAGCTCGACTGTAGGCTTCTTGGTAGGTTGCTCTCCAGTCATGTCGATGTGGGATGATGGTTGAGTCGATGAAAGAAGATGCTGGTACAGCTACGAATGCGCAATGGACTTGAGTGAGCATATATACGTGGTGCTCATGCTACAACGACCGTAGTGATATTTCCATGCGGGCGCTCAGATCCCAAACGCACTCAACACCAATACTGGCCCCTCCGCTCTCTGTCCGCCGCAGCACTCGCATACGTTCCTCTTTTAGCCGTTCGCATCCCAAGTCTACAAAGACCAACCAAATGTTGTACGCCAGCCAGCACGCCATCAATGACTTGCACCTCATCTCCGACCACCTCTTCAACAGCGGCTTTCATGTTCGTCATGCCAGCGCACCCTAGCGTCAGCACATCGGCACCATCTGCAACCAGTTTCTTGCCTACATCGCACATGACACCAAGCACTTCCTTCTCGGGTTTTGATTCCAACTCTAAAACCCCAAGATCACAGCTTCGCACTCCAGTGCAGAATGATTCCAGGCCGTAGTGTTTCACGGAGTCCTCTAGCGTATACTGCGACCGCCGTGACGTTGCGATGATGCCAAACCTGCCACCCAGCGTTCGTGCGGCAAACAGCGAGGCCTCCATAATACCAACGACCGGTTGTGAGAGCTCTTCTCTGAGGACCTTGATGAGCGCATGATCGCTGTAGCACGCTACGAGGAACGCGTCGTATTGATTCGCGATGGGTAGGATGGCTCGGGCGGCGGCGGCTGCCGACATGATGTTGTCGAAGTTTCCTTCGATGGTAGATGGTGCTGGCTTCGGGGATGTGAAACCGTAGACGATAACGTCGGGTGGGAGTGTTGGTTTCAGCATTTCCAGACAGGCGTTTGTCATTGATTCAGTGGCGTTGGGGTTGCAGAGGAGGACGCGGATGTGCTTTGAGGACGCGGCACCTGTGACGGACCGCAGCATTTGACGATCACCATCGCTCACGGACTTTCCGGTAGTATGATGGACGCTTTCTGGTTGTGACAGTCGCGGCGGTTCGACAACGCCCGTTTGCGAAGTCATCATGCCATAATGCTCCGTTCGTCGATGTCTCGCAAAGTCAAACGTCCGCGTCTTGCCAGGCAGACATCGATCAAGGTCGCAGTCAGCGATGATGACTTCATCCTCCTCCGTCTTGCTCTCAGCAATGATCTTCCCATCAGGCCCAACGATAGTCGAACCTCCTACTAGATCGTACTTCCCATCATCCAACCCGCATCTCGCTGCGCTGACGGAGAAACATGCATTGGTGTATGAGTGGGCCTGCATGACTAGCTTGTGATGGAAGATGGCCTCAGCACGTGCCTCAGCTAAACTCACATCAGGAGATGCACCCCACATTTGAGGAGCAAAGCCTGGCGTGTTGAAGCCGACGAGAACAACTTCGACGCCTTGAAGACCCAAGCACCTCCAAGCTTCTGCCCAACGTCGATCGTTGCATATCATCATGCCGAAGATGGGCTCGCCATGTTTGGATGTAGTCTCCATCTGGCCGGGTACTCGGAAGGCGTTGAACCCCAAATTTCCTGGCTTGAAGTATCGCTTCTCAAGCTGATTGACCGCATCGGGTTCGGGGAAAGGGTCAACGTCCCCGGGTAAATGCACCTTTCGATACTTTGACAGAATAGATCCGGACTTGGCGTGATAATAGACGCAGGAATTATAGTGATCGCCGTCATCTGTGGCCTCTGCAAATCCGATGCAGATGTCGACCTCCAAATCCTTAGCTCGTTCAAAGATAGGTCTCGTGTTTTCTGCTGTAGTCACATCGCCATGTTCGAAGAACGACTCGAGTTCCGCTTCATTGGTGATGAGATAACGAGGAAAGAAGGTAGTAAAAGTACATTCAGGGAATAGTACAACCTGTGCGCCTTGCTCAGCAGCTTGATTGAGCAGGCGAACAAGTCGATCCAGTGTGTTTTCACGGATGTCAGTGCGATGGACTGCGCCAACCTGTGCAGCGGCTATGCGAATTGTGCGCGACATGCTGTTCCGACAGGTCTTGGAGGAGTTTGGAAGCGTTCTGAGAGCCTACTAGCAAGCCGAAAGAGTAGTTGATCACGAATCTCGACATTTCGGGGATCGTGAATTGATATGCGCATCTATGAGCTTATCAAAGGTGGGATGAATAGTTTGGAAGTTCTAGCGATAGAGGCGACCAGTCGCATGAGGCCAAGGCGGTCTTAGCGCCCCCGCACTTCCCAAGGTTAAGCCTTCCCCGCTGTCAGCCTTCACTTCAACCCTTCAACACCTACATCTCACCACCTTTGATGTTTGATACTTGATACTTATCGTGTTGTTTCTCGATATCGTGTGTCTTTATGCCGATATCTGCTGCTTCGTCTGCTGATTTGCTCTTTCCAATTTCGAGCCCGACCAGGAACAAGGCGGTGAAAGCTATATTTAGCATTCCTTCCGCAAGCGAGGACTACGTCATCACGTGAGCGTCAAGTAGACAGGAAAGCACAATAGCACCCACAAGCAATATGCAGCCATCGAATCGTCGCCCACACAACTTATCCAGTTCCCAGATGTACATCCGGACCCGAGTTCGTAGGAACAGCAATTCATCACCTCCGACGGTTAAGGCGTGCCTAGCGGATCCCGCCCAGCCGTGACATCCAGCTTGGCATGCGTCAAAGCCACACAACTCGCCCTAGGTACAGCATTTCGCTCCTTATACGTGTTAGTCTCTGGAATGCCTGACAGTGCATGCATCGCGTGTCGACCACAAAGTTGGCGGCTGCTTCCCGTCGTACCTTTTTACGTTAATGGCAAGGTTAGCGTCAATGTCGCATAGCTGCGACCGCGAGTAACAACACTTGGCTAGGCGTGCTGTTGCACGAAAGCGAAACAAACGAGGCTGACTACCATGTGACGTCAATTCGGCAAGGCGGTGCAGGGCCGTGGGAGCCATAAGGTGGTTGGCCTTAGAGTATACAAAAACAACTTGACGCGCTCACTCAATGTGGATTCTCAACATACTCGATATCACATAATCTTTACCACAAATTTCAACCATGTCACCACGATCCTCCCGTCTCAACAGCGCCCTCTTCGCGGCATCCCTCTTGTCCACATCAGCTACCGCACAAAACAGCACCCAAAACAGCACCGACCCCTCCTGTCCCAACCTAGAAAACGGCCTCTACAACCTTCCCGTAAACGGCACCGGCACAGCAAACGTATCCGACCTCATCCTTTCTGTCACATTCGGCGAATCGCGCAATGCAGGCAACCAGGACAACCAATTCAGTGCCATGCAAATGGCGTGGCTCAGTGCCCCATCCGACAGCCAAGAACAAACCTGCGTGTGGTTCTTCGACGGCATCGACAATGTCAGACAGACCGGCGACAGTCCAAACAGCTGCGACGGCGTGATACCGCAGGAATGCGTTGATCTTCTACAAAACCAGGTCACGCTCCCGGACAATGTGCTTGAACTTATGGGAGATCGACCGGGTGGCTACAGTTGCCCTGGTCTGCGCTTCGACAAGGATAAGCTGGAACAGGCTTGTGGACCGATTATCGGGGGTAACTTGGGCGGTAATATGCTGAGCACTGGTATGTTACGCTGAACTTGTTTGTATTCGGATTATTTGCTAATATGCGTATGTTCAGGCGCCACTGTGAACACAACAAACATGACTTGTGAGATTCCTCCAACAGGCGTTCAGCTTCCAGATGGCTACCACACCCAAAGCATTGGTGGGTTTGGTCCCAGGGGTGTTGGCAATTACGACGAGCAGTTGGACAACTTCACCATGTACGATGAGTATATTACTCGTCCCCACCCTATGATCGTCGCGTCCGTTGCGAATGGAAAGGCGAAGACGAGCGTTGTTTGCATCGCGCCACAAGATGTGCTCGAGGGAAGCCGTGTGCCCGCTGAGTCCGTCAACAAGCCGGAAGATGAGGACGATGAGAGTGCCGCGACAGGCCTTGCATGGGGACGAAACACGGGTATGGCTGTGCTGATGGCAAGCGTGGCAGCTATGTCTTTTGTGCTTGCGTAGACCCATACATGGACGTCATAGCAAGTAAAAGTCACTGTATGATTAGGGATGACGAATACCATATACCAGCACATGTTGAGACAGGCTTCACAAAAGGTGAAGTAGTCAATAACCGCATGTTTATTACTCCGAGTTACTACTCACATCGCATTCTGCTGCAATACATCCCATTTTCACGTATCGACTACATCGACAAAGTGCACCGAAGCATACTCCAATCCCCTAACACCCGGTAGATACCGAACCAATCCCGAGGTCTGCCATATACACCATCTCCTTCACCGCAGCTTTCTTGCCGTTGTAAGTACCCCTGTCAGCGGTAGCCACAGCCTTAACCGCGTCCTCCATGAGCGCCGCAACCCCCTCATCATCTCCAACCGCAATATCCCGGGTATGAAGCCAACTTAAAAGTGTCTTGAAGTCGGCAATCATGTCTTTGGCGCGGTCGTTGAGGATAAGTGGATGCGCTTTAGCCCACACGGACAGCTCAACTTCCATACATGCTGACCTGTAGACATTGACGTTCCTATTCTGGAGCTTGATGTGAAGACGAGCGAGGTCCATGAGTCTGTCCAGCTCAGTCTCATCCGTGATGTTGTCGAAGGAATAGGTGTTGTACGACCACGTACGTAGGCGGAGGAGTTGTGCTCGCATGTCCTCGGCCCGTATCTCTGCCTTGTTGCGCCATTGGACCGTCTTCTCGCTCTGTCCGCCTACCTTCTCGCCCCATGTGCCTATCTTCAGGCCCTGCTCTTCCGGTATTTCCTCTTGCCTAGCGACGATGTCTTTCCTCAGGAACCTTCCAGCCCATTCACCTTCGGACACTGAGTTATGGAGCGACGCCAAGCCCGCATCTTTACCCCTTTTCACTTGCTTTACTAGCTGAGCATGCTTAGTACGTTCCAGCCTTCGCTCTTTGGGGTGATATTGCAGGTTGTTCAAGTACCAGTAAGCGCGATTGACATCCTCAGGGCCGTACCAGAAATATGAGGTGTTGAAGTGGCCAGATTCGGGAAACTGGGCAGCACATCTGCGGATCAACCAAACGATAGCCATGCCAACCCGAAGGACTGCCTGCGCGGGGCTGATGTTGAGCTTTGAAATGCTAGCGATGGCGACGGAGTTGCGTTTGAAGTCTATATCGGCGTCTGGGGATACAGTCCAAGGCTTCAACGACTCTATGTATGCTAAAACGCTGGCTGGAACCCCACCGTCGTTACAGATGATGCGCATGACATCGGTAAGAACAAATTACAGTAGGCAATCGACGGCGAGGTGAGGGTCTTGATGTATGCCCAGCGCACGGGATCCGACTCTTCCCATGTGCGCATCTGAATCGTGGTCGAGAAGCCAAGGTAACTGCAGATTCTGCTACGTCTAATATCTTGTGTAAGACACAGAATTTGCCAGCGGACCCTGTTGTTGTGAGGATCTAGAGTGAAAACCTTGCTTGGCCCTCTGATTTTGACCGCAAGAGGCTCAATGTGAGACCCATCGTTGTCGATGAGATTCCTAGCATCCAAAACGCTTCCGGTGCTGCGACTAGTAGTATCTGGCGCGGGCAAGGCCTCTTCTTCGAGCTTGATGCGCACATGTGCGGGCGACGGCGAACGGGAGGGGAAGTCGAATGCACGCTTCGCGCTGTGCCGCTGAACGTTCTGAGGCAACATTGGGGGTGATGATGAGGCGGGTTGAGTCTTTAAGGAGGCTTTTTGGAAGACTACTTTGGCTGATTGTGGACCGGTCAGCGCGTTGGGCGGCGGACTAGAGGTAAAAGAGGGCCTTCCCAACACGGAGCTATCGTCAAGACCAAAACCCGAGCTGTTGCCCGCCCACCTGACAAAGCCATATAATGGCGACGGAGAAACCGTAGGCCCTTGAGTGACGCCAGCGACTGTCCCACCAGTGACAGGCAAGCTAGGCGGGTCAACAAGCGACGAGAGCAATGACGCGTCTATGTCGGCCTTCTTCGTCGATCGAGCACCTTGCTCGCCCATGCGTCTGTGCTCTCCTAGCGATACGATTGATACCCTCGCTTCCGCTCGCGTATTCAATAAGCTACCTGGTGCAGACGTCATGTCTTGGTGTGGAATGGCTTGAGGTGAGCGAGACGATGGACCGGTGTTACTGGCGTGTTCTTGGCTATCTGTGTGAGTTACCGCCTCCTCATCTGATGAGTCGTCGTCGTAAACTTGATCCAATAGTTGTGCGATCTCTGCAGATTCTTTGCGGAGGGCAAGAGATAGCGCGGTGTCATGATGTGCAGCTTGAGGTGAAAGACGCAGTGCATCGCCGTTGTCGGTGGGCACCTGATTACCGCCTGGAGATTGCGCCATCCTCAAAGCAATCGAAGAGCAACTGTTGATGTGAAGACGCGAAAGTGGAAAGAAGTGACGGCCTGCATCGCAGAGGTAATGTTTGGGAATACAGTCGTTTGCACGCTAACCCAATTGGGCGACTTCCTCTCTCACCGCAACCACCCCGATTAAGCAACCGCGCTGCTCGACCAACTTTGAGCCTCAATGGCTATAAAGCATGAGCCTTGGATCCAAAGGCCAAGTTTTCCTCTGCCATTTGATGTTCAAGTTCATATTGGCCTTCCTCCTGCTCGTCCACGTTCTCAGTATACACGACGCTCGGATCTTATTCCGCTTCGTCAACGTCCTCAGTATACTCGACACCCCCATACTCTTCCGATTGATCTTGATGTTGACCTTCCTCCTGCTCACCCGGATCCTCAATGTCCACCACACTCGGTTGTTCACCCTCCCCAGCCGTACTCTCATGATACTCGTCCTCTGCGAGTCCTACATCCATGGGCGGTACACCGGTTCTTTCCGCCTGCTTCAACCAGTACTTGGTCCACGCAGCCTTTTTGCGCAACCACTCAGCATCGATACGGGCATAGTGTAACTCGGTCTGCACACTAGGATACCCCCCGATTGGGCCAAGTAGCCAAGGACTTATTTCATCAGGCGAGGGAGTATCGGTACCGAAATCTTCAAGTAGCGCTGCATTAGCTTGCTCGGTGTCGTAGTGCCAGCTTTGGTAGACGTCTAGAGCCAGTTCCTTGAGGATTTGCTCCGCGTCATTGAGTTGCTGGTACACGGGTTCGAGCTGCACTTTTATGTCCCTTTTCTTGCTTTGGAATCTTGCTTCGGCCCCGCCGAGCTGATACTGGTACATGAGTTCTATGCTGTCAGAAACGCTGCAGCCGCCAAGAAAGAGTTGGTCGAATTGATCGAGGTATGGTTGTCCTTCCGTGATATCAGCTGTTTCCATGAGATGTTGGAGTTGGCCGTGGAGATGTTCTCTAGAGCTCGTAGATAGAACATTGAATTCGTCACTGAAGTCTTGCCTGAGTCTGTCTATGTTTATTCTGAGAACTTGCATCTTCATGCGCGTCGTGAAGGCATTGGAGTATAGCTCCTTTAGCCCACTTATGGCTTCCTGACGGGTACGAATCTCGCGGTATACAGCTCTGGCTCGAGCCAGGGGGTCGTACCGAACGAGTTCGGTCTTGCATAGCGGACATGATCGACGAGCGACCGTAGCAGCGACGTCTCCGGTAATCCAAGTGCAAATGCAATCTTTGTGGAAAAAATGATTACATTTCCAAATCTGTACGACATTGTCATGGGGAGTTTCTTTGACCATTGCTGCGGCTATTGCAGCAGCAAGGATTCTGGCCTGGGTCGTATTCCCGAAGTCGTGCTCATCAGATGGCTCCTCTTCTCCTTGGTCCTGGTGGGCGAAATCGAGCCGACATATAGCGCAGGATCCATCGGTGGGCGGAGTGTCCACGGGTACCAGTTCATTCTTCACAAAGTCATCGTAGTTGCCGTGGAATCCCCATGCCACGGAGGGTATCGTCATGAGAATGGTGTTGTTCGTTGGAATGTGTGTGGAGTTATCCATTTGTAGTAACTGTTCATGAGATTTTCGCGCGATTGGAGTAATTTTGGAGAATTACAAGTCCTTCATGCTAGATAGAATTCCCCGTCTTGGTACCCAAGGTTTGGAGTATGTCTTGGAAACGCGGAGACACCGAGTGATTAGCGAGCCGCCCACGAATCCACAACACAAGATATTGCATCCTATTCACAGGGGCCACCGCGAACAAGATGTCGCTATTGTCAGAGATTGGCTTTAGTGACTGTACCATTGAGTCAAAAGACGGTGCACGGACCACTGATCCTGGATTTCGGTTTCCAACCCTCGCATCTCCGTTGGACGAGCAGCATAATTACTGGGTGTCTTTGAGAGATGACCGATGTGATCCACGGTAAAAAGAAGAGCTGTACCACAAGTGCAATTTCCGTGCTGGCACGATGCTCTCCAGGAACCATGCGAGATGGATCCGAGAACTCTACCACCGCTGTATTTTGCCCGGCAATATCATTAGGAGATGCGATGCATCATCGTCCTTTGAAATGGTACGGCATCCTACACTATATTCTTAGAAGGTCAGTCTAATGTACATCCCTCTCGCCGTGTGTGACGATTGGGAGCTCTCGCAATCTCATCGTCGACACCAGCTCTTACGCGTCTGGACCATCCGGAGCAAATGCGCGTTCATCACAAGATGAAATCGCGCCGTGCAGCCATGTCGATCGTGAAGCGTGAAGATGGAGAAGGTTGACACGTCGTCAAACGGCGACGATCCTGCCTTGTTTTTTCCAGCCAATGCCCAGCCCCAGCCGCGTCTGGGCAGTTGCGAAGCGCGTCACCGCTTTCTCCGCAAAACCTCGTACCTCAGCTCCTCAGCTCTTTCACCTCAACTGCTCTGCGCAGGAAGAACATCAATCACATCCTGCATCATCAACGCGAGATAGTAGAGCTATCTATTAAGCTTCCCGTCTACCACGTCCACGTGGGGAGCCAATCAAGAGCTGTGCAGAGCTCCAGGGCCCTCCACCAACCACAGCCCTCCTCACTCCCGGGTACCCGGAATCCTCCCACCAGGTACCATCAGGATGTCGTCCACCCGCCACGGCCACGACAACTCGCACAACGTCTCGCGCGTCCTGTCGGACCATTTCAACAGCCGCTCAAACAATGATTCCGAGTCCACACCTCTGCTACACAACATCATCCCTTCGCACATCCACCCCGATGGCGAAAGCGGGCGCAAAGGCTTCCACCCATCGCACTTTATCAACGTAGCCTGGCGCTCTGGTAGCAATGCAGCGAAATACACCAACCTCCTCTGGCCCTTCGTCATTGTAGCTATCGTGCTGCATTTCGCGGCGCCAGGCATGCCGATTGCTATCTTCGCGACTAGCTACATCGCCATGGTGCCTGTGGCTAACCTTTTGGGTTTCGCGGGTCAGGAGTTTGCGAGGAAGATGCCGAAGGTTTCTGGTATCTTGATTGAGACTGCGTTTGGTTCGATTGTGGAGATTATCCTCTTCATTATCTTGATTGCGAAGCATCACTCTCAGGATGGGTCGAGTGAACATGGGAACCTCATTCCCGTCATCCAGGCTGCGATTTTGGGATCGATTATTACAAACTTGCTTCTTTGCCTTGGACTGTAAGTATCCCATCATGAACACGCGCGTCACGTGTATTGACATGACATCTAGTTGTTTCTTCGTAGGCGGTCTCCGCCAAATGTCACAGAAATTCCATGCTTCCATTAGCGAAGTGGGCTCTGGTCTCCTCCTCGTAGCCGGCTTCGGTCTGCTTATCCCATCAGCCTACTACTCCGCGCTCAAAGGCTCCGCCGTCGCAAAAGCAACAAAGCACCATGAGTTCACCGAGAAGATCCTGCAGCACAACGTCCTTAGAATCAGTCAGGTGACGTCGATTCTCCTCATCATCGCTTTCTGCATCTTCATTTGGTACAATGCGCGCTCTCAACACTCGCTCTTTGATGAAGTCCTCGAGGCAGACGAGCATGCGGATCTCGACCACCATGAAGACCTCGCAAAGCCCAAGTTCACATTCACGGAGTGCGTCGTTGCGCTCATCCTCTCCCTGGCCATCGTAACTCTCCTCGCCGTCTTCCTCGTCGAGCGCATCGAAGACGTAGTCGAGAACGGCGTGCCAGATCAGTTCCTCGGTCTCATTATGCTGCCGCTCGTTGAGAAAGCCGCCGAGCATCTCACTGCCATCGATGAAGCATGGGACGGTCAGATCAACTTCGCGCTATTCCACTGCATCGGCCCGAGTATCCAGACCGCACTTTTCAATGCTCCTCTTGTGGTTCTTGTCGGATGGGCCATGGGCAAGGATATGGATCTTAACTTTGAGATTTTCATGATTGTGTTGTTGGTGCTGGCGATTGTGGTTGTGGGCAACTTCTTGAGAGATGGAGAGTCGAATTATTTGGAGGGCGCTATGCTTATCGTAAGTCTACTTTTTGTTGTTGTTGTTGTTGTTGATGTGTGTAGGACTTTACTAACGTGTCAATCAGATTGTCTACGTCATTGTGGCGGTGGCTGCTTGGTACTATCCCAACCCTGATGTCGCTACTTCGAATGGTGCTGAGTAACGAGAGACGGTACGAGAGGAGATGAAGGGGTGAAGACTGAGATAGCTGGTACGGCGGGTCGGCAGTCAGATGTTTTGATGTGGTTTGAATCGCCGGAGTTTAAAGACAGCTGGGGGATTCTTGGGGCTGTCTAGGGTGTGTTATGTAACCAAAAAGTGGCTATACAATAGTTATTTTTTGGTTACATAACACACTCTGGGCAGGCTTAAGAACATCCTAGGTGGCTGGTATGACTGGTTCGTAGATGAGCTATACTCAATCTTCTACTGCATCGATTGCGCTAGGTGAGGAGCGGATAGAAGTATGCAGTTAAGACTTGCGATATGATCACAGTAGGATATCATATACGACGTTATACTGAAGGACAAGTCGCTATACAACATGACTTGATGAGCATGAATCTATTCTTTCCAAACAGATTTTACATACTCTATCACCTTCCACCTCACACCTAGTATCCACAATCCGCCCCAGCCAACTTAACAAGCTTAGGGAAATCCGGAGTGCCGAACCCAGTGATCGGGTCCCAACCTTCGGTAACTGGGAAGCCCTCTACGTTGCAACCGCGGCTGAATCCTTTAGTAATATCAGTCAACCCCTTGTACCCCTTCTTATACAACCACGGGTTCAAGAAACCGAGTGCTGGCTTCCCGGCCGCCAACAACGCGTCGTTGACAAGAGCGAAGATACCCGACGTCAATGGGCAGGAAGCCGAAGTACCAGAGATGGTGCCTTCGGTTCCGTTCCAGAAGTACGCGAAATACAGACCCTGGGCTGCGAGATCGGGGTAGCCGCGACCGGTCTTGTTGTACAAACCCTCATACGTGTCACCGAGTGACTTTACGTACTTGGGAACGACCTTGTCCTGGTACCAGGGGCGGGCGAAATAGTTGCTGAAGCCGCTGCCGCTGGAGTACAAATCGCGGAATCCGGCTGTGGTGTTGCGGGAAGGGCGGTAAGCAGACTCCTCAGGCTCGAAGTTCATGGTTGCGCCGACGGTGGTGACGTAGGGGCAGGACGCGGGGAACGCGGGCTGGAATTGATATGTGTTCTTGCCGTCGTTGGTGTAGCATGTGTCTGTGCCGCCGAGACCGCGGTCACCAGACGAGAAGAAGAGGGTGGTGCCGCGGGCGCCGACTTGCGCGAATTGACGGCAGACGCGCTCGGCGTAGCTTTTGGGGATGGTTTGCTCGGGCTCGCCGTAGGAGGTTGAGATTATGCGGGGGATGGAGCGTTGGGTTAGGAGCCAGTTTACCCAGGCGAGGTAGGGTTCGTTGGTGTTTGTGGGGGTGGAGATGTCCGGGACGAAGGGGGGTTGGCCGCCGGTCGAGTAGGAGGTTATGGGTGTCTTCCAGCTGATTCCTGAGATGGCTTGGACGTCGAGGTTGGCTTCGCGGCTGATTCCCTCGACGGTCGATTGGTTGTAGGTCAGAGGACCGTCTTGGACGGGGCCGTTGTCGATGGAGATTTGCTTGAAGGCGTAGGCTTGCGAAACGGCTTCTGGGCGGTATTTCTCGAGGAACATCTTGGTATCCGGGCGGATGGGGATCTCGCCGAGGTAGTTTGTGAAACCAATGCTGTTCTTGCGGCTGGCCTTGGTGTGGTACCACTTGGTCTTGTAGAGAGTTTGGAAGCATTCTGGGGTGACGGATGTCACATTGCACACAGCAGAGATGGACGAGTTCTGGGGTGTGTGATAGCTCTTGGGTACCTCAACAGCCTCATCAACGAACGTCGCGGCGTGGGCAGCGCCGCGGAAGAAGGATGTGGTGGGCTGAACGGTGTCGATGTGAGCGTGTAGGTGGCGCGGGAGAGACCAGGCCGTTGTACGCGCAACAACGGAGCCATCCTTGTGCTTGTAGTTGTGGTATTCCGTGTCAAGCAGACTCTCGACCATCTCAATGGGAAGATGGACGATGACCCAATCCTTGGCGGAGCTGTAGCCGAGGTTGCTGGTGTCGATTCCGCTCTCGGCGAGCCACTCGTGAACCAAGTCGTGAGTCTCAGAGCTAGGTGCAACGAGCTCATCGACCTCGTCGGCGCTCAGATGATGACCGTAGCGCGCATGGTCTGGGTCGGAGACTACGCGTTGTTAGCTCAGATACCATCGGGAAGCCTCTCAATCTAGCAGACATACCCTCATGAAGATGGCGATCAAGCTCCTCAAACCGTCCCTGCTTGAGACCAATCTGCAGCTGAATCGTCTTGCCGCCATGCGCCCTCTCAAGCTTTGTCCACTCCCTCGGCGCATAATGCGTCTCCTTGACGACATACGGCGAACGGGCTTGAATTGGCGAAGCCAGCGCATCACGCGCGGCAACAGCAGCCAACACAACAGTCGCGAAGATCTGCATTGTAGCGATTGTATAGCAGTCTCAAAAACAAATGCAGACACGCGCGCCCAGTCCCACCAAGCAGCCTTGACAGCTATTTAAGCTCCTGCGAAGCTCCGCCCAGACTCGCGTCATACAGCTTCATGGTACCTTGGCGACCCTAGGGAAGGGCGCCCCATCTGGAAGGTTGATATTAACGCGCATAGTATATGCATGTCGATCGCCGTATCGTCGGAACAGACTTGACTGCTTTCCTATCGCCTGGGGTGCGAGCAGGCTAGGCAATCTCTTCATCGCTCTGAGCTCAGTGTTGCCAAGATGGCGAATAGGACAATCGGCCTGTACATCGCGCGTTGTGATTCGTTCGCGGCGTGTGATAACGCAAATAGCGATGTTCACAAAGGCGGGGGTGAAGTTGGCATGATAGCAAGGCTATTTGACACGAACGCTCTAGCCTCGGAAACGGCCGCGCTAACGCCAGATTAGGCAGCTACAAAACCTCGACATCATCGTGCCGCGCGATAAACAAGCAAAGTCAAGCCACTAGCTGTTGGGTCCGACGGCGTGTTAGCTGCTCTTGGGAGAGCTTGACTTGCTCTTGGAAGGTGACAGAGTGGATCGCGTTCCGGACCTGTCTCTCGTGCAGCATGTACCCCGCCGCCAACCCGGTTGACGGCATACTGACTGACCCAGCGACGACTTTACGAGACTCTTGTCAGGGCGATGGACAACATGGTGCTCGCGCTTATCTCTGGCTTGGTATGCGCTCGTTTGTAGAACATCTGGGCAGCGCGGCAGTGTGGCCATAGTAGATGGTCCTTGCATCTCGTTGTATCGCGGGAAGATCTAAGCCTGCGCTAACGTCACCACCTATTCGATCGCTTATCATTGTATCTTTGTATCCATCAACCATCGAGGCACAGATTCTCTACAAGGTGTCTACGAACTTCCATTCAACTCACACAGCTTCCAAGACAGGGCCCTTCTGCCTCGACTAGACCCTGTCTTTACACGGGACCCGCATCCAGGAACTCCCGACATCTCTTCAGCATTGCTTCTATAGGCAGCAACATGCCAGACATCAGACGCGCAAAGACTACGCATTCACTACCAAATATCCGTATCCAGCACGCCATGAAGTCGTCAAGGATACCGTCCGTCGTCTTCGTCGCCATGGTGCTGAGCGATGTCTGCGAGCCGTGGAGAGTGTCAAAGCGCTCATAGGTGGGATATCGCCAAATAAGATTGCCCGCAGACTTGTCTGCTTGGTGATCACAAATTTTGTGATCTTTCGCATCGTCGGATCGAGCTCGGGATAGCGGGAAGGTAACACCGTGTCTCAAGGACACTCAGATACCTAGGTACGCTTGGTACTTCTTCCAGTGACTACAGCACAGTGTCACTTTGTACAAGGAAATACCTGAGCAGACACAATGCAGTCTACATTGTTATAGAAACAAACAAAGAGAACTTTTTATGCCAATGAAGACTTCTAGAGGTAAGTTTCTCGAAAGGAGTGGCGAGTCCCTAGTAGCCCCCAAGGGTGATGTTTTGCGGTGAGTCTACGATTTCTATGCACATCGGTCAAGTTCCCATTCGCCAACGCAACTGCTATGATGTACGAGGTAAAAGATCTTGGCAGCTGCGAGAGGGGAAGTGCCGAGTCCCGAGGTCACCTAGGACTTCTCCGGTTCTGCGAGACCGAGAAAAGGCTTGAGCAAGCCAGCTTCCGTCGCCCAAGTGATGACGGCCACATTCAGCGTGTTGGGAGCTGACTTCGATCTTACTGACAGCTCCTTCACCTTGGTTGGGGTGGCGTTGATACGCTTTGTGTTGTGCTTGACGGTAGAGGAGGGCTTGGGGGCTCCATCGTTGGAGGAGGAAGCGTCCGCTGTACCGGCCGCTGCATACTGCGCGAAGACTGTTCTTGCAACGTCGGGGATGATGGAGTCGCTCTTAGGGATCGAATTCTTGTTGTTACTGGTGTTGAAAGGATATTGATGGTTGTAGACGTTGAGATGGGTCGGTATGAAGAACTGCAGGAGAAGGAATAGAGGGTGGTCAAGTTGGACATGTGGAGAAGAAGTGTATCCTACTATGAGCCGTATTGTATATTGTGACCGCGCTTGAGGTGAGCGTAAGTCGTGGTGACGCACAATTCTCCTCCTTCACCTTGGCCTTCACCTAAGACTCTCTAAACCCTCGCGCTTTGCAGAGCGACATAACAAGACCGAACATGAAATCTGCAGGACCTCCGCAAAGCTATTGTACTGCCTTCTCAAGACCATTGAAAGATTTGCTTAAAACATTTAGCTATACATGCCAATTATCTACCGGAAGTAAGTCGGCGCCGTAGCCTTAGCAGCCATCCAAGCCTCATCCAACGCCTTCACAACATCATCCGGCAGCGGCCCCTTTTCCAAATCCGCCAGATTACCTTCCAATTGCTTCAAATTGCTGACACCAATGATCACGCCATCATTCCCGCCCTTGACTCTAGTCTTCAGTTCAGAGTGGTGAACACACCATCGCAGCGCGATCTCAAGCAGGGTGAGGTTGTGCTTCTGCGCTGCGTCTTCGGCAATCTTCAGGGCTTGGAAGGTAGCGTCCTTGAAGTAGCGGTCGCGGTACATGCTTCCAACGCGGTCTGCTTTCGTGCCGAAACGGCCTTCGTCGGGCTTGATGTCTTTGGATTTGATCTTGCCGGAGAACAGACCGCCGGCCAGAGGGTTGTAGATCACGATGTCGATGCCATATTTGCGGCAAGCTGGGATCAGCTCGGGTTCAATGGCACGAGCTGTGGCGTGTTAGACTCTGCTTTGCCGGTGATGATGGATTTGCACTCACTGATAGCGTTGTACATCGCTTGGTAAATGGTAGGCTTCACCCAACCTCGCTCCTTGCAGATATTGTACACCTCCGCAACTTCCCACGCAGCGAAGTTAGAGAGTCCCAGATTGACGAACTTGCCCTGCTTGTGCAGCTCATTCACAGCACCAAGCGTCTCCTCGAAAGGCACGGAATGGTCCGGCGCGTGCAGGTAGAAGATGTCCACGCAATCTGCCCCCAGTTCTTTTAGACTGGTGTTGAAGTGCTCCTTCAGCCTGTCAGGCTTGTGAACGCCAGCCTCATAAGGGTACACTTTGGTGGCGAGAGTAAAGCCGCGGTCCTTCCATCCCGCCTGGCGCGTCCATGCCTCTTGCTTGCCGCCAACGTACATGCGTGCGGTATCGATCTCATCGTAGCCCTGGGACTGGAAGTAGTCGAGATGCTTGGTGAATTCATCAAACTCTGTGATACGCGCGCCGCTGGTCTCGTCGGGGCCTGGAATGCATTAGTCATGGTGTTGGGTTGTTGATCTGCGAAGCTTACCGAATGTCATCAATCCGAGGATGACTCGGTCTTTGGGGTTCTGCGCGATGAGAGGCATCTTGGCTTTCTATCTTGGCCGTGTGATAATGCGATGTAGGGATGATTGAAGAAGAGTTCTGCGACTGCGTTCGTCGTCGCCATCGCGAGATGACGACAGCGGGGTGCCCCACCCGGACATAAAGACGCGGAGATATGCAGAAGAACCGAACAAAGCTTTGCCCAGACGAGGCATGCCGATGCACCAACGCTGCAAGTACCCCCCTACTGTTTCGATCTGTACCTCAGACCATTCCAGCGAAACATTTCCAAGTCATTTCGAGCCTTCTCAAGGTCAACATTCTCATCACTCTCGTGCCTTCCGCGTTTGATCCACGTCCATCGCCTAGCGAAGATTGTCTTCTCAGATGACATCCAATGCCAGATCAGAAGTACTGCCACAGTAGTCGGTAAAGAGACAGCCCAGTAGATCCCAAAGTTTGGTTGTACAACCTTTGGCCCGTCCCACTTCAGTAAAGGCATAGCGAATAGAGTAGCGAAGAAGGTGGGTGGCAGGAAGATCATGGTCATTATGGCGATAGTCTTCATCGAGTAACTGTCCTTTCGTGCTGCTAGTGCGATCTCCTTGCTACTTTTAGCATCTTCGCGTGTGAGGAGGTTGAATATCTGAAGTTCACGATCAGCTGGTGGGGTGACGTCCTGGATTCTTTGCGTCAACCTACTACAGCCTGCTGCGTGCGGGCACGCTCCTGGAGATAACCTGCCTGCAGCTCGCCCGATTGTGTCTGGCCTTCCAACATCGATGCAGCGACAAGAATGTCATCGAAGGGGCTTGGAACGCTGGTAGTGTTCGAGGATTGCGCAAGCGCCGGACGATTAGATGACAACGGTTGGGCTGATGCAAGGTCGTTGAGGATTGCTCTTACAATGCAAGCGTGCCGGGAGACATTTGCAAGTGCTGTAAGTACGAATCCTAGCCGCTTAGAATCCTCCATTAGCTCATCCGTACTTGGAGGAGAATCGTGCTGCACCTCATGCCATGCGCCATGCCCAGTGTCAACCTCTATGGATCGAATGCGGCCCAAGTTTTCGAAAGCAGTGCCTTCGATCCAACGGACCACCTCTACCGCACACACAAAAGAACAGAAACGCGAGTCGCTCACAAGATCCTTGTGGTGAACGACGGTCTGTATAAAACTCTTGAAGATCTGCTCAGGATACCGGGAATGTTCTCGGGGTATGAGCACGGCTTTGGTTGTCGTCTCATGAGGGTTGTAAGTCCACAGCATCGTATACGACACCGTATGTATGTAGTAAGTATACTGTGTGCCACCTTCCTTCAGTCGAGAAAAGAACCCGTATGTCGAAGACAGTATCATGCTAAGCCAGTACGGATCATACCCGAAGTTGTCAAAGATCTCCAGAAAAGTTCGCCGGTCGATGGAAAGTACTCCGTCAAAATCGCGCTCCAACCTTATCAGCCACATGGACGCTGTTGCTGTTTCGTCGCCATTCTTGGGAATAGGTGTATTGATCTGGTCACAGATCTCAGAAGTCTGGGACCAATGAATATCTGTCAGTTTGACAGTTGTCTCTTTCGTGTATTGCGCCATAGTCAATAGCGAGATTCTAGCATCGTGTAATTCTGCACCTTGCTTGAACTTCTGCTCGGACAGAAATCGCTCCCGCGCTTGCGTTCGTAAGCTGTTCATCGAGGTGGATGTTCGCCGTCAGCAGAAGAAGCAGATAAAATGTAGCAAATTGAGTTCATCGAGAATCAGAAGGTTGGGGAGCATGCAGGCGGCGTGGCAGGGCAATTGAGTCGTGACAACATTGGGGCTGAGCCATTGCACTGCCTGAGGCCTCAGCCTCTGTGTCAACCATCCATTCTTCTCACCTGCATATGGCACTTCTGATCGTTCGTAGTTCTATGCGCTCATCAGAGCACCATATTTTATGAAACTTCCACAAGATGCGCACGCGGCACGAGTGACGATTGGCGTGATTACACGCGTGGGTGGGCTGGCTACCTTCGGCAGTCCAGCGGAATATTTCCGACATCTCCTGGCGCTCCTTCTTCATGTCGCATTCCATCCGCGATGTTCTCAAATCATCTCTTCCTGTATGACGCAGCAAAACATCAACGCGGATTCACTCCAAGTCGCCATGCAATAACCCGACACCCGAACTGTCAGGACTCGTGTAAGTGCGATCGAAAAGAGTCGCGAGCACTTGATCTCGGGTTCTACCGCATCTCCACCTCTTGACGGTCGATCAGCTCCGGCACAGGCCCAGCTCTTCATTGGATGAGTCATCGTATAGTATGCGGCATGCTCTAATCCAGGCTGCTTCTCAATACTCCGGCGCCGCCGATATTGTTCTGATGGTGTCGGTCACGGCAATTGCAATATACATTACTCTGCCTTGCTTCCGAATGGTTCCTCGATTCATTGGAAACGCCACGACTTGGTTAGGAAAAGGCATCTCTGCGCGACTATTGGCCAGCTACCTCGGACCTACCAAGCCTCCGCGACGCGCGCGAACTACTTGCAGCAAGGCGTCGAGGCGGAGCGTGTGTCTCGCGAACGCCGTCTGTGCTAAGGACGTGCAAAAGCAGGAACAGCACACTCCCGCGGCCGTGCAACCCTTGAAGGCGATGATGAGGAATGGCTGAAACCTTGCGAGGCATCACAGCCAACATTCACAGCTCGCTTGGGGCAGTGGGGCGCTCTCGCACCAATGACGTCGCTGATGGGCCGATAAGGATAAGGAACCCAACATGTTGCAGCGCTCGGCTGGTCAGGCGGTCATCATCATGCAGCTAAGCTGCACCATCATGCACCAGCATGCAGCTAGCAATGCCCATCACCCTCGCAGCATGACCGAACTCTGCACCCAGGATCGTCCCGCAACCGTCCCGCCGCTCTTCTGTACAGCACAGGTGCCACGTAGCAGCGACGCAGGTACGCACAGAAGCCGCACACAAAGAAGCATAAACGTCGCGGGCAGATCGCTGCAGCTTATAAGACTGACAGCCGGCCCTGCGCTGGTGTTCCAGTGTTCTACACTCCATTTCACTGCAGACCGACATCTGCAGTGCGCCAGACAATGAGGCGATCAGCTGGAGCCCGAGGTGTCATGTGGCCCAGTAAGCCACTGTGTGCAAACTTACGAATCAGTCACTTTCTCGCACACCATCAAGTGGGGTGTGCGCTGATTGGAGCGCAAACCCTCGATACAAGGTACTTTGACTGAATCCTTTCTTGATTTAGCTTATGGCCATGCGTCTATTGGAATTTGGCCTCCACGCCGCGACTGCGGTGCACTTGCTCCCTTGCCCGGCCGGAACACTCTTTGTCTTCACATGATATCATAATTCTCAATCCGCTTCTCTCAAGTCTCCCTTCCCTTGAAACGCTAGGTTGTTCTTGTCTATTGAATTGTGTCGCGCGTCTTAAGTATCACCCGCGTCCCCCATCGTCGAATTTAGCTTTCCGAACTTCGGCATCTGCATGCATGCAGTCATCACCTCTTCAGAACCTGGATACTGGACTCGAACCTTGGGCGCATAGCGATCCAAGACTTGCATCTTGGTCGCCATGTGTTGGTCTTTCAACTTTGGCTTTCCAGGCAACAAGAAACGTAAGAGCTCGTCGTCGTCGGACGAGAAGAAGAGGCGGGACCGACCGGCGGATAGCGCGCTTCATGGAGAGGGAAGACCAGTCGCTGCAGAATATTCGGAGAAGCGCAGTCCCAAGGAGTCGAGCAGAAGGAGAAGATCTGGTGACTCTACCCCGCGATCTCCGCGCTCACCGCGCCACGAAAGAGAGAAGGAGGAGCACCGTCCGAGATCGCAACACCAATACGAAGATGCATACCGAACTCGCGAGAGGCGCCGCTCTACACTGGACGTCGAAGTGCCGCAGGTGTATCGCCGTGCAGCTGAGCCAAGTAGTGTCAACTCATCACAGGAGGCTCTACTGAATCCGCGCCCCCACCGAAGTCAACACCGTCGACGGCAGCACCCAAAGCAAACGTCGCAAAGCACTCTGCGCGGGCGCGGAGCAAAGCGCGACCCTGTAAGACATTCAAAATCCAAGAAGAACATTCGACCCGAACCTTCTCGAGGCTGGTCCCTGTTCGCGCCCTCCCCACCAAAGACTCCAAAGCGCGAACATCGCAGTTACCAGACTCTGGATTCTTCGCCCCGTAGCAACCGCTCGTCCCGCCAGCATCGCTCTTCGACTGCTTCTCAGACGAGTCCAGAATCATCACGGTCTCAGAACCGCCACCACCGTTCTCGTCAGCACGACCAGTCAGCTTCTTCACCGCGCCAAGCGCGTTCTCGCACCCCAAACACAGCTGCTCGTCGCGTGCCTGACAGACGGTTCGCCGTACTCGCTGCCACCAACCAGGCGCTTGAGGAAGTACGACAAGAGGCTTTTGCGCAACCATCCCCACCTCCGCGACGAGAAAGGCTGCGACGGTACGAGGGCGTTACTATTCCGACATCGCAGATACCTTTCAATTGGGATTGCGTAAGCAGCTCGCAGGCTTCAGCCAGACCAAGTCATCGGAGTGGGGAGTCGAGTGGTCGGAGACGATCGCGTCGTTGATGTGCTCGTTCCTAAGCATTGCTTCTTGCGCCTGGTTCAAGCCACGCATGGTTGCTGCATCTCAATCCAGTCATGGCAGAGCTGGCAACAGACAAACCGATGGCGCAATTTCGCACGTTGTGTAGCGATTATTTCTTATTTTCTCCGCATGTTCTCAATCATCTTGTAGTAAGATACCCCCCGGCATATCATCGGTAGTTTGGGCGTTCGCATCACATCATTCGGCTCCGGCCAAGCACAGTCCATTTGGCGTTTTTGGCAACACAATACCCCTGCATCACATATTCTCGCATCGCATGTAGTTCTCACCGTTGTAATGATAGAATACACATGTTCGCATTTGAAAAGTACCCTGGCATTGCGTTGCGCACACTGTTCATCAGCGCAGTCGTCCAAGCGACCTTGTGATACTACCTGCACCTGGCCAGAATCCCACCTCGTGACGTCTTCGCGCCGAACACGTCTGCGACCACGGCCGTGATCTAAGCACGTGGTGAACTTCATACGTTTGCAAAGATATGTACACATGTAGATATATTGACAAGTACCTAGGTAGACTCATTATCCGTTGCCGCATCGTCAGCCCGCCGTGACCCCCACAAGCCTCTGCAAACACTAACCCCCTTCCGGCATCCCTCATACCTCCCTTCTGATTGGCCACGGAGCATCTTCCTCAGTAACTCACACCTCTCTTTTCCAATTTTCTCTTACCTACCTTTTAAGGCAACTTCGGCGTAAAGTTCCATTCAATGGATCGGCAAGCGTGTAATCTGGTTTATCAAACATGCGGGTTTGGTGGAAAGGTGGTACGAGTGGGTAATGGGGAAGAGTGACATACTAGTGTTCGGGGAATTTCACCGAGGTACAGGACGGGTATTTTGTGGGGCTTCAGCTAGGAAGGGGAAGGGGGCTTGGCGATGGGGCTGGTTGGTCAGGGGAGGAGCTCGGGCACAAGACCTGCATCTGCTCCTGCCTGTCTTCTGGGCTTCCTTGACACATCAGTTTGCGACGCGATTCACGTTTACAATCTTGCTGTGGTCTTAGCTGCGCATTCTGCGACAAGAGTTGGACGACTAGATACATGCCAAAACACTCACGGTGCCCGTTTGATGTCAACCACGGAATATTTAGAATCTGCGCATCGCACCACTATGTGTGTCTCCATCAAGGCCTATTGTCTGTCCACGAGCCGGCAGCGTTCACCACCAGAGCCTTCAACTCATCGAGGAACTCCTCCAACACACTCTCGTTGTGCTGCGCAATCCCGTCGTGCCACTGTGGGTAGTTCCTCCCTTCCGACACACCATCAGCACCCACCTCGTGGTCTCGATGCGGCAGATCATCCGACTCTGTATAGATAACGTGGAAGGAGACGTCATATACAGTCACGCGACTTGTTGAATTCTCCTGCTTTCTCTTTGACTTCAGCCCGCATCCGATAAAGCGAACGGTGCAGCCCTTGGGGAACGGCGAGATCTCGATGCTTGCTTACCGTGTGCGTCAGTCCAGATTTTGTGTCCTGGGGGTGTTAAGCAACTTACAATCTCTGCTCAGCTTGAATGACTGGTACGGCTTTTCTGGTCCATCTTCATGCATGCGGGTGAAAGCTTCGTTGTCGAAGCCTACTCCTTCAGCCGGCCTCAGTCGTTTGTGGTAGACTTCGGTGTCGTCTACAATGAGGTAGTACGTTCCTGATCCGTCTCGGCGGCAACAGAGGAAGGTCGCTTCGTTCACTGTTAGTGTCCATGTACGTCGGTTGTCTTGAATGGACGTACCACGGTCTTCATCGTCGCTGTCGCTCTCGCTTTGGGCTGCGTCTGCGGGCATCTTCATCGTCACCCTAGCTTTTCCTTCAGGCTCAGTCCTGTCTTCAGCTGCTTTGTAGCGGTCAGCGACAACTCTTCCGTTCGCTCATAGAGTATTCACTCACCGTTGGCAGCATCTCCACTGGCCTCGCTGCCGGTTGCTTGCGACGATGGGTTCATGTCTTCTCCAGGATCGTGCAGGTCTTGGGGCCCTTGACGCTGAGTGGTGCCCTTTGATGCTACGTGGTCCATGAGGCCTTGATCTCGCTCGGTGAATGGGTTTACTCGCGTCCGAACTCCAGGACCATCGGCCGGCTTGTACAGAATCTCAATGACATCTGACAGTTCTGCTTCGATCAGGAGCACACCATGTACGCGACTGCCGGCCCTGTCTGCCATGTTCACAGTTTGACCGGAAAGTGTGCGAGATATCTCCCAAGTAGAGTCCCACAAGTAGCTCAAGGTCTTGCGTCCAGGAGCGTCTGTATACTTCATGACTATCGAGATATGGCCGGGGATGCTTACGAAGTTTTCTGCGATGTAAATCCCAGGCCATCGTGTCCTGTAGTACATCTCTGAGTCCTGGCTCGTCATGGTCTCGAGATCTTTGGTTGCATCTTTGAGCTTGATGAAGGCATTTCGCGTTTGGGCTATCTTTTCTTACTATCTCTTAGTGCTGAGTGAGCTTTTGATGAGTGTAGTAGCAGGTTAGGGTTAGGGTTATAGCTTCGCTTTTGCGCAGGTTTGATGATAGGATACTTGTGTCAGGTCAAGCTGACTACAGCAATCGATCACTTCATTCACAACAAGCAGTCTTCATACATCGCGACGTCAGCACCCGATGCACTCCATACATTTCTGTCACCAGTCGTCCCGTCTTCCGCTTCGTCAGGCATGTACAACACGCCATAGCGCTAACAACGCCCTCGTTTTTGCGCAACCTGGGCATCTTCTACTCGGCACGCACGATTGACTCCCCACAGCCGTCCTGGCACAGCAGCTATATTGTAAAGGTAAGAGGCAACAAGCTAATCACTCAAAACTTCCATTGTGTTAACGATGAGATGGATTACAGATCGTAATTGCCTCCTAGGTATGATACGTAGACGCTAAAGTCAAGTTACAAGTGCGATCACCACGACGTATCTTCCTTCTTGACCTTCATTCTGCGTGTTACTGATGTTTAGCGTTATTTCTTGTTGGTGGCCATACAGCATTAGATTCATTCCTGTCCTCAAACCAACGCTTTAGTACCCAACGGCCAATCTCTCGCATGTCATCCCACGTCTCGTTTGTCCCTACCACGCCTTTCATAATCTTCCGATGGTAATCGTTCATGGGAGAAACGTGCAGTCGTGTTTTGACACCGTCTTCTTGCTGAATTAAGATGGTGAGTTCATCTTTGATCTCATCCTCCATGATCAGGAGGCCGTGAAGTGGGATCCCAGCTTGCCAAGGCATCTCCATCCTGTTATCGTAGGCGACCTCCTCCTCATCTTGATCCCATGTAGAGTCCCATAAGACGAGAATATTGGTACAGTCCGAGGGGACACGATCCGTGTAAGACGGTTGTACGTCTTCGCGCAGAATCGTGAACCGGGACGGGGTGCTCAAGGTGGCTGCTCTCATTTATACCCCGGGCGCATTTTTGACTTTGTAGTACCAACGTTGCCCTCCGTTATATGTGTCTTCAAATTCGCGAAATGCTGACTGAAGCTTCCAGAAGGCTACTTGATCCTTCGCTTTCTTCTACAAGTCGTCGTCCATGGTGGTTGTGTTGTAACTTTGCGGTAGATGTAGTAGTTGAACGTCTAGCGATGCTATAGGCTGAACGTCGCAGCAAGTTTGAGTGTAGCACACATGTGTCGCCTAGGATGGCCTTTGACCTAGTCACGCTTGAACTTCCAGCAAGCAGTCATTGCAGACCACAAATGCCGACTACCAAGTTCTGTAATCTGGAGCCACAAGCCACAGTGCTGACTGTAGGCCACGTCACCTGTCCTGCTGACGAGGAATTTCGTTGCTTGTGAGTTACAGATTTGTAGGTGCAGATGTAATGCCTGCCCTGAAGCTTTTCGTCCTCCTCTTCAGTCATGAATATTTGAGTGCAACATTGATGCATATGTCTAGGATCTATCACAACTTGACCTACAACTCATGAAAAACCGGCGTCTGCATCGATGCTCACCATCTCTTCATGTCATTCCACAAGCTCGCTCCTTGTTCGCTACACTCTACTCACTTTCTCCATCGCCGCCTTCCATGCCAACTTCCCTACTGCTATCATCCCCGTCATTCTCCTCACCTTCTTCGTCAATTTTCTCCCCATCCCCTGCGTCTATGTCAACAAGCTCATTTCCCCTATTCTTACACATCCGTATCCGTCCCTCCCCGATGATCTCCTCCAGCTTATCCATAAAACGAGGAAATACCACCACGTTGTGTCTTGCATACTCTTCGTTGTGCGTCCCCTGCGCCCTGCCGTTGAATTCTCCTCCCCACATCTCGTGCTTGCATGGAGCATGCCAACGGTTATCAGGTAAATGCATGTGGAACTCTTTCCAAGGGATTGTAGCTCTGCTACTCTTGGTGCTCTTGCCGCCGCGTAACTTTCCCTCTATGGGGTGGCCCTTGAATTGTGTGGTGTAGCCACAGTTGTTCAGACGTAGCGTGTATCCGTATTTGAAGGCGTAGTAGTCGATGTGGAAGGGTTTAGCGCCGTCTTTGCCGCGAAGAAGATCAACGGGTCTGTTTTTGTCTAGCTGCATCTTTGGTGCGGCAAGGTCTTGTAAGTCGAGGGTTAGCGTGACCCAGCCCGAATTGCGCTCGCAGACATAGAGGAATGATGCTGGTAGATTTTTAGCATTGTGTCGTGATTCCGCGGATATTACGTATGATACTTACGGTCGTTCAAGCTCGGAGCTGCAATATCAGTGATGCCGGACGCTGCATCACCAGTGACTCCCGCGTTAACATTGTCGCCCGCTCCAGTTGCCGGAACAGGCCTCTTCAAGTCATATTCGGTCACACGCGCGGGATCATGTGCCTTGGCGTACTCTTGAATGAACTTGACACGCGTGCTGCTGTAAGGCTCAGATCGCATAATGCTAGGCGTACCCTTCACCGGGGCATGATAGACTGATATCGGTTGTCCCAGTAACTCGGCATTTGTCGCAACGCCTAGGGCAATGTGAGCCGCATTTCGGACTAGGTGCGTTGTGTAGTCGGCAAGTGGCCGTGTATAGTCCCATGATGAGTCCAACACTAAAAAATCCCCCGTGTCGGCGTGCCTGATTACCGTGGTGCGGCCGTGGACGTTTGCTGGGTTCATGGTGATGTAGAGTCCGGCGATTTCGTCATGTATCCAGTACTCGTCTTTCGCGCCTTCTTCTGGGCCTTCTGTGTTGGCATCATGAGTGGTCTCCGGTTTGGTGTTGTCAGACTCAATAGTCTCCTGCTCAGCCTTCTTGATCTCGATACTGTCACGTTCGGGGTTCTCCATACTGTTAGGGTAAAGTCTGTTAGAGATGAACTGACCAAGATGAACGAGGTGACAAGACGAGCCTTGTTTTTCGTGAGTACGGCGTGCAGATTGCTCAAACCCGTTTTCCAGCTTGGACATGATTGCGATAGTCATACCAGTACAAACGATTGCAAAGGCCGCACGGTCAAACCTACTCCCCTAGCAGATCTACTTCCTCTTTTTCAACCTGTCCAGCGTCCTCATCGCTGTCTTCCTCATCCGCATCTTTACCCATAACCTCATCGCCAACCTTCTTACACCTCTTAATATTCTCCACTCCAACAGTCCTCTCCAATGCATCCATAAACCGGGGAAATACACCAGCGTTGTATTCCGCCTGCTGTGGTTTATGCGGAACAGACGCCCTTCTCTCAGCACCAGTCATAACCCCATGAGAGAAGCCTGCGCGCCATTCATCCGGCGGAAGATGAACATGGCATTCCCTGTATTTACGTACTGTTTTATTGCCTTTCGAGCCGGTGGTGGTGTGGTGATAGCAGTCGACAAAGCGGAGGGTGCGGCCTTCTTTGAAGGGGTACCATTTGATGACGATTGGTTTTCGACCGCCCCTGCCTCTGAGATGGATGGCTTTCCGGTTTGAATTGCCTTTTGTGGGGTTGAGGTCTAGCACCATTGTCTGTTCGTCGAGGGTAAGGGTTGCTTGGCTCGTATGATGCTCGTTTACATGGAACAATAGCGCTGAGAATGGTTAGTACCAGATCGTGACATCGTATATGTACCTTAGTCTACTCACGGTCGTTTGTACCTGCAGACGCTGCGATCGCTGCATCGCCATCATCCTCCTCCTCAGTTTCCTCTTTAATTGGGCGTGCTAGAATAGGATTCTACAACACGGCCGGAGAAACCTTCGCTGGATCGTTATTCCTCGCATACTCTTGTATGAAACTGTTGTCTTTATGGGTGGTGTCGCCAGGTATACTATGAACAATCGATATTGTCTGGTCCAGTTCATCTGTTGCTATGACAGCGCCATCAATGCAGGCTCCTCTGTATCGCTGAGGAATTGATTTGTTCGATCCCATGAAGAGTCCCAGACCAAACAAACTTCTTCAGTAAACTTGTCGTGCTTGACTATGGTGGTCTGGCTAGAGGGATCCTCAGGCGCGGTAGTGATGTAAAGTCCTGAAATATCATGCTGAAAAAATTCTTCGGCGTCGGTAACCTCTGATGGTCCCCGAGTTGAACATGTGGCATATCCGACAATGCCACTTGGTTGGTTGGTGTTCTCCATATCGACGTAAGCGAGTACGATTGAAGTAGGAAGAGCAGCATCGCCCAAGCGAGAAGAGTAGACTTATGGGTTGTCAACACGCCGAAAAGCTTGCTCATGTCAGTCAAGATGCTCGGACATATTTTTTTCCTATCAGAATAGACTATGATGATAGGCTATAAATAATTAGTGACACTTGTAAGGATCGTTCATGTGTGCATGATGAGACAAGAGGAACAATACTGCAGCACCAAGATCACTTGCACTCGGCTCCCAATTCTGCAAGTGAGTGAGGTCATTGTTGTTCATAAAATTGTTGTTCCTAGTGCCTTCCATGGATTCCAAACGATTGGGGTGAAAGTCCAGAGAGGATCTTTGAACGGGGCGACGTGCGTGTCATTACTGTAGACCCCGTTATGTCTACTAGATGCGATATCGCGTTTGATCGTCGTAGACATCTGGAAAATGATTTAGCGGGACCTGTAATCATGCAGATTGTGGCTACAGGGTAAGGGCGATGGTGGTGTGAAAGTCACGATGCCGTTGCAGTAAGGTGCAGCAGCGTTCCATCCCGTTTCCGAGCGGAGCAATGACGTCCGCGACTAACACATTTCGGGTAACGCGTGACACCGCGTCCGCGCTCTTCTCAAGTGCTCTCGGTCGGTGTTTACTCCGATGCGCATGAGCAAGGATGAGTCGACTCATTGCGAACACCTGGGTATTCCGTCGGATACTTTCGCGCGAGTAAGCGCTAGAAAAGGGCGTAATGCTACTATCACGTAGGTCTGGTCTGCCCTTTCAGTGTGTACATAAGTGTGTTGGAGGGAGCATACTTAGGCAACCCACCGCTTGCATCGTTGCATCCCTTTCATCCTGCGCACGCTTCGACGCTGAGAGCTTCACCGATACAATACCTAGGTATCAACCACGACCATGACCTCTCAAAAAGCAGAGTTCATCAAAGTACCAACTGATAACTCCGATGGCTTCCAAACAATGCCCGTAGAGCCCTCGCGAAGACTCCCAGAATCCGAACTACGAATCGAGAAATGCACTCCCCAAGATGCGGAGAAGATCGTGAGTTCCTCCACTCCCCATTCCCCCGCATACTCAACCCACGAACCTCATCATACTAACAATCCCACCCAGGCAGAAGGCCTCTACCTCTGCTTCCCAGACGACTGGTGGGCCAAAAAGGAGCCCCCGGAAATCCGCCCAGCCGGCGAGAACAGCCTACAAATCCGGACTCAGCGCATGGCTCAACGACTAACCCCCGCCATCACCGATCCCCACCATTGCTTCATGAAAGCCGTCTACACCCCCACCGGCGAAACCGTAGGAATAGCCGGCTGGACGCTCCCCACCAACCCCTCCGCGCACAACCTCTTCCGGCGTAGTGCCGCCGATCATTATGGTTGGAAAGAGAAGCAAGGCTGGACTGACGAAGAGCTCGACGAGATGTGGTCGCACGTCAGCCCCGAGAACTGGAGCGAGCGATTCGCCAAAGATGATGAGATTAGGAGGGAGGCTACGGGCGGGGAGAGGCATTGGTATCTTGCACCATTGCTTACGTGGCCGGAGTGGCAGGGCAGGGGCGTGGGGAAGAAGTTGATGGAGTGGGCGTTGAAGCAGGCGGATAGTACGGAGCCAAAGACGTTGATGTATCTGGAGAGTAGGCCGAGTGCACGGGCCGTTTATATGCATCTGGGGTTCGTGCCGTGCGGAGAGTATAATATGCTGAGGAGGGGACCGAAGGTTGTCAGGGGCTTGGAGACGGAAGAGGAGAGAGAGAAGACCGGGCTTTGCAAAACTGGTGTCCCGGCAAAGGATACTCAGGCTGGTCTTCAAGATTAAGTGTTTTTTTGGATGCGGAGAGCATCGCCCTACTTCGAGAATATACGGCAGCGTGCCTGCAGCTGCTGACCTTTCGATCATGCAAACTATCTACGTGATTTTTGTAGACGTGGTACGAAGTGCGGAGTCTCCAGAGGTAACTAAGCTTCCCAAAGAGACGTTAACAGGAACTATAGATAGCGAAACAATTACGTATGAAGATCCATCGACGATTGGCGTTGTCAGATGCAACTTCACATCCCCCATCATCGCAGATTAGTATCAGATCCAAACAGTACCTAACGAGTCTCGACTCAGGCTTCTACTCATTTTCCATGTTCTTCCAAGCGAGAGCAAGATGTTTTCCGCTGTAATACTTAGGCGCAGCTTCTGTTCTGTTCTTCTCGCCGCGACGTTCCTTGCTGAATTGAACGATCAAATCGGCCGCCAACTGCCCTTGACCGGCCAACAGCTCCTGGAAAGCCGGTGTTGTACCTAGGGCATCTATGTGGACGATGACATACTCCAGTACTTCCTCCCGTAGTGCATCGCGCGCTGTATTGGTATCCCTGTCCTGGGTGTTTTCACTGGAATATGCGAAATCGACCAAAGCAACGATGTCGTCGATGCGCTCAGGTGTCGCGAGGAAGTCGGGATGCATGCACAGCTTGAGTGCCTCATGGAGTTTGTACAGGGCCAGATACTTTAATGGGGGGATCATGTAGTAATGAGCGAGACAGTACATCCTGGCGTTGAGAAGGAAGATGGCTTTGTGCCCACGGTCACTGTCTCCTATGCGATGTGCGGAATAGTCCACGGCGACCGTGTTCTCGGCGTGAGACGTGCGGAGGGTAAGCGTGTAGCTTTTCTCAATAAAGAGCTCAAAAAGGCTTTCGCTCTTCATACTCTCAAATTCGCCGATGATTTCGTCCAGCGGTTTTCCAGCAAGTTCTCGCAGCTTTGTAGCATCAGTATCGTCTTCTTCTGCATCTTCTTCAACATTCTCTTCTTCTTCCTCATCGTCTGTACTGTCTTCTTCGTCGTCGTCTGACATGTATTCGTCCTCTTCATCTTCCACTTCCATCGCCTCTGAGTCCTCTGAAGTTGGTGTTTCATTCGGGTAAGAGCTTATCGTATAGTCGCTACGATATGCGAACTCAACAAGGCGAAGGAAGATATTTTTCTCGACTTCAGGCAAGGCAGCGCATTTCTCTTCTGACTCTCTCATCGAACCGTTGATGAGACGGTCGAAGGGCTTCGATAGACTTGCCATGACTTGGGCGTGAGCGACCACCGGCGCACGCTCTTCACCAACGAAGAATGTGAACTGCGGTGACGACAGCAATCTGAAGTGTGTCAGCGACAGGTTGCAAGCCGATGGGTTGTGGTCTACTTGCTCTGGGAACGAAGGCGCCATCCTGTTTGTGGTTGAAGATCGGTGCACGGGCTGGGGCCGATGATTGAGAGGTCCAGGGGCAGATAGTGGTTGTTGCCTTCAATGTATCAAAGTCGAGCTAAACACAGAAACATATTATGTCCAGGGTCAAGAGCGCATGAGTCAAGAGGCGCGAAAAACTTTATGTAGAGCTGGCGAATGTAAGGTAAGGTAAACAATGGACGCGAGGACTGGGAGGAAGTTTCGAGGGCTGACGAGCTAAAATGGTAGTGTAGTCCCAACAGGGAAAGGCGTAAGCTCAGACCGGTCTCTACCAGCTCTGATTGGCTCGCTGCTATGCTCACGCAAGTGTATACCTTGGTAGGAACACTATCTCCTGGGCTTCTGGGCTTCTGGGCTTCGCGCTCGAGGCTGAAGTCTTTTCGCCAGGATATCTGATTGTGTAAATTGATGAGTGGTTAAGTCGATATTTGTGGGTGGCCAGGGTTCGTCTAGGTTTGATCAACCATGGTGTAGTAACACTGTCAACGAATCCGCAGATAACCAGGTAGTGTCGATGGTCTGACGGCCCACTTCACAACTCACTCGATTGTGCTCTTGTGTTCGTGCTCGTATTGTGAACGGCAGATTACACTTACATTGCATTGTTGATAAAAAGTGAAATTTTCTTGCAGCACAAGTCGTACAGTTAGACTCCGAGGTAACTGAGAGATGGCAATATATTCTATTTTACACTCAACACCCGATCGAGCAATTGCTGGGTGAAAGGCCATGTTGAATGCTCGATGTCGGCTCCTGCGCTTCGGTCTCTCTCCCCAGCGTTGATATATTGATCTTCTCCCACGGGCGACGCTCTGGAAATTTGCATCTGGCAGTTCAACCAAGTCTTCGCAACCCCTCTAGTTTACTTACCATACTACTTCTACGGACTCTCAAATAGCACCGCAATCGCAACTGGCAGCATGGCGATGTCGGGCAATACGCTTCCAAGCCCTGCCCTTCAATCATTAGATGCATCCTTTTTAGACACGAACGAGGCAGGTGTTTCAAAACCCAAGGGCTTCCTCGATCTTCCCGGTGGTGAGTTCCAGCGCCCTATCGTCTGCACATGTGCTAACATCTGTTCCAGAACTCCTTAACTGGATATATGATGACTACCTCTCAGACGTCGGATTGTCGACGGCCATAGGTTTCGGCAACGCATGCCGGACTACCCGGTCGGAGTACATGCCGTTGTACTTCGGTTCTGTCACAGCTCACATCCACTTCGTCCTAGTAGAACGCTTCTTCCGGATATTTTATGCTGATACGTCGGCATTTCCTCGAATTCCCGCCTGTAAACTCCTCGTAGAGCTCGGTCAAGACTATGGCTGGGGAACATACACCAGTGTCGATCTCAAGTGGCTAGGCGAATACCTGCGTGGTCACCCGGACGCCGAGATCTTTATTGAGAAATGGGAGATGATGCCATTCAGTCTGTATAAGGCGATTGATTATATCCCGTCAATCTGCGACATGTATTTGCGGCTTAATGATAGGGAAGCTGTTATCCTGCGCGCACAGCCCGTGTCGGTTCATACTCCGTCTGATGTGCGTACGCATGCGTTGGATTGGGTGTTGACATTAGTCATGAAGCCAAAGACTGCACGCCGTATATCGGACAGGAACTCGGACCGGATAGATCAGGCGGGAGGGGTCTTGACGCTTCTGCATCCCCGGGGTGGAATTGATGGAAAGAAGATTAGTTCGCTTGAGATCCAGGTGGGTGGTGGGGGTGAAAACTGGCACGTCAAGTTCCCTATTTAGAAGGTGTGGGAAGGTCTTAATGACCATGGTAAAAGATATCTTCACGGGCTGAAATCAGAGTTGGTGTTACCATGATACTCGTGATGGTGATGTTGTGATGTCAGATGGAGAGACGTTCGAGGCCGCCCGCGGAGGCGCGCATAGAACGGCCGGCTAGCCGGATTGGAGCTGGGACTAGCGCCAATTTCCGCGCGCCAGGCCCGCTCATGCAAACATGACGGACTCAGTCTCGCACCACCACCACCATGAGGGTGCGATTGACGCCGTTGCGCCTCGTGTGCGTCGCCATAACCCTCGTCACCTTCTTCTTCACCTCGCTCGTCTTCCGGCTATGGCGGGGCGAGCGCGGCTACGACACCTTGCAGGAGCGGCCCCCTCCCGCTGGGCCCGCGCCCGTCTCTCCGGTGCACTTTGGTGAGGAGTGCTCGCCCTTCACCGCCGGCGTCATGGAGCGCGTCACCATTGTGCTGAAGATTGGCGCTGGGGAAGTCGCGACCCAGCTGCCCATGTATCTCAACCGGTTGGGAAGGTGCAAACAGGACCTGCTCATCTTCTCGGATCGCAAGGACTCGCTCAACGGCTTCGAGATTGCCGACGCCCTCGCCCACCTGCGCCCGGAGTACAAGTTCAACAACCCCGACTTCGACGTATACGACCGCATTCAGGCAACGAATAGCACCCAGGACAAGACGGAGGAGGGGTGGCGGCTGGACAAGTACAAGTTCCTGCCCATGATGGAGTGGACGTCATACATGCGGCCCGAGTCGGAGTGGTATGTCTTCCTGGAACTGGATACATACGTCAACTACGACAACCTCTACCGCTTCCTCTCCAACTTCAACCCCAAGACGGCCTACTACTTCGGCTCCCCCGTCTGGCCCAAGAAGAAGACGACCTTCGCACACGGCGGGACTGGCTTCGTGCTATCGCGCGCAGCGCTGGACAAGATCATGGCGCTTGGCAGGATGTTTGGTGAGAACAAGCACTTCCCCGGAACACACTTCTTCGGCGTCGACGTCAAGAAGCAATGCTGCGGAGATGAGATGTTAGCGCAGGTGCTCAAGAAGAGCGGTGTCTCACTGCGCGGATACTGGCCCATGTTCAATGGCGAGAAGCCGTTCAGCATGCGTTTCGACAACGAGCAGTGGTGCGAAGCCATCATGACAATGCACCACCTCGGCGAAGACGACTTCACACGACTCTCCCAATGGGAACAAGCGCGACCGCATCCCGAACGGCCGCTCATGTTCGAAGAGCTCTTCACAATGATCGAGCCACACCTGCAGGAGAGGGCCGAAGACTGGTCCAACATGTCCGAAGACGTCACATACAGGAAGGGCAAGACAGCCTCCAAGTCCTTCGACAACTGCCAACGGGCTTGCGCGAAAGACGGCCGCTGTCTCCAATTCGAACACGACGGCATCGAATGCCGCCTCGGATACTCCATCCGATTAGGCCACCACCAAAGCCGCGAAGGCGAGCGCTCATGGGTGTCTGGGTGGATGCTAGGCAGGATAAAAGTTTTCAAGCAGGCTCGCTCGCCATGTCAGGGCGCACGTTTTGTTCATTCGAATCCTTGAGCGGGATTGCTGAGATGCAATGGACGACGATATGAATATCTTTCCTGCACGATTTTACGGCATTGTACGGCGTTTGATACCCCAAAGGCGTTTTTGAGATGGCACGCTATTGTATATATTGTGCAGGTTGTCGGCATATACGCCATGGATTGGGAGGGGTGATGGGTGTGTTGGCAGGAACATGCTAAGTGACGACGCAGCGTAATGCAAGGACGCCTACACGGAGACCCCGGGGCGCCATCATCGAGTCGATATATGAGGCTCCTAGGAGACAATCACCAGACGTAAGCCACACACATCTTAGGGTGACTGGTGTACAGAGGGCGAATGCGTCGCACCTCACCAAGTGATTGGGCGACTTCGGAACATCTTCAGTCTGGCAATACGCTCTAGGTACACTCAAGACCTACTGCTCTTCGCGAAACGGCAGAATGTAGATGACAGCCGGAAGCTATCGTGATGAGGAAACGAATTGGCATCATAACTACTCGAGGGTCATGTACACCACAATAATAATCGACATTTGCAGCCAGAACGATCTTTGCGCGTATGTTTGAAGATTCGCCAATTGCTACTAACTTTCTAGGCACTTGAGTTGTCATCATGCTCAAACATCACGAGCGAATTCAGCAAGCTTTGCACTGTACTCACGAGATATAGAGACGTTTTCCGAGCGTCCTTTTTGACTCTCACGATACGACCACTTTCCGCCTCCACTATCTGGACATGGCGGACACTGACAACACAAGTAACCAGGATGAAAAAGGCAATTTCAAGAAGTACTTTGTACAAAAGGTCCCAGGGCTGTAAATTGCCATTCATCCCAGCAACGACAACGGTCAAACCTCCGTCGTCAGACAAGATAAGGATGACAACAACATGTAGCCGGTATGGGACTCTACATGAAATCGGACACCAGAAACTATCCCCATGCCGAAAGACCAGGCCCTTGTGACCACCGACGGTCCCCACAACGTCCTTACTATACCCATAAAGCGAAAGCAGACGGTTTCGGTGCATCATAGCCCACCTGGCGGCCAGCAGACCACTATTTACACACATCCCACCGAAAGTGTTGACCAACAAATCCCGTAATGTATGAGGACGCTTCGTGCGGCACGTCTCCAAAGAGGATCTTGCCAAACCGATCCCACCCTCTGCCCCTAAATCAGGCGAGAATGAGGATGTACGCCGACAGAAGCTCAGTCTGATGATGAACTCTGCTTCAGATCACGATGGCGGTGACGACCAGGATGAGGGTCGCGCATTCATCGACTTATCCGGTCCTGTTGGTACATCTGGTGTTAGCCCCGGAGACTCCAGCAACGGTAAGTGCTATACGCTGCCGTCTAATACCTCTTCACAGAAACTACATAATGCTAACCAAACTCTAGTACCATTCCTTTATGTCTACGAGCACCATACATGCAACCCAAAGCTGACATTCGGCCCTCAAAGCACCCTACGACTGATCCGCGAAAAGAAGAAATCAAATGACCTTGTCCTTTACCTCAAAGAAGTCGACGGCAACGCACCCGTCCATGTCGAATACTACCGTTTCAAACAGGGCTACACTCTGCGTTTCAATGACTGTGGTACGACGAAGCAGAAGAAACGACCAAAGACCGCAGACAGCAGCACCGTCACCACAGAAGAAAAGAAGGGGAAGGACAAGGCGAAGGAAGCGAACAAGAACATCGCTCAAAGCGACACGGGTGAGAAGAAATCCAATTTCCCTAAGGGCGCCGAGGTTCTGTGGTACAAGGAATTTCATATCTATTTCCCAACGAACCGCTGGAATACTGGTTTCCGCTACGGCACTTGGACGGACGACTATGTGGAGGGGTATGGCACGTACAACGAAGCGAAATCAAAACATAACGTGGTGGACTTTCCACGTTTTGTGAATGAGCTAGAGCGATGTTTCAAGCAACAGGATATCGACAAGAACGCGGCGGTCGAGGAGACAGTCGGGAAAGACGGAAAGATTAAACGAAAGGGAAGAGAGTAAAAAAGGCCACAGCGAAGCCCGAAGTGGAAGACGCGGGGGGAAGGAGAGTTTATATCCTCAGGCGCAGGGAAGAAGGCGAGGGGCTTGTTCCTGATATCCGGGTGAGGGTTACGTAGGAAGGGGAGGAGCGGATCATGAGAGAAAGAGCGGATGAGAAGGCGAACGAAGGAAACAATGGGGTCGCGGAAGAGGGGCTTGATCAGGTTGCAGGGGAAGGAGCAGATCTGGTTGTCGAGAAGGGAGAAGATCGGATGGAAATGGATATGGACATGGACGAGTAGAAGAGGCCGTACGAGAGGCATGCCGTGGGTTGCAGAGTCCTGAAGAGAGGGTGAACCACTCCAGCTCCCAATGAAGACAGAAAGGCACAGGTACGTACAAGATGCAACCGATAGAGCTGTAAAGTACTCTCGCATCCGTTATTTTGGTATCAAGTATCTTACCGCATATAGTAACGCCACAGAAGGGCCATGTTAGTTACAGTATGTAAAGTGCAGGATTAACTCGACTGTCTATGGCCATCGCACCGATATCGCGGGATACTAGCTAGCGAGAATGAGTATAGCTTTCCCTCTTGCCAAATTACGAACGGTTCAGTTTGCAGAAGACTATAGAACGGCAGATTAAAGAGTGTTTCAGACGAGTCGTGTGGTAGCATGCGGAGACTGGGGCTGAGTAGGAAGAGCCAGCCAAATCAGAATCGACAACAAACGCGTTCGAAAGATGATATTCAAACAGCACGCCTCGTTTGGCCTGCACGCCAGCACTAGTCCAAAATGTGAGAGGATCGCTGCTGTTGCACGTGGCTGATCTCGGCTAACAGATACACAAGGCGGACGGATGATGAACGTCGTTGACAATCATTGTAGGCGCCTTCTCACGAAAGCCGAAAGTCAAAATCATTCGCCTTGCGCTTTCGTCACCGGCCCTGGGGAATCGATAGCTGAGCTGAGACCCGCAAAGGACGGCGGGGATGTTCTCTAAGTGCCTTACACGAGACCTTGCGATGTGCGCGTATCCTTGTCTCGCGTGCGTCGCTCGTGCAGAATGCAAGCGCCACAAGTTCCCAGGTCGTGGATTGCAGCTACTCGGGTGCGTACACCGCTGTTCTCTCAGTTGCAATCATTACCACGTGGTATTAGTGGACCATGCGCCGGCAAATGGTTGCCGCTACGAAGCCATAATTAGCGTCCATTCAGAGTCGCCGGGGTTTCGCCCATCAGATGGCAAGTGTGTTGAATCATCATGTAGCTGAGGCTGCTCTTGAAGGTTTCGCTGGGCGTTGAAACGGCTATGGTGGCTTTGGTAACTCCAAACCTTCCCCAGATCAAAAGGATTCGATGAAGAAGCAGCAGATTTCATTTGCCTGGATTTCGTTCTCTCCGTTGTATGTCAATATGCATTACATTCGAGATCTGATGCAGCTGCAGACATCGTACGTTCATTGCCATGTTCATATTTGCCGGCACGCCTTTCGCACATTCTGTTGGCTGGCCGTCACACCGGTTCTCAGTATGCTTGCAATTTGTGGAAGTTGTCAAAGATGTAAGGCTAAAAAGAGCAAGTAGATCCAGGGCACATCGGGACTAGCACTAAAGAAGCTCCGCACAAGTCTTCCATGTGGATAGCTCTGTGGTTTGTCAGTACGATAATCCGACACGAGGACTGGTCAAGCATGCTCTCAAATGCGCACAACCTTGAACAGTCAATAGTCCCAAGCAAAGATTCTAAACCGAGGTTCAGAAAGGGGAATGCTAACAGCGCCCACTCAGCCCAGCAGACTTCAGATTGCCCGTTCCTTTGTTGGCTGGCCAGTCGGTTCCAAAGCAATCTCGCTTATGCCCGCCAACCTAACGGCCTACAGCGCCTAGGATCCACTATTTCAAGCCACACCTGCGCCAATGGCGTCACGATCGAGTTTCAGGTAGACGTTGTCGCACTAAAGGATATATTTCTATGATCAGCTACCAGGCTTTCCACATGTACAAAGACAACCGGATCGCCTCATCAGACAGTACATATCCATGGTCGTCCACAAGTGGTGAGTTGGTGTTTACTGCAAAGCTCTTACCGAAGCGCTACTCGTTCCGTACTCATGAAACATTTCGAGACTCACAAGTGTATGCTGCGGCGGCCGTGCTGTTGCGAGAGCCTCAATACAATCCTGCTATGAATTACAACACTTCCATACCTGTGAGATACTTGGTGGGTCCCTACTCTGCCATAAATATCGGGTCCCCCTCCATGCCCAGATACCTCCAAAACATACACTGATTTTCATCCTATCATCTACTCTTCACAGTACTGATGCGCCTACGTCTACACCACTCTGCATTCCTAATTGGACGCCAACCTCTTTTGAACGTTCTGCCTACCAGTTTCCCTCGCTCGGTAACTACCATCATACACCTGGCCCGACCTTTGCCTTCATGGATGAACGGTCTGATTGGCGGGGTAGCGACCCCCAAGCCCCTACCCATCACTTTGCCGCACCTTTCCAACACAGTACCCACGGGAACGAACTAGCCCAGAATACCAACTCAGCCACACTTGCAGCCCTCCAAGCAATGGAAAGTGTCATAGTAGGTAACGTCAAAGAGGAAGACAGACTTGCAACACGGCGGTTTCAAGCGAGTCAATACTTGCACATATCATCTCCACGTAATCCTACCGAAATATACGAATTGAACGAGACCGGGGGCCTGCATTCGAGCTTGGCCGGGGATCTCCATCTAGGGCCAATTCCGACTCTTCTTCCGCAACATACGGAGGCTGCCACGACGCAGAGACAGAACCAGGCTATATTTAACTTCTTGAGCAGAGGCACAGATCCGAAACACATTCTTGATTATGTTGAGAACTTCCGAATCATGCTACTTTCAGGGAACTTCCATGACCTTGCCATCATGGCTGAGATACCATCGGAGGAACTCGCTAAGAGGGTTGAGGATGTCGGTTCGTAGATGCGATGTTCTACTTCATCATCATGCTGATACAAGACAGTCAGTCACTCAAACCCTACAACCGTCGTGGACCCCCCAAAGATCAAGCGCGAACCTCCCGACGAAAAGCCTAACCATCCCCCCACACATGCGGACGGAAGCCAAAAGAGTAAGAGAGCAAAGCTCAGGGATGCAACGAACAAGAAGCCGCAACCCCCTGTCTACGGATGCTTAGGCAATGGAGGCAAGTGTCAGGAGCGAAAACACAGATATTGGAGGTCGAAGAAAGAGTTCCGGACACACTTCGAGACCCACCTAGAAGATTACGATACGCCTGAGGGCTTTAAATGCCCAGCTTGTGAGAAGAGGATGCTATCGCCTGGCATCGTCTCTATCACCACCACATCATTCTCCCATGGTCGAGATCTGGCAATGCATGTGTGGTTCGAGCACATGGTCCCCTCGACCACATCGAAGCAACCCCAGGATACTTCACTGGTGGCGAAAGGCGAACCACGAGAAGGCTCAACTGCCAGACAGGATGAGCCCCGCGACCTCGAGCTAGGAAGTCACTTCCAGAACACCATCGAGATGGAGGAAAATGGCGATGAACCCTGGGAGTGTCCAGACACTCAACATGGCCAACCTGGTGTCAGCGAGCTCAACCTATGGTCTGTCAACGACAGTACATACAGCGCCGATGCTGCATCTCGTACTTGATCTTTCCGCCTCTCGGATGTCTGGTTCGATAGCTTGCTCAGGATGGCATCTCCGTCGGCTCCGCCATCGCTATGGTTTCTTTGTTCATCACGACACACGTTCTCGGTCGAAACATTATTCCCTTTACTTATAAGCATGTACAGTGATACAGTTCTTTCCTACTACAAATGTGAAACAATCAATCCTTCTTCATACATACCAACCTCTCTTTTCATCTTTCCTTCTCACGAGAGACGCTTCGAGGTCGCTGCACACACGATGCCGCTGGGCAGCTTTTGGAATCTTCACATCCGTTCACTGTCTTCGCCGTAGAAAGCGAGGAGGAGTGATGGTCGTAGATGTGACTTCTGACGCCGGTATTTGTGTTCAGGAAGCGGAAAGTTGGGCCGTAGGGTCATGATTAATGATAAGATAATATTCCGTGTCATAGCCCGTTGTAGACTATCTATCTCACATGCTGCTTAGAGCTGACATGTCTGCTGATCTAAGATTACGACTATAAAGCCTTTCAATTCATGCTCTGTATCGTTCGGAGGAACAAGTCTTTAGCTTCTCAGAGAGCCCAATCTACGCAATCCCTACTAGCTGTTTGAGATGAATGAGACTCGTCATCATGCTTCACAGCCCGAAGACCTTCTTCCACTGAGTCCTCATGTCCTGCAACGTACACACGACTTCGGTGTACACCGCACTCTGTAACGCTTCGCCATGAAGATCATCATCGCAGGAGAAATCGCAATACAAACATTTGCGCACGACTTCCAGGTACCGCGAGCCTAAAGTCATGATCGAATGATGCTGTTCATCAAGCAGCTTTCTCGCGGCGATGATCTCACGGATTTGAGGGGACCCCTCCAGCTGCGGCGTCGTGCTATCCGTCTGAGCGCATATCTCTAGTAGCGCGACGCCGAGTTTAGCCAGGGTCAGGTTGCGGATGCCGAAGTTGTGCTTCAGATCAAGCGATGATTGCTGTGACCCGGTTTCTGACGAAGTTGGATCTGGAAAGCGGTTGCTCAGATGCAAGCTGTCCAGTGCATTGAATATATTGTTCGCGTCGGCTTGAGATTCATCCGTGAAGTATGCTACATCTTGAAGAGTCCATGCTTGCGGCAACCAAGAAGTGGAATGATATTGGAGAACAGCCTCAGCCAACTTTTGCGCGAGTGTGATCTTTTGCAGGATCTGGAAGCGTTGAACGAGGTTCTTGATCGGTAGCGCTCCTTGTCGCCGGCTGCAAGAAGGCACATCGTTGGTCGCGAGCTTGCTGGCATCGTAGAACATGAAGCGGGTTGTTGGCTGACTCTTCGCGACTTCAAGAAACCCCACGCAGCTATCTTGGCATGCCGATGTAGATAAGCGTACTCTCGTTACATGACAGCATACGCTTTTTGTTGTCTTTAGATCTAGCATGACGAAAGATTGGGCTTGTGTTGCTAACGCGTGGCTTGCTGGTGGTGTTCGAACACATTTACTGTTGTCTTTGGGATCATGGATTCGGACTCTTTTCTTTGACTTGGCTTTGATGGGCGGCGTTGGGGTCGCAACTCCCGACACGTCGTTGATCCCACAACATAACGCGTTCGCTAGTGCCGGTGGAGGTAACGTTGGAGCCCTACACATCGCGAGGGATGTAATGGACCGAATTTGCAACCATATTGGGACGTCGCTAGATAGACTACAGATCGTCGTTAATCAACAATGTTTCTACTTCATTTCGGGCCGCGAAGAATATCCGCTCTGACATACTTTTGGATTGCCGTATTCGGCTTTGGCTGGCAAGCGATGACAACATCGAGTTGCACGTTATCGTACTCGCTTTTGGCGTCGAGCGATAACTTCGCCTGGTGTCCACTGTGAGAGGTGTTCGTGCAAGACCACGAGTCATGGATAGACTCTCCTAACTGTTGTGAGGCGACTCGGATCTGCTGGTAGCTCCTTGGCACGGCCTTGCGGATGATGCAAGCCGCAGGAACATTGCGACGCTTCTGAAGCTTACGCCTCTGCTTACACAGCTTGCCCAGCGACTTGTTCCACCTCTCCAACGAATCCAGCTGTCGAAGGTATTCGTTCTCCTTGCGCGATATGTTGAAGGCGTTCCAGAGCTTCTGTGCGAACTCGTGTTGGGACTGTTTTGCGTTGCCCAGGCTGTTCTCGAGTTTGGACAGGCTATTCCGTGTCTCGCGGAGGATATCGCGTAGTCGCGTCACAATGTTTTGGCAAAGCTCGTAATCGTGCTGCATCAAATCTCGCAGTCGCTGCTCAATCTCCTTTCCTTGTTCTTGCCAGCTCTTGTGCGTCGGATCCTCCATCATCTCTGAGACCTCGCTCGGATATGCTATGGTCGCCTGCAGCAGAAGGCGACATTCATTGTTGAAGTTCGCTGCCGCTACGTCGAACTTCAGCTGGATGTCGTGTGCAGCTTCTGCATGCCGTGAGAAAGTGGCCAATTTGCGCTTGGCTGTGCTGTAAGACTTCAGAATCTCGACAACGACCGGTACAACACCAAAGACTAGACCAGCAATTTCGATGCCCGACATGATGGTAACAAGGAAGGTCAAGGGATACGGGAATGCGCCAGGCTGATGACAATGGTACTGTTGATTGAAAGAGGCGCAGTTTAGCCCCCAATGCGATATGCGCATGCCCCTCCAAGGCGCAGCAGCCTGAGCGACACGGCTGCTCAGCCCCAAAGAAGACTGTCGCAACTAACACACCGTCCTCGACATGTCGTCTTGCAGCTCCTAGAAATCGACCTACCGCCCTTGCGAGCTCGTTGTCGAATCTCCCAACGCTAGGGACATTGCGCGCGATAAGCAGATGGAGAACCCCTCCGCAGAATCTCGCTATGAAGCCTCAGCTGCCAAAGATGGCTTCTTGACGATGGGTCGTTGGCAGACTGATCTGAAGCGCTCTCAACGAACAGCAATTCCACCTGCGAGCAACACATCGATTTCACCTAGAACACAACTGTCGGCGACGTCTCCTGATGGCCATGCATCCTCTATGGTCGCCACACAACACCACACGCCACGCCCCTTCGATCGCACTGGTCAGGTCGCACCTCCAGGAACGTCACGCGAATTCACTACAGTTCTTTGGGAGGATGAAGGCTGCCTTTGTCATCAAGTCGAGGCTGCGGGTGTCGTCGTGGCTCGACGCGAAGACAATCACATGATCAATGGCACCAAGTTACTTAATGTTGCTGGTATGACGCGAGGCCGTAGAGACGGTTTGCTGAAGAGTGAGAAAAGCAGACACGTAGTTAAAATTGGGCCAATGCACCTGAAAGGCGTTTGGATTACATTTGAGCGTGCTCTGGAGTTGGCGAATCAAGAACATATCACGGATCGGCTGCACCCTTTGTTCGTGCGCGATATCGGCTCGCTCATACATCAGCCCTCATATCAGACGCTTGACAAGCGTTTCGACTCTCAACTCCAACCCCAAAAAGGGGAAAATGCGACCGGGAGTAGCAAAGCTAGCTTGGTTCATTCTCATGTGCCAAAAGATACCGACAAGGATTCACAAACGCTCGCGTCGGATACTGTACAGGATACCGAACCCCACAAGCAAGGACTTCTTGGATCACTTTTCAGATCTCTTACAGAGACGCTGGGACGCATTCTCAATGAGGCCGGGAATGAGCCCAGCATGGCCGGACACTATGGCGTCTTAGAGTCAACCTGCGCAACTTTGTTTTTTTGGGGTACCGACCTTGGACTGCCGCGAGGCGAGCTCGACGATGTGCTTCAGGGCTCTCCTCAGTTGCGCGATACTTGCCTAGCCGTTCTTGTGTCCATCTCTCGATTTGTGAGCACTTGTAAGCAAACGTCACTCACATCACTATATCGCCCTAACACTAACACGAGTCAGCTTTGATACACCTTGTCATGAGTGAGCATCGTCGAAAAGAGATCTTACAGTCAACCCATCTCGCGACTCTTCTAGAACAGGTCGCGGACATGATTGGTCGACAACATGATTTCGCTTATCAGCCCGAGCAAGACGCGGAGACGATGTGTCAGACCCTCCGTACGAAAATTGATACACTTATCATGTTGGCACCCAGCCTGGAATCACCGGCGGAAGAGATCTTTGACGAAGAGAAGCCTCGTACTATCCAACACATCGAAGAACACTTACCAGAACAAGCGTACGCTAGCAGTATCTCGGAAAAGTTCCCTCTAGCTCCACCAGAGATGGTCGCCCAGTTGGGTAAGCTGAATTGGGATCGATACAACCACATTCTTCGCCTGCAACGGGCAGCAACGCAGCAAGAGCTTCAGACGACCACTCTAGAGAAAGCGAAAACGATCTTTCATGACTCCGGCCTCGGTACCTCGGTGCCAGCACAATCGGAAGTGGGGTTGAACACAGATCCTGTCTACGAACCGTCGATAATGTCCAGCAGGGCTGAAGCAAGTCACAAGCGTGTGCCATCATTGCCAGCCCAAGCTCGTTCTGGCGAGCCTTTCACATGCGAGATCTGCGAAAAGCAGGTGCAGTTTCAACGAACCAAAGCTTGGAAGTGAGTTGCCCATTCTCACGCTGCCTGAAGTACCTCAAAGCTAATAACCCAATTCTAGGAAGCATGTGTTTGATGATATACTTGCATACGCTTGCTTCTTCGCCGAATGCCACGACACTCGTATCTTTTTCGAAAATGGCGAGGAGCTGATGAATCATCTGGAAGATCACCATGGCATGGACGTTCGAGTCTCAGATATTGCATGCCCCATGTGTGTTGAGTTCACTTCCAGAGATCGCGATATCCTATCACTGCATATTGCGCGTCATATGGAAGAGATTGCTCTTGCGATATTACCTTCAGGTGTTGATTCTGACGAAGAGTCAACAGGCGGCTCAATTGACCGCAGCAATGCTCGGTCCGACGAAGACGACATGTCTTCTCCGAAAGCAGGAGGTAGCGACAATGGATCGTTTTCGGGTCCATCAGTCATAAACATCATCACCAGAGATCCCAAATTAGCAGGGATGATGGACTTCGAGCAGTCGTTGTACAGGTTCGATCGACATCAACAAAATCGAACTGGTGCACAGTGGATTACATTCGAGTACTCTCACGATGGTGTTGCGACAGAATATACCATCCGGCATGAAATCGAGACAGTTGACGTTGAGCGTTTACCTCATGAATTCAAGATTGATAACTGTATCTTTCCACATGCACTGGTTCCTAATGATCAGTACAAAGGTGGTGATCTGAAGAACGAGAAGGACTGGAACGCTCTTGGCTGGGCGCTAGCTGAACTTAATCCGTCCCTCCGAGCCTGTCGGGGGTTGCTTCAAAAAGCAGTACAAGAAGGGATCGGCCCATCAAAGCCAGGGGCGTCGCACCCTGGTGGCATTCAAAAGCAGGGAAACGTGCCAACATCGTCCGCAGAGAGCTCACGGAGAAAACGATCTTGTAACGCGTGCAGAAAGACGAAAAGTCGCTGTATAACACATGAAGGCGATATCAAGTGTGGCTTGTGCAATCTACACAAGCAGGACTGCACCTTAGTATCCGAAGAGCCTGAGCCGGGCCCGACAAAACATTCTCGTTCTGCGTCGCCAGCCACAAGCCCCGTACCAATGCCGCGGGAGATTGTGAAGTTCGATGTCAACGCTTCTTTAGGCTTGCAACTCGAATTTCACCAGTTCAACGATGTATCAGACTGTAACTGATCAGCGCAGACGCTCACTCAACGAGGCTGCCCGGGTGATAATTGGACCTGCAAGCCCATGTATCTGGACGAGAGACCAACATGGACTTCTTCCGAGCACTTCATAGAGCCCTATACTTCATATCATCTGGCCGATCATCGACACGACAGTCTTGCTGGTGGTCGTGTCGGATGCCGTCTTTGCAACGTGGCTGACTATCCCGGAGACGGACATGAGCTCGCCAAGCAAATCTTCTCTTATCACCTACAGCGTTAAGCCTGTTTTTCAAGCTATTTTTCCTTTATTAGCGGGGCGTTCAACTCCCGCTCTTCGATTCCTCATTTGGGTCGCCCCCGAAGTTGTGCTTTCGTTCCTATTGTTGAATGGCAATACATGTGTCTTACGACGCGATTCTTGTACGATGACAGTGCCATATATTAATCCATTACGAGAACGACAGTCTGTTTTATTGGTCTGGATGAGAGCCAGTGAACAATCACGAGCTCGTGCATACTGTGAATTGGTAAGTATGATATACACTTGGAACGATACAGCAGCTACCGTGTCAATTTTATCGTTTTCTATCGCCCTTATCATCTCTTCTAATACGTTCGCGAATGATTTCTATTGTTAGATGTACGAAATGCATTGGCAGGTAAATAGATCATCGTCATCGGGTTCTCATAATGCGCAGTCATCATATGGTATCACAACACCTAGCTGACATTCTCGCCCAGCTACCATCCGAAGGCTCTACGCATATTTTCTTCCCCTCTTCAATGACGCAACTTCCCCGTCCGCTCGTCCAATCGCCAACCTTCCAATCTTGTTGTCTTCCTCTATATCTCCGAATCGTATTTGCAAATCTTTGAGATGTCGCGATCTGTCTGCAGAGTCTAGATACGACCCCGTTGCCGGGAGATGTAGATAGGGGTTATCCCGTGTTGCCAGACTGGAAAAGTTCATGAGTACCTCTGGGCCGCGTAGAAGGTACGTACGGATGAAGAAGGGAATCACGCTGGCTGTGATCAGAACCACTGAAGAAATGATGAGAGCGACAACCCAGCCTACATGGGCCTGGAAGACCTCCACGTTGCTGCCTTTCGTAGCTTTGCTTGTCCATACCCTCGCAAGGGAAAAAATGTCCAACACTTCTGCTTTCAACTCTATCTGCCACTTGTCTTGGTAATGCCAGGAGATGTTACGGTCTAATACAGTGGTCTGAACGTTGAAACTACCGATGATGACGTTTTTGATATTCATCACGGCCCAATAAGAATTGAGCATTTGGCTCAGACGTATCGCAGCCGTGTCTGAATGTGGCAAAGGAGCTTCCTTGCTCATCGTATTGCTCAGATCCTCAGGTACTCTCAAATATTGTTCGGAGAAAAGGCTCGAGTTGGACTTGATGAGGGTTATCCAATCTGTTCTCATATACGCTGCGGGTGGTACTGGAAGACGAGAGCGCCGTACACGGGCTGCAAAGCAGGTAGAATAAGTAGGACAGGAGATCTCTACTTCGACGTAGGTTGATCTGATGGTACAGTTGAAACGACCCCGCTCTAGGCTGAACGGAAAGGCTGATCGTTCGGGTGGTGTAACCAGGACAAAGCTCACTGGTGCGAGATCTTCCTCCGGCAACCAGTCGGTACGTTTCGTGATGTCTTCGTTCCACTTCAAATCTCCTAACCAGGAAGATGCGTTGAACAGAAATTGTGTATCTGAAGATACCTTATAACAATTTAGGTCGTAGTACACAGCCTCGATACTGGTAGCGTAATCGATGAAGCTTGGCGAGTCTATGCCACTTATGGGTATGCCAATGAAAGAAGAGAAATTTTCCACGGTGCTGTTTTGTACCTTGTACCATCCTTCATTGTCCTTAGTGATGGTGTCCTCATAGCTCTCAATCCGTGGAACTTTCACATGGCCCCAAGCATCGCGTGGAGAGCCTTCCTTGGTCGTTGGACTAATCAGACCAGCCAAGTAGATGGTGTTCAGTGATGTCTCTAGATTTTGGTTCAGTGGTGTATCTAGGTTTTCGAATAATGTCGTATTCATGTCTCCGTTCGCACCAGCTGTCCAAGGATGAGGGCCGGGAACCACATACGACACTACAGCATCTTCCGATACTCCGCTTGAGCCAAAGCTTATCTGCCGGAACGATGATTGACCACCCACGGGAGACAGCATCCAGATAGCGACAAGGCCAAGGCCCACATAACTGACGACACGCAGGTGAAATTGTGATACGACGGTACTGGTAAGCGATGAACTACCGGCCAGTATGTCTAAGGTAGCGATTCTTTCGCCTCTTTCGAGCCTCCAAAGCAGGATCGCATGGGTGGCTCTTCCAACAATGGAGGCGAAAAGTATAGGATAAATGGTAGGACCCTATATTCGGTCATTCGAAGCAAGTCGTAATATGACCACGAATGTGCTCACCCATGTGGAAGCTTGTATAAATCTCTCCGCTGCTTGTTGGTGTGACTTTGTCGGTTTCTGGTCATAGGCCGAGACAAAGAGAGCGAAAGCCAAGAACGCGGTCGAGAGTGCCAGCAAGGAAATGTCGACCAAGATGCTCCAGATGGTAGTAGTAGTCGAGATCTTGATACGCTGCGATGAGGCTGGCCAGCCTCGAGGTGCTTCCGGTTGTTTTTCGACCAAAGAAGAGCCCACAAGCTCATAGTCCGAAGAGGCACTGTGACTTGTATCGTATGCTATGCGCAGGCTCTCTTCGGAGCTAGAGACAGCTCGTTCGTCGCGGTGAAGGGGCTGCAGTAGAGGTGTATCGGTGCTTAACCGCGACTCAGACGTAAGCTGATCCTCACTGCGAATGGACCCAAGCTCGATCTCGAATTCAGTAGATGTGGAACCTTCTGCATGTGCGGTGGCCATTTCGCAGGGATAGAAGAGGAAATTCAAAGACTTCAAGTAGTTGTGGTAAAAGGAAAGAATTCGCGCTTGACGAGGTTACATACACACATACGCTTATGCACCTAGGGGCAGGATTGGACGATGTGAGTTTTGCGTAACAATGCCACCACCGTACTTCGCCTCCCTAAGGGTTCCATTCAATCTTGACGAATGAGAACTACAGGCCCCCACACATATGTGGCTTGAGCATGGCTTACAAGCCTGAGGCCAGCTGAAAAGCCCCAAGGCTGGGCAAATTCGCAAAGCGTTTCTAAGTTAAGGTGACGATGTCAATACCTTGTAAGACGGCTCAAATACGCCCTCGCGATACCGCAGAGTCAAAATGGCGAGGCGATGCTGAACGTGTGTTTCGGGCGGGATGGGCTTGGAAACAAAGAGCCTGCGCGTCCGTGCGCCAGCGGCTCATACCGGTAGAACAGATAATTGCCAGGGCTGAAACCACCCCATTGGACTTGAACGTGGCATGGCTGATGAGGATCCGGTGCGAATACGGCATCCCGCGAATGATTGGGAGAAAGGGAAGGTAGCGAATCAAAATGCATCCATCGATTCTCTTGTTGCAAGTCTAGCGTTGCCATAACGTGATGCTTGGCACATGCGGATGCCGACCCGACGATCTAGCTCATTCGATCTTCGCTCCTGCACCAGCTGCATCGCCGAGCAACCCAGCCTGCCTTTCTTCAGCTCTCAATCATCCCGATGTCATGCCACTGGCTACGCGACGAGCGGGTGCAGACTGCGCTCTCATATTGTGTCGCCAGAAGATGGTAGCAAGTATTAACAATGAGGCAGAGCTTACCGCCTTGCAAAAGATGGCAGGCTGAACACAGTCGCGCGATAGACCTACGTGTTGCCCAATAACACGACAAATGCTGTCCACGATATGCAGCCCCCGCACCTTTCGACAGGGCTTGCATGCGTACTCAGCTGTCTTCAGCTGAGATTTTTCAGCTCTCGTAGCAGAGATAATGTCGACATGTCGGGGTTTGACAATGCCTCCATCCTGGCCTTCTTCAACCTCGATTTCGAATCCACTCGTACAATCTTATATCCTGACTACAGAAACTGGCGGCTAGATTTTGACATTCGATATGTGATATGGCGACTGGATGGCAACCCCGGCTCATAGCGCTACTCTTGTTGTACGGCTTGTAATGGCTTTGACAACCTTGGATGCTCTGATCGCTGACCCAAGTGATCAGGCTACTCTTCCAGATCATCAACATGGCGAGCGACATAGTATTCTTCAGGACGAAAGTGAATCTATCGCCAACGAACTCCGACAATGAGCCAACAGAGCAGACTTCTGGACCGGCCCATGGCGCATCATTGACCAGCAAAGCGAAGAGACTTCTTATGAAGGCTGACATAAGTCGAGTTCTCATCCCGCTCCTCTTTACTACACTGAGTGTGGTAATAGTATCTGTGCTCTTCTCTGGCGCAAGCGACACATATCGCGCCACAGAGAATACATGTAGCACGAAGCCAGATGCCGACATCAGTGGCGTCGGCGTACGCGCCTCTATCTGGGGACAGATTGCAATGCTGATCTTGATCAGTGGCTCCGGGCACCTTCATAAGAAAGAGACAGCAATCAAAGAAGTCGCAGGTGGCCTGATTCTCACACATGTATCCCTCGCCATCGCCATCATTGTGCAGATGTATAAAAGGACGTTAACATCGGTCGATGCGGCGATCGGCGCAGTCATTCTGGACGTCCAGAACGTCGCTTTACTCATCCCTGTCACTGCCAAACAGACTCTCGCAGCTCGATGGCAAGTGCTCATCCTCATACCAGCCCAGGTACTAGGGCTAGTATTCCTGCCGGTGCTGGTGGTCAGGTTCATTATGGGAGGCTTCGCATCGGAAGACTGCAAGTGTCTCGACATTTTCTGGTGGTCTAGATTAAGCGGATGCGAGACATCTGGTAACGAGCTTTCTCTCTTTTTGATCTACTACACGCTTCGCTGGATGATGTGGTTTCAGTCGACCTTCCATTCCATGTACAACACGCAGCCATTTCACGAGTCCGAGAAGAACGGACGTGTCACAATTTTGAGGGACGATGGTACAAAGCCAGACACAGACGAAGAAATCATAGCGCTTGAACTGCGGGATCCAAATCGACGAGTAACAAAGGCTACTGTACAGGCTGGCCTGCTGTATAGACAATACTCTGCGACGATATCAGTATCGCATACAGCATACGCTCTATACTCGCTCACGTCCATGGTAGTTGCCGAAGTTACCATTGGAAAGTACAACCTCCAACCAAGCTCCAACGCCAACTCGATCGGTCAAATCATTGCCATCGTCGTCTCGCTCGCTACTCTCATTCGAGTCATTTGGAGTTTACAGAGCCTCTGTAACGACGCCGAGAATAGTTCATTCCCGGACTTCATCTTCTCATTGCTTTCGCGGTCCCCGTCGAGTTGCTGGTTCGGCTCAAAAGCAGACGAGATGGGCGAAGATCCAGCTTTGATCTTGTCGGCAACAGATGTAGAAGAGCGCCGGCAGGGATCAGATTCTGATAGTGAAAATGAAGGCTCAGGAGGATCGCAACCTCCGCGACCTCCGCAACCTCCGCAACCTCCACACCCTCCGCAACCTGACACACAACCTTCACCATCAAACCATGAAGCGGTTGGCCGATACCAAAAATATCTTGAGCCCTACCCTAGATCGCCTCACCCAAGTAACGGTAGACAATCCTCCGATACCATCAGCTTGCCCAAGACGCAGCCGCATTTGCCTTTCGAACAGGACATTCGAGCACAGCATCTTCCACTAAATCGAATAGAGCATCAGCTACAGCGAAGTCACTCTGACGGGCCAGTATACCAATTCAAGTTCCGCCAGCCGTTCCATCTAAACGCTGTGAAGCAGCTTTTTCTCCCTACATTGACCCAATATCTGGAGGCTCGAAAAGAGTCAAAGGCTACAGTTCCGATCAGCGAGACTATGATCTCGCCGCGAATAACGCCCCCGACACTTGATCAGCCAAGTGCCTGCAGACCACCTGAACAGCCACAACAGGATACCGGTAAGGAGGAAGCTCCTCCGCCGCGTGTGGTCGTAGAAGGACCGCACGCAGCAGAAGTTCCGTCTTCCGCCGACAACAAACACTCCGTCACAACTAGCGGCAAGCCCCTGGATTCATTGCACGGCAACATATTGCCAGAGACAGACAGCTTCCATTGGACGGATCAGCCACAAAAAGGCCAGGCAACCGAAAAATTACAGCCACAGTCTGCTACACGTCGTGATATAGCTCCAGCATCAATCGTGACTCGTCCCGAGCCCGAGGAAGACCAGCCAACTGCCGCTCGACAGTCCGAAGAACGACAACCTGCAACCCTTAGCTTCCCAATACAGACGCCGGAGGAGGAATTACTAGAATCCTCGAAGGTCGACGAGGCTGCAAAATCTTCAGAACCAGAGATCAGTTACCGAGGACATGATGAGCGCAAGGGTGCACAGTCTGATCTGCCGCAGGATAATGTCTCTGCACAAACAGAAGAGAATATTCCAGCTCCAATGTCGATATTTGGTGATGGACGAGACTTTACCATCAATCCAGTTCTTTCGACTTTGAATCCCACCAATATAGGCCTGGAGTCAAAGATGGAGGACCCTAATATTGGAGACCAGTCAAAACGTGGCGGAGAACCACAAGAGCCGGAGGTTCAGTCAGAGAAGGGTGGTGCATCGGCCGAAATTATTGCTAAAATCGATGCAGAGGCAGACATAGACGACCCGCGGACGACAGGCCAGTCTGTAGATTCCATATACCACAAGAAATTGCAGCTTGAGGCTCCAAAATCTTCGCTCAATGAGGTGGAGAAAACTCTGCTAGAAAGGCCAATACGAAGCCTGGCGTCTCGTCAATGGGATCGCGTTCTGATGGATTTAGGCATAATCCGCCGCAGATCATCACCACGTAGGCTACTCATGCACTGGGTTGCCCGAAAGTGGCTCCGCGTAACGCAGGAAGCGCAAAGAAGAAAGAAGATTCCTTATGAACCTAACGTACGATCCGGATGTCCCGGCGTTTGGGGACACTGTGAACGGGAACGAACTATCTGGGAAGATTATCCCCCATTTAGGACACACTTCGAAACCCATGTAAAAGACCTCTTTCACGTATGGCGTAAATTTGCAATATGCAGAGAATGTTTGATATCCGACACATCCACAAATTTCGATCCGTTTTTTATGGATGTTGAAGATCTCTCATGGCACGTCTGGGACAAACACATGCACAAGGCGGAACGCGACCCATCAGCGCCGCCGCTAGCGGAAGCAGAAAAGAGCAAAGGGAAATCGGCTGAGGCTTCGAAACTTGAACTTAGCCAGCGCCTCGATGCTGAGATGGGTGGATTGGAAACCGCCACCGACCCCAATGTCTTCTAGCTCCAGTCACTATCTTCCGATCATTCGACTTTACGACTAAATCTTAGCACGTCTGCTTCAACCAAGTCTCTCGTTATCGGTACTTGTCGTGGCAACGTATATCTCTTGCGCGCCCTTTCCTACATGCCTTTTATCGCTCTTATTACATAATCAACTACACAAGTGCCTAATTTCCATAAATGCGCGTACACAACAACATCGTCACCGTACCAACTTTGTAGAGAAAAAGATCAGTTCCCAACACATCTATTATCTCAGCAGCCCGGAACCGCGTACTCCTTCTACCGTGCAACAAACCAATAATATAGAACTGCGTAAACAGAACAACATCAGTTCATTGAAGAAAATAGGATTACGTTTCCTGCATGCACGTTTCTCTGAATCCATTGAGTTGTTATTGCACGCAATGGTGTATATAATGTAAGTGTAAAGATAGGTGCAGGGCTCTCGCGGCATGTGCGCGATTGGTTGGATTATAGAGAAAGGGGTTTGTTTGTATACCTGAACTTTAAATATCTTGTAACTATCTATGGCATATATGCAGCAAACATCATTTATATTTCCACTCTATCGAGCATACAATAGCATGTAGACCGCACAGCGTAGAGTTACGCTTACGTCTCCGCCTGATGTTGCAGGTAGAGTATAGCTATCGCGGACGCGTGTTATCGCTAAGCGAATACAAAGACAAGAGTAGTACGACAGAAAATCATGAAGACGAATTGTAAGAGAGAATAAAAAAAGACGGGGAAGCAGTGGACAGATATCCTGAATTACAAGACCTAACTTTATTCGCAGCAATGAAAGGAATTCCTTGCTTCCAAGTTCCCACCTTGAAGTTTCGAATTGAGTCGGTAGCAGTTCCAATATCATCAGCGTGTCTTCTGCGCAGTAGCAGATCACCAACTGAATCTCCATGGTAATCTTACAAAAATCCAAAACTGAGGTCAAGAAGCCGATAATCCCACCGACAGCTACTCGCCCCTCTCCCTCCTACTCTTCTTGACCAGCTTGACGAAATTCCCTTCAAAGCCCTCCTAACGCTTCCTCTTCTTCTTCCCCTCATCCTCACTCCCGTCAGCCGCGGCCTCCTTATCCTTCTTCGCCGCCTTCTTATCTAACTCATCCCAACTCTCCCCCTCGCTGAACTCATCTTCACTCCCCTCATCACTCATCTCCTCAGATGCGTTCTCATCAAAGTCACTCTCCTCAGAAGACTCATCCGAGATGGCGAGTTCAGACTCACTAACCTCGAATGCGGACTCCTCTTCCTCCTCGCCATCGCCCTCGTCGTCTGTTTCATTGGACAGGAAACTCCATCCGCCGTCCGCGAAGAACTGGTGCGGGTCCGACGTTACGGTCTTCATAATGGTGGCCCAGTTGAGGTTGAGGGGACCCTCTGTGAAGGGGATATCGACACTGTCTAACCAATCCTTGACGGGGTCGAGGGACTCCACGGGGATAGTGTTGATGTGCACAGGTGGGCGGTTGTAATCCTTAAACACAACGACCATATCGAAGTTCCTCAGACCAAACTGCACACGTTCCAAGTGTACGATTTCGATCTCAGACAGTGTGAGGCAGGTGAAGGGGGGTTCGGTGAGTTGAACCAAGCAATCGGTTGTGGGTTGAACGAGCACAGAAGAACGGGATGGGACACCGTTGAAGCCGAGTTCGCGGTAGGGGATGTCGACGCTGACGTTCTCGTTGCGGGCGGCGTCGGCGATCTTCTCGGCGAAGTTCTTGAATTCCTTGTCGAGAGCTGCGCGGCGTCTTCGCTCTTCTTGTTCTTGCTCGAATTCTTCCTCGTCGCCGAACTTGTGGCGGCGCTTGCGGTTACCTGTCTCGTCGAACTGCATCTCTGTGGCTTCGCGGACAAATTGCACATCCTTGGTCTTCTTTTTGCCCAACATTATTGGGTTCTTGAGATGAACGTGAATAATGACGATGAGCTCGTGTTGGGAGGGTTGGAAGAAGAGGTGCTTCATGTTGCTGAATAGGACATCGATCTTGGCGGTGCCGTTGCCGTGGACGTAGCGTAGACCGTTTTGGTGGATCTCGACACTTCCGGGGATGCGCTTGCCGTCGAGCGCGGGGCGGATGAAGATGAGGTCGAGCATGTGAGGCTTGCGGGTCTTGAGGGGGATGAGCTTGTCTTGCTCTACGACATCCTCCATCTGCTTCTTCTCGGTCTCTCGTCGCACAACATCCTTCTTCAGCTCTGTGATGTCTTTGGTGATCTGGTCGATTCGGTCGACATCGTGCGACTTGAAGGTCAAACTACGGATGAAGTGTGCGTTGGGGTCTTCGAATGGCTGGTCGTCTTTTCGGCCAACACCCTGACCTGGTGAGAGGAAGTTGATGCGGAGAGATGTAAAGTCTGCCTCGGGGGTGTGCGATGCGTTCTTGATGGTGTGGATGTGGAAGGGTACGGGTCGGCCCATGATCGGCAGGAGGACTGTGAGGTTCTTCTTGTCGACTACGATCTCCAGGTTGGCGACCGAGCTGGGGAACTGATTGTCGCGCTTGTACGACTCGAACTTCTTGAACTTCTTCTCTTCTGTGCCGTTCAGCGACTTGGCGCCTTCGCTGTACTCAGCAAGACCCTGCTCCTGCTTCTTAGCGTGCAACTCTCTTTGATGCTGTCGCCGTTGCTCCTCCTTCTCGGCATCTTGGTTGGTTGTTCGCTCGTGGCGTGTCCGAGTCTTGGTGATGTTCGTCTGCGCGATCGCTGGGCGCTCCTTCTTGACCTTGGGCTTGGCCTCCTCCTCTTCATCGTCGAAGAAGAAAGAGACAGCGTCCAGATCTGAGGTGGTGTCCTTGGTGAAAACTGCGCAGTCGCCGGCGCTGACACGGACGGTGTCTACCAAGACGAGAGAGTAGTTCTTGCTCTTCTTGTCCTGCGGCTTGCTGTTCTCCAAGTCCGATAAACCAGTTTGAACTACCAAAGTCATACCGTCTTTCAGGACACGAGTGTTCTTGCCACTCAAAAGCAGCGAAGAGTCCTTGTTCTCGGTACCGATACCGTAACCAAGGTTCTTGGGGAAGTGCTTCTCCCACTCGGGCTTCTTCGACTTGAGATGTGCGAGTGCCTTGTTGTAGACGTCCTTGGCCACAACGCCGTCCTTGATCGACTTGATGACCAGGTCGTGAATCGCCAATAGCAGCTTGTAGGCAGTCTCCTGCTCCTTGTTGGGGCCGACCATGAATGTGCGACCGATCATGGCGCCGTATGTCTGGTAGCGCAGACCGAGAACCGAGATGATGACGCCCGCGTGCAGGTTGTTCTCGTCGGGTTCGGCCGCGAACTTGAGGTCGTATGAGCCGCCACTCTGGATCGTAGGCTGCAGACACCAGTCCAGCTGCATGGAGTCGAATGTCTTGGACAGCTTCTGCTTCTCAAAGAACTTGGCATCGTCGATCTTGTTGGAGACCTTGTCGGCGAGTGCGCGGTGGGAGATCTTCTTCTCGGAATCGAGTATGTCGGACATTTCTTCGACGAAGTAGTTGGACATGAGGGCGCTCGAGGCGCGGGCAGCGTCGCGGATGGTTCGCTAAACGGTCAGTAATGCCAGTGCGGAGTTGCGAGTTCAGACTTACCAGCTCCTTCTCGTCCTTGACGGACAAGGCAGCGTTGGACATGATGGAGGCCAGATCGACCTGGTCTTCCTCCTTGAAGCCAGCCTCGTCAAAGGCAGTCTTCCACTCGTTCGCAAAGGCGTTGTTGGCATTGTCCTTCTTCAGCACCGCCACCTTCTTGCCGGCCTTTTTCATCGTCTCGAGACATGTCTGGAACTGCTTCTTGTTCTCTTCGGCGTCCTTGCCGCGGACGAGGATCTCAACCGGCACCTTGCCACCTTTGAGCGGTTCGAGGTAGGAAGCTATCACCTCATTAGCAACCATTCCCATTCTGGGGTAAATTCGGCAGACTCACCCTTCTTCTTGGTTGTGACAATCTGGAGGAGGTCGGGGGTCAGGATGAAGAGCGTCGCGGGGAACTCGTAGCCTAGCAGCCATAGCTGGGGTCTCATCAGCTCGCTGTCCATCCATCACATGTCAATATGCGCAAACTTACCTGGAAGGCTGCTGGCTTCAAATAGATGCCCGGCTCGCTCGCCTTGCCCACGAGGGTCGCGATAGAGCTTGCGCCCTGGAAGACAGCGTCGCCGGAGCGCTTGTCGGCCTTCCATTTGGTGACGAGGGCGTTGAGGCGCTCGTGGAACAGCGCCTTGTCGATGACAATGTCGTTCTCCGCCATGGTTGAGGATGCGCTGAAGATATCCTCCAGGCGGTTTGGCGTAGCTGCGAGGGGCGAGGTGGAAGAGAGAAGGCAGCGAAGAGAAAGTCGCGAAAGGATGATGCGACGCGAGGGTACGCGCTGAGGGGCCGTGCGCCTCTCAACTCCACACTGATACTAGCGCCAACTTCACCTAGCAAAGTTACATGCAATGCTTGGTGTAGCTAAACCCCACATTCTTTTCAACAGCTGTAGGCAACGTCACGTTTTCTTCTTTGTACATACTTTATTCATCCTTCCTGAGTTGCGAACACTGTACTGTGGTCACGCCCAAGTCACTCCCCATCTTGTGACCCTCCCACGCGGCTACCTCCTTCACCTCAAAACCCTCACCACCCCGCCCATGCGTCTGCAAAGCTCCCCAACCACCAACACTATGCGATGACGACCGGCTCCAGTCCTCGCGCTGGAGTCTCTCTCCGAAGCGATGCCTCCAATGACACCACAACCACTACGCCCGACGCCCCGCAAGCCCCCAACAAGGCACCAGCGACGGGTGTGCAGGCCGCTGGTATGCGAGCCGTGGCAGCGAGGATGGTCGCCTTTTACTTCCGCGCACCAGTCAAAGCCTTTTTCAGGGGGAGAATAGACTACATGAGCTATGCGAGGGCGATAAATCCGCATATCGTGGCAGATGCGAAGTGGTCGTGGAGAATGACTACGCCGGCGGTTCTGGCGCATGCGATACGGACTGAGGGATGGGGGTTTATACCGAAGCAAGTGCTGCCACCGCTGATGGCTAATACATGGTATGCATCCTCTCTCTTATAAGCACATGCATACTAAATCTAAGATAGTATCGGCGCCGTCCTCTATACAGCCTACCTGCACAGTCTCTCCGCCCTCCATGAACCCTCCTCCTACCAGACCAAACGCGTCTACCCCCCGCCACCCCCTTCCATAACCTTCACCGCAGGCTTCATCGGTGGCTCATGCCAATCTGTCATCGCCGCCCCCTTCGACGCCCTGCAAACCCGTTTCCGCACCGCCGACATCCTTGAAGGCCGCCACAAAACAATGTGGCACTACGCCGGACACAAACTGCGTTCTATCGGTGTCCAAGGCATCTTCGCAGGCTGGTCTTTGTCTTTCATGAAGGACGCATTCGGTGCCGCGGTCTTCTTCGGAACCTTCGAGACAGTGAAGAGCCAGGCTTACCTCGAGTTTGTGAGCCGGTACTACGGTAGCCGAACGCGCGATACGTTACTCGAGAAATCGATCCCTTATCTCCAAGAAGACCATGACGACCGCCCCGTCATCCGCCCCCACTACATGCTCGAACCCATGTTCCTCCTGCTCGCCGGCGTCTCCGCATCCATTACTTCCCAACTCATCCAGCACCCCCTCACCGAAATCCAAGACGTCCATTACCGCCGTCTCGAAGCCTTGGACTTCCAGGCCCACCAGGACAACAAGCCCTCACACATCGTCCGACGCTACTACCACGCCTACGAAGAAACGTTTGCTCAATGCAAGGTTCTAGCAAAAAGGGCTGGCGGCTGGCGAAAATATCTCTACAGGGACTTCTTCATGAGCACGATCAAACAGGTTCCCAGTACCGCGGCGGGACTGATCGTGTTTGAGATTGTGAGGAGGAAGTATAGTTTTGAGAATGAGGAGGTTATGATTATGCATGAGGATGCGAGAATCTTGTTGACATGAGGGGTTGTGACGCGTGGTGCGAGGGAAGTAAGAGGAGGGAGGAGGGGAGGGAAGGGCGGAAGGGGGGTTGTTGATGAGCATTGAGGATGATTTGCATATGATACCCAGATATAGATTGATTACAGTTATAGACTTTGTATATAGAATAATGCAACTCGCATCGCATTAAATGGCAACCCACGTCAAGCGTCTTGTCTCCAGAGTGACGGATCAGGACCCGACCCGACCATACTCTCCTGGACTATAAACAAACAACTTGAATACAATACTACCTACCTAGTCTCGCCAACCTCTCAACTCTCTCCCGTCCTCTCTCCGCTTTCTCCCACACTCTCTGCGCATCCTCCATCCTTTCTCGAATCCTCCTTCCTATACCCAGCAACTCCACACCGAGTATCCACCACACAAACTTTCGGCCGAAATGCCATTCCCCGCGTACGAACTGGAGGTGATTTAGAAAATACCTGGATAGCGGTAGAAAATGTCAGCACTACGTAAAAGGATAGGGGAGAAAGAGGAAGAAGAAAGAAAAGAAGGAGTGTAGGGAGGTGGACTTACTGAAACCCAATCAACCCAATAACCATCCAACTCACAACCCCCAACTGCAGATTCTGCCGATCACTCAAGATCTTCCACGCTTTACTCTTGATCATAGATCTGTTTGCCCCACTCGTCTCGTTCCCACCACTCTCAGCTACCGGTACCGTACGCCAACAGCCCAGTCCCACGGTCATTGGAAGTGCTGTGGTAACGCCGTTGGGGGCGGTGAGCGTCGACGTGGAAATCCGCGGACAGTCTGGGTCCCAGATTATGGGCTGTGTTGGTATGGGCATGGGTGCTGTACCTGTTGGTGCGGGAGGCGGCGTGGGAAGGGGAGGAGTCATTGAGTTTATCGCAGTGTTGGTTATGGTAGGGAAAGCGAAGGATGCGCCGGAGGCGAGGGAGGGGATTGTGACTTTGGACTTGTGCGTAGATTTGGTGGTCGTGGCAGGTTTCTCGTCGGCGTCGTCATCGGAGTCAGAGGTTGCAGATTTGGTGGATTTGGCTTTGTGGGAAGTGGTTGTGGGGGTGTTATCGGACGTGGATGTGTCGGTTTCGGGCTCTTCATCGTCGTTGCTTGGTAGTGCATCTTCATTTTCGGGTGGAGTGTTATTGGCTGCTTTGGAGGTGGGTGTGGCTTCATCGTCTGCGCCTGCAGGTTGCTTCTTGGTTGATGTCGCCTTTTCCTTGACATCTTTGGACGAAGTGACAGTCGGTGTAGCTTCCTCGTCATCTTCTGCCGGTTTCTTTTCAGTGGATGTCGCCTTCTCCTCAACGTTTGTAGATGTGTCGGCGGTTGGCGCCCTAGTATCTTCTTCATCCACGGCAGTCTTGGTGTGCGATAACTTGCTCTTCGTAGACGTAAACGTAGTCGTCTCGTCATCTCCAGCCGCGCCTTCATCAGTCTGAGCTTCTTTGTCGGGCGTTGTCTCTTCATCAGCCGGCGCATCCTCTCCTTCTTCCTCATCCTTGTCCCCATCCTTCGCATTAGTACCTTGATCATCCCCATCTTTATCCTCCTGCTTGTGCGCAAGCTTTGTAGCGACAGCTGTCTCCTCCTCCACTCTGCTTACATCAACACTGACCCCTGTAGGCTCTTGATCTTCCACATCAATCTTGAAGAACCCCTCATCTTCCTGCTCGGGTTCTTCGTCGAGCCCACTATTCCGCTTCCTAGAGAAGACACTCTTCGTAGTGGTTGTAGGATACCATCTGTGCCAAAGTAGAGAAGGTGGTTTGAGTCTCCCGATTGCCGCGTTACTCGACGCCGTGGCGGGAGCTATACCAGTAGAGACAGTACCCTTCCAGCTATAGTCAGAGGTATATATCATGCTGTTACCTAGCGAGTGACGATCAGTTTCGGCTCTAATCGCCATCAAAGCTGCTGTTGGCGCTATTAGTATTCCACGTCGCACAGCCCCGTTCGAGGAGTCGGTAGTTATTATCGAAGTCTGATCGGTACTGCCAATGTTTGACGATGGGTCTGGAGCAGTCTCCACAAAGCTCCTGATATAAGAGTAAAACGAGTTCATGCTTGCTTCAGTAAAAGGCCCGTCCGTAGTTGTACTAATAGGCATAGCGGCTGGTGTGGCTTTAGGGGTCGGGAAAGCATCTGGGTCAGTAGGATCTGCAGCTGGACCTCGATACTCCTGGATCGATGCTGCAGATTCGGCGTTATCCTCAGTCTCATTAGTTCCGGAAATCTTTGACTTTGCGGCAGAATGTGAGGCGCTTTCTTCTAGCTCAGAAGAGTCAGCGTTGGCAGCTTTCGAGATCGTCAGTGTAGTCGAAGCTTCGACTGTCTTTGATGCATCTTCGTCGGCTTCGCTCGCTGTGGATTTGGTCTTGTGCTTGCTAGACACATCAGTTGCCGTTTCCGAGGTGGCCAGATCACTTTCCAAAGCCGTTACAGACATGGACTTGTGCTTTGTAGACTTCGTCGTGTTCCCTCCACTGCTGCTATCGTCCGCTTCCGAGGTCTTAGACACGGTCTTGTCTGTACCGTCATCAATGGTAGTAGATCCTGACTCTGAAACTGTTGCCTCCGCAGACATATGTTTTGTAGACTTCGAGGTTTTTATCTCATGGGTAATATCGAAGGTATTCAAAGTTGTGGTCTTGCTTGTCGAAGTCGCGGATGTCGCTGATGCCGAGGCGTCAGCTTCAGTCCTTGAAGCGGTGTCCGCTGTAGATGCGTGCTTAGAGGTCTTTGATACACTCTCGAAGATCGTTTCGCTGGGTGTCTTCTCCGGCGTCTTCCTCTCCGAATCCGAGGATGTCGCTGTTGCGCTCCCAGGAACTTTGCCGCTCGCTGGACTATCAACGCCCTCTGCGTTCTTGAAATGGAAGCAGAACCTAGTAGCCGCTTCTTTGTGAACAGGTATAGCCACGACCTTCGTGGAATTCCGAACAGCTAGTTGTAGTTCTCCTTTTGGCCCACCCTCCAAGTCCTGCTCAAGTTCGCTTTCGCAGAATGCAGAAGCTGTACTGTTGGACATGAAAATAGAGATGTAGCCTTCAGATGCGAGATTGATCTTGATATGGTAGAGGCCTGTGTTTCTCCTATCAACAGTGTTTAATTCGGAATGGAGAGTCTCGTCGTATTTGGTATCATTGTCGAGATGTACGAATCCGACTTGCCTCGCGGTGAAACTCACAGGTACGCCAGTAACGGGTAGTTGCCAGATCGTAGGCTTCTGTCCACTTGGCCCTCTCGGCCCAAGGAATACTGTTGCCATGAATGACGCGGTGTCGTCGTGGACATCCTCGAAAACCTCAGCATTAGAGATAGATGTAGAGGGGTCGGACACCACGCTTTCGTTCCTAACATCGTGGTCCTTGAAGCTTGTGAACAGCCTCCGCACTTCCGTCTGGTAAACTGTCTTGGTTATTGTAGGTGTCACGCGCTCGCTGCGTTTGATGGGAGCTGCTAGAGCGAAATCGAAAGCCAGAGCATAGGTGCTCAGCGACAAAGTCAGTATGCTCGCGATAAGTCTCATGTTGATGCCGCGCTGCGGAAGTATGCAGAAGGAACAGAAGAGGAAAGAGTGTAGTTGAAATTAGTGTCCAAGTATAGTGGTGGTGCATTACCATTGATGAGCATGAGTTCTAGTGATATATACTTGATTTCAAGCGTGCTGCCCCCTGGAATGAAGTCAATGGAACAAACTGAGTAAACAACCGCAGCTGTGAAGACAGAAAGTACTATCGCACATGGTGGCGATACTATTCGCCGCCCATGTCAAGCGCATATATAAGATGCTGGTGAAATGTCAATGCCGCGCAGAGCGGAAGCTCGTCACAGTAACGGTGGCGTGCTTCGCAGTAGTTAGCGGGACCCATCACGCATAAATTGTGAGTTCGAAACAACGCATGTTCAACGTTATCCTCCCATGAGGGAATTCGAAGGTTCTGCACCTTGAAGAGGTGATGGATGACGAAGTGTCGACGAATCTGCGGGCCGAAGCTGAGGAGCTCCCGCGGTCTGCTTAGTAAGCTAGCTCTGCCCATCACACAGCGTTATCCGAACATCCACCACCATTTCCGTCTTCCTTGCACCACAATAGAGCCGCCTTTTTCCTCAGCGCAATAAAAATCATCAGTATTTGGTGTAGCCGGTGAAATAGCGGCTTCAATCAAGCTTTTCCGACGAATCTCAGTAGCCAGTATAAGATCTTTGAGGTACCAATGAACCCCTCAGTTCATTCCGATACAAATGCCGAGATAGCTACTACGTGCGGTACGCGGCAATGCATTATATGACAACAGCGCCATGCTTCTGCAACGTCTCTCTCCATCCCGTTACTTTCTTCCCTTGAACCGTTCTTCTTCACATTCGTCTAGACGTACCATGGCTTCCCTCCCCATCAAGCTCGCCGTCCTCGATGACTACCATAACATAGCAGCACAGCACTTCGCCCACATCGACTCGTCCAAAATCAATGTCACCGTCTACAAAGACACATTACCGTCATACGCGCACCCCAAAACATCTGATGCCGACCGCGCCGCCCTCATCGACCGCCTCAAGCCTTTCTCCGCCCTGTCCACCATGCGCGAACGCACCCCGTTCCCGGGCGAACTACTGCGCCAACTGCCGAACCTCAAGATCATATTTGCGACGGGCGGCAACTTCCAGAGTTGGGATCTGGATACAATGAAGGATATGGGCATCACGGTATGCGCGGCGCCTGGCAAGGGCAGGACGGATGGTAAGGGTAGTGGTACGTCTCCGCGATCACTGCCGGTCAAGCAGGGGGGTGGGCATCCGACGACACAGCATGCCTGGGCGCTTATACTGGGTCTTGCGCGGAATGTTGCTGCGGACGATGCTGTGGTGAAGGGCAAGGGTAGGCCAGCTGGGTGGCAGACGGAGCTCGCGATGGGCTTGCAGGGGAAGACTCTCGGCTTAGTCGGTCTAGGGAGAATCGGCGCACATGTCGCGAGAGTTGGTGTTCTCGCTTTCGGCATGAAAGTCGTGTGTTGGAGTGCGAACTTGACGCAAGAGAAGGCCGACAAACTGGCTGAAGAGTGCGGACTTCCAGTGACAGGCGGAGGAATGACCGATGCGAACGAGAAGACATTCAAGGTCGTCACCAAAGAGCAGCTTTTCACATCCTCCGACGTAGTAAGCCTACACTACGTCCTCAGCGAACGCTCACGGGGTATCATCGGCGCACAGGAGCTGGGGTGGATGAAACCGACCGGCCTCCTCATCAACACTTCGCGAGGCCCACTTGTCGACGAAGCTGCATTGCTTGACACGCTCCGAGATGGCCGCATACGTGGCGCTGCGCTCGACGTATTCGACATCGAACCTCTCCCTGCTGATAGCCCGTGGCGGAGCGAAGACTGGGATGTCAAAGGCAAGAGCAGGGTGTTGCTGACGCCACACATGGGGTATGTCGAAGAAGGTACTTTGACGACCTGGTATGAAGAGACAGCAGAGAATCTGGAGAGGCTGGTAGAAGGGAAGGAGTTGTTGCATCGAATTATCTAGCCCAGTCGAAGTTCTAGTGGAATTCCTTTTCTCTCGTCTTCGGCAAGGTCTATGTCGAAGATTTCTTTCAAAGCAACGACGCGCTCCTCCTCTGTTGCACAATCTTGTACAATCTTGCGGTGAAGGCCAATACTCTGTTTGATACCGGCTTCAAAAAGCGTTATACTGCCAACGATCGTCTCTCCGGCATCGTCTATGAGCATCCTTGTACTGGTGACATATTTGGTGAAGAATGATCTCGGATGCGTAGATGTGAACCACGACATGATCTCGTAATCCTGGGGAAGAAACTCTGTCTCAGTAAAGCAATAGACTGGCGTACATCTCTTACCATCGTCGTCGCTCGGATTATAGCAAACGTCGTAACACCACATTTCGTTGGAGTGGGTTCCATAGGACTCCGCAATAGCGCGTCGTTGGACGCGGATGAGCCTGGGAGCAATGCTGCTCGTTTCGAATCCATCTCGCAAGGGATAAGGGAGATTGGGGCCCATAGCCCCCATGCCAACGTCCGCGACGTACCAGTCGCCGTCGAATCGCACGATATTCAGCATGTGATTCCATCCATCATATGTGGACACTTGACCCCGACGGACATCCGGGTAAGGGCTCATTGCTCGCGACACGCGACCTCCACAGTTGCGCACATGGAAGCCGAGGGAGCGGAGAACGGTGGCGAAAAAGGTGTTGTTTTCCATGCAGCGACCACCGCGTCGCTGCTTGACTATCTTGGCATACAGGTCCCGTATGTTGAGTGTGACTGTCTTGTGTGCGGAATAATGAAGCTCGAGATTCTCAAAGGGAACGTTGCAGGTATGATGTCTAGTCAGAGCCTGCAAAAAGGGAAGGCCATGCTCTCTGGTAGTGGCCAGAGTCTTGTCTGATAGTACAGGCGCGTCCAAATACTTCTGAGGAAGACTAATGCGCTGGAAGTAGTCTTGTAGTTCGGAAACACTGTATCGTGGCTGCTCGTCATCCAGTGGCAGCTGGGTCAGACGAGAGGGTACTGAAGTGTCCGGCATATTGTAGAGGACCGTGAATTGACCGAGAATAGGGAATGCTGACTTAGGGTGGAGTAGAACGCCGGCAGTGAATTCAGGCGCCTGTTATCTGACCGATTTCGTAATCTGGAGCGAAAGATGCACTCTGAGCGTAGCTTCTGGTTGCAGAGTCGAGCACGCCCATTACTAATCGTTCGCTCTGTCTGTCTCGCCCCGCACTTACTGCTGGGCGTTTTTTTCGGGCTAGCGAGATCTCCCCGGATTTACCAGTGCCTGAGTCGCATCGCGGAACAAGCGGCTTTGACGGGGCTACGCGCTAGGTCAGCTTGTTCACAAGACAAGCGACATTAGGTATGTGTTAGTGTCGCATTCTGCCTCTAGTACGCAGACACTGTTCTAAGAAGCACTTGCGTAGGCAGAAACATAAATCTGCTATTTTCGCGTTCTTGTTAGTTGTTCTCAGTATACTAGGTTTTTTGTTACGCAGGGAGAGACTTATTTGCCTTGTTTTGTAGTCGCACTATGCATAGATACCTAATCATAGGACATGTGTTGCACTAACTCGACGATTATATCTGCTCTTAAATAACACACGCATAAAGCCTCCTCGCTACCTTAGTTGTCCGTTAAACAGCCTCCTGCCACCACGGATGCGCTACAACCTGGTCTATCGTTGACCTAGCCGTCGGGTCAGGTTTCGTCATTCCAGATATCATCTTCTGTGCCTCAGAACCCAGCTCTTGTCCCCACACCTCGAAGCTCATTTCTGGCTGGTCTTGCACCGCTAACTCAGCCATTTGAGATGCTAATTTGAGAGCTTTTGTCCATTTCTCGCTAGCGATCTGGTTAAGAAGGCCCTCGTTCGCTGATCCAAAGTAAGAGAAGTGTCTGGTTAATATTTCTTGCTCTGGGCTTATGCCAAGCTTGACGAGGTCCTGGTAATCGTTGATGAGTAGCACTTCCCCAGCCCCGAGGGTATATATGCACTGCGTGAACGCTTAGCGTGGGTATCTTCGATGATACTCATGGAAATGGCATGGAGTAACTTACGACCAGTCCGAATGAGTAAACATCTGATGCCTTGGACAAACCTCTCCCGGTCTGTCCTTCTGGACTGCGCCACATGGCGTTCCCTACTGCATGAGTGGTCTGAAGCAGCGCTCCCGTTTCCAACTTAAAAGCGATGTCGAAGTCACCTAAAGCGACGTTGGTGATTGTTTTAATACCCTCTTCGTCGCAAGTCCAGTTGACCAGTATATTATCGGGCTTGATATCTGCCAAGCTCGATTGTCAGTTAGGATTTCGTGAATGGAAGATCAAATTTGGACTAATGATCGTACCAATATGGATCCAGTCTTTGCTATGTAGTTCTTGTATGGCTTCTCCTGTCTGCCGCAAGATTTTCTTCCGCGCTGCATCAGAAATGTTTGAATCCTCCTGAAGCAGTCCAAGCAGGGTATGTTGGTAGTACGGATAGATTAGGACGTTTTCGTCCTCGTTGAGATCAACATGCATGCGAAGCCGACGAGACTCGGGAAAATCGGCTGCAAGGCGTAAGGACAGGTCATAGAATGGTTTGGACACGCGCTTGAAGACGAAAAACTGGTCATGAGATCTAAAATGACTTTTGTTGAGCGAAACTCCAAGTGTGAGATTTGTATAACGTACTCGGCTTTGAAGATGTTCAATCTAGGATCTTTGCGCTCCTGGAGCACCTCGCGCTGAATGTATACACGACCAGATTTGCCTACGATGGTGGATGCCATTCTGATGCCTATGCGTGAAATTGGGGATATGTGATAAGCTAGACGATTGAGAAGCATGAGTGGAGACTAGGGCAACAGGAATGTATAGGAAAGAAGTTGTCGCAACAGTTAGAGGTTCTTCGTAGTGACTATAGAATGGTGTTCCTTAGCGCTGTGCTGCCTATTTTTGTCAGCCTAAGCGCCCAGCCTAAGCGCCCACTCAATTTTGTAGCTAACCCGCGAGGCTGGCGTGATTTGTCCACCGCCAAAGTACCGAAAATAGCAGTTCTTGCGCTCCGCAATGCAATTCCACTGCAACGCCACGTGTAATTTTTATCTTTGAAGCTAACCTCCCTCCCTACAAGACGTATAACCCAGTGGGCCGAAGCCGGCCAATGAGGGTGCGGGGAGGTTAAGGCATTTCGGTACTTCGGCGGGGGACAAATCTCACCAGGCAACTTGCGATCGCTGGTTTCAGTACGCGGCATCTCAATCACCAAGGACTTGATGTGGATTTCTCTGATTATGCTATCCAATCCACTGTCAGCGATATTGAGCCTGCCGTATTCACAAGCTAGCGGTATGCTGCTGAGGTGCGGGTATGTATCAGACATTAATGCGGAGGCGGCTGCAGAGCCGCACTCCTCCCGCGATGGCGCATCACGACAGGTTGTGACTTCCGCAACGCTTACAACGTACAAGGGTGTCTTCAATATGCACTGCGTTTACGTTGCAACCACGGTACGTTATGAGCGAGTAGTAAATGCAAACAAAGGGTGCAGAATCAAGCTTGCACATCCAGCCTCAACTTGGCCGCAAAGCAAACATTCATGCTTCGCATGTTGTAGTAGCTATCAATATGCGCCACGATTATATGGAAGCGAGTGACCTAGAGCATAAATCTTCGCTGAACAAAGACAATTCAACAAAAAAGGGCAAGAGGGTCAGCGATATAATGTGAAAAGCAAGATGACGCGGTAAGATTCAGCCCGCGCGGCAAACGTTCAAAGTCAGATCCAGCGCTTTGAGTTTGAACTTTAGAGCACATGGGAATAATCAGTCTTTCAAAGCGCAGCGCGTCAGCGGTCCTTATCCATGATGGTACATTCTCAAACGATTGTGTTCAAAGTCCAGGCTCTGCATACTTCCTAGCCGCCTTTAGACATAACAAGCTCGCCTCGCATCAATCTAACACTTTCCCTGAATCGACTACTCGCCAACAGCCACCCTTTTACACGGCAATGTGGCATTCGCAGGCATATACCTGTCTATTTGGTAGGGTAAACATGCTTGGTTGTGACGTGGTTCCCGTTCGCATCTTGCCAGTGGGTGGTGTAATGAGGGTAAGAATCTTTCTTGCTGGGATGCTCGGTTTCACTGTTCTTAAGTAAATACTCATAACGATCATAGGCATGTTCTGGGAATTTCACCTCAAGACTGCGGCCGTGGCACCAGTGGGCACATCGGCCTTCTGTACGGCATCCGCGAATGCGTCTTTGACTTCCTGTGAGAGTTGTGTTCGCTTCCAAGCATCGGTCTTGGTTGCAAATTTGACCTCGATCGAGCGACCACCATTCGCCACCTTTTTGATGAAGGAGCTGGAGATGACTTTATTGGCTGACATCTTGGAGGCTGTCTGTATACGGCGTGAATGTTGGAAGGCTAAAGTACAATTGGTGAATGAAGAATAATTTGCTGATATGTCCGTAAGTTTGCTAACGGAAGATGCTTTAAGAAAAGAAGAAGGCTATATATGTACGTGATGGACGTCCGGTCTCATAGACAGCTCTGGCATACATGAACATACAATAAGACCGACACGGGGCTTTGTGATTCAAAGTTAGCAACGACGACACGTGCTCGGGGCAGCGATGGCGAATCGTTAAGCGCTTCGGCCTCGGTCAATATCACTTTCAAACTATGCCTCCGATGATTGGTTTGTGTAGCACAATTGCTGTGCCTTAGTGGAGTCGAGAACAGAACTCGGAAACTTAAAGCTACTAAATCAATCTGAGAATGTCTATTCTTCTGGCCTGTTGGGGAGTGTCTGTGGCGTCTCGTCATGCAGGGTATCTCCTTATCCAGGGACGGACATTTAGTGCAGTTTGACTTGGGGAGAGGGGTGCACTGAGGGCTGCTGTCGCAGGCGAAGCGTTGTCGGGAACATGAACTTTATTACTAATAACCCCGTGCGATGACCTTCATATAAGCTGAGCTACGATGCTACGAACAATACAACATATACACTCTCTTCTTACTTCTCTACGTCTACAATACCCGCACCCAAACGTGCGACAGCTGCTGATAACGGTGGAGTTCTGCGCATCAAAGATAGCGCTACAGGCTCAGCCACGATTGGCCATCAATTCATTAGCGGTGGCAGGGGCCTCGTTCCCACCGCCTAAGCGCTACCGCACATGACCCCAAATCCTGCATTCTAGCCCTTCTCTAAGCAAACCTCTTGTAATCCTAAATCCAGGAAGCATTACTAACGTTAGCTCCTACTGCCTAATAATTTCTCCCGTACGTGACCCCAAATCCGCAACCCCGCTGGTGCGGCGCGGCCGTGTCGTCTTTCTAGGGCCAGGTCTGAACACCGAACATCTGGTCTACACTACAACGTGTGATGAGTGGTACGTATGTAGGCTCGGTAGTCATGGCACGACCCGAAATACTGAAGCGTGTTGACGGTGAATACCTTTGGATGTCGTAGAAGGCCTAGACCAGCTACTCCGGGGCCATCTCGCCAAGTGCGCGCAGATAAGCCCTAGCCCGGGCCGGCCCATCGCGCATACAACGGGCAAGGGCTTGCGTCGCCAAACGTCATAGGCATAACCTTCATTAAAGAGCGCACATCAGCCTTCTTTGGCGATTGCGCTGCTATCGCGTGAATGTCCTAACATGCAGGTCGTTAAACCACGAGATCACCACCGCCGATATCGTGCAGGACATGAGGAGCATATCCAAGAAGGGCAAGAGTAAAGAGAAGAAGAATAAGAACAAGACCGAGGTCACTAGAGTGTTAGGCCAAAAGCGCACCCATATCCAGCCTAAGCAGCTCACTTGGGCGACGGACGCGGGTTGGATGCAACCGGCCCTCGGCCTGGCTGTCTCACTACTGAGAGCGTGGGGAATGTAGGAACCGATACATCGGCAAGGTACGCAATAAATCTAAGCCTGGCAACTACAATCATCCCGATGTGGTACTGGTATATGCAAACATCTATTCTAAACGTATACACTGTACTCCTAATGCGCTCTCTGTCCGCCGCTCAGCACATGTCGTCCTCTAACCCCTCGTTCTCCCTGAAAGCGAACTCCAAGCGGAGACCCAAAGAATGTGCTTGCAGAAAGTACGCGTCGATACACAAGAACCTGCTTGTACGGCTAGCATGTGGTGATCCGATGTGTAGCCCCAATAGGCCCTTCACTGAAACTCCCATAGCATGTACCTGTACCAGTGCACCTGATTCTCCAGCACCGCCAAACGGCATCCCGTCGAACCAGGCAACCATGCCCACCCACCTGTGTATATCAAGGGCGATCAGGTCCTTGTACTCAACAAGTAAACGTTGCTCGTACTCGGAAGCGAAACCGCTTTCCATAATGGCCCGATCCGGTTGAGGCTTACGCTTATATGATGGGAAGCGCCATCAGATTTGGTTGAAGCGACCCATTGTTGTGTCGCTAGATACCCCATCCTTACAAACATAGAGGTGTCCCTTCAACTTGATGATGTCTTCGAAGACAGCGTAACGTTCGTCGTCTTCGAAAAAGAGTGGTTCGGTCGCTTCTTGAGCGACCCAATCCCGTGTGGAATGCGCCATGTTCAAACGCGGAATGGCGGCACTGAAGAGGCGAGCATCCTTCCTTCGTAGCTTCAGAATTCCCACCTATTGGGAAAGCTTGTCATAGCGATTGGGGTTCTTGAGCGACACCCGCGTGCCTTGTATCCGCTCTTTGGTTATACGATTCGAGATCCAGAACTCGTCACCGCCTGCAAGAAAGTGTCCGGCTGTGATGGCATAGGGCTGAGCCCCTTCATTCTCCTGCTCAAGAAGAATTGCCCCCAACGTGTCATATTTAGTGTCTTTTCCCGCTTGGTCTGTATTCCGGTCGCCAAGCCGGATACGGTCAATGGTGGGTTTGTTCCTTGCCTCGTTGGCCTGCGGAGTGTAGCCAGGGTCAATACCCTCTACAAAGTCGAGAAAGGGAAGTTCAAGCCATGATGGCAATGTGGGTGCGGGTTCGCCTTTCTCTGCCGATATCTGCAACTTCGTCGAAGATAACGTCGCCGTTGCGTACCTATGCTAGACTTCAAGGTGAGAGCGAACTCGCGGTGACGCTGGTTTCCCCGCCTTCACCTCACTTCGCAGCGACCAACTACCGCCAAGCTGACCAGGATCTGCTCTTACATCGTTCGGCGGGGGCTCTTCCTCTTTCGCGAATTGCGTTGCATACCCCCACTCTTCCTTTGAGACTTCTGAGTAGCCACATCTTGGGGTAGAGGCTCACACATCTGCTCAAGGGAAGCGAGTATCTCAGGCTTGAGCACCCACTCCCTCGACTCTTTATCCTGCACATAAGGCTCTTGCAAGATCCACTCTCGCCACTTCTTCATGACCTTGACTACATGCGCTTGACTGGCTTCAAACCATTCTTTGTGCAGCTTACCGCAGCCTTCACACTGTCTTCGCAGTCTACACCCCTTCAGCTCTGTATGTATGAGCTGCTCAACGCGATGGACATACGGCATCTCCACCTGACTTTCCGCACTGGAGTGATAGTCGTGCTGGTGCTTGCACTTCGTATTCCAACTCTTGAGTCGCTTGGCCAAATCTTTGGTGTGTCCGATCTTCACCATGCCAAAGAATGCCTTGTCCCAGAAGAGGTAAACGTAACCCGGAGTCAGATCTTTGGTACCCAATGGAGAGGCAGCCTTCTCATGAAGAGCCGAAAAAACGGAGAGTCCCCTGGTCTTCGTTGGTTCATAGGTTCTGAAGCCTGATGAGGGGGAGAAGCGGGCTTTCGTCTCAACCGTCGGCAACTTGAACATGGGCTTCAATTCCCGCTTGAGCTGTGGAGGTGGCTTGGATTTTGTCTCAATGATGATAGGTCGAGCAGCGTGATCCATAGACGCATCAAGGTCACTAATCGTGTTGACCCATTGCGTAAGAGTGGATTGGTCCAGTGCCGTCATGCGTGTCGTACCTTCAAGCTTGCTGCGCAGTTGCGATATCCTGGATCCAGCCTTGAGCTGTGTCAACGCCGTATGTTGATGCCTGATGCACATGACTGACTGCACAACCGTTTCGATATTGCGAAGCATACTGCAGTAGTCCTCTTGTCTGTTGCACTTCGAGACATTCTTCACAGCGCTAATAGCATCATTACGCGACCCCTTAGGCTTTGCAGCAGAACTGCATCGCGTAGAGGGGCTTGTTACGAGAGATGCGGCGCAGCAGCCAGGAGCGCTGGCCAGCCTTGCATGAAGATCGTGTGGTATGAGTTGTTCTAGTAGCTTCGCAAACTTGCTATGCAAGAGCGGATGGATGCGACCTTGGGGAGGTGTAACGATGCTTGTCTCTTCGCGGATAGCGGTACGTGGAAATGAAGCGACTGGTGTGGTGGAGGCTGTCTTGGAACGCGTTCGTAAACTGACACTGGTATCCTGCGTGAACACGAACGTGGGGTCGCTGTTGTATTTGACGGTAGCAGCTGCGACGCTTGCCTTGGAAACTGTGATGTGCAAGTCAGATGTGATCGCTTTTAGTTTCAAAATGTCTGAACGTACTCTCTTCAAGCACCAACGTGACGCCTCGGAACAACTTCGGTTCAGAAGGGTCATCCTGTGCCGCTGTCCCTTTTTCCTGGAAAAGGGGCTGCTGAATCGCCGGAGTCACTCCAACGCCGAAAAAAGGCTTGGAAATTGGGGTGAGAAGTAACTTTTTGGGGAAATCAGGGGGTGTTGGAGGTGTCACAGGCGTCAGGATACCTCGTAAAGAAGCGTTCACCGTCCGCTTGGTGGGCGTCTCGGGTGGATCCCACATATCGTTGAAGCCTGCCGGAGATGACGTGGTAGAGATTGTCGATGCTGGTGACAACCAAGAGAACTTGTTCGGGTCCAGTACGGACAAAACATCGCGGCTACTCTTCTCCGAGATTGGTGTGGGTAGGAACGTAGAGCAGGATTTCTGAGCTGTATCATGCCCACGCTTAGGTGTCTGCAGAACGCCCGGCTGCATGGTAAGATCTTGAGTAGCGAATGTCATGATGAGAGCACTGACAAGACACTGGGTGGCGTGAATAATGGGTAAAAAGCAGGAACCTATAACTGAAGTCGATGAGATGGATGGATAGATAGATAGTTGTTGCCAGCAGAAGCTGAGTCCATACTAGTTATATCCTCAGCCTCGTGGAGCCAAGTGCATTGCCTGCAACCACCACACCTACCCATCTCGCTGAAACCTTTGGGTACTGCGATGTCAGCCTAAGTCGTTGCAGTGGTATGATACCAGAAGCGCATGGGCTGCGGCAACGTCCATCCGCGTAGACATATTACCATGATGGGCAGGTGTAATCGCTTCCCAAACAGCCATGAATGACTCAAGGACAAAATGGATTCGCAACCATGAGGCTTGTGAGTTTTGGAATTTGGTGGCTGCATGACCCGTGCCGCAGAGCCGCAGGTGGTTGCCTTGCTCAGCCTACTCTAGTTCCTGGTCGCGAAGGCTCGGCGTTGACGATCCTCCAATGAGATTGTATTTACAGCTCGGTCTCTTCGGCGATGAGATCAGTTGTTAGGAATAGGCCTGGGTTCGGTGATCGAAAGACCAGAAAACAATCAAGTAAGTCTGGGTCGCAACCATGTTCGCGATGAACGGGGTAGCATTTTGGCCCCATGAAGGAACAGTGCTTCGAAACCTCTCGCGTGATATGTCGCTGAGTGGACTGTAATTCTAGCAGGTTGCACGCGCCATCTCAAGCTCGTATCGTGTTGAAGGCACTCCTACCATTTGCCGTCTCTCGACCAAGACGTGGGGTTTGAAACAAACGTCGTGGTCTTGCCGTGGACCGTGCCGGACAGCGCGCCGTCGGCGAATCTCACACAGGCGATACACATAGAGATAATGCAGATTAAGCGGCCCATGAAGCATCGGTGGGCATGCTGACAAGTTTTCTGAAACAAAGATAGATGCAGTGAGGTCCGTGAGTATGTCGCGTTGAGTGAATACGAAAGCGAGGGGGATGGAGGTTTCTTGTTTCCGGGGACGCATCGTTGGTGCGTGCGCGGCCGCCGCCACGTGGAACGGCAACCGCCGCGGATCGGCCCCCTGAGGCCGAAACCCCGGCCACTAACTGGGCACGCAATCATGAGCACGACTGCGACAATTACGACAGGAACAATCCTCGCGAGGACCAGCTATACTCTTGATTCAAACAAGACGAATCAACGATGAGTTTCGCACATGATTTATGTCTTGAGCCGACCACGCGAGCCCAATCCTTCTCCAACATTCCCCTCCAGCAGTCCGCGGAGCAGGCACGATAACGAGAAGATACGTCATGTGCCTAGACGTATCGAAAGCCTCATAGAACATGTCCCTTACCAACCTTTCTCTGAGTAGTATTGCAGCGCCTGATCTTGGACCGCTAGATGTTTTGTCGGAAGCATCCAAAATCCCACTGGCTAAGCGCTCGCGGCCATTGCTGTCAAGTATCGTACACAGCCTTGAGCCCGACTGAATTTGAATAGATACTGAGTACCACTCGCATTTGATCGTAAGCACGTAAGTTAGATCAATGTTCTCTTTTGGTGCTGGATCGATCCCTTCCATGTGGATGAACTGGAAGGATGGATCCCTCATATTACCCAGCGCTTTGAAGCGAACCGCGAAATCCGTAGAGATCCAACTCCAGGAAGGCTTTGAGAAACTATCATTGTCCGACCCAGAATCTTGTTGTAGGGTGTCTTGCTCAATTGGGCAATACCACAGGAGCTCATATCCCAAGTTTTCTATCCACATACCCGCCACATAGGTATAGCCAGTATTCCTTTGGAACATGTTTGCAAGACCTGATAAGGCGGCTAATTTGTCAGACCGGTAGGTCAGGCGGCAGCGCGAATACTCCGACACAATGATTTGCCAGTCTGACGGCGGTGAGACTGGAAACGAGGGGTTGTCATCTAGTGGCCTGACGAGCGCGTCCCTTACTTGGGGGCATTCAAAACTTTCGTAGCGATATGGAGTGGCTTTGCGCAGGACTACCCGGCGATTCCCTTCCCGTGCTGTTTGAGTGAGACACTCCCAAAACATCTCACCGTCGCTGTAGCACAGCAGCCTTGGCGATAAAAGACGCTCTTGAAGTGCCCATGCCCTCTTGCATAGCGGTGCAGTTTGGAATACACTTTCCTTCGTTATCTCATGGTTATTGGAGTTGGTGATGCCGTGCGCCGCCGCCGCCGCTGCTGCTGCTGATGTGCCGTGGCGCGGAAGCAGCATACCGTGATGGCAGTCCGGAGAACTGAGCGCATACAGCGTTAAATACGAGTGGCGGTAAATGTCGCCCATCTTTGCTGCTTCTTCCAACCAGTCATCTTTGCTGTCTTGGAGTATGCAAAGACTATCTATCCAAAGGTACTGTATGTTTAGCCTCCGAGTCACTTCGACTGCATCACGGTAAAGCTCAGGAAAAGATTCCATCGGTATACCCCGGCAATTTTCTTGAAGTGTGCTGGTAGTTGTGACGTGAGGCTGTTCACCTCCCCAACAGTGACTCAACGTCATGTACGGTGCTTTTTGGCCATCGGAGATATGTAGGAATGGCGTGTCTGTGTGGACGTCGATTACTCGTGTTGGCAGTGGTGTCCGGTCGCCTTGGTAACAACTGTGGTTCATATCGCACTTCCCGAGCCACTCTTTCACCAAGTCGAAACTAGCTTCCGAAGAGGGATCCGGAGCGATCTCACGAGCATACTGTCCGTAAATGTATGCGATATAGCCTGATGCGAGATGTTAGCGTTGATTAGATGCTGTTGTAATCTTCTTGCCGTACTCTTGCCTCTTAGATGATCCAGGAATCCGTCTCCAGTTTCCGTCCGCTCAGCAAACCATGACAAGAGAGGATGTGAAGGAAGCACCTGCTCAGGCCGATCAAGCGCAAGAGGGTTTTCGCGATCGGCTTCAGACTGTGAAATTCCCATTCGTATTGAACGGCAAAGCCAGCAGCCTTTGGTACCTGAAGTCTCCAGTTCTGTCAGATCGTCAAAGTGTCGCATTCTTGATCCTTTCGGCCAAGATCTCAGGGCCGTACACTTCTCGCAGAGAACCAACCCGATTATGGGCCTGGTATATCCTTCTAGCAAAGCCGTCTCATAATCCGGCTTGAAGTAATTGTGAAGGAACTGAAAAAACTTTGCACCGAGCACGTGTATTGCGTAGCAGCATGCATATGGAAAGAGTATAACACCTAGCTGGACTGCCAAGAGCACTGCCAAGGCGGTTCGTAGGTCTTTTAACAGATTCGGCTCCATGGCAAGACAAGATTGGACGTGCGTAATCGAAGGTGATACTGAGAATGATGTTTTCGTTGTGCTCAACTGACCCGAGAGTTGCGAAAGTAGGAACATATCTGTTGCTCCCTCAGCTCGTCAGGCGCAGTCCGCTAGGCTAGAAGTGGTCTGGCTTATCGTCAGATATTCCAAGCCACAAGCTAAGGGCTGTTGTGGCTGCGCCTCGTTTGCCCAAAAAGCCACCGGGCATGACCGGCCAGCGCGTGTCAGCTGGCGTCCATCCGGTAGCCATCACCATGAATTCTTATCAATACCTCTCACTTGAACCGTCTTCGAATCAAGGCGTGGGAATGTCTCTTGCATTCGCGTAGGCGTGCGACATCGAAACATTTCTCACAAACCTCAGCCATCTCTAGCCCGACCTCCATCAAAACCAGCAGCTTTTCACAGGCGTTTCGGTGGTCATCTTGACATCGATGGCAGTCATATTCACTGAGGCGGTCCAACATGTTCGCAACCTCTGGATACCATGGCGGCACTACCTGCGCATCCAGATCCTTATGGTAGTGATTCTCACCACACTTTTCTTCTTCATCCTCGGTAAGTATCACACTTGAAGGGATCATATGGGAAGACTGCCCAATCGTATTGACATTTGATAGTCCCAGAGCAGTATACATCTCTTGAGAAAAGGAGCTGGGGCGGATGGGACGATCGCGCAAACGCGGAGCGATGCTATAGGCAGGAACGTACAGCAACGTTGCTAGCTTTCTGGCTCGGTGTGCTTGGTATAGATCAATGGTATGCACGTCACTGGATTTTGGCTGTGTTCAAGATGGTCACTCTGGGCGGACTGGGTGTTTGGGCGCTTGTCGATATCAATTTGTGGATTGTTGGTGGGTACTATGGTACCCCAGGGTGTCCAGGTGGTAACAAGAAAGAATGGCTTTACTGAGACAGGATGTACACCACGTATTGTAGTACTTCGATGGGGAGAATTGGGGTTTACTTGATTGGGTATCTACCTGGGTAGGTAGTCATCGGGAATTCTGGTGTGCCCACTTCCTAACTGTTAACGTTCACTCCTTGGTTGCGCAATGCTTTCCAATGTCACATTGTTCGTGTCGTTTAGCATTGGGTGTTCGAGCGTGAGGACATGGTCGAGGGCGAAGTTAATGGGTATCAGCAGATGCGCGTGCGCCGAAAGCGGGGCCGCGAGTGAGCTGTGACGACTAATTACCCCAAAATTACGACGCTAAGTCCCCAGAAAAACTTCTTGTTTCTCCAGATACATATTCGAGGATGACTTCATGGCTGCATCGTGGGCACGTATTCATAAGGTGATCCCCGATATGGTTGTTCGCTTGCAGAAGCGACCCGACAAAGGCACGGGACTCAGACAGCCGCTGACGTGCGCAACGGCTGTCTGCGGCTGGAACGCTTCCAAGGTTGCCATCGCGCAACCATGAGCACGACTGCGACACTTACGATACAACTAAGCCTTACGAGCGAAAGCCACTTTCTCTATTAAAACAGTGGGATAAGTGGGACATTCCCGATGCTGATGTCGACAGTCGAGTGCCTAGGTACATAGTCCAAGCGAGGCTCGATTCTCCTCCAACATCGCTCTTCCACGAGACCCAGATGAAAGCCAGAGTTTGAGTGATGACTACAGAACTTTGCGAGACCTGCTCCAGAATCCTTCCAACGCATGGGTATCGCGAACAACAGATCCTTGGTACTTATGACGAGGTGTTGGGCAGGGCTCCCACTCTTGAACCTGGCCGCGGTGGTTGTGGTAGCTGCGCATTCTTCTGTAATGTTCTTCGAAGTTCACGAGACACAAGCCACAGTGGTGTGCAGCTGACAGAATACATCAACCTCGATTACTCTGGGTCAACCTTACACGCTCGTACGGCAGATCAGGTAGATGGTGGTTTCTTTGGACATAGGATATAGTTCGATCTTTGTACAAAGGACGGAAACCAGGGTGGGTGACTCTTTAGCATCGATGATCGCGACTTCCAACTGATCCAGATTCAGATTCCATGATTCAAAAGCATATATATTCAAACCTTCCAGTACCCGACTTTTCATGGGACCGTAGCTGCTTCAATCGTATCAAGACGTGGATCGACCAATGCTCCGAGCATACCATTTGCCCTCGGGTGACGTCTGCAATCCTTCCGAGACGAGTGATCGAAGTACCAAAAGATCCTTCTGTAGCGCCCAGGCTGCTGACACCCAACGGTGGAGTGGGCCAATACGTCATTCTGTCCCATTGCTGGGGTAAAAAGGTGCCAGCGAGATTGACAACATCTCTCATCACTGAGTATGGGCAGAGCATGAGTGTGGAGCTGCTCCCACAAAGTTTCGAAGACGCCATCGAGATCACACGCAGACTGGGTTATCGATATCTTTGGATCGACGCACTATGCATCATTCAAGACGATGCTAACGACTGGGAGCAAGAAGCGCCAATGATGGCCTCATACTATGGTCTCTCATCCCTCATGATATCTGCGACTGCGGCCAGAGATAGCTGTGAAGGTTTCCTTACGAGACGCGATGTCATCGTGTCTCCTGGATTGGGAGTAGAGAGAAGTCGTTACTTGCGATATGGAATAATCCGATCAGATAGAGATATCGCAGATTCCATCTTATCCACTCGTGGATGGGCTGCACAGGAGCGGTTGCTAGCTCCCCGCATCATACACTACACGCGCCGACAGATGATCTGGGAATGCGCAGAAGGATTGGCATCTGAAGCTTCGGGACCACACTTGTTGAAATCTCCTGTCACAAATGATTACCCGATTCCGCAAAAGCGCCGGCTTCAACCATTATTTACAGAGGCTTTGGTGGAAGCGAACAGCCGGTTCTGTTTTCCTCTCAACCCCGCGAGAAGCGGTGTTCCACTCTTGTTGCAAGCATGGCACGAATGTGTCCACGAGTACTCCAATCGCCGCCTAACAATGTCGTCCGACAAGCTTCACGCCGTGGCCGGTATCGCGACTCTGCTCAACGACAACGGTGAATTGGGATATTACCTTGCCGGGATCTGGAGCAAGCATCTAGCAGATCATCTTGCATAGAGAAGACACAAAAAGCCCCTTTCTCTACAAAAGAACTACAGAGCGCCTAGCTGGAGCTGGGCAAGTGTGGACGGCCGTGTGATGTACCGTACTATGCCGAGAAGACCAGGAACCTCCAGTTCATTGAGCGACGAGACGAAAACAGAACGAGCCAGAATGTTCGATGTAAAACTTGAGAAACACCGTATAACCTTGAAACACAAGCACGACATATATGGTGCTGTCCTGGATGGATCATACATCATTGTAGAAGGTGCACGCATCATATGCGAAGCGCTTGATCAGCTTCTGATCAGGATGTCCCTCAATCCCAGTCGCCATATTACCTCCGTTACCGATGATTCCGAGGGAAAATCCGCTATCGATAGGCTATTCTCGCGACACCGAGAGTACAAAGAGCCGGAACGACATGTATATTACGACGAACATGAGGAGAAAGACTTCACATCACCTCACCAATTTTGTATGTACTTGGTGACGTCTAATGGTAGTATTGAAGCGCTTCTACTCTCGTGGGTCGATCGAGAAGCTGGGGTTGCTCGACGTGTTGGTCTGGTCCAGCTGGATGAGTACAGTGGCGAATATTTCGACCATTTCAAAGACGGCCTTCATACTGCTGACTGGCAAAGATGGACACTGAGATTAGTGTGAGCTATTGCATCTGACTCTTCTTGCGTAAAACGATGAGAGTCAAAATCAAGAGAAGAGAAGAAGAAGCGGAACCACTGCGGCGAGCAGGCGCATGCATTGTATCCTTTTCTCATATTGTCTGAGCAAGATTATTATAGAAAACTTGGGGAGCTCATGTCATAAACTGTCGTAAGAATGTTTGCATTCTTCTCTACACTCTAAAAGCCATACATAGCTATGCTTGAGGTGCGCAATATGCCTACTCCTATCCGTACGAAAAATGAGTCTCATCGCGTTTCAATGTCGAGACGTTGTTCAAAGAAGACGATACCTTAAAGCTTACACGGCATCATGTCATCCGCATGGTATACGGGTTATCGTCCCCCTTGGCGATATCACAGATTACATTATGGAGAAAAGAAATGATTTAGTGCCTAGGGCACAGGGGTATGAGTCGAAGGATACACACCCAGTAACACCATAGTGCAGTGATGTTTCTGTAATAGTGGCTACGACTGGAGATCTGAGAATAGTAGGAAATGGAGTAGGTATGGTTAGAGCATACGAAAACTACAAATAGTCTAATTTTGTTGGCTGGAGTGCAGTGTCTCCGCCTCGCATCTTTTCTAATTATTCCCTGTGCGGATCGTATCAAAATCATAGTCGGCTTATCACTACATGCATTATCCCTTTCAGCCTTACAGATCTTTGTGTACTCATACCCCTCACCCTACAAAGCACGTAATATCCGTCGCAACTATCAATGTCCACAAATCCAATGGGCAACGCGCGAGCCACGTGGTGTCACATCAACAACATCAACAACATCATCCCTTGAAGCAGATCTACGAAGACACCGACACCCTCTCGCTCCAGGCAGACAAGCCGGTTCTGCCCGCCTATGTCGACATCTGTAACAACTAGGCTAGAAAATTCTGTCTAAGCCCGACACAACCTTCCGTTCTGTGTTTGGACACCCTGATCTCCATCTTGAACTACCCACCTCTCGCTTCCAACAGCAGTTGTTGCATAGAAGACGTCAGATGGGTCCCATTTCTGCTTAATCTCGCTCAATCTTGGATAATACCCACCGTAGAACGAATCTTGCCAGTCCGGCTCCCCAACAGTGGCTTCATTCAAGTATACACCGCCACCTTCCGAAACCGGCGTTATATCGCGCCATGGCTGAAGGATATTCTCTTGAAGGTCTTTGTTCACAAGAGCGAGAGCTTCTGGTGTGGAGTGATCCATCTTCTTGTTCGACGAAGTGATTAAGAATAAGGCACATTCGCGCCACGCTGGGTTAGCAGCGTTGTTTGTGTTTGCGTAGTCCTTGGGTGTCTTATGGTAGCCAAGAAGGTGTCTGCCTGAAGAAACATGTTCCTTGATCAACGCAAAGGTCTGGTTGTACTTTTCTTGGAAGTTACGCCGAGGAACGATGCGATTCGCTGCCATTGTGTTGTCCAGGCCAATCGGGAATGAGTTAGCACCCCAAGTCGCCTGGTAGGCGGAATAGAAGGTGGTATGAGCCACTCGCTTATGCGGGGTCGTAAGCGTGATATTGTTCTCTTCGAGGTAGTCAAAGAAAGGTTTGACGGTTTTGTCATACGTTTCCGCCGTATGATTTGCTGCAAAAAGAAACCGCATGGTGAGGAACGGCTTGGGCTCATTTCCCATGATAAAGAAGCTGTACATGCCTGACTCTGCCCAGTCGAGAAAGACGTCAAAGAATTTCCTGGTGCCCTTCCAGAAGTCTTCAAGGCTGTTGTTCGAAGCATCAATTTGCCAGCCAGCGGTAACGACGTTGATCTTGGGATGAGCCCGGATAATAACCGACACTACAACGCCAAAGGTACCGCCACCACCACCTCGGAGTGCCCAGAATAAGTCAGGGTTCGAAGTCTCCGACACTGTGATGAAACGGCCGGCGGCGGTCACAATCTGGAAGGCGACAACATGATCGGCTGACATACCATAAACACCAGCAAGAGGATTCTGGCCTCCGCCCGTGATCATACCACCAGCGTATCCGACGCTCTAATGAATGTGAGTTATTTGTGATAGAACGATAGACCAAGGGACACTTACCCAAGAGATGGCACCAAGGACAGTGACACCATGCCTGTCCGCAGCTTCGTATACCTGCCTGACTCTAACTCCAGCGCTAAGCTTCAACGCCGGCCCAGAATAGCCTGGCCCTTCGTAGTCGGGGAAAAAGTCGATTTGCTCCATGTTATGCATCCATAAGCTTAACGCTCCCGCACCGGTGGACTTCCCTAGGTAGCAATGACCGGTATTCTTAATAACTAGGCGAAGATTAGTCGCCCTTGCGAAGTTGATCGCAAGCTGAATTTGCGCCACGTTGGTGACTTTGACTGCATACTCAGGATATCCACCGAGAGTACATGACTTGTCGTCAGTGTTGTTCTTTGGCATACATGTCCTACCCTGAAATATAGGCCACATGTCTAGACAGACGATATTAGCGAATAGTTTACTCGCGCTTATGGAAGTAGTTACATACTTGACGTCGGATCCGCCTCATGGAATAGCGGATTTGTGAAGTTATTAGCGATCTCCGTGCATTTTGCACTGTCTTTCTCGCCCCACTGCGTATCATAGCACGGAGCAGCGATGGGTTTCGTCGGGATGAGTGCGCCACCTAAAAGCACATTGAAGATGTCCCAGACGGATTCCTGGGGCCACTCCGAGTCACCAGGAAAGGTCTTGCAAGATGCTGAGGCTGCACGTCGTATACGCACATCACTAGCAGCGGTGCTGTCATCAAATGCGAAGTACTCGGCATACTCCGAAACCCCCTCCTCGGTCGCGAGGCGTTGGATGACTGCGTCAGTCAATTGTAGTCTTTCAGCTTCCTGGAGTGGTGCCCCTGCTGGAGACGTGGCTGGGACAAAGGTAGCTGCAGGTTCGACACCAGGAAGAGAAGAAGATTGACCAAGGATAGCCGTCGGGGAGATGAGCAGGAGAAAACACGTAGCTACTCGATGCATAGACGCCATGGTGAAAGCCAAGAGGTGAATACGAGGAGGATGTAAGAAGAGAGCAACGCAGGATGCCTTCACATTTTATCTTGTTTCTTTAGCCGTTCGATAAACGGTCTTGCAACATTTCTCGCGCGCTCCATGTACATGATTCATATCTAAGCGCTCTAGATGTTGCCACAGACTGCGTGACGAGCCAGTGAGTGTCAAACGGGGATATAGCAGCGAAGGAATGCAGATAGAGTACGCAGGGACTGCATATAGGAGCCGGGCCAAGTCGATGGGCCTGTAGATCGGACGTGGCACTGGTCTGAAACGGGTAGATTTGGCTCTGCCTATGCTGAAAATCGCAGAGGCATTCAATGACCTCGCGGCAGTTACAAGCGAATGAAACTTTCCCGCCCCTACACCAGCAGCATGGAGTAGCGGGCAGCATAACATCTGCAAGTCGCTGCAAAGTGCCGATTGTGCTACTTGCGCGAGCTGTGCATGCAGGTCCGCGGGCGAATCCATCCGTTTGAAAGCAGCAAAGCTGGCTTAGCGTAGGAAGTATAGATATGTCTCTGGCGTGATCAGATGCAAGACTGCGGCGCAGTGCTCATTGCACAAATTTCTGTCGCCACGCAGATCCTGCCCGATAATTTCAAAGAACTCCATGGCAATGTAAATCTCGACATTACTATCAAAGCTAGGTGGCAATCAGTGGTACGCGTGATAGAAGATTATGCGTAAAGTAACACAAGCATGAGATGGGTTACTTATGGAGTCGCGGGTGGCCGCCATCGACGCATGGGCGGCGGGTGCTGCGGGTGGCGGGCGCAAGAGCGTAGCGGCAGGGTCGGCAAGGTTGGCACGGTCACCTGGGCAACATTTCCCATGCCCTGTCGCACCTGCTCTTAACAGCCGCCCTTACTTCTCAACCGACGCTGCCAAGCGCTTGGCAAAAGACCCTAGACTGCACACCCGCTTGTCCACGGATTTATCACATCCTGAAATTCTACCATGTAGGTCTATTGGTGGAAACAACGTCGTGTATGACTACCAGGCAGGTGGCTCAATGAAGCGCTTCTTAGCACCTCTCTTACAGAGATTCGCCGCACAGGTCTGGCATCACCAGTGTATTCGTATATACAATTTTCATCCACTCAAGGAGGAAGAGAGGTACCAGATGACAAGAAGTGGATTGCTCAATAGCTGCATTTGCGGTATGAAAGTTCAAAAAAGCAATTTGACTTACTGATCGCGTTATTAATACGCATGGACACCATCCTTCTAAGTACAAGGGTCGAAGGAACGGATCCTTGGGCCGTGAGCGGCTCGGGGAATTCGGAAGACCACCTTCACAGGCGAGTTGCTCGAACCAGGGGCGCCACACAGGCTCGATGCGATAACTGCGGATACATGCGGTCTTCCAAAGATTGCGGCGTCGTGAACTCCATCACAGGCATGAATCCCAGCAGCGTGGTTTGCGCCGAAATCTAAGTCATGTGAAAAGTAATGTAATCCGTATTCTAGGTTGGTGCAACAAACATGCCTCTTGTCATACTTTCCATGATCTCTTTTTGATGACCATACAACATGGCGGGAACCGGGCTTCAACCACTAAACATCTTCCTCATAGTTTTTCCTTTTGTAGTCTCTGCCACTATTGTGGTCATTAGAATGTGGAAGAAATTCAAGGAGCGCCAATTAGCTATAGGTATGGTACTATCCCGCACGAGTCAAGTGAAGTAAATTCTGACCAAACTTATTTTAGAGGACGTACTTCTTATCGTTGCGGAGTGTTTCTTGCTGGTATTGACTGGAACATTATGGAAATGCAAGTGCTGATCTGGGGACTGCTTTCTTGGACTGACATTTCGCAGTGGTTGTAGTCTCTTATGCTGGCTACCATGCAGAGGACATCCCCGAAGGGGCTATCGATCACGAACAAGTGCTCATCGTAAGTTCAATAATCCCAAACAGTGGGGTGGCTATGCGTTGTGCCAACAATCACATTACCAGTGGCGCTACATTAACAACGCGACATACAACCAAATCCTTGGTCTCGTCAAAATCTCATTCCTGATCACGCTACTAAAGCTACGCTCAACGAATCGGCTGGTTATCGCGAGCATATGGACGTTAATTGCTGTAAACATAGGCTTCGTGCTCGCTGCCTTCTTTGCACACATCTTCAGGTGCCAGCCCATCCATAAGTACTGGCAGCCTGAAGTTCCCGGTCATTGCCATAATGACGCACAATACATCTTCGGTGTGATCGCCGTCACGATTGCCACGGATGTTCTGGTGGCATTGATTCCAGCATGGATACTCTATGATATCCGCATGCCTTTAAAGGTCAAATTAGAAATCATTGTATTTCTCTCCCTCCCACTTGCAGTTACAGCAATCGGCTGCTATCGACTGCATCAATTCATCCTCTTCTTCAGCTTGCCTTACGGTGCCTCTGAGGACTCTTACAACGTGAGAAACGCACTTACGAGCCTTGAGGGTAATCTTGGGGTGATCGCTGCTTGCGGGCCGACTATCAAATGGATCTTGGTGAGCTACAACGGGTACCCCTACACGAGGTTATCGCTGATGTCTCAAATCAAAGGGTTGGTTCATACCCTACTTTGATACAGAGCGTTTTGAGGGAGCTTATATACCGAAAACGCCGAGATTGTCATCGCTGTCACAACTACGTTCGCACGGCTATGTCAGGAGTCACAATGGCGTAGAGCTCCAAGCCCACGGCATCGACGGCACATATCCACTTAATGTTCGCAACCCATGTTGTAGAGCCGACAGCGATGCGGATAGTGAAAAGCAGTGCATTTCGGTTCCAGCGTGCAAAGATGGCAAAGACATTATGAGGACTACTGTGATAGAACGGGAAACTTCGCCGTCGCGCTAAGTGAAACATGGTCTTCCTAATTGTACATGATGAGGCGGATGACGTAGAAGAGTAGTGACATGTTCTTCAGCATGGGAGGCTATGTGTCATTGTACATGAATGTTGAGTTTGATATCGACTAGAATATTTTGACCTTCGCCACCACGCAGACTCCTAAGGTATTTTGCTCATTTCAATCTCTTTCGAAACTTCTCAAATCTCCACACCTATCGTAGTGATACCTGAACTTTGTACTGCCGCTATCCTTCGCAAGAAAGGAGCTATTCTTCTTATCTTCTTATATGACCACTTCCTTTCCTGTGCAGTTTATTTCACTCTGTAGGATCAACAATGCGCAGTGAGATCCGCAATGGAGATCGAATATGATATTGAATAAGCGTTCTCATTACGGTGCCCGTAGCATGCACCGCTCCGTCCACGGATCAGCTAACCCACCGATGAAACGATGTCAAGCTAAGCCTTGCGGCCCAGGAACACTAACAACTAGTACGCTTCAGAACCTCTTTCTCTAGAATAAAAGTGATTGAGAGGTCAAAGTAAGGACTTTCCGAATTCATAGAATCTTTTCGCGGTCACACGGCCGAGTGCCTGTCCATTTATCGTATGGCCCGCTACCGCCCACCTGTTCGACACGCCAGAAGGCCACCGACCAAATCAGATGGTGGGGGGCAGAGTAAGCCATGTGCTCACCGCGGAATTGAGAAGGCTGTACGTGAATAATAATGACGCCGCACCGACCATCGACGGCCCAGCTCTCGTTTTGTCACAAATGTGATGCGTGCAGTACGGGAAAACATAGTGGATGATAACAGATAGCTGCGAATATATGCCAGTGCTTCTGTCTAACAACAACTCTAGTAGCTAATACCCAGCCTACTAATATGCATGTCTTCTTCCCCACTCCAAGACTTAGCACTTAAACACTGCCGGACCCGGGCTTGTGTACGTCTTGCTGCCCGTGTACAAGTTGTACAAAATGCCCGCATCATTCTGCTTATACGCGCCCGGGAAAGAAACCGTACTTGGCGTCTTGCTCGCCTCCCCACCAATAACATTAATTTGCGCACACTCCATATAAAACTGCGCGCCCATACTGCTACTTGCCGAATGCAACGCAATCAGCTCACCCCTCAACAGATACTGTCCGGGAGCAATGCACTTGGGAATGGTAACAGTCTGAACACCCTGATTGGCGATCAGACGATCAACACCCCATTTCGAGCCGTCGAATGCGTCTTCCGCGATCTTGAACCACCCGCCGCCGACGCCCGAGTCGGTTTTGGCGTCGCTGACTTTCTTCATGTAGGCCATTACGGGGCCTTTGTGCGAGGAGTCGATTACGTCAGAGGGGCCGGAGGTGAGGGTGTGGCGCCAGGTTAGGGTGGCGGTGGAGCCGGCTTGGAGGGTTATGACGGTGGAGGTTTTGGCCGTGGGGTTGGGGCCGCCGTTGCAGACTATGTCGTTTGTGGAGACGTCGTTGATGGGCTGGGGAGGAGTTAGCTGGGGGAAGGGCGGGTTGGGGATATAGGATACGCACGCCATCGTATGAGGGAACGCGGACACCATCTCCTACTGCGCCGCCGTTGACGCTGACGAAGATTGTGTGGGCAGATGCCGAGCTGGCTGCAGCAGCAAGGACAAGAGGGGCAGAGAACTTCATTGTGATGGTTGATATTGCTTCGAGTGGAGGTGCTTGATGTTTCAATGTTGATCTGGTCGGGGGTACTTATAAACAATGTCTTCGCCCTGACGTCCAAGATCCAAACCCAGACCCAAGGTTTACATATATTGTATGCTCGGTGATATCGCATACAAATCTCCAAATGCGAGCAAGCCTACAATCTGCACCCCAGATGAGCGGAGCATTTCCTTCGTATCCACCAACCGCATCGCAAGCCGCCGCGGCAAAGGCCTGGAAAGCGCAACGCTATGCCAGCCAAAACCCGGATGAGAGAGACCGTGTCGCTGTAGTTGCCACGCGATTATATTAAGCAATGTAGGGCATGTGTCGAATGTTCTTAGAAGTCCTAAGCGAGCTTGACTTTAGCCAATGGCTTAGCCGTATGTAGATTGGAGGCGCCAAGCCCCCCGGGGATAGAGTGCTGCCCCATATAAAGAGGCTTGCTTGTGACCTGGTTGACTGTTGCCGCTAGTGGAGAAGTGCCGACCGGATCGCGATGTATGGGTGATTGTCGGGAAGATGGACCGCCTAGGATGCGCTCAAGCAAGTGTGATGTCTTGTAGCTCAATGTCTTCCATAGCCATTACTTCGCCCTTCATAACGCCGTGAACATAAGCTTCACCAAGCAGCTCGAACTTCTCGGCGATTCTTCCGACTTCTTGCTTCCTTATCACGAAAGGTACACATGCCCTATCGAACACAGCGAGCTCATCGCCGACTTGGGCACCCCTCGGCACTAATGCAAAGTAGCCCTTCTCGGTCACAGCAAGCCGGCGCATCTTCAAGGCGGCCCGGTACGCCGTTTGCAAGTCTTCCAGGATCTTTGCCGGTTTCCTGGTCTTGAGACTATCGAGGTTGAAGTGACCCTTCTGCCGCCGCGGGCTCATGGTCTGACCAGGTAGGGAAAGTGAGGTGCCTGTCGTGGCATCGAGGATGAGCCCAAACACCTCGCTGTGATCTGCATCAGGCGGTGCAACGCCAGAGCCATCGCGCCCAGCCAGTAGTGTGTGCAGGAAGGCGTCATAGGTTGAAGTGCCTAATAAGAGATATGTGTGTGTTCGACCAGCGCCCCGAACAAGCTCAGCATAGGATGCTAGATCACTATTGCGCCGCTGCGGATCGACGATATCCAGGAATGGGTCTTCGCTAACACTGCCCAGTATAGTGATGGTGTCGAATGCTTTACCGCTCACCGTGATCTCTTGCTTATTCTCGCTCACGATAGCCTTAGGTGACTGCGCGCCTGTGACGGGCCTACCACCCGCGCAGTATACAGCCCAAGATCTCGTCGAATAGCCAAGCACGTCCGTAACACGTGGAGCGCTCCAATCCGGAACCCACGTTGGTCGAAGCGGCTCGTCGTGATCGACACAGCTAAGCAGTTCATAAATGCGATCAGGTATCTCCGTCAGACAAGCCTCGTGAAATACCGCTCTCGCAGAAACATCGGGATTGTAGTCGGGTACGATATTGGCATCAGCTATACCCAGTACACCGTATATCTTGTCTTTGGGATTTGTCGCTTGCGCATAACGTGTAGAAACCAGAACTGTTAGCAATGTTTCTTTCGTAACGATTGACAGGCCATGTACGCGCTCTGCCTGGACCGAGTTCACCACATCAGCCCCTTGTGGCGGTAATGTTTTAACACTTGCTTTCGTTTCGTACTTCTCATCCAGCTCAGCGTTAGTAGTCAGCCAGCTGAGCAGATGCGTCTCTGCCAGATCATGACACCATGCAGCAAAGTCGTCCCAGCACACCTCGACTTTGCCGCATTTGACGAACAAATGTCTCGAAAGTACCGCTTCCTGGATGGTCCACAGTCTACCGAACCAGGGGCGACGAAGGACTTGACGGACAGCCCACCATGCTCGATCGAGGCTATGCGGAAAGCTCAGCCTTTCAAAGTCCGCTGGCGTCACTTGCGCATCTGTCCCCTGTAGCCGCACGAACACGGTCTCCATCAAATCAAATGCAAGAGCCGACTCCTCTCCGCCGTCATCACCGAGCCATATGAGTGTGTTCGTAGCATGGGTGTATATCATGCCCATCAACGGAATCTGTTGCACCTTCTCAGCGATGTTGGGCTGATTGATACAGATTTGATCCGTCCACAAGACAACACTATGCTCAGTCGATCTCAAGTGGTTCAAAGCTCCTGCAAGGCTTGCTGAGATGTTCAGCTCTCCATGTTCAAAGGATATGGTGTCTTCGAAAATCGGTGGACCCCAGACGTAGCTGAGTGCGGTGAACCACACCGGCTTGCCTGTAGCGAGTGAGACAGCATGATTCGTATGCCTGGTGTAGGTCAAAGTTCGTCTACTCGTGTTTGCTGGATTGTCGAAGGGCTGGGTATACTGCTCCTCTCTTGCAGGATGGGAGAAGTCGATGCTGACAGTGTGCAGAGTTCCCTGTAGGGGGCTTCCGGTTTCTCCAGGATGCAGCTCCAAGACGCGAATCTCGCCTTCTCCAAGGGGTTGGTAGAGCTGTGATGTTGGCTCATGCGGTGGTTCGCCACATTGTGACTTCTTCTGCGCCACAAAATCTCGGATGTGAGTTTGTGCGATCTCATCGAGCTGACCATCTACGCCACCAGGTCCTTCCAAGGTAGCAGCCTGGAATATGGATGTTTTGGAGAGCGCAGAGAAGAAGCAATTGCAGTCATCTGCCACATGAGTTAGCATGCGATATCGGCGGTATGAGCTGGGGTGGAAGCACTGCACCTAGCGCGTTCGTCGCGCATGGACACGTCGAGGCGTGCTCGATATGCTGATAGGATTTCTGAGGATTAGCCATGGTGTTGTGGTGTTGCTGGGCGTGAGGAAAGGAGTGAGGTGGCAGTTTCAGCAAGTACGACATTTGGGACTAGGCCCGACTGGGAGTGGGGGCAATCGCGACAGAGGCAGGAGTTGGTGACAACAAGTGTATGAGAAATAGTAATCCTTGCATATTACTGTGTTGGCGTTAACGAAGTGCTACTAAGACATGAAATGGCTGCTTTGCATACCTTTGTAGCGCTACCAATGAAGTCGAAGTTTTTACCCTGCTTCAACTATGCGTCCGGTGCATGCTCACGATGAGCTGCTTCCCAGGATGAGCACAGTCAGCATTCAGCTGAATAACCAGTCACTCCGTATCGCCGCTTCAGTCCAGCCCTAAGAATTGCGTGATACCATGACCTTTAGCCTGTCCAGCCTTGCCCTTCTTTCTCCTCTTGCGCTTCTGCTTGGGCTCGTCATCCTCACTGCTGTCATCCATATCCTTATCGCTATCGTCGCTGTCTTCGCTATCGTGATCTCGCTTGCCGTTGGTAGTCTCCTCGTCGTCTTCATCCACATCCTGCCAGGTCTGCTCGCCCCAGACTTTGACGGTCTTTCCACCACTGCTGATCATGCGGCCGGTGACGTCGAAACCCAGACCAATGACGCTCTCCTTGGCCAGCTCGTCGTGCTTGAGCTCAGCGACAACCTTGTTTGGGCCGAGCTTAGCAAAGCGAATGTCTCCGTTGCCCAGTCCTACGGCGATGTGCTTTCCGCCTGGCCCAACGCCGTCTGGTACGACAGTGAGGGAGTCGAGGCTCTCGCCGCCTCCCTTAGAGCGGTCGACAATGATGCGCTCGTCTTGGTCATCCCAGACTCCGCGCTCCCAGAGTGTGAGAACACCGTCGCCTGCACCAACGATGACCTTCTCGCCTACGCTTGAGCCCTTCTTCGGCAGACCGGTCACAATGACCGAGCTGAGCAGCTCTTCTTCCTGGTCCTCACTGCGGACCATGACACCTCTCCGCAGATCGGTGACGGCCAGTGTGCTTCCTCCTGTTGTGACCCATTGCTTGCTAAAACCGCTAGTACTTGCTTGCGTGGGCGGTAGAGGTGTGAGGGAGGAGACGTAGTCGTCATGGGGGCGGTGTGTATTCTCGGGCTTCAGGGACACCTTTTCGCCGCCCTTGAGATTCCTAATGTCGTAGATGTGCAGGTTGCCCGAGTCAGTGGTGAGGATGAGGGATTGCGGAGAGAGACCGTAGACGAGGGTCGGCGCATCGATGCCGCCATTCGCGCTGTCGGTGTCAGTGTCGCTCACGTGATGGTCAATGTCTGTTGTACTCACGGATCCAGCGGTACAGCAATCTTAGCCGTCACCTGGCCCGTCATGCAGTCTGCGACCTTGACGATGCCATCTGTGCCTGCCGAGTATAGCGACGTGCCATCGACGCTGTATCCGAGGGTCCGACAGCTTCCCTTGTGTCGCCGTGTGTGCCAGACGCTGTCTATGGTGCCGAAGCCTTTCTCGGACGCGATCGTCTCATCGTTGTCGTCGTCGTCGCTTGCGCCCGAGGGCAGCCTGTATGTCTGCACATGGCCGCTCGCCAAGCCTACAGCGATGATAGGCTCTTCCGGGTGGATCGCCTGCACAAAGATGTCGTGCTCCACCGGGAGCGCGCACAAGTTCTCGAACATCTTGGGCCTAAAGATGATGTGGGAGTTGGTTGAATGCATTTCGCGACAGCTACAACTGGAATTTTTGTGGAGCCGCGGCTCAGCTGTTGCAGGGCAGGTGCAGCCGATGGCCTTGGCAGGTACATTCACACGTGGCGGGCTTTCACTTTCCCCCAAAGTCCAACACCACCTGCTGCAGCAGCCGTGCGCAGTCCATTCAGGCTTGCGATTCGCCTAAGTCTGCCCTCGTCAATCGCACCAGTACTTCCCAGATTCGATTGGCACTTGTCTAAGAAAACTTGGGTAAAGTCACGACCAAGTCATTGAATACCATCAGGTTTCTTACCTTGATCCCTATAAAAAAACCCCCCATAATTTCGAACGGCCGTCCTCTTCATTTCCCCATCTTATCTCAAAGAAGCTGGACAGCACCGTAAACCGGGTCTGCGGACCACAAGTGCTTCCCAAGCAGCATCGCGAGGACCTCGAACGAGTTCTCCCTCCCAATCACGGCCATGCCATACAACACGCTTCTTCTCCACCGGGACTTTGATCTTCATTGCCCCATCATAACTAGTTCTTGGCCAACGACGTGAGAGGAAGGTCAACGTTCCTTTCCATGCGTTAAACCTCGTCCGGCAATGCAGCCGAATCACGTTTGTTAATGATTGGCTGTGAACCTCATCAACATTTACAACCATGTCCGCCGTTGTGCATCCGGCGCAAAGACATCCGACATCGACATGTGTTAAAGAGACGTAGGAAACCGTCGTTCTTCCAATTGACAGGCGTTAGATCTACCTGCAGTAATTTAATACCTAATCCGCCAACATGCGTGCCTCATCACTTCTCTACGGTCTCGTGGCCGCCGCATCCTCAGTCAGCGCATACCACCACGCAAAATCTATCAACTACACCGTCGTAACCGGCATCTTCCAACAAGACGATGCCGCAACTGACCCCTCAACCTTCAACTTCCTCACCAGCAACTTCGGTCTAATCAACCGAACCTACCCCAGCGACTCTTCCTGCCCAGACCGCAAGCACTCAACCCAATGGCAACGTCTCGCCCACTACATCTCTACCCTAAACAGAAAGGCACCGCGCAATGAACGCTACACTCTCTTCTTCATGGGCCGCCACGGCGAAGGTTTCCACAACGCCGCAGAATCCTACTTCGGCACCCCAGCGTGGAACTGCTACTGGTCCGAACTCGACGGCAACGGCACCGTTACCTGGGCAGACGCAAAGCTCACCATCGACGGTATCGAGCAAGCGAAAGTAGTGAACAAGTTCTGGAACCACCTCATCAAGGACGAGAAGATCACTCCGCCCGAGACTTTCTACACCAGCCCCCTGTACCGCTGTCTCGATACCGCCAAGATCACTTTCGAAGGCGTTAAGCTACCGCGCAAGAACCCCTTTGTGCCTGTTGTCAAGGAATTCCTACGTGAGGGTATTAGCGCGCATACTTGCGATCGCCGACACAGCAAGTCGTTCATTAAGAAGAACTTCCCTGGCTTCAAGTTCGAGAAGGGTTTCGCGGAGGAGGACCCATACTGGACTGAACTCTTCGCTGAGCCGCGCGCAAACCAGGATGCTCGTTCCAAGGCTGTGCTTGATGATATTCTCAGCAATGACGATAGTACTTATATCTCCATCTCATCGCATTCGGGTGAGATTGGAAGTTTGCTTCGTGGTATGTGCCCATTCTTTTAACGTCGCTTTGGCAAAGTATACTAACAAAGCCTCAGTCCTTGGCCATCGCGAATTCCGTCTTTCGACTGGAGCTGCCATCCCTGTTCTGGTCAAGGCATCGACACTCAATGCTCCTCCGCCCGCTACTACGACTCTGCCGTATACACCGCAGAAGACGTGCGCGGCGCCGCCTGCGATTCGCGACTCGAGCTGCAATGACTGCTCGTGCTGTACTTGAGCGCGTTGTTTAGTTCCGGATGTAGACTGAAGTGGATATAGATTCGAAAGTTAGTACACAATTTCAGCCACCTGAATTCCAAGCTCTTGCATTGTGTTCTAGATGCGTCCCTTCCAGCTTTCATCACGGTCCATGTCGCTTGCATCCCGTGCCGTGTCTTCATCTTGGCTTCCCTTCCCTACTTATGAGTAATCGTCTTCATTCGTGGAAACACGGGGAGAGTTGTGAATCTTACTATAGGTGCCGTCCGGCATCGGTAGTAACTCCGCCTGAACACGGGGTACATACGCTTACATAGTAAACATGTCACTCGCGCACGTCTATCCCGTGCCCTGGCGACCTCATGCACGATTCCACCCTAACCTATTCCCAACGGCTACCCAACCACCGAACTCTATTCCCCTCTGCCTTCAGCTTTGGCATGTCACAGATAAGTTACTGACCTCACCGATTGGTTCGTCGCCATCGACTCTGTCATAGTTCATCGTTCATCGTTCCCTGCGTTCATCTAGTTCATCATCGTCATTGTAGTTTCACTTGCCACCTCCATAACCCTCCATACACTACAAGCCTCCGTCACGCTGCACCCCTCTTCCCTGCCCAACACCCAACCCTTCTTCCCACCATCGGACCGTTTCATCTAGCCGCAGCGACGACGATGATCTTAGCGATGATCTTAGTGAACTAGGCATCCTAGGTCCCGCGAGAAGGCCAGACTGGCGGGTGGTACGCTAGCAGCTAGGTTATGATCGCTGAGAATCGGGCCTTTTCACGTTCTCGCACTTTCGCGCTTTCGGACTTTCGGGGGTCTGGGTAAGCTACTGTACTGCTAGGGAGGAGTGAGTGGTGATAGGTCAAACGGCAGGAACCGGTGTTCGTGAATGATTTGGAAGGTTTCTGTGGAGATTTTGGTAGTGTAGAAGAACGGTTGGGATGAGGTGTTAGGGTAGTGCGACGGTCACCGGTCGGGAGTTTTCGGCGGAGTGTTTTTGGTTGCGATGGAGATGTACATGCAGATGATGGAGTTGGGCAGCGAAGGGATGCGTAGGTGGTAGATCATTTCGAAGGTGATGCTGGTACATGAGGTGATGGTGAGACGACTATGGCGGTCAGAAGAATGTCTGACGATGTCACAATGAGGGATGATGTTGCTGCACGTAAGCTTACACCCCCCTGCTGAGGTGGTCTGAGGCTCTGCGGCAGTTGTAGTCTGGTAACGACAAACTTCCTTTTTCTCAAAGTGCCAGATGCGGAAGCTTAGTGTTTCGAGACGAGAACTTAGGCTTTGGGTAGCGCGTCGCGCTGTATTCGTCGTCATGGCGTATAAGTAATCAACGTCTGGTATGCCGCCCACGTCGCAGACAGTTGATGCGACATATATAAAAATCTTCTTAGCGTCTCTTATTAACTATAATACCAATATCTACAGGGTATTCAGGAACGTCATGTCGCTTCAGTAATGTACAGGGATGGGGTATACAAAAATGATGGCCGTCAGCCGTGATGCGGCAGTTAGTGTCGTCGCTTCCCTGCCGTGGTATATTTCGAGTCAAGTATGGCCCAGCCCTCGAGCCGCTGTGGGGCGGTGTGTTCTCAGAGTCCAGATGAACCTGCTTTTTGATCTCGGTAACCGCGGTTGCCGAAGCAAGTCGTTCGCATACTTTTTCGGTTCATCGTGGCTTTTTCGTGGTGTTTTGAGGCCATAGTATTTGCTTCTTCGTGCGGCTTTGGGAGTACCGCGGAGGTGGGGCACGGTCGCTCAGACGGATCCGTGGAGTTGATGGCATTGACAGTGAACACGATGAAGAGTGTGTGCGGACGCCATCACACTACCGTCTGGGGACGCCATCGAAGTCGCACCCTGCAAGGTGCTTTGTTATTGCTGCGTCTCAAGCAAGGAACTCATCAATGCGACACGGGTCCCTTCCGCGACATGGATAACTTCGCATGTCTTCGTAATGACAAATGGAAAAAGGTGAAGTGGGTATATTGCTGAAATTCATCATCTGTAAGGCGCAGACAGAACCGATCCCCTTTCTTCATCTGTAATGTAGAATGACTTGGAGACCATAATGCCGTTCTGGAAGTCGACTTCTTCCGCACTGCTTCGAGCGCTCTTGATCCTCAAACTCCTCTGACTATCGTTGTCGGAGTTGTCCACACGCGTACTCTTCTTCGAGTTGGGCGGAGCCTTGCCGCCGTACCAGTTGGATCCATTATGCGGGGGCTCATCGTCTGAAGTGCGGGTTTGTACGGTGGCGGAGAGTTTGTACATGTCGGGGCGGAGCTTGTCGGCTTTGGAGTTTCCTGCGGCGTTTCCGGGTAATGGGGCGGTCATGCCATATGCGGATGGACGGTAAGCCCCAGTTGGGCGGGTGGAGAGACCAAGCTTGTGCATGGCGATGAAGAACAATGGGCGAAGCGTTGCGAGACTACCGGCAGTAATAGCGAGGCCTTGCTCGACCGATGACCAAATGGCGATGTCAAGTGTGGACCCTAACAGCGTTAGTGCTGGGCAACATAAACAGTAGTACGGAAACCTACAGAGGAAGTCGGGAGAGTTGAAGTAATGAACAAAGGGCATGCGCGCGATAACCGCAGCACTTGCGATGCAACCCATGGTGATCAATGGGATCAAAGCAACCTTGGTCCTCCTCTTCAACTGCAAGTGCCATACCAAGAATCCCGGAATGATAGCGAAAGTGAAGTCGGAGATGATACTGAAGATACTGTAGACGTAGCCGAGAGCGGTGATGACTGTATTGTCGACGCACTTTCCTTCCTGCGAAGTGCGGTCCCACATGTACGAGATTGGGTAGCACTGGAAGAGACAGACGAAGAAGAAAGTGCCTCCAGCGATGATCGAGACGCCCATGGCACTGTAGATGATCCTGATATTGTTAATAAATGTCATCACTACTTGAATTCGCTTGAACGCTCACCATGTGTGTAATTTTCGGATACTGATCCGCAGGAGAAGGAACCCAATGGAAAGCTTTGAACAGATCATGGAAACGGAGTAGAACAGATAGCAGAAGTACCACGCATGCTTCGCGTTTTGGACGCTCTCGATGGGCAGGTCATGATGGTGATGTCCGGTTCCATAATGTATACCGATGCAAGACGATGTGGTGTACGAAATGAAGAAGAGCTGGAGACCTAGTTAGGAAGCGGCCCAGTTATCGCATCGATCTATACTTACAGTTGCGAGAACCATTAACCAATCATCTCGGCCAAATGCCTTGACCATGCAGACGCGAACATATATCCTCAAGCAACAAGCCAGGACTGCAGTGGTGACGAAGGCGATGTTGACGGCGAGCAGCTCGGGGCCTCTGTTGGGGACAGCCATTGTGGTGTGGTATATTGTCAAAGCAGTGGACGCTCATACAGCGAGGAGGAGCCCCAGAATGAGCACACCGTTGGGTCGGTAATGGGGGGCTCAGGATCTTTTACGCAGCTAGACACTTGACCGAATAAGCAGGGTGGAGCTATAGAGGACACCACATAACCAATGCCGCCACGAGTGAAGTGGGTCTGCGGGCGGGCTCCCAGGACTCGTTCCAGGGTCTGGTCCGTTTCAAGGAGCGACCATTACCAACAGGGTCGCTGTGCCGTGAAGCTCGGACGCGGAACTATGGATTTGGCGAAGTCGTTCATGCGTTGACAGGGCTGTCCGGGGACGCGTAGAAGCTGACGGCAGTAGTGATGACTGCCGCAAACGAAATTGTTCATTGAACTCAAATAGGGACACGACAGAAGGGGATAGGAGTAGGAGATCACCGTACACCATCTGGGCAGCCTCGTGCATATCGCTGGCTTGTACCTCGCATGGCTGGAACGCCACTATGGCTGGAAGGCAGCTTGCAGTAGCAAAACTCAAAAGCGCGGGTTGGGCCACGGCAGTGGTTGTGCCTGTCCTGCTTTTGGTGGTGCCTAGATGCGTCCCGCTCGAAGGAGTTTCGCGATGTTCACCGGCCACGTGAAAGCTAGCCGAGAACAGGATTAGTCACCGAAAATCTCGCAAGGGCTGCACCTTCCGTGCCTTCCGCTTCCCAGCTAGCTCGGACGACCACTGACAGTCAACACTCAACCTCACAGACTCCTCGGAGCTCCCACTTGCTGCCGCTGATCGGCTGCATCATCGCGCAGTATCTCTTTAACCGTTGGTTTCAGCTATTCTACGCTGACTGCCGACTCTCTCGATGAGGAAGTGCTCTGCACGTCTAAAGACGGGAACTTGTAACCGCTAGCCGGGCAGTTCCTGAACCTGCGTGGAGCCCCACTGACAGGTTTGCGAGAGCGAGAGTCCGCCGACACCACTGCCATTCTACTCCCACGATGACAGTTATCGTGGCTCATGGCGTTTAAGTCTATAACTCGAGACTGTCGCCATACTACTCAGGTGCCTCGGCTTCTGTACACTGAGTCTGCAGGGTTTCACGAGTATCTAGTGTGTGGACTGACTCGTTGCCGCGGGCATCGGCACTTGCTGTAGGCACTGGAGGACCTGGATCTAGCCCAAAACTTGCATCATCGGCCGCGGTACCATCGTCCCCTAGATGCAGAGTCCGTCGCACGAACAACAATGGTTCGCGACTGAAACCCAGCTTTAGGAACTGGTATACAACAACGGCTAGTCGTCCGAAGGTCTGTCAGTTGCTTGTCCGACGACTACTGCTTCAATATTTCGACGAACAGGCAGCGGAATTGAATTCATCGAGGGTAACGCTGGATGGCAGGTCGATGCGACCCCCATGCAGCGCCTCAGCAGGTCAAAATCCCAGATGTGGACCCCGAATCCACAGAACAATGGCGACATGAGCGTCGCATGCATCAGGGTAGCACAGCACTTCCAAGTTCCTGGAAACAACTCCGCAACCGTTTATCTCCCGATGCCACGCCTGTCCGGCCCTCTCAACGTCAGTTGGTCTCAGCTCAACGTTCTTCCCGTTTGGTAAGTTCGTCTCAAACTGCCGAGGAACGTTCTCCAGGCCTCCCAACGAAGGTTTAGGCGTCCGGCGGAGAAAGCTCCTGGGAAAAAACTCCGGCCTCCAAAGTGGCGACCTTGTATTGACGTTCGGACAGTAAAACGGTGTTCCCCTGCCAGTACGACGAAGAACTCTCCATACCCTTGGCCTGCTGAACCCACCGTCGAGCCGCCCTATCGCCGCATTTGTGCAACCCTTGCAATCGGGAGCAACGATCCTATGATTGACTGGGTTGAGTGAAAATCTTGAACATTCCTGGATGACGCTCGCAAGGTTCAGTCATTGCAACTAAACTTTGGTTAAAATCTGAGTAGGTACCTGCTGGGAACAGACGAACTTGCGGGCGTGCGATCTAGTTCGCGTTTATGTCCGACGTCCTGATATCCGTATATGCGACGGCGACCGTTATGCCTTCAAACAAGGAAACCTGTCAGATAACTGCTAAAGGTCTGACGATTGAAGTAGGTAGGTGATATATTGAGCATTTGTTGTCACTGTGTAGGTATATCGGCGCCATGCAAGACACGGACATGTCGGAGGCCCTGCAGCTGCCTAGTCCGAATGCGTTTTCTGATGCAGCTGCCAGGACTACTAAAATAAGAGGCGAATATCACAACCCGAACAAGACACGGCAACCCACCATCAAATGAACTGCCGATCTTGAAAGTTGTACCAAGATGAGGCGTACATACACACACCGGCACATGATCGACACAAGAAGCATAACACGAACATCATCACCCTTCAAGTACACCCATCCTAGAAGCATCAAACAGCACTGGGGTATTGCTGTTACGGCCGTACCGAGGCATCCCATACTTTTGGAGTAGTTTATTGACATGTGCCAGCTAAGACCACTACCTTGCTTTTGCAGCACATCTTCACTTTCTTATCTTCAGATAGCACAATACATTCAAGCTTTCGCTTCTTGGAGTAGGAGGTCCATGCGAGAACCTTTATGGTTGCTTCTTCGCCTCCTCCGTTCTCCTTTTCCTGTGATAAGCAATTTGCTTTTTCTTATGCAAGCATGCATACATGTATGCGCCTAGGCGGCACAGTCTCGGGCGCATCAAGGCACGACGCGCCCACCCACCAACACGAACGCAGGCCCCGGAAAATCCTAGCGGCTACATCCCGCAGCCGCCCCAATCACCTCGCCAGATAATTCTCCGCATTGCACCGCCGAAGGAATGCCGTGTGGGTGACAGCGGCTGTGGCGTAGGTTGTTTCGATTTGTAGATGGTAGATTATCCAACCGCTGGAGGACGGCTGTGCCACTGGTAGTATGTTTCGTACGTGGTGGAGACATTGCGGCGTGGTTGGAAAGGTATTGTATATGAAAGGGTGAATGCGAGGTACAGCGCACGCAGTGTAATACGTACCCAACCCTAGGATTTTTCAAGCATCGTCGGACCGAGTATTACTCAACCAAACTGCGAAGTCAGCTTACAGCGACACGTCAACTTGCGACTACACGCGCATCTCAACAACACAGCACAATATGAAAACCGGCCTCTCAATTTTCGGCCTCATCGCCCTCGCATCTGCCTCCCCACTACCCACGCCTGCACCCTCAGAAGCCCTCCCACTCGTAACCCTCTCCCTCATCGGCTCACCCTCACACTACACACTCGGATCATCCCAAAGCCCACAAACCTCCACATCAACATCCAACAACGCATGGTCGATACATATACCCATCGACGTGTCCCTCGATCTCAGCACACGGCCCGAACACGTACAGGCCATCGAGATACTTGGGGTAGAGAAGGGAACGGATCTGCAGGGAGAGGCAGTAGAGAGGGATGATGGGCAGGTGGTGTGTAAAGCCAGTTTGGGGTGGGGGAGTGAAGGGGTGGTCGTGAGGATGGGTGGGGAGAGGATTTTGCTTGATGGGGGGAGGGTGGGGAGGGTTACGGGGGTGGTGTGTTGGAAGGAGGGGGTTTAGGGTATGTGTGCTTGACGGGTGGAGTCTGAGTGAGGGAAAATGAGGGAAAGGCGGCTTGGGGATATTTTCATTGCGTTGGCGTACAATCTTCGCATACGCCTTGGATGGCGTACTTTGCTTTCGCTCCGGCTTCTACAGGCGGAACTTACAGTATAGTAATATAATCTCTTCAACATGCCTTGCAGACCTACCTCGCACGTAAGTACATTATCATAATCTTCATTTACTACGCCCTATAACTCTGCATCAGCTTCTCCACAATACTAATACCCATCTGCTCATCCTCGTTCGGCGCTTCATCAGCTTTCTCTTCCTTCTCAGAAACAAAGCCTTCCCTATGCATGATCTTCTCCATCATCCTAATCCCCCTCAACTCCTGCAGTGGCGGAATATTCTGCACGCCCTCGGGATCCACGTTCTCAAAATCCACACCTGTGCTAGGCTTAACCGCCCCCCCTACCTCATACAGCTTATCCGGTGTAACAACAAAGTCACACTGTACCTCTCCCTTCCTCATCGGCATTACCTTGTCCACGCCTAGCGTTGTCTCGTCAACGACCTGACAGTCATGTGCAACAGCCACAACAGGTGTCTGCGTGTGTAAAACGCCTAGGTCGGCCAGCAACGCCCATTGTATCTCGAATAGATTATGTCCTTCCCAGATTGTTACGCCTTGCGCGTTGAAAACCAGACCGCCGGTGACACATAGGTCTACTTTGAGTCCTTCATCACGCAGCTGCGCAAGCGATACCGAGCGTCCTATGCCTGGTTTCTCCATGCCGTCCAGACACGCGGCTATTTCGTATTTACTCTCGTTTATTCGCCCGGGATGTAGTAAGAAAAAGCCTCTGCGTAGTCGGTATGTAGCGACTAGCACTTTCTTCCCGTCTTTCAGGGCGCGGCATCGCAGGTTTTCGAGGCTGTTGTCGGGCGTGACGAGGATGACGGCGGCGGATTGGTAGCATGGTAGCGTTACTAAGCGGGCGATGGCGGATGAGGAGCCGGTGAAGTCGGGCACGAAGGAGAGGAAGTCGTGGTTGAAGCGCGCGTCGGGGTGAGCGTGACGGATTAGCGTGCGGTAAACGGAAGCCCAGATGAGCTTGCGGTTGGAGTCGGAGTCGGCATTGGAAGGAGGGGCGGTCATTAGGAGAGTGAAGCGAGTGACGGGTGGCTATATGCCTGGGTGTACGTGATGCTGGGGGAACCAAAGGCGGGTGAGGAGTACTGTAGGCGCCATGCCACGCCGCGATGAATGGCGGGGATGGTGCATTTGTCTAGGCTGACTAACCGGGCCGCCTCATCATCCCTCGTCGACATTCTTTCTCACCCCCAACTACAAAGGACTTGTGAATTGACTGCCAGTATCTTCCTTCACGATGTACAGATGTCGCTTCGCGGAGGCATGGCAGGATCCCGGCTTCACCCGCCCGCGCGTCATTGGGGTAAAGTTCCCGCGGCGGCATGCGCTAAATCGGCTACATGATTAGGCCCGTCATATTACCGAAGAGTCACATATCTCGAGGCCAAGACGCATGCAGAGAAGATTTGAGTATTGTGACTGATTATCTGGGCACATGTTAAACGGCAGCTTCAATGGAAAAGCACGAAGAAATCGAAATGCGGACTGCGGCGACACCATCCAGCCGCTCGTCAATGGAAGCCAACAAAGCAACGATATCAGAAGAGCGCATTACAGAAGCAACGAATATGGATTCCATCAACACTGGGCCGCCAGTTCTCGAATCGTTAAAAGCTAGTGAGCATCTCGAAGCTGAGATATCAGACACACAAGAGGGGACCAAGAGTACAGTGAAGAAGAAGTTACCCAAGCGCGCAAAGGCCCTTGAAGTCTTAAAGTGGTTCGTCAAAGACCAATGGTTCCTCCTCGCCATGGGCGCCGTCGTCCTCATATCCTCTCAAGTCCAAGTCCCAGCCTCCCAGCAGCGCACAAAACGAACTGTCATCACATACCTCGCCGTATCCGTCATCTTCTTCATCAACGGCTGTACACTGGACACCCGGGTCATGCTCGCCAACTACATGCGCTGGAAACTACACATCTTCGTACAACTCCAATGCTACCTCGTCTGTTCCGCAGCCACCTTCGCCATCGTCAGCCTATGTGCCACGAACCCCAATTTCATGGACCCATGGCTCCTCATCGGCTTCCTCTTCGTCGGCAGCGCACCAACAACAATGTCCAGCAACGTCGTCATGACACGTCAAGCCCACGGCAACGCAGCCCTCACAGTCGTCCAATCCGTAATCGGCCAGTTTCTCTGTCCCTTCCTCACACCCATCATCCTGCAAATGTACCTGTCCACCGGCTCCTGGTATAGCAAAGTCCTCCAGCGCGGCTCAGGCTACGCCGGCATCTACCAACGTGTATTCATGCAACTCGGACTCTCGCTCTTCCTCCCCATGCTCGTTGGACAAATCGTCCAACGCCTCTTCCCCAAGGCAACGAAAAAGGTCTTCTTTGAGTGGAAGTTGCTAAAGCTATCCTCCATCGCCCTGCTCACCATGGTATGGCAAACCTTCGACCAAGCCTTCTCCTCAGGCGCTTTCTCAGCCGTCAAACCCTCCAACATCATCTTCATCGTCTTCATCACAATCGCTTTGTATTTCATCTGGCTGGCTATCTGCTTCACGGCTGCGACCATGTGGCTGCCGAAGAAAGATGTGATTGCTTGTTGCTATTGCTGTCCTGCAAAGGCGCTTGCGATGGTCGTGCCACTTACGAGCGTTATGTATATCAACATTGATCCTGTGGATCAGAGTAAGATGCAGATTCCGGCGATTATCTTTCAGGCTTTTCAGGTTGCGATTGGGGGGATCATGACGATTGGGTTTCGCAAGTGGATTAGACCGGAAGAGGAGAGGGAAGAGGCAGAAAAGGGTGGGGTGGGTGGAGAGACGAGATAGGGTTGGGAAGGCAGCATGTTATATTTGCGAATTTCCTCATCTGTGAGACTATCTCGTCATCTGGGTTGTTGATGTTGTGGAGATTGTGAGTGGCTCGTTCTCGGAGCTGCGTGTCAGCTTCTTTCTTCATCACCGGGCCTCCCCATTGGCACTGACTCGAGGTTGGAAAGTCGAATTTGGTGGACGCTTTTGATGGGTGGAAAGATCTATACTATGCGCGAGCATCCCTCTCTTCCCTTACTGTCAACTGTGGCATCTCAAGACTTTTCGCGACCACCATCGCTTGATCTTCTCATCTCGGCCATCATTCTCACTTCCTGTACTTGTAAAATAGTTCCGCCATGTTGTATATAGTAACCAAGAACGCCGCATATGCCTTATATCACCAATCTCACCATAGCTCCTCCTACTCAAGTAATGCAGCAGCATCCATTCGGAATCTGCCCTTGTCAGCCTCATGCCCATCTTCCATCCGTACAGGAGATACGTACGCATTTGCATGTCCCAAGAAAGCCATCGCAAGGACACTCGACGCAAGAAACCGCTGCGGTAGTTCCATCCGCATTCCTTACTTCCTTGACAGATCGCTCGAGACTGACCTGTGTTGTTGATTAGTCCGTGATGTCTTAAGATGGGATGAGATGGCATACTGCAGCGGGTGACGCAAGCGCAACCGACGCAGCAACAACCGCAATGATAGCCGAGAGCTTCATGATGTCTGAATAGTATGCGATGCGAGTGCCGAACGAATAATCGAGCAAGTAATCCCAAAACCGACAGACAGGTAGATGCAAAAAAGTTTCCCGTGTTGTGTTTTGATCGACCCGAAACCCAACAAGAATTGAAAGAAGCAAGTAACACAACAGAATCCAGTCCAGATCGACAAAGGACAAACCAGCGCGTTCTTAAACAGCAATTCCTTCTGCCCATCAACCAATCTACTAGTCACGGCATCCACCAAGCGAGCAAGCTTGCTAGCTCGGCTCCAAACCTTGCTGCCCTGGTTCACTTCATCAATTTACATATTGCGTACGACATGCACTCCGGTTCCCCGCGTGCGCGCCCTCGTGGCAGAAACCATATCTGCGGGCGCTGGGCGAGATTAACTGACAACCGTGGGAGCTGCGCATGCGCGTCGCGCAATAAGACACAGGAGCTGAGCGTACTGGCGGGGTCCGGAACATCGGAACATTACACACTATGCCACGACCGACGAGCCGCGACACAATTTTTGATTGTCGAGAGACCCGGGTAAATGGTAGACAAGCCTGGAGTGCATTGCCATGTCCATTTCGGCTGGACCTCACATACACCATGCGGTCGCGAGCGGCAGGAACGGAACATTTTTGAATAAAGCGCACTGCACCTAATCTATCTATACCACCGTACTCTCCTTCCTCATTGGCCTAATGCAAGTATATCCCTTCGTTAACAAAGAATAATATATGCAGGGCGGGTGGAGAATCTAGATCGAGCGACACTCCCGGCGGAGTCCACGTGTTGTCTTGTTCGCCTGGCGCAGGTGCCGACAGATAGCCAAAACCCCCTTTTGATGTCGTTTTGCGGCGAGGCCATGCTGTGGCACGGTGCGGCGGACCCGAAGACCTGTTTCGCGTACGTTATTGTGAGATGCAAGTTCTGACCTCGGGATGGGGATCCATGTGCGTCATCTTACGATGCGTTTGTGGGCAGTTTGATGCATATGTGATTATTTGTTATCGCTGGTTCAGCCTACATCAAGGATAATGCTGGAAGGAGATCTAGACTTTCGAGCATCTACATTTACCGCAGCCCGGAGCTAGTGTTGAGTACATATACGAGTATGCAGTCGCCCTTCCAGCTTCTACCATCGACTACTGCATGCGCAGTGTCTTCACCGACAGAGTTTGGAGCTAGCGGTGTCGCGACGGAGTGACAGCGCTGTGGCGCGACGCGTCGGGTCTTGGATCACGTTCATGCTCTGGCTTGGTACAGGCGGCAGCGAAAGTATGTATAGGTGGCCTATGTTATTGCGAAGGGAAGGGGAAGTGGACGGCTTGGTTGAGGTAACTTGCGGATAAAGCAGCGCATACACGAGGCTCTTGTTGATGATATTGAGGATCTAGATGCAGGCAGTCTGGATGCAAAAGCCGCCCTGTGTCCATCCGATCACGTGAAAAAGATATTTTCCTCATTTCACGCCCCAGCTCCAACGACATCCCGTTCAACTTCCACACACTGTCACATTAGGACTACATCAACACCTCCGCCCATAAACTACATACCCGTTCCGTCCTCGACGACTGCCACCATTTCTGATCTTATCCGCTTCCGCTTCCCACCGTTTACTTGCACCAACCCGTGGCCTAGGTCTCTGCTTATACCCTCCCTTGCACCATGACCCATCGCCTTCGTACTCGAACTCAATCCCCAACCCCCGTTTATCAGGGTTATCGAACCTGTCCAGCCACCTATTCAGCTGTGCATGACTATCCTTTGCACCAGCGGTATACGACAGAATGATGCGTATCTTGCGCATCGGTACAGCATAACTATCATATGCTCCCGCGACCTGGAATCCGTCGTTACTCAGCTTCTTCAGCTGGGCCTGAGACAGGCGGTTCAGGAACGTGACAACGGGTGCGAAGTTGTGGTTGCGCACTGTGGTCGTTATGACCGGTGCGTGGAAGAGAACCGCATCAATGTACTCGTCGCAGAGCTGTCTGTTTACTCCTGCGAGGCCGCAGCGTGTGACGATGTTGCGGGCCCCAGATTTGAGCGTTGATGTGTTGTCTGACTCTAGGACGTGCTTGTAGATTTCATCTCTTAGCTCTCGTGGGAGGGCGAGGAAGGGCGGTAAGGTGGTGTTGACTGAGCGGGATGGTATGGGTGTGTTGTTAGATGCAGTGGCTTTACGCGCACGTTTCTTGGGCGCTGGCGCGGTGTTGGTGTTGGAGACTGGGTTGGCGGCTTGCTCATCCAGTTTGCGCTTTGAACGTCTGAGTCCTGGGGCTGCTGCGGTAGTCATCGTATGATTCTATATGGGATTACACCAAATTCCACATGTGTGCTGCTGGTAAACATATACTATACCGTGCCGAGGCGGGCGTGGTGATCATCCAGGCAGCAGCAGGCAGCGACGCCCGTTGAGTGCGACTGGGAGTCGGCCCGACTGTATCCGCTGGCCCCCACCAACTCCAACGGCCTTCAACTGCTTTCATCCCAAACATCTCCAGAACCTTATGTTGCGATGGTTCTTATCCGAACGCATGTTCTCGTATGTGTGTCGCATCGATTGCGATACAGATTGATGGCTTGATGCAGGTTGCCCGTCAGATCCAGCTTGCATCTCATCTTCAGGCTCCCCTCACCGGCACCTGTTGTGTGCCATCGCAGTACCAGCGTAAAATACCCTCAGCGCAAAATGCTTTTTTTCATCGACTCCATCTTCGACTTCGATTAGTGAGCAGCGAGCGAAAATCTCAGCCTCGACATCGTTGCACCGGCACCCACCTTTAAGCCCTCGGAAGTTGTGTGCCCGCACTCGCAAATGAGGAATGTTGCTACGGCTGAGGGCAGTCGCAAGCTAAAGGATGCAGCAGGTTTCATGCAAGCTTTCAGCTGTTGGTAATGAATGCTAGGTTCGTTTGCTTCAGCTGTAAATTAAGCCGTTGCTGACAAGCCAGCATGTGCAACGTCGGCGGTGTCTGACTTTCCCCGTCCCAATGAGCATCTTACGCCGCTTATCTCTGTGCAACCTCACCGTCTCATTACTGGACCAACCGATCATGGTTATCTCAGCCTCAAGCCATCTGCTGCACTTGCCTTCTGCAGCTTTACGTTCTGACATTTGTCCCATCACACCACCTTCTAGAGACGTCAGACTGCAAACTAGTCCCCAGTTCCCATTAGATGATGACGGAAATCATCAGCAATGGGACTGCCTTATCATGGCAGACCGCTGTAACCCTCGGTAACCGACCAGTAGACTCTGAGACGATGCATATGCCAGAGCTACGCCGATGGCTGAGCTCTGTCTCATGCGGTGATCAAGAGCGGGACTGGTTACCTCAGACGATTTGTCGCGACCACTATTTTTGGTTCTCAGCAACTGCACTTACTGCGGTATCTGGCTGGCGTTAGCTAATCGAGGCGTGCAGTTTGTCAAACACTGCTGTATTCTTCGCCGATGTGCGTGAGGCTGTTCCTCAAGCTCTGGTGGTCACCGAGATAAAGGTCTCCGAATGGCGCTGCTTACGGCTGCATCCGTCTCCAAACTCCTCTCCTAGCGTTTCTGTTCAACATGCTGCGTTCTACACTCCTGCAGCTACTTCTGATCTCTGTCGTCTCTTGCTTGAGATTTGACAAAGAATTTGTTGGGTACAACCTTAATGAGAACGAAGCAGCCATAGACCCCCTCGACTACTCGGGCGAATGGAAAGACCATACATTTCATCCATCACCAACGAATTGGCGATTCCCATTCTACACCTTATTTCTAGATAGATTTGTAAATGGTGACCCGACGAATGATGATATCAATGGGACAGTATACGAGAAAGACTCGCAGAGCAACCAGTTGAGACATGGAGGCGATTTGGTAGGATTGGTAGATAGCTTGGATTATATCCAAGGAATGGGAATCAAGGTGAGCAAGTCAACTACTCCATAGACTTTGTGCTAAGACGTACAGGGCATCTACATCGCCGGTTCGCCCTTCATCAACAATCCATGGAAGGCGGACTCCTACTCGCCGCTGGACTTGACGCTTCTCGACAAACATTATGGGGATATCACGGCGTGGCGGGCAGCAGTCGACGCTATCCACAAGCGGGGCATGTATGTGATATTGGATCATACAATGTCGACGTACGTAACACAAGCGACGCCCGATCGACATAGCTAATCCTGTGTGTAGCATGGGTGACCTCATCGGCTTCGACGGCTTCCTTAACGAGACAGCACCTTTTCGTCCAGAAGAACACAAAGTGCAGTGGAAATCGAACCGCCAGTATCTAGACTTCTCGTTTGGGAACAAATACAACGACACATGCACATACCCCAACTTCTGGAACGAGTCAGGGCAACCGGTGTTGAAAGATTCTGATGAGACATTCAGCAGGCTTATTGGATGCTACGATAGCGAGTTTGATCAGGTATGTTACACGTTTCAACGGCAAAGAGCAGGTCAGCTGTACTAACGATGTACCTTTCATAGTACGGTGATACCGAAGCGTTCGGTGTATTCCCTGACTGGCAGCGCCAGCTATCCAAGTTTGCCTCCGTCCAAGACCGTTTGCGAGAATGGGTACCTTCGGTCCGAGAAAAGATCGAACACTTTTCGTGCATCACGATAGCGATGCTGGACATTGATGGCTTCCGATTCGACAAAGCTACACAGATCACTGTCGAAGCTCAAGCTGAGTTTGGCGACTTCGTCCGACAATGCGCGCGAAAGTATGGGAAGGACAACTTCTTCATGCCAGGCGAGATTACAGGAGGTAACAACTTTGCTTCCATCTACCTTGGGCGCGGGAGGCAACCCGATCAGGTTCCGGACAACATCACTCAAGCCGTCACACTGACCAACAACTCGGACGATAAGTATTTTCTGCGAGCACATGGCAAACAAGCGTTAGATGGAGCCGCATTTCACTACAGTACATATCGATCGCTCACTCGCTTCCTCGGATTAGACGGTAATCTGGAAGCAGGCTACGACGTTCCCGTCAACTTCGTCAATGCCTGGAATACACTACTCACCACGAACGACTTTGTCAATGCCGAGACTGGAAAGTTCGACCCACGGCACATGTATGGAGTCACCAACCAGGTAGGCTCTCTCCAGACCCCCTGAAATTCTCTATCGGTGGTGCTAACAACAATAGGATGTCTTCCGTTGGCCCGCTATCAAGCAAGGTACCGAGAGAATGTTGCTCGGCCTTTTTGTCACAACAATTCACATGCCGGGTATTCCAAAACTTCTCTGGGGCGAAGAGCAGGCTTTCTACATTCTTGACAGCACTGCCGCCAACTACATCTTCGGCCGACAGCCGATTTCATCTGCACAGGGGTGGCAAAATCACGGTTGCTACCGGCTCGGCAGCTCGCAATACTACGACATGCCACTCGAAGCGGTACTTGATGGGTGCCATGACGACACCGTTAGCCAAGATCACCGAGATCCTTCGCATCCTGTTCACAACATCATCAAAAACATGTATCACCGCCGTACCCAGTATCCGGTCCTCAACGATGGTTACTTCCTACAATCGCTTTCCAATCAGACTCGCTTAGTGCAACTGCCAGGCTCGAATGGAACGAAATCAGAATTCGGGATGTGGAGCGTTATGAGGAACCAGTATCCGGATGTACAAAACCTGACCGAAGGCACTGAATCATCGCAAATTTGGCTCGTCTACTCCAACGAGGATCGCGATGTCAGCTACAAGTTCGACTGTAAAGACAAAGAGAAAGCGTTCATATCCGCATTCGACGCTGGAACGACGGTCAAGAACCTGTTCGCTCCGTACGATGAGATTGAGCTCAAGAACAGCTCTACCTCCTTAGGCATCGACGGCTCAGAGGAGTTTAATGGTTGCGTGGATGAGCTCGATATGAAGCCGTATGACTTCCGGGCGTATGTGCCAAAGGCCAGCTGGCTTGATCCCATACCCGTCATCACGAAGTTCTCGCCAGGCCATGATGCTCAGATTGAGTCGAAGAAGGGAGCGCAGGAGAAAGATTCACTAGAAATTGAGTTTCAATTCTCCGAAGCGATGGATTGCGATGGGGTTACTAAGGACCTTGTCATTACATCCGATACCGAGAATGACTTCTCTGCAGCGGTTGACGAAGACACTGTCGACTGTGCTGACATCTCGTCGCTGGTCTCTAATCTTGTCGGTGGTTCTGTTTCGAAATGGAGCTGGAAAGCGACTCTGAAGGATGTCTCGCATGGCATTCACACCGTCACCATCAGGAACGCCACTACCAAGGATGGAGAGCGCTTTACGAACGCCAATGATCGCTTCATGATCCGGATTGGAGCTAAGAACAACCCCATGGTCTTCCCTCGGATCGCAAATTACACTACCGGCATACTCAAGAAGGACTCCAAGGGCCTGCACGTATCGCACGTCGCCCCAGGCGCTAACAAATGGCGGTACTCCACGAATTGGGGATCGACATGGAGCCAATGGGAAGACTACAAAGGCGGCAACAGCGACCTTCAGACGCAACCCTGGTCGGGTACTAAGCGCCAACAATGGGAGGGCGAGCACGTTACTCTCCAATACTGGAACCGCGTGACTGGAAGTAGCGATCACATCCAGCACACTGACACGAACTACAAGGGTCAACCAAGACGATTTCCACATCTGTTTGCTCACGGACCCTACAATCAATTTGGATTCGATGCCGGTATCGACAGCTCTTTCGACCTTGGCAGGGACGGGAAGTGGAAGTTGCATATTATGACCGAATGGCCTTCGGTCGCTCAAGTCAACGTCTGGGGCATGAATCCAGGGGGCAAACCTGACGCAGGCTTCGTCTTTGGCGATGTTGATGAGGATGGCGTTTTGGACCGGCTTCCTCCGGACTCTCTCGCAAAGAACGTGCTCAACATGTCGGTTCTGCCACCTCGACCGTACCTGGCGTATCGCGTTGAGATCGACGATGCGACCCTGGCATACAAGCTCGTATATGCAGGCAACCGGTTCATACAGCTGATACTGTTCGCTCTCCTCTGGTCTCTGCCGGTGTTGACGGCTGCGATGAGCATCTCGATATACAAGGGCGCTTTCTATGGTGTCAAGTTCAACCAGACGGGTGTGAGCGCACAGGGTCTCGCCTTCTTCGCATCTTTGGCCTTTTGGCGCCGCGGTCACAAATTCGAAAGCATCCAATCTGACGACGTTGTCGAGTTGAAGCGATCTACTCCTCGCCTAGGCTTTCACCGATCGCGAGACTCTTCGCCCATGCCTGCTGCGGCTATCGGCAACTTCGGCGCCAGCAAGAAGAGACCCATGATTCTTATCGCGACCATGGAATACGATATCGAGGACTGGGCTATCAAGATCAAGATCGGTGGATTGGGTGTCATGGCACAGCTCATGGGGAAGAACCTTCCCCATCAGGACTTGATTTGGGTTGTTCCTTGCGTCGGCGGTGTGGACTATCCCATCGATACACCAGCGGAGCCCATGACGGTGACCATTCTCGACACTGAGTACGAGATCCAGGTCCAGTATCACAAGCTCAACAACATCACGTACGTGTTGTTGGATGCGCCGATTTTCCGACAGCAGTCCAAGACCGAGCCGTACCCACCCCGCATGGATGATTTGGACTCGGCTGTGTACTACAGCGCTTGGAATGCCTGCATCGCTCTGACCATTGAAAGGTTTCCCATCGATTTGTACCATATCAACGATTACCATGGCGCCGCCGCGCCGTTGTACTTGCTCTCCAAAGGACGAACGATTCCTTGCGCACTTTCCCTACACAACGCAGAATTCCAAGGATTATGGCCCATGCGCACACCCAAGGAGCGCGACGAAGTGTGCCGCGTGTACAACCTCGAGCCTTCTGTTGTCGAAAAGTACGTCCAGTTCGGCGAGGTCTTCAATCTTCTGCACGCTGGCGCAAGCTACCTCCGCATCCATCAACGTGGATTCGGCGCCGTCGGTGTATCCAACAAATACGGAAAACGGTCGTACGCTCGCTACCCTATCTTCTGGGGTCTGAAGGAAGTCGGAAGACTACCAAATCCTGATCCTAGCGACACCGCTCCTTGGGAACCTGAGAAGGAGAATGAGAATATTGTTGTTGATCCAGCGTATGAAGCGAGTCGTGGTGATCTTCGCATACAGGCGCAACAGTGGGCTGGTCTGGAGGAGGACCCTCATGCTGAGCTTTTCGTATTTGTTGGACGATGGAGTAACCAGAAGGTAAGTCTTACATCTCCGTCGTTGTACTCAGCTAATCAGATCAGGGTGTCGATCTTATCGCCGATGTCTTTCCCGCCGTCCTCGAGAAGCACTCCAATGTGCAGCTCATATGTATCGGACCCGTCATCGATCTTTACGGAAAGTTTGCCGCGCTCAAGCTTGGAAAGATGATGGAGAAATACCCAAAGCGCGTATTCTCCAAGCCAGAGTTCACGGCACTTCCACCCTTCATCTTCACAGGCGCTGAGTTTGCCCTGATCCCATCCCGTGATGAGCCATTTGGTCTGGTCGCTGTCGAGTTTGGTAGGAAGGGAGCCCTAGGTGTTGGTGCCCGCGTCGGTGGCCTTGGACAAATGCCTGGATGGTGGTTCACAGTCGAATCAACAACCACCAAACACATGCTGCACCAGTTCAAGTCTGCCATCGAAGAAGCGCTGGAGTCCAAGACCGAGACAAGAGCTATCATGAGAGCAAGATCCGCCAAACAGCGCTTTCCGGTGGCGAAGTGGGTGGAAGACCTCAACGCCCTCCAGCAGACTGCCATCAAGATCCACAACGAGAAGAAAGACTCGTCATCCAAGGGCATCTTCCGCCCGCGGTCACGAGCTGCGGCTTCGCAAACATCGCTGCAGTTCCCCGATGAGAGTTTCTTCCCTCAGTCTCGCGCTGTTAGCACGGACAGGCTATCGAATTACGAGGAAAGACCTGCTGAGGACGACGCTGAAGTCCAAGAGTCCGAGCACTACCACACAACACTTCGCCGTGGCCTCTCCCTCGGTGTCCGTTCTGGACCTGGACATGAAACGAGGATGAATCCCTCTGGTGATGCAATCACACAGGTTCACAAGCGGCGCTCGCCTTCCAGAACGCCCGACATCCACGAATACGACCCAGAAGGCGCAATAACCTCGAGCCAAGGATCTTTGCACGACCAAGAGATGTTCATCAGCCGCGAGCAAGCAGAAGCTGACTACCGTGAGTCTGAACGCCGACTCGCCGTGGCAGCTCTCGAAGGTAATTCAGCAGGCGCTTATGGACTGGACTCGCCGCCTATCGACACATTCTCCGAAAGCTATCGCGGACGCGGCAGATCTCGCAGTCCGCTTGCAGATGACGAAGCCGGCGAGATGTTGATGAGATCGCCACCCACAAGCGGCTTCCTCGACCCAAGCAGTCTCCCCATGCGTGTGCGGTCGTCGCACCACCGACGAAACCGTTCATCTGCTCTCGACCTGAGCACCATCAAGAACGCCAGTACAACGGATTTCAGCCTACAGAAAGTCGATCCAACATTCGAAGACAAGACCGGCGTATACTATACCAAATTCGAATCCATGCTCAACAGCCTCAGTGGCAAGACATCCGAAAACGACCTCTGCGTCGAACAATTCCTCGTCGACAGCGAGAAAGAATGGTTCAAGCGGATGCGCGCCGAGAGATTGGGTCGCGGTGATCGTGCGCGGTCTCAAGATAGCAGAATGGGTCTTAGTCCGCGTCCTGCCTGGCCCCGCGAGAGCCTCCACAGTAACGGCAGTCGCAGTTCCAGTTATTCGCACTACCAATCACCGTCTATGAACGAGAGCGACAGCGAGGAGGCTTCTCCACGGCCGTCAGGCGAAATGGACGAATTCCTTCTCGGTGCCAACTACCAGCGCCCCTCGCTTCTCAAGCGATGGCTGCAAACACGAATCGGCGATTGGCCCATCTACTCCATCCTCCTCGCGCTCGGGCAGATCATGGCTGCCAATTCGTATCAGATCACTCTCCTTACTGGTCCTCAGGGCCAGAGTCCAGAGAAACTGTATATTATTGGTGCGATATTCATCGTCATGTCGTGTGTTTGGTGGGTCATGTTCCGCACGCTGCCATCGAAGTTCGTTCTCTCCACGCCTTTCGCAGTCTATGGCGCTGCTTTCTTGTTCGTAGGTGTTGCGCCGTTCGCCGAGTTTGGGACGGCGAGAGATTGGGTGCAGAATGTTGCTACGGGGCTTTACGTATCGGCTTCGGCTAGTGGCTCGATATTTTTCGCGTTGAACTTTGGTGATGAAGGTAAGCTCGCTCTCCTCTTTCGGACATGTTTAGCTCGTACTGACGTATCTAGGTGGCGCGCCGATCAAATCCTGGATCTTCCGAGCTTGTATGATCCAGGGAACGCAGCAACTCTATATCACGGCACTCTTCTACTGGGGAAGCACGCTCGCAAATTCGGATGCAAGCAATGCGCTTACCTCTTCACCAAAGGCTGCGATGATCACGTTGCCGATAGCTGGTCTTATGTTCGCCATCGGAGCTCTTCTCGTCACGTCTCTGCCGTCGTACTACCACCAGTCGCCAGGCAAGATTCCCTCGTTCTACAAGACACTTCTCCGACGGAAACTTGTGGGCTGGTTCTTCGTCATGATCATACTGCAGAACTACTTCCTGAGCACGCCCTACGGACGCAGTTGGGCGTACCTCTGGTCTTCCCACGCAGCACCCCAATGGGCGGTCGGCCTCCTCGTCTTGGCCTTCTTCGTTATTATCTGGGCGGCGTTCCTCTTTCTCTTCGCGAAGCTCAGTGGAAGCCATTCCTGGTTCCTGCCCATCTTCGCCATCGGCCTCGGCGCACCGCGCTGGGCTCAAATGCTCTGGGGCGTATCCGGCATCGGCAACTGGGTCCCTTGGATGCCGGGCGGCCCTGTCGCCGGTGCGCTCGCTGGCCGCAGTCTCTGGCTCTGGCTTGGTCTCCTCGACGCGATACAGGGTGTTGGGTTTGGTATGATGCTGCTGCAGACCCTGACTCGGATACACATCGCTGTGTCACTGGTCCTGGCGCAGATTCTCGGTACGGTCGTTACGATGCTGGCGAAGGCTACGGCTCCCAACGCGAATGGGCCTGGAGATGTGTTCCCGGATTTCTCGGCGGGGGTGGTAGAGGGGTTGAGTAAGCCGTGGTTCTGGATTGGGTTAGCGGCGCAGTTGGTAATTCCGTTGGGGTTCTTCAAGTTTTTTAGGAAGGAGCAGTTGAGCAAGCCTTAAGTAGCGTCGAGTAGTAATGTAGCTGTTTTGAGTGTTGGAGATGTCAGTTTCACTTCAAAACGATTTGGGTGGTAGTGGGTACATAAGAAGGACAACTTTGCAACGTATGAAGCACTATGGGTATCTTAATCTTCCTCCTTCGCCTTCTTCCAGTCCGGATGAAAACGTTTCATGTGACGCAGCATGACATCTTTTCTCGAAAAGCCCGATCCCCGAGGACAATACTCGCATGACGTGACTGAACAACGGAAGGATGGTTTCTCTTCGTCCTGATCACCCAGGTGGGTTGCTTCGTGCCGCTTAAGATCCTTGGGGTATAAGAACGACTTTTCACACTGTCCACATTTGTGGGGCCGCTCAGACATGTCTGTGTGGGTCCTTTGATGTCGTAGCAGGTCTGCATTATAATCGAATTCCCGTCCGCAACCTTGTTCAGGGCATGTACATTTGGGCTGGTAGGACTTGCTGTGTGCTAGTGTAGTCGATGGACTATGCACCGCTTTCATATGATCCATGTATTTGTCCTTGCGTGAAAAGGGCTTTGATGCTCTATCACATCCAGGGATCGCGCATACGTATTGTGGTGGATCTGGATCGTGAAAGGCAGCCATGTGTCTACGAAGATCTGCAGTTCTGTTGAACATGATTTGGCAGTCGCTACACCGAAGACTCTTTTCGACTTTGTGAGTGGTTTCAGCACTCGATGCGAAATCCATAGCATCGTCGTTCAGGTGTCGTTCCCCGGATGGCAGTGCAGAAGTTGTGGAGACAAGCCCACGTTCCTTGTCGCTATTGTCATCAGTGCCGTTGACGCAGTATCTGCTCCTGGCCCCGCCTCCGTCAGATTGGCTTGGTACTATGTCCCGAACTAGTTCGGGATGTGATGTGCGGTAATGCTTCAGGCGAGCATCTTGGCGTTTGAACTCTTTCAAGCATAACGGGGCCTCACACACAATCTTACGCGGCCTGGCATGTTGGTGCCGCACATGTCGCCCCAGATTGCCTCTGCTATATGTTCCGCTAAATCGGACTCCACAGTGTGGACAAATCAAAGCCATTCGAACTGACGCTGAACTGCGCGACGGCGTGTCTAAGTGCTCTTCGGATTTGCCGATATCAGCGGGTGATGATTGGATGAGCGACCATGCATCTCGAGCAAAAGTGTTAAGATGGCGCATTGGCATGCCTAGAACGTCGCGAAAGTTTTGGCCATGGGCAGTCGTCGCCAATGACGTGGACGATGTCATTCGGTCCAAGTCAGACATATCAACCTGAGCTGCGGCGCCCGATGAATTCTCTCCCAGGTGGTATGATGCAACGTAGCTTTGATCAGCAGCATGATAAACCGACCAAGGTGGCTGTTCACGGTCTTGGGTGGTCGGAAGGAGAGAATCCAGGGGCTCTGATCCTTGGGGACCCCATAATGGGAAAGCGGGTAGCTCGAAGCCATGCGATCCGCATGTCCCCAAAAGTGCAGGGTCCACAAATGATCCCGCCTGCGATGTACCATGCTGCCAATCTCCAAGACCTTGATCACGTTCAGAGTGATCGATACCCCCGATCGAATCAAGTGATGAGAAGTTGGTTGTGGAATTATGATCCGGATATAGGTAACCCGAATAGGCATGCGAAGTGGACGTCAACTCGTCGATGGACGAGGTCGGAGGCCATGCTTGTGTCTGTGATTCGAAAGCATCATCGTGGTCAAGGGTGGATATGATGCCTGGATATCCTTCGTCCGCCGCATATAAGTTCTCGGAGGTAGCATGGTTGGGGAGGTATGGATCGTGGCTCATCGCAGGTATTCGCGTCGTACTTTCGGTTTGTCAGCGAGGCGCGCTCAGATTTGCTGCGAGCGGACATACCCATGGAGACGGAGCGAAAAGTGTTAGATCGCGCATAGACATGCGCTGCATCGCGGTATATTTCCTTTAGAGTTGTGGTGGAGTTGTATGTCCTAGAGTCGGTACAGCGCTGGAGCGACGGTGCGCGGGCGTGACAGCAGGATAAGCGGCGGCTTGGCATCGATCATCAGTTGGGTTCGCCGTCGTGTCAGGCCTGGGGTGCCAGAGTGAACATACGTCAGTTCTTCTAGAACAAAGAGGGTCTTTTCCAACACTGGAATACGGTTCAGTAGTAGATTCCCCATCAACACCGATGCTCAACATGGCGAAGAAGAAGTGCTTTGATCGACCGCTATCATGTGTTCCTAGGCAGAGATAAGTGCGACTGACAAGTACGCATGCAACGAGCGAGCAACAAGATTTACGACGTTTGATATAGGACAAGGTCTCATTAGAATGCCGCCCAATTCGATGAAACGTTGGTGTTCGCTCGTAGCTGTTCAACAGTTCGCTCAGCACCCCGAGGAAGCAAGAGACAAGTTTTAGCGACTTCGTGTTTGACAACCCTGCAACATCACGACAAAGTCTCTTCAAGCTTTGTACAGAAAGCGCTTATCATTCATTTGCATATCCGCGTCTATGGTACCTATTACAGGGAGAATTAAGCTCCCATTTCGCGGGTTGCAGTGATGCGGAAGCTTCCTCATCACTCGGCCTAGCCGATCTTTCTTCGCCCTCGCACCCTGACCACTAAGACAGAGCGTAACTGGCCAGGTAGGATAGGTGGCGGCCGCAGTACTTTCGCTTCATTTCCCAAGCGGCACCCGGACTATTACCTATCGTTTTGTGGGCCTAGAGCTGGCAACTGGGGTTTGTTGGGGTGCGGAAAAAACCACACAGTCAATCGCTGCTTCGCGGCCACGTTCGTCTGGTTATTCGCAAGATCATGAAGACAGATCTGTCGCCTTCATATTCTCTCAGGAATTGTCCGTGATGCGCGATTTCGTATTGGCGCGATGTGTTGTCGAAGCAGGTTGTTGACGAGAGGGGTTCCAACGAATCAGCGCAGAACGCGCAGTAGAGCCTGGAGCTAAGCCCTCCCAACACTGACCGCCGGCGGCTTCGTGGGCTTTTGCGGAGAGGAACCCCTTCTCCATCTATGCTACGACGGAACGACTCCAGCCCTAGCCACTGATCAACATCGCAGACATACCCTGATCCAAGGCCGACGACAACGTTGTAGTAGAGCCGGGTCTCTCTCAAGTCCAGGTCAGTGGTGAGCTTATCTCGTCGAAGCCCAGCGATGACTATGACGACACCAGCTAAAACGTCACAGACACCAATATGCCCGTCGTTCGGCGTGTCTCTATACCTTTCAATGGTGAGTATACCCAAGCAGACTCTGTCAGACCCGACGAACGTGCTTCATGCATGGCGTGAGTCTCGGGGCTAAGCTGACGGCCGCTGCCAGGCACCGACCAAGGCAATGCAACCTTCACGCCTCCGGGCTCCTACGCCCAGCCTATCGAAGGCGAAAACATCTGGTGGAAATACATGTCCGGGGCTATATTGTTGATTGTGGGAATCGGAGGCTTCATCATCGCCGTCTACTTGTGTGTAGGCAAGCGAAGAAAAGAACGTGCCGAGCGAGCCTGTAGGTAGCTGGTGATCAGTCTTCCTTACCGTCGTGGTGTACTATGTCCGCTATACAATGGCTAGAGCTGACGTTTCGCTAGCCCGTAATGCGCCCGCGGTGGGTCGTCCGCCGAATGCCCCGGTCGAACCGGGGAACGACAACGAATTGGCAGTGATCGCCCGTGATCCACCGCAGCCCCATGAGGCACCAGACGATGCCACTGGTGTACAGCAGGCACATGACGAACCAAACGAGCCTGTCCTCGAGGGTCCGGAGGGACTCGGTCCCGACATGGTAGGGCATGGCCACGCTGCTGGAGGCGCCTCAGTCGAGCAAGACGCAGCTGCAGCCGGCGGAGTTGCTTAGATGTTGTATGTGTCCTCCTGGATGTGTACCGGAACATGGGAATCCATGTGCGAATGATGTTGATGGATATTCGAGCTGAGGCGATGGCGTTTTCGGCGCGCGAAGGTGTCCTGGCGTTCGATAGAGGGTCAAGCAACATCGTACGGTGTCAGTGTACAACAGAATAAAATCGCTATCAAACTCTTTCGATCTTGCTGGAAAACCTGACCTGATATCAAATGACCAATCAACATTTCGCTTCGTACTGAGGCGCCATGCCGGATCTGGAAGGTCTCAAGACCATGTTGGCTTTGTGGAGGCTTCGTTCTACGAGTCGCTCCTGGTGTCGACAGCATTTGTGAGGAAGGCGATTGCTATGATATGATCATGTAGATGTTGATACAGATGGACTGTCAAGAGGGGCACAGTCAAGATGGCACCAAGGGCAAGAAGGACCTCTTGGCGTTTAATGTTGCCCGTCCAAATGTGCGGCCACCACTCAAGATCGAGTCGGAGAAGGACGTCCATGTCAACGTTGTTGCCCCCAGCGGCCTCCAATCATATCGCTCATCTCGTAGGAGGACCACCACGGAGGGTCTTGACGAGGGCCTTCGCGCAAGGTGGCCCTGTGCGCTAGTGCGGCCATCTCAGCCTTACGAGCCTTGCATCGCGCAGCTCTTTGCAACACCATGGCGAGGGCAAGACCAAAGTTTGACTGCAACGAAGTTCCAGAGTTTTCGACTGTTGTCATTGTGTCGCTCCAGCTGGCATCCTCACGTTAAAAATTCTTTGTTGCTCAACGACACCCTGATGGCCCAACGGGCCGTAATCAGGGAAAGCACATGCATTGTCTGACCATCATCAAACTCAACTCAATCTTTAGATGAGCCAAATTTGTATTGCAGCACTTGAGTATCGTCCCGTATCCGTGCACATTCTGGCTGCTGGCTTGAAGAGGACGACACCAAGCTTGCTAAGTTGTTTAGCAGCAGCAGGACAGATGAGATAGGATTATGGGCGACTCCTCAAAGTCTGAATACAATGGATACGCTGATCAAGTGTACAGGGTACAAAACGGTATACTGAACAACACAGCAATCTTCCATCCACTTCCAGAAGCGTGCGCAGTACTGGGTAATAGTTTAAAGAGCCATGAGGTCTGCGTGCCCGCGACGCAAAGATCCTTTCTGATCTCGCCTCACATACGGTATCGGGCCAACTCATGACATTTTGATCGCGCACCGGCTGCCTAGCCTAATAGGTACGTATCGACGCGGGTGGTGATAACGGAGAAAAAGGGTCTGCAAGGACACGCCTTCTCCAACGTAAGAGGGATATGCTAGGCCAATGCGAAGGTTGGACCCCGAAGTACCTAGGTACAGTCCCCATGTAATCAAGCAGACCATCCGTGGTGAGCACGAGCCAAAGCTTATGCCACTGGGAAAGCACTCAATATCGTCTATATCCCTATCCCATTGTCCTAGTCCACTGTGTAATAAGGGTCTAAGATGTGTAGCGTGTACAACTTTTCTCGTTCTTTCTTTACAAAGTCTCGAGGGCAGCAGAGCGCAGGTGTTCGTCGCAAGATCGATCGTGACTCGTCGAAGGTGTTCTTCGTGGCTTTGGGAGTAGTTTACGGTAGGTGCTAGTGTCGTGCTTTCAATATATTAGCAAAGTACATCTGCAACCCGCAGTCCGGACAAGTCAACGGAATAGGATGTATTAGGTCGCGCTAACGTAAGCGTTGCATTGCCATATGGCTACTGTAAGGTGGTAGTTTAGTTGCATTGCCTGCGGGGTCGACATAATGTTGCGGGGGGACACGCGACGGGCACGCGAGACAGGGACAGCATGTATCGGCTTGGCGCTGATCGAGAGTCACGTGCCGAACCGCCCACGGTAAACTTCCAAGGTTTGGTGCTGACATGAACACCTTGTCGTTGACATCGACAGAGATCAAAGGTTGTATATTGACGAGATACCAATTTGACATTGAATGCGCTGCCTGACATGTTTGACGTGACTTCTTCGGTAGTCGGGTACTGGGTACCGAAAAGCACGCAGACCTCGGGCGACGAAGCGACCATCGAATCACAGCAAACTTAAGAACTGACGTATGTCTATCCAGAGGTGCCGCCAGATCGCGTTCGAGACGTCTTCTTTTGCACCGCTTCCCAAGCCCTAGTCTCGGACGCGCGCCTGGACTTCCGCGAAGGACGGGAAGCCGGCTGAGCCGATACGGTACCTTCGTTTCACCTTTAAAGTCCCTTCTCGACTTTTGGCTAGATTGTGGCGATGCAGTACGTGCAGCTCCCTCGTATCTCAAGATTTGTTCGTATGGACATGCAGCAGGAACCAACCCCGTCGTTTTCTTTTTCGGGCGCGAAGGTTCCAAGATGACGTAAGAGTGCTTCTGTGCTAATGGGCGCTACTCTCACACTCAATACTTCTCAACCCAACACGCTCCATCCTTTCAATAGGGGCTGCACAATTGCAACCAAACAATCCGATTTGGCGTCCTCGCCATGACGCTTCGACGCATCATCGTCGCTCCCGCTGCCAAATTCGAAACCGGCACCGAGGCCTGGGAAAGAACTCGTTTTTTATGGAGATGGAGCGTCTGTGCGGACTTCGGGGCCACGCCAAACTCAATGAACACGAGTTCCTACCTAGATGCATGCTAATAGCGCAGGTACCGGCGATCATGGTGCCGTAGTCGCTGTTGGTGCCCTGCTAGAACACCCTAAGTGGATAGGTTGACGAATTCCTCCCAGATTTCGCCTGATGAAGTTTGCGCCTTAGTCCAGCATGGCCAGCGATTTGGTATTCCGTCTCGGATAAGGCGATTTCTCCCGTGCTTCTAGTCAATTTCTCTCTTGGGAACTTGACCAAAAGGTCGGGTTCTGCACTTTTTGTTCTTCGTTACCTTCCTCTACGAATACTACCCCTCTATCCAAGGGAAGCATCAAATATGCGTTCATTCTTTCTTCTGCCTTTGTTTGCTATACTGCAGATATGTCAGGCTTTCAGCTCGCCGGACATATACAAAATCACGCAGCCTGCGGGTGCGAGTCCGGATCTGGGCAAAGATAGTCAGCCTCCTACTGTACCATCACAATCGAGGTAAGACCATCATGTATATATCACAATGTCTTGTCACTAACCTAGCCATAACAGACATGCAGCTGGACCAAGCTCTGGGCTCAACATATTCCTACCAAACTATCAAGCAGATCCCAATTGGTAAGTCCCTTCTCGAACGACAGCGACTTGTTAAGCGACTAACGTTATCTCAGGATCCCACTGACTCTGTCCCTCAAGACAGTCGGATTGCAAGTCAAGGTCATCCAATCGCTCAACATCTCTTCGCAATGCCGGAATTTGCTCGTCTACACCTCTCCGAGCGTGAGCTACAGCCCGAGCTCTGCCGATGTCTCAACCTTGACCTCCTTCGTGGCCAAGGGTGGCAGGCTGATCTTCATGAACCAAGTACCCGCAGTGCTACAAGCTCTTGCTGGTGTATCTGCGTCTACTGTAGACACGAGCGGTTCCAGATCCGTCCTGCAGTTGACGAACACTGAGACACCCGTGCAAGCTCTCCAAGGTTTCGACTTCACCGAGTACTACGATGTCAACATGCCATTCTTTGAGAACTACACCGAGACCGGTCTTATCAATGTTGGCTACACGCCTACCAATGGCTCACAGATACTGGGCAAATATCTAGTTCGCGACGACGGTATCGATAGCGCAGACACATCCGCTACGAGCGCAGCGATTGTCAAGCATCAGCCATCTGGCGCGAGCGGATATGTATACAGCTTCGGTATGGACCTCGGATATCTTTTTATCCAGGCTCAGGCCGAAGCCGGCGGGTACTCGCCATTTTATGATGGACATTACTACCCTGGATACGACATTGGAACTCGTGTCATCAAAAATATCGTTGCCTCCAGCCCCCATTTTGTGAGTCTATGGTCTGTTCCATACAACAAAGGGCTCGCTTTCACCACTACTTGGGACATCGATACCTACGTCTCGTACCCCCATGGCCAGGGTATAGCAGCTGCTGCACAGGATAGAGGCGCCGCGGGTAACTTGAACCTCCATACCAAATACGTCACCGATGCTTATGAGACTGCGTACTTCCAGTATGGCGTTCCCTACATCTACCAGATCAGTGGATTTCGAACGGCTCCTGATGGAAACCCATTCATCGACTTTGGTAGCCATACTGTCAGTCACTCGCCCAATGCGGCGGGATTCGAATATGGCACGCTTCAGGAACGATTCATCCAAGGAAGTACTGACGGTTATTACCCGGTTATTCACCAGTGCGGACCGAATGCTGACGGCACACCCACTAATGGAGAGATATGCACGAAGGGTGGTACTAGTGGGCTCTCTTTCTACACGTCAGGTGCTTCCGCATCGGGGGAGGTCCGCGTCAGCGCCTACTTGATCCGGCATATACTCCACGATGAGTTCAAGACTGGCTACAACATGACGACCTACCGTCCGGGTAACCTTGCGTGGAGCAAGTACCAAGCCACGCATTGCGTCGCGAACGGAATCATCGGTGGCTCTTCATGCGCAGGCAACTCCCATCTTACTCATCTTCCTTTCCAGGTTACACACAACCGCGAGTCGTTCCAGGAGCTTCCATACTATGAGTTCCCTCTCCAATGGTCTGATGGAGACGGCAACATGAGCAGCGCCGATTTCCCGGGTTCGGACTTTGCGAACCAGATCAAGTACATTGAAAAGATGGCTCGGTATGGCGGCCACTACAACATCTTGATCCATCCGTCAGACGCCCTCTTCGACAAGATCCAAATCCAACGCGCGCTCCACGATAGGGTGCGTCCATACACTGTCTACTTCAACCAGACGGGTATGGCCAACTGGTGGACCAACCGTGACCGCGCTGTTGTGGATATCACCGCAGCAGACAACTCATCTGCGGTGATGACGGTTCGTTTGGATGGCGTTACAGAGGGGCTTACTCTACAGGTTCCTCGCAACTATGCCCTACAGTCTGCCTCGGGCTCTCTTTTCGCTTGCCAGCAGCTTTCATACGATAAAGCCACCAACGCAGTCGTACTTCGCAACACGGCAAAGGGATTGTATACGCTTTACTTCGCTGTTGGCGCCAGTAACGCCACCGCCTCTACGTGTCCCGACTTCACCCCAAAGCCAATCGGAGACACGGAGTGCATAGCATGGGACGTGATGATTGACGACTTTCTCGAGCTCTACTTCGGCAGCAACAACGTTAATTTACTTCTATTGCAGACTGCTGCAACTGGACTTTCGTCGAACAACGTTGATGGTACTTTACAACTCACCGCTACTACGGACAGCGGCGTCAACTCGTACTACACTGAGATCTCACGCTTCTGCTTCGACGCCACTATCTACACGCATCTGTATTTCGACATGGTCGCTCCTCAAGGAAGCACATTCTACGTGCAACTAGTCTCGTACGATACTGGGTGCAACTTCGAACAGCCAAGTGCGACATACTTGGACGTCACTAGATACGCCCCCGCCGATGGCTCGAACCATACTGTCACCATACCGTTAGCTGACTTCAAAGGACAAGACATGAAGCATGTTCGCGGGATACGCATCGGTAACATCTCGCCAGCTCAGACACCTATCTACATCGACAATCTCAAGATCCAAAAGCGATGTGTAACAGCACCAGGAGAGGACCGCACTCCAGGCCTTGCGATTGAGTCATTCCAAAATGTCGACCGATGGATTACTGGTATCAACAATATCTTTGGTCAGACCGATTACAACAACTCGATGACGTTCGCGAAGCTTTCTGAGCTGGGTAGAATGCAGTTGTTGCCGTCGAGCGCAGACTCGTTCTTCTATACCGATACCATGGTCGATGGAGCTACCTTGAACGCTACCGCATATACTGGCGTCTCTTTGAATGCGCGCGGCCCGCCCGGCGGCTCTTTCGATGTGGTATTGAGCTCAGGCGATGGCAAGACTGCCACTGTCAACACCAAGTCTTATGCGAGCTTGAGCCAGGACAACTTTTCCAACATCACTATCCCCCTGTCGGCATTCTCCGGGATCAACACGGATTCGGTCGGCCGTATCACACTACGTAACTTCACGCCCAATGGTGGTTCTGCGGCCAGTAACTTCACGATGCGATGGATCTCTCTTCTAGGTGGACCTTCCACGATTGGTGCTGGCCCTCGTTGCCCAGCTCCCACTGGCTTCGTTGTGATGAACTTCTGCGATCCGAACGAGTTCAAAACACAAACCAATGCTTTGGGTGCGGCTATCTCTGACGACCGAACGATGCAATCCTATAAACAGACTAGCCGCGGATACGTCGACCTCGTACCCCGCGACGCGACATCTTACTTCTACTCACTGCTCGCAAAGCCGTCCGAGTGCAGAGCGGTGAATAGCTCTTACGATGCGATCATTCTCACTGTCTCAGGCCCGCAAGACGCGACCGCGAACATCGGGTTCAGATACGGTACTGATGGTTGCACCACCAATGTAGTCACGTCTTACGTTCCGATTACATTCAACGCCGCGTCGACACAGCTCACAATTCCATTCTCTCGTTTCCCAGCTACCTTCAACCAAGAATACCTTCAGTCATTCGTCATGACCAACTTCAACTCTCCCGGCTCGACTTATCGCATTCACTCTCTCGTCTTCACAGGCCCGGCTAATAGCCCTGGTTGCGCACTCTGCTCAGGCACCATCCTGAACACCTGCACATTCGTGCCCGAAGTCCCGCGGGTCAACCGACTCCTCGGCCAAATGACTGACGAAGGTTCTCTCGCTTCGTATTCTGTCGACAGCGACGGCTCGCTCGTCTTGGGTTCTAAGAGTGGCTCATACTGGTACTCCCAATTTGACAACAGCGGATGCTACAATGCGAACACACTCAACGCGACGGGCATCCAACTGTCCATCGCCGCTCCGGCAGGCACCACCTTCCGGGTTACCATGCGCTGGAAGACAGACGAGGAGTGCACTACACTGTCGCCCCCGTCCTCCGTTCCCATCACTTCCTTCGTTACATTCACCAGCGCCGACGCATACCAAGTTGCACAGATCCCCTTTGCCGACTTCTCCGGCATGAACACCAGCAGACTCGACAGCGTCGCACTTTCGACTTTCAACCCCTCTGACGTCGACGTCAAGGTCGGTTGCATCAGCTTGATCAACGTCGCAGCCACACCCTCACTTCAGACATGCAACTGCCCCGACGACGCATGGCTGAACTACTGCACACCCGGCGTCGCAAACCGCAACAACCACGGCTACGTCCAAAGCGACGATGGCACCATGGAAGTCGCACCAGTCGTCACCGACGGCGCTTTAGTTCTCCAACCCAGCGTGACAGGCTCATACTGGTACTCGCTCCAGAACTGCGCCGACGTCTCCGCGTCTCAATACCTCATTCTCAACGTCACGGCGAGTGCGGGTGCGAGCTTCAACGTGCAGTTGCAGAGTGGAGGCTTTGGCTGCGATGGCCAGACAGCGATACAGAGACTCAGTGTTGCGACTGCTGCGTATGGCAGTATGAACGGTAGTCCTGTTGTGCTGAGGATACCGCTGAGTGATTACACGAAGATGAACAATGGCGCTTTCTCGTTGGAGAAGATTGATGCTGTTGCGCTGGAGGGTTTCAGCGCTGAGACTTCTAAGTATCTTATTCATTGCGCGTACTTTAGTAGTGGGGTGGGGAATCAGACGGCGCCGGTAAATGGTACAGCGACGTAGATGTAGTCGCTGATAGACATTAATTCTATTGTTTTGTTCATTTCGCGGTTGGAATACCAGTAGTAAGTAAAACTGCACTCTCAAGCAATGTAAGATCTGCCAGGTCACACGTGTCAATTAAGCTGCCGTTGTGCAATTGTTTCGAGCAGGTTTAACTTTGTCCTTACTTACATGTTAAGTGGTTGAAGCTGCATGCGCTTCGCGACAGCCTTGAGACGCGTCGTCCTACAAAAAAGATTACGTCGCCATTTAGCAACGCTCTCTTCCCTTGCCACCCACTGTGTTATAATGAGCATTAAATCGCTCGGTCAGACGTTCTGACGGTCTTTCCCTGCATGATGGGCAAAAAAGGAGATTCTGACTTTGGAGCAAAAACATACAACAGCGGGGATTCGCTAGTGGTCACCCACCTAACTACTAATCCGCCGGTATCATGCTTGTATATGGCTGAGCGGACGGGAAGCCTAATTTTCATGATCCTATGGTCGTATGTGCTGGATATGGTCAAATATCAGTTCATAACGTTGCAAAATACATGAGTTGTGCTGAAGCATCGGCAGGTCCGCTACCTCTTGAAGGACACGAGTATCTTGAGAACACAGCAATGCGATTACATGAAGCCAAGTACGACACGCGTACGGTGTTGACTTTATTCGAAAACCCTGCATGCGTTGGCTTACATGTTAATGGCTGCCTCATCAGGCGCACGGGCACTTCCGAGGTCTACTAAGCCCATGCCTTTGTGTCCGCCATCCCAATCTGAATATCAACCACCCCCACCTGCTACTGAAAGTCGTTCACGTCAAATCTATCAAGAGCTATTAGAATTCGCTCTCTTAAGGTTTATCTATGTTCAAGCTCGCGAAGTCGCTCTTTCGAAGGCAACCATGGCCCCAAATCAAATTTCCGACTTCTGGTTTTGAAGTCGTCAGCGACGCAATGTTGTTTGAGGAAGAACAGCTTGAGGAGTTTCATAGGGGCGTCTACTATCCTGTCAACATAGGAGACGTTTTCGTGTCGAAGTACCAAGTAGTAGGCAAACTTGGTTTCGGTGTTACGTCGACAGTTTGGCTGGCCCGTGATCTACAGCAAGTTAGTATTCGGCAATTATGCCATACATACTAACAGCAAGCCAGCCGCCATACCTATGCGACCTTGAAAGTCTTCACAAGAGAGGGAATGGACGAGGATGAGTACAACATGTACAATACCGTAAGCAAAGGCAATGCCTCGCATCCAGGATACAATCACGTCCGGACAGCCCTCGACTTGTTTACCATTCCCCGACAAGGTGGCGATCATCGATGTCTTGTCCAGAAACCCATGTGGGATAGTTTCAAGGATCTCTTGAACAGGAACCCGGCGCACCGCTTCACGGACGAGCTGCTAAGAGCTGGGTTGTCGCAAGTTTTCCTCGCACTCGATTACCTTCACACGGAAGCGAAGATCATACATACAGGTACGGACTAACACATGTCTTCCCGCAATTCTGTTGACAAGAATGCAGATATAAAAGCCGACAACATCCTCATAGAAATCGAAGATCAGGGCATATTGAGAGCCTTTGTTGACGCCGAAATGACATGTCCCTCGCCTCGAAAAGTGGTAGACGGCAAGCCAATCTATGCGACACGCCAGTTTGGATTACCGAAAGAGTACGGTCGCGTTGTACTTGGAGACTTCGGCTCTGCAATTCGCTGCGACAAACCTCAGATCCATGACGCGCAACCTAATGTTTACCGATGTCCAGAGGTGATGCTGAAGACTCAATGGAGTTATCCAGCTGATATCTGGAATGTTGGAGCGATGGTATGTACCGTCTCATGTCTAAGGCGAAATCAGAAATTGACCAAGGTGCACAGATTTGGGACCTGTATGAGGATAAACACCTCTTCTACGGCATCGATTCAACCGAAAAGCGATACCTGACCAAAGCTCATCTCGCGGAATTAGTCGCAATGCTCGGTCCGCCACCGAAGGATATGCTAGAGAGAGGTGCGCGGAGTAAGGAATTCTTCGATGATGAAGGTGAGACTGCGCTCCCAAAGTATTGTCTGAAGCTGACCGAAATCTCATTAGGGAATTGGATCGCCGAGATTAACATACCGCAAGGCTTAACATTAGAGGGATCGGAAGAGAATCTAGATGGAGAGAAGAAAAAAGAGTTCTTGCAGTTTGTGAGGTGCATGTTGCAGTGGAGGCCTGAGGATCGATGGACCGCGAAGGAGTTACTTGAGCATCCTTGGATGAGAGAGAACTTGTAAATCGGAAGAGCAGCGTGGTGTGGAGCCCTTTGATGTTGAACACGGCATCTCATAGCGAAAGTTGGACTAGACTTCGCTTTTCATCAGATATTGAACCAGTCTGACCTTCGTGCACTAAACAAAGCACAGCATCCGTACAATCGCAGCATGAGCGCAAAGAGATGCCACTGCGCGTCAAGCAGCAGGGGAGTGGTTGTTATGGCTGCCTCAGTAGATGCAGTAATTCCGTTCATGTCAGTCGGCTATTCGACCTTACGCCCTACGCCCTGACAGCTCCGCCATGCTCCAGCTGCGTTCTGTTCGTGATCCTCACCCATAAATGAAGATATGACAGCGTGTAACTTTGTCAATTTCTTATCTAATCACACCTGATATCATGCTTCGTCGTCCGCCATGCAGCCAGACGCCAAGGACGTTCGAGACCCCATTTTTTCAGTCATGAACCGAACGAGAAGGCAGTACTAAACGATCAAGCTCGACCCTAAGGAGCACCCGTTCAACTGGCCCGTCCGAAGGAAATGGATGGCGACAATAGTCATCGTCTTCATGACTACGAACATCACCTTCTGCTCGGGTATCCACGCTGCAACAATTTTTGGTGTGACCAGGACATTCGCGTGTTTCACGACCGTAGCAACATCAGGAGTAACTACGTCTCTAGTCGGATTTGCCTCAGGCCCCATGTTGTTCGCACCGCTCTCAGAAGCAGTAGGAAGAGAGATTGTCTTCCGCATCACCATGTTCCTGTTCTTCTGCTTCAACATCGGCTGTGCGCTATCGCCCAATCTCGCCGCTCTTTTGACACTTCGGTTCCTCAGTGGTTTCTTCGGGTCGCCTGTTGTGACCAACAGCGGCGGATGCTCAGCAGATATCTGGCCCTAAAGCCATCGTTCGGTTCCATTCGCACTCTTCACGACGAGTAGTTCCCTCGGTCCAGTCCTAGGGCCGGTGGCAGGAGGATTTATCTCGCAGCAGTTGAATTGGAGATGGCTCTATTGGGTTGTGACTATCGTTGCCGCGATTGTGTATACCGCCATGCTCTTCTTCCTTCCCGAGACATATACAACAACTCTTCTCCAAAGTAAGTTGGCAAAGACCGGCAGAAAGTCTCCACGACGATCCTCCAAAGACCAATACGCCACTAGCCTAACACGACCCTGGCTCATGCTCTTCACAGAGCCCATTTTATTCGTGCTCGGCCTTTACTCAGCATTCGTTTGGGGTATCCTGTATCTGGACTTCACCGCCTACCCACTAGTCTTCCGGCAGACGCGTCATTAAGGTGAGGGCATTGCAGGTCTATCCTTCCTGGGCATTGGACTCGGTATGGCGATTGCGACAGCGAGCTCACCATGCATCAACAATATTCACGGCATATGGTTCAAGAGGCTTAGTGGCCCGAAGCCAGAGGCGCCACTCCCGCATCTCATCATCATAGCGTGGTTCATCCCCGTGGCACCTTTCTGGTTCGGATGGACGGCAAATCCGCCAAACCACTGGATTGTATGCATTCTTGCTGGCATACCATTTGGTATCGGCTTCGTCATGCTTTTTCTGGGGACTAACGCATATCTGACCGACTGCTATGGGCGTTTCTCCGCAAGTGCACTGGCTGCTAACGCCGTGATGCGGTCTTTGTTCACGTCTGCGTTTCCGCAGTTTGCGCGTCAGATGTATATCAAGATGAGGACGCCGTGGGCTACCAGTACGCTGTGTTTTGTCGCTTTGATTATGGCGCCCGTGTCGTGGCTGTTCTTTCGTTTTGGTCCGGGGATGAGAGCGAAGCCAAAGTATCACTTGTGGACCGTGGAGTTGGAAGAGGCCGAAAAGGAAGAGATATGTGACGTTAACGTGTAGTGTATCGATCCGGTATACATCTCTACTATAGATACATGAACATCGGCGACTTCTAAAGCGCTGTAATGTGGTCACAGGTACCCAAACATACGCTATACAAGTGACCCGCACTAGGCCAACGAATCACGTCCACATGTTCAGACCGTCACGCTTCTACCCCACTCAGATCTGGTGCGATAGGCACATGTTATCATTTTCTCTCTGAGTTATCCATGACTACCAGCGTAAATAATCCGATGTAACGACAGTATATCCGCGCCACATAAATACCTAGATCTCTTACAAACCAACGTATCCAATGAAGTACAGCCGACTCTCCGAGCCTTCAACTAATCTCAGTCCTTCTGGATCCAGCTGTCAACTTCTCAGTACAGCTCTGCTCCAATCTATAGGATGATGAGCCTCTTTCATTGGGTTTGTACCATCTGGACTGCTTACCTGAATTTTGGTGTCGTGCATCTAAGGAGGGCAGCGGTCGCCGCATTTTGGTCGATTTGCGCGGGGCTCAGCCACTCCAAATGGAACGGGGGCTCTCTTTGCGATAGCTGAATCTTCATGGTTGTTTTCGCCAATGAATTGAGGCTCAGCGTCTCGAATGGCTGGAGGACGGCGGCCGGGATCGTTCAGTCGGATTACGGGATCAGCGGCGCGGGCAAGACGGCTTCCACCATCGGGGACACCAAGGCTCTGAGGCTCTGCGACCGGAGCGGCGGCTGCCATGGTAACGAGGATGGAGAAGAAGAGGGACGTAAGTTGCATGTTGGGTGGTATGGAGGCTGAAAAAAGGTCTTTTGTACTGCTGTTAATTATTTGTGTAGTGTCGAACATGGCTGCGTTGCACCGCTCTTTATGCTTTTCTGGCTCACTTAGCGATAGTCATGTCTAGTGTGCAGTCTTACGTCAGATGGCCGCGTTGTTGGATTTCTCCAGTTTGAAAACGTCAATTGATCAGATGCTGCATATGTTGCGATGTTTTAGTGGCTACGTCAAGGTGGATGGGGCGACGGGCGTATAAGGACGTGAGCACATTCTGGATTTTCGAGATTCCTGACCTCTTTCGAACACAACATCCGACAATATGAGGCCCTTCTTGACCGTTAAAGGACTAAGGAATGAATAAAATACAGCGCATTTGCCTGGAAGATGTTAGTTGTGCACACATACAGTGAACCGCAGTCTAGATGTCCAGAATGTCGACTGTCATGTCCCCGGGCTACGAAACCGCATATCAAACGCCGCGAATCAGGCCGGCAGAGGCCAAATATTCATCGGTAATGAGAATTATCGGAGTCGTCTTGTGCTTCCATATACGCGTGGCAAGTGACACTGCTTCGTTGAATTGCCCCCTTACCGCGAGCAGTAGCACAGCATGATCTGCAGCGCGTAAGCATAAAGCCCATGACAACCGATGAGAGCTTAAGTGATATACAAAACCTGTGATAAGTTACATGATCAGTCTATGCGGACTGGAAGCTCGCTGTAGGACAGGCGAGGTGGCAATCGGGATTAACTTTGCCGTTTTTGATATGGATGCTGCTCTGCGTTGACATATTCAGAGGGCGTATGGGATTTAGAAGCCATAATGAATCTCCTGAGCCATTTCTAGATGAAGAAAGAGGGTTCATCATGCTTCCGGGTAGAAGTCGCTGGGCAGTAAAGTGACTAGGCCAGCAAGCACCCACAACCTAGGTATGCAGCCCTCATCTTTCCCGGCGCATACGATACCCAGGTACTGAGTGCTATTGACTCTCAGCTATCGCAACCTCGTCATAACTTTTTTCGCGAACCGAATTTCGTTCGCGCCACTCGCCTATTCTGGTTCTCAAGCGGTACCGGGTAGCGCGACCATGTTTCCACCAAGTCACGTGCCTGTAGCTGCCTGGATGCCCAGATACTGTGAAATGTTTACCCGACGGTGGATGCACTCTTGCCATCGACTAAAACATTTCAATCGAAGCTATCAGCAGAAAACCATCTAGTGTTGCGACCCAATAGTAAATTCATCCAACCTGCACTTCGCACTACTTCCAGAATGACGACCATCCTCGATATTCCAGGCACCACCCCTCCAAATCGATTCTTTCCGCTTATTCAAGAAGCTATAAAGTCGATCGGATACTCGGCGCTGTTTGAGAACAGGGTGGAAAAGATTATCGATACCATCGCCGCAAGCTACGATGCTGATCAAGCAAAATGGGAGCTCTGGGACGCCTTCTTCAATGCTGTCGTATTTTGTCCTCCGCCATACGACTCTCATCTGGCACTTCTGGACGCCATTCGCGCGCAACCACCTACTAAACCCAGAGTCCTACGGCTATGCCGTGACACTGAAGATGACGGGCGACTACACTGGTCAAAGTTACCCGGCTTTGATATGTATCGGTGGGATACGCATGATACTCTCCACGAACAACGTAACTGGGACGGCATACGCGATCCAGGCATCGAAGGCGATCCAGTTGGTAGCAAGATGAGCATTAGTGGCGATCAACTGTACCTCCGGATGTGTATCTTCTCAGCTACTCTGATGAAGCATGACCGAAAGACAGGTATGGGCTACCCTATGACGGTGTTTTACGCGTGTCGCGATGGACTCGAACGAGAACACGATGCACCCCCGCAGCTTGAATCGAACCTACACAGTATACCGCTCGAGCAGGTACGGGCGCTGGATATTCGGGTCGCGGCGATATGGCTGCGCGATGGAGGCTGGGCACTGTGGAATCAAGATCATAAAGAGCTGCGAAAGCATTTCGCGGCGGCGTTGGACGATGACGTATCAGAACTGTGGCCGAAGGATGACGGGTTGACACCAGAGCGGTGGGGGTTGTGGGAGAAGAGGCTGTGGGATCTGAGCATGGATGAGAGTAGGTTGGACGAAGAGACTAGGGCCGTGGTTAAGGAGGCGTATGACGTAGTTGAAGCGATATTAGATTCTGGAGAGTAACGTCGGGTCCATGAAGTCTAGCTCTTTCGATAGACGAAAAATAAGTCAGAGCTTACAACGCCGGATGCGAGGAATTGTGACCATTATGATTCGTCCGTCATGGTCGTTACCGCGGGTACTAGGTAATAGAAGTTGTTTTTCATAAATGATGAGTCGCGACCGTGCTGTGGTCTCGAAACCTCCTCACGCCAGCTCAAGCTCAATCAACGAGTCCAGACTATGCGGATGCCGCCAAACGCCCGTCATCTTCAGCCCCGCACCTTCATACATCTTGCGGTGCTCCTCTTCCGTACGATGTCTAGCCCCAAGACTAGCCATGAGCTCCCAGTCCAGACATGCTACGACACATTAGCGATCCATCGCACCAGAACACGTGAGGAACTTACTCTGCGCCCAATGCGCGCCTTGATCCGGCAGGACAAAATCGTTAATCAGAATCTTGGAATACCCCTTCTTCATAGCCGGCACGATCGCCTTGAGAATTTGCGTATTAACCTCGTCATTCCAATCCTGAATGATGGAGTGCAGATAATACGCCCTTGCACCCTTAACAGGCTGCTCAGTCATGAAGTCGTGTGGCATCGCTTCAGCACCAGGTCCAAGTTTCGCCAGCTCAACGATTTCAGGTCGATCCTGCAATACCAGCTCACCCGGCAATTGACCTTCAAACGCCTCTCGCAGACCTTCGATATCATGTCCCGATCCACCCCCAACATCAACCAAAAACGGCTTCTTCCCCTCCGCCCCCTCAATCAATCTCTCCTTCACAGGATAATACCCCCCATCAAACCACCTCGGCCGCCCCTTACTCCACGAACCCATCATGCTAGCAAACCTCCGCCCCATTTCGGGATTCTGCTGAAAGTACTCAAAGTAATGACTCCCTTTGCAATTGTAATTATGCTGAAATGGCGCATCAAGTCCGCTCTCAGGACATTTCCAATTCCTCTGTTCGAAGTATGATTTCATAGAGTGGTGCACGGGCTGGAAGTCTTCGGCAATGTACAAAATGGAGTCTTGGTATGATTGCTCAGCGAAGGCACTGGAGGTGGGTGTATTGGCAAAGGTATCAGGGCCTGCCTCGCGCACTGTGCCCATGGCGGCGAGGTGCCGGAGCATGCGTGCGACGATGACGGGATCGACGTTTTTGTCGCATTTGCTTGCGATTTCTAGGCTGCTGGCTCCAGTCTCCGGGATGGAGCGCATGGCTTGGAAGAGTTTTACCTCGACGGCCATCCAGAGGGTGGACAGGTGTGCGGGTTGCGCCCAGAGTAGTTGCAGCATGTTTTCTGATGGGTGACTGACTTCTGCAATGAGGCTGCGACATGCATCCAGCAATCCTTCTCTTGCGCCACTTTCGCCATTTTTGAAACCGGCGCTGAGGGAAGCGATGTTGTCGAGGAGGGAGAGAGCGGCTTTGCTCGGTATTGGATCGGCGGCCATGATTAGGTTTGGGAAGATCGAGGATCGCGATGATTGGGAGAGGGGGAACACCAGCCTTGCGTTCGGATTGTCGCGACGACTTGTCGGGATGCTAGTCCAGTCGCACTACACGTGTGCCCCTCATCGGTCGGACGAACTTTTGCCGAACTGTTGGCAGCACAGCACGGCAGGTGGCACCCGCGACGCGTGGTGGCGAGGCGGCGGGCTGCATGATGGCCTAAGTCCAGAACCCCAAATCCTTGACGTTTTCCACGTTGTGCCCACGTTTGTGATCCCTCCATCCTTGCGTCAGCCACTTCACCAGCTAGCCTATCCTGACCCCAGTGTGACAAAGGGATTGCCTGTTTGGCGATAGAACCGTTTGTAATCATGTCGCACCAACAAGACATCGAAGCACAGAATCTACCTGCCAATGCACCAACCGAGACTGCGCATCATTCCGCAGCCATCGATTCGGGTATCGACGCCGGGTCATCATCGGAATTCGATCAAGACAATAATGGAGAACATGCACTTGAAGCGCAAGATGACACCAGCGAAGCATCGACTGATGAAGGGTATGCCGTCACTTCTCCATAACGTCACGTGCCCAAGCAATTCATTGGGCAATCCATTAACCATGGCATCAGCTACGCCGACTCAGACACATCCTCCTTCCTCTCATCCATCCTCTCCTCCGTGCGCCGCGGCGTAGAAATAGAAGGACGCCTATACCCGACCTACGGCAAGCACGACTACGGGATGCCCATTGACGAGAAAGAACTGGATCGCAACGACCTCCAACACCACAAATACACTTTGCTCCTGCGTGACCGACTCTTCGCAGCGCCAATCCCCGATTCTACTTTCTCAGACGCAAACTCTCGCATTTTGGATCTGGGAACGGGAACAGGCATCTGGGCAATGGACATGGCAGACAAGTACCCCAACGCAGAAGTCATGGGAGTGGATATAGCAGCCACACAACCATCCTTCGTCCCTCCAAACTGCACGTTCGAAATCGACGACGTAGAAGAAGAATGGACATATCGTCCCAACCACTTCGATTTCATCCACGGGCGCGATCTCATGACTGCTGTGCGGGATTGGCCGCGCCTAATAGCTCAAGCATACACGCATCTTAAACCAGGGGGCTGGATCCAACTTGCCAGTACAATCCCCGGCGGACTATCAGACGATGATACCATCCCGCCTAATTCAGGATATCTGGAATCAGCACGTGTGTATTTTGAGATTGCGGAAAGGATGGGCGCGCCGCTTGATGCACCAAGGTCGTGGTCGAAGCAGATGAAAGAAGCTGGCTTCATAAACGTAACTGACGAAGTGTACAAATTACCCATGGGCCCGTGGCCGCGGAGTAAGAGACTGAGGACGATAGGGAAGCTGGAGCAGATTATGATACTAGAAGGGGGGTTTGAGGCGTATATGCTAAGGGGGTATACGCAGGTGCTTGGTGGTAGGGCGGAAGACTTGCAGATTATTCTTGCGTTGGCGAGGAGAGAGGTTAGGGATCCGAGGATACATACGTATGTTCAGTTTCATGTTACGTGGGCGCAGAAACCGCCTGTGTAGAGGCAAATGGAAGGGAAGTCAACACCAGAGTCTAGGGAGACGAGTAGTGACATTGACCTGTGACATGAAGATATGATAACAGCAGCCCATAGATCATCATGAATCATGGACAGACACTGCGCAAACTGTCATCACCAAGGTCAGGCAGGGACTATTCAATGATTGGGACATCGTAATATCGGGGTATCATTGAATCATAAACTAACTATGCTTTGGACCCTACGTGGTCTTTTGCCGCTTCTTCGCCTTGGAAAGCGCCTGTGTTATGGCAGCAAGCTCTTCCTCCACCACCTCATCGTCTTCGCTTTCTCCAGTATCCTCGGCTACTTCATCATCGTCGGCGGCTTCAAGTGTTGTGCCACCTTCTTCGTCGTCGTCCGATACCTCTTCCTCAACATCGTCCTCGCCATCCATCTGTAGGCCGTCTTCGTCACTGAAACCACTAAAGTCGCTATCGTTATCGGATTCGTCTTGTGTGGCGCCAGCCTTCTCAGCGACACTACCAGTAGCCTCGCTCTCGCCGCCTCGCTTCCGCTTCTTGCTCATCTCACCGAGCTTGCCTTCACGCTTCGCGTTGATGGGTCCACTTGCTGATTCTTCGCCCTCCTTGTATGGTGGGGGAGTGAACCAAGGAAGCTTTCCCCTTATCCAGTCGTTCAGAACCATCTTCGCAGCGCCGTCGATATCAGCTTCACCTCCCTTCAGCAGACGACCGCTCTTGCGGCATAGGCATTCCAGGAATGCGACAGCATCGCCTTTGTAATCTGAGTCCTTGATATCGTACGTTCGCTGGAGATGTCGCGGTTGTACTCGCTTCAAAACCTCTTCGATGTATTGTGCTGGGTACTCAACGTTCTCGACACGTACACTCCCGCGGAGCAGTAAATCCTGATCAGTATCGTTCTGGTTTGGTGGTACAATACCAGGACAGTCGATCATGTAGATGCGCTTCATCAAGGTAATATATTGCCACACCTTGGTTTCACCGGCGATGGGTGCAACGACGCACACCTTCTTCTTGCGGAGAGTGTTGATGATGGATGATTTACCGGTATTTGGGTAGCCAACCATACCCACGGAGACCTGTTTACGGTCGCTGTGGAGAGAGCTGAACTGGCGGAGGAGGGCGATCAAGGAACCCTTACCGAAACTGTTGTTGATGGAAGCGTGGAAAGCAAGTGTCGGGAATTCCTTGCTAAGATGACGAACCCATGCAGCCTGTCAAGTGTCAGTGTGTAGTCATCAACTTGACATGATAAAGTGTGTCGACGACGGAATGTGCGAAATATTACTAAGAGTACCGCCATGAAGCTGCTAGTGCAGAGACGGTCCTCAACTCAAACAAATCACGCGTGACTCTATTGATCGGCAACCAAGACGGTTGCCAATCGACCCGCGATCAAGACGATCTTAGGCCAGCGAGCCACTTTTGCTCTTCCCAACTTGTAACAGAACCGTATTCATGGAATAGGAAAAGGTCCTTGACTTAAGGAGGGTGTGTGTGGTGTAGGGGGCAGAGAGGGGGTGTGAACTTACAGCGACCTTAGAGGGAACGAGATCGACCTTGTTGAGGACAAAGACCAGATGCTTATGAGGTGCCTCGGTGCGAATGTATTTTTCGACAGAGCGGCAACGGGTGCCGTCAGGGTCGCGGGCATCTAGGACATGGAGAATGACATCGGAGGAATCAATGACCTGGATTGTCCATTAGACACGGCTTGCGAAAGGTGATACATGTTGCTTACCTTGTACAGTTCGTTCCAGATACGCTTCGATGTGCCCTTCATGAAGATGAACTCGCGCGCGGACGTAAGCTCGCCGTTGGGGTTGTCGGCGAAGGACTCGTTTTGTTCTGCCTCGCCAGACGTGCCCGAAAGCAGCTTGGCGTTCTCGAGTCGCTCCACGTACGTCTCGTGCATGCTTCCTGTGCGACCAGCCAGATCCTCAATGGAGCTGAAGTCGAGCTTCGGCCGCTTGCGTTGGGCCTTGGGGCCAAACGTCTCCGAGAAGGGCTGACTGCCGACGGCGATCTTGGCAGCGTGCTGCTTGAGGCCTGGGATCTGTCCTGGTGTCTCGATCAAGCTCATGGGGAGCTTGTTGCGCTTCATCAGGAACGTGGTAGGGTCTGAAGACTGCGCCTCTACAGCCGAGCGGAAGCTGTCGAGAGCATCCTGCGATATCACTCGCGTGTTGTTGAACCACTTCCTGTTGGGCTCGACACGGGCGACAGGCGCTGCGCGGTTCTGGTAGATAGCAGCCTTGGTGATGTCTCCCTTGGCATTGCGCTCGGCTTTGCCATCTGTGAGGCGCTTGAGGAGCTTGACCTTTTTCGCGTCACTACGAAACTGTCAGTATATCCGTGCATGTCGAGACCGGCGCAAAGAGATTGCAAGCCATACCGGTAGAAGTTGGTGCCCTTGGTCTTGACATTTCCCATGCCATCGCCCGTCTTGCCCTCGCGCTCCTTGCGGTTGTGCTCTTTCTTCTGGACACCCATGACGACTGCTTCCTGTGGTGTTGGCGAGTTGGGAAGAGTGAAGAGGAAGTTCGCGAGGCATGGGCAACTTTTTTTGAGAGGCGGGAGCTAGCCAGAGTGGGGCCAAGGGGCTTGGCGCCGACAATTTCGAAGCAGGCGCGACGACACGACCGCCGCACCTCCGCATCGCCGCATCCAAGTGCACGAGGCAGGACCACCGTAATGCCGCCCAGGATACCCGTCCGCTACCCATGGGCCTCGCCTTCGCCCTCTGCATCCGCCAATGGCTGGAGTAGCAGCCTGTGTGTCCGCGCCTTCTCCTCGACACCATCCGCTCTCGCCCTCGGTCCGCAGTCGCCAAACTACATAGACGTGCCGAAGCCGCTGCAGCCCACCTACCCAGCCAAGCCAGCAGTAAAGGGCCATCTCCCCATCCCCAGAGACGTCTTCAAGACAAGGAATAAGCACCCAAAGGAGTCGGACATCTTCCTCGGCCGGAGTACGAAGGAGCCCAAAGAAGTCAAGGTCCCCGGGCCATACAGCCGGGATGCCGACTACCGGTTATACAAGCAAAGGCTAGCGGAGAAGAGGAGGGAGAACCTGAAGGAGGGTGTCAAGGCGCTGCACGAGCGAAAGGTTACATCAGAAGCGCAGTACTTGGCCAAGATCCAGGCCATTGGTGCGAAAAGGCGGGAGCTGGCCACGGCACCCCGGCGCGAAGTCGACATCCTCACAGAAACGTCTGTCGCCAAGGGCATTCGCGACTTCCTCACCGACAGCCTGCCCCCACGGCCCGACATCACCAAAGCCCGCAGCCGAGCATACAGGCGCCGAGTAGCCCGGGTACAGGAAGTTCGCGCCTCCCGCCTACACGATCTATACACCAACGCGCGAAAATTCATTGTGGATGAACAGCAATTAGACGAGGCGATAGAGAAGGTCTTCGGGACTGAGGAGCAGCCTGTTGGTTGGGACGCCAGGGGCGTCATGGGCCCACGAGAAGATGGCAGGAATGGTCTCAGCCCATGGGACGGACCCCTGCCCGAAGGTGTCGGCGACATGCTCAATAAGCTCAAGGGTGGCGAGGGTGTTGGTCTTGCTAAAGAGCGCGTCAAGAAGGTGGCCGAAGAGCTTACTGGCGGTAAGATGTAGGCTCCATTCAGAGCTATGTATCATGTACTTCATGTGTATACCCATATTTGGATGACTCGATGATACTTGGCACTTTTCCCACTGCATGTCCGAAACGCGTTTTCCAGTCGAAATCTCCCCTACTTATTCACCAAGTACACAGTCCTTAGGCTCGATCGCTGACCAGTGGCTGACGATGACGGAACATATTGGGGACGCTCAATACAGACAGATCTGTCCAGGCCTATCCTCGGTATCCTCCCCTTGACAAACACCCTGCTTCCACCTTTCACTCCGCATACCCCACCGTTGGAGGACAGTGAGCTAGACTGCTAAGGCGCTAGCGAGGTGAAGGAGAGATAGCGGTCCTTCAGCCTCCACTGAACCTTGTCATTTTGCAACTTCCAACAAACGGATGTAATACATTCTAACCTACATATCTTGGCCTAATCACCGCGCACGATCGCTTTGGTAGTCTTCTTATTGCATCCACCACCCTCGCACCGCTTTCCAGTGAGGACTGCGCTCTTTGGGTCAATCACGTTCAGTACTCACCCGAGTCGTGACCGAAGTCTTGCTTCAACCGTTTGTCAAGGCTCCTAACTTTACTTCTGCTAAGGCGCTATTCGCGCTAGCTTCACGAGTATGATCCATGGGACTAGGGCTCCCTCCGCCTACTAATACAGCTATTCCTTCACGCTTCTCTACTGATTCTCTTCACAAGATTCACCCACTCACTACCTGGGCGTCAATTCCAGACCACCATTCAACACCATCGATTAACCCAAGTGCATCACTCTCTCTACACCCAGTGTCTCTGTCAATCTCCTCGTCCACAATGAGACTCCCAACCCTCTTTTCCGGCATGATCTTCCTCTCGCTCATCCTCCTCACCATCGCAACCCCCCTCGCTCTCCCCGACGACATCCCCGCCTCAACAGAAGGTTCCAAGACCAAACACGACCCTCTCACCCAAATCCCCGCCCACGAACGCCGCGGCATAGCCTACAACGATGTGGCCTACACCAAGCTCTTTCAAGGCGACGGCACCCACGCGACCTGGCGCTTCAACTGGGACTCCTCATCCGCCTTATCACCTGCCTGGTTTCGCTTCGTCCCCACGCTGCATTCACTGCGCGACGATCATACGGGTCGCTGGAAAGACAATGCCGAGGCGATGGCGAGGAAGAATTGGGAGGATGAGGAGAGGGCGACGTGGTTAATGGGATTCAATGAGCCGGATAACTGCGTGTAAGTGGAAAGATGGTCGAAGGGATGAGGTGTTCGTGTATAAGTTTTGTTAACATTGATGACAGACCTGATGGAGGCGGCTCTTGTATCGACGTCCCCACCGCCGTTGCGGGTTGGAAGAAACACATGGAACCGCTATCCAGCTTCAACAGCAAGATGTATCTCGGTTCGCCCGCTGTCACCAATGCCGCAGCCTCTGATACCACGGGTCTGGGTTGGCTAGCCAAGTTCATGGACGCGTGCGATGGATGTACCATTGACTTTATCAACATCCACTGGTAAGCCTATCATTCCACTCAAAAGACCACTGCTTTTTCCAGACACATATTCTCACAAAGTTTCCATAGGTATAACTCCGCCCCCAACTCCGCCCAAAATTTCAAAGATCACATCGCCGACGCTCGCAAAGTCGCCCACGGCCTCCCCATCTGGGTCACTGAATTCCACGCCGAAGGTACCGATGATGAAATTCGTACTTTTCTAGACGATGTCATGCCTTGGATGGATGACTCGCAGGACATTCATCGGTACGCATATTTCATGGCGAGACCGGGCAAGGGCATGCTGATTAACGATGCGGGAGATGGGTTAAGCGATATTGGCAAGGAATTCAACTTTTTCCATAAACATGATTCGGAGAAGAATAAGGATGGGAAGAGCTATGGGAAGGGCTGGGATGGAACGAGGTGGTGGGAGGAGGGGCAGTAAAATCCAGTCGTTGAGTTTCTTCTGAAGACCTTGGAAGGAAGATAGCCTCGTGATCTAGACCAAGAGTTTGGAAGGTCTGGGATGGAGGATCAGATCTTATTCCCCGTTTCTCTTGCCATCTTGATAATCTTATCTATCTAACAAGATATCTTATACTCAACTCCCTGGACTCCAAGGCTGTCCAATAGCCTTCCTAAACCCCCCTTCAAACACATCAATCGTCTGGTTCATATTCATCCCGCTCGCAATCGCCAGCTGCAACATGATCCTTGCTTGAATAGGATGCACGAAGCCTGACTTCGCGAATGTGGGAGTCCGCGCAGGACTAGACGGCCCATGCGGACTACGCGTTCCAACAACGATTTGAAGTCCATTTTCCAGCGCTTCGGCAATCTCTTCTTGGCCATTCGGTACACCTCCGTTACCGGTCCCGGCAATGACAACACCGTCTGCGCCGTTGGCATGCGCGTCGAGTACCAACTTCCCATCAAACTCGCGGGCCGCGTAGAGGATGTCCACCTTCGGTAATGTCGGGTATGTATGATACGCCGAAACAGTCCCAATATCGAAGTAGTACTTATACAACGGCTGACTTGGCGTATTGAAAAAGATCGGTAGGCTGTTGATGAACATACCCAAATCGCCCCCCGACGTAGGACCAAATGCATCCGGATTAGTCGAATGCAACTTCGTAACCCAGTAACCAGGTATAATACGTGCGTTGAACGCTACCATGAGTCCTCTATCCCGAGACTCGGGGCTCGCAGCCAGCATGACCGCGTCGAAGAAGTTCGCTTCTCCATCCCAAGACAGATGGGTGAAAGGCCGCATGCTCCCCGTCCCCACAATGGGTTTCCCGCAGTTAACAAGCGAGTCCATCAGAAAAGCGGTTTCTTCGAGCGAATTCGTGCCGTGTGTGTATACTGCGCCGACGATGTCGCTATCGGGGGAGCAGAGGGCGTTGTGGGCGAAGCGCGTCATGTTCATGACTAGGGCGTCGTTCGTGCCGGTTGAGCCATCTTCTGAAGTCCAGTTTGAGACGGCGAGTCGTGTGTTGTTGAGGAGGTACGGGTTGGACGCGATGATGTCTTCGGCTGTTTGGCTGAGTTGCCCGTATTGCGTGTCGTCTAGGGCGCCGTAGATGGAGCCTCCGGCTATGGTGCCGCCCGTGAAGAGGACGCTGGGGGTGGTTAGGGGGATGTGTGCGTGTGAGGTTCTTGGGTGATGCGTACAGTACTTTGGGGAGACTGCTGTTACCGCCCAACCATGTTAGACCGAGTCGTTCACTAGCGGTAGTTGCTTGACGTGGTTGGAATTGAAAAGTTGTTGGTGCGGTATTGCCGATAGCGCTGAGAGCAGCAGCGAGTGCGAAGTTGAGAAATCGCATGTTGCTTGCCGATCAACAAACAAAAGGCCCAAATTTTGTGCAGCTCGTACCACCTGAGTCTTTATACTTCTGCTCATCCCACTCTTGCCGTCGCCCAGCTCCTCCGCTTACATCCGCGGGCATTTCGATCTGACATATCACCGGTGAGGAGCCGTCTTTCCAGATGCAGCATCACGACATTGTGCATGCTACCTACTTGGCGCTGATTCTATGAGGAAGGTGTGAAGACGATGTTACGAGTGACGACAGAGCTGTTATCGTTCCTGCGTTATCGACGAGAGATGGGCGAAGCTAAGATGCAAGGCCCCACGTTTGCCAAGAGCGGGGACGTCAACTCTATCCAAATGATCGGAAGCCGCGGCGCATCTAGCATCACGATACCGACAAATTACTAGTGCGGTGTGGTGTCATTGCGCAATCGTAACTTGATGCGAGATATGGGGCATGAAGCGGAATGGTGTTGGGCAGGAGACCCACGGGCCTAGCGGTGTCAACACTTAGACTGAAGCTTATCGATAAGAATACACTGCTACCTAGGTAGTAATGGGAGCCCTCGTTCTGTGCAAGGGCAAGAATTGTGGCGCCATGACACATCAATCCGTTAATCACTCTTTCTACGATGCATTGAGGCTTTGAATCGAATTGAGCCTATAGTTTCGCATATATTCGAGATGTTGTCACACCCTCACTAGCCATTGGAAAGAGTGGCACACGGTCTTTCCACCATGACGGGTAGCGGTGCGCGTGTCTACCTTGGTTCCATCGAATCCCAAGAACGTTTTCCGCAAAGATGTTTCATTCCCCCTCGCAGATTCCCCCGTTGCTTAAACAAACTCTTACTCTGCAGCAACAAACCTTTGCAGCATGGAACAATGACCGACGCGTGCAATCGCAACATGGAGGGGAATGTATGCGAATGGATCACGCTCGCCGCACCAACAAACATACACGACCCAGGTTCGTCCACTAGTCAGCCTTGGCGTGCCGTCGCACAGTCTCTCAGCAACCTGACCAAGGCTACCGGAGTCCAGAAGTGCACCTGGAGTTGCGTATTAGAGCGGCCGTCTTTGCTATACATCTGGATAGTATGGACGTATCAGTCCGCGTACAAGGCGCAGCTGGGCAATGGGGAACACCGGTCCCTCTACGAGAAACTGGCGCTTCTTTCGACCTTACCAGTCAACACCAAGGTGATACAGTACTACATGCCAGGGAATTGTACTCAGGCCGGCTGGTGGGACATATGTTGGCCCATTATCATCTTGATACGCTTCGCCGGATTGCTTACCAAAGAGCAACGACATCAGGTGGAAAACATCGAGAGCATGACTGGAAGAACTGGATACTACAACCAGGGGATGGATGAAGAACCAATTCGGGGCTTTGTACTCGATGATACCGAAAATTGCGACGAGCGTGGAGACCTGATTCACGACACATACGCCATGCTCGATTGCTGGCTACAGCCTATCCGCGAGGAGGAAGTGAAGAGTATCGGTAAAGAAGACCAAAACAAGATATCAGCTAGTGGCCGATTGGATCGCGCTCAATCCCCACCCCCTTGTTTCGTCAACGAGATCAACGCGCTGAGTTGCGCCAACATAGAGACGCAACACCTGTGGTTTACCACAGTCTTCCCTCCCTCTGACTTCTTCGGGGAAGAAGAGTTGGACCCAGAAGATATAGAAGCGAGGAGTTTTGAATTTTATTGGAAAAAAGGCAGGAAGATATGGGAGCTCGAAAAGAAGGGGAGAATGCGTATGGGGTATAGTCCTCTCCAGCTCTTAAACATTGGGGAGATTGACGTTGAAAGCGAATGTGAACTCTGTGTTGAAATCAACCCGGAGATTGAACCCGAACCAGAGCAACTACGATGGCCTGTAGTGGGTTGATCGTTCTTGTGACGATGGGTACAGCTTGTCAGTGGGAGGGGATGGATGTCTTCGTCCACAGGGCAGGTGAGGATCGCGGCACTAGGCTAAGCTCAACCGGGATTAGATCATGCTTCACAACGGCTCCAATCCCCGAGGTCCGACCGGAACAACACGTACTACCTTTCTCTCGCCTCATCTCCCGCTCAACATCGCGTCTTCGTCACACCATATCTTCGTCAAATTGCACAACAAGAGCTGCACCATCTTTAGTCCTTCACTGCTCCGAGCATTGGCATCGCCCCCTGTTATCTGCCTCGCCATTGAAGCTACGCACACGTGAGCAGCTGCCTGTAGCTGGCCATCGCTTGTCCTTCCCTTTGTCAGATCAGCAAGAATCGCAGCATACCATTAATACAACGTTTGTCTTAACATTGTTCACGCGCGTTTTGTTTCCAGCGCAATTGTAGTGGAACACTTGAGTGGCATCGCGCTCAATTGAGGCAGTTTCCAGTGCACTAGACCCGATCGGGCAGCGTACATCCAGAGCACCCTGTTGGTGACGAACTGGCAGTCTGACGAACGCACCCGGCTTCTATACGTATCGATTGCATGAGGGGTAGGCACGATGCGGGGCATACCGACGTTGTCAACTATTCTCTTTCCTCTTCTCTCTACATCCACAGTCTTTGCTTCAGAACAACAGCCCTTCGAATTCGGCGCCATGTCTGCACCTCAATACACGCTTCCTCCGCTACCATATGCTTACGATGTTAGTATAGCCTGCGATGACTTGATTACCCCGCGCACGGTATACTCACAGTTCATAGGCATTGGAGCCGCACATCTCCGCCCAGATCATGGAGCTGCACCACAGTAAGCACCATCAAACCTACATCACGAACTTGAACGGTCTTCTCAAGACCCAGGCCGAAGCTGTCTCTACTTCCGACATCACCTCGCAGGTCTCCATACAGCAAGGCATCAAGTTCAACGCTGGTGGACACATCAACCACTCCCTCTTCTGGCAGAACCTCGCACCTGCAAGCTCGGATGAGGCCAAGAGCTCCGCTGCTCCCGAACTACTCAAGCATATCAAGGCGACCTGGGGCGACGAGGAGAAGTTCAAGGAAGCCTTCAACGCCGCCCTGCTCGGCATACAGGGAAGTGGTTGGGGCTGGCTGATCAAGACCGACATGGGCAAAGAGCAGAGGCTGTCAATCGTGACGACCAAGGACCAAGACCCCGTTGTTGGCAAGGGCGACGTTCCGATCTTTGGTGTTGATATGGTGAGTTGCTGTCTCTTTGACCATCGAAGCAGCAGGCAGCTAATTTGAAGATTAGTGGGAGCACGCGTACTATCTCCAGTACCAAAACGGCAAGGCTGCATATGTCAAGAACATCTGGAATGTCATCAACTGGAAGACGGCGGAGGAGCGTTACCGAGGATCGCGCGCCGATGCTTTCAGCGTGCTCAAGGCCTCTATGTAAGCGGTTGGACACCTCCTGGAGAGATAGCAGGAAACGATGCAAATGACTTGAAGTTTTCGCAATCGCAACTTTACGTACGCACATACCTTCACCGAAGAGCACCATGGTGGATCTTAGCGTCCAAGCTTGACCAATCGGGTACTCCTCCGAAACTTGCTCAAAGACACGCATTCACTCTCAAATCTCAGACATTGCAACACATATCGCTGAAACAGTGCGCACACTACAAAACCTTTACATCTCTGCTACTGCCGTCGATCATTTACCAGCACTTTTCCTACTCTTCGCCGTCAATTCATCTCAGCCTCGACATCCTACACTCAAACACTCAAACACAGTCTATTCACTCAACAACGTTCATTCACCGAAACTACTCTATTCTTGAAACCCGAGACTCTTGTCTTTACACTCCGTGGATTTTCTCCACCACAGTCCAGCAATGTGCAACGGCAGCTCATCCCGCGTCAGCCAAGGAGGCTCGATAGCAGTACTGCGCCCAACATCCCACCTAGCACGCACACATCCGGAACAAGAAATGGTCCTATTCTTTACCAACCCACTTTCAAAATGCGGCACCAATGTCGAATGTCAAGGGCTTAATGACGTATTCCAACAAGACAGCCATCGGCTTGTCATACAGTGAGTTTCATCTTTCACAGTTGCATTCCTCAAAAATGATTAGCGCTTCCGCTGACGCTATGCCTAGTTGTGACGGCGATCTCTGCTCATCACAGCATCAAAGCGCATCGGATGCTTTGTACACTTTCGAAATAGATTCGCCACAAAGAGGTTTCATGCAGTTACCGGAGAAACTGCACCTCGGTGTTGGAGATAAGGGAATCATTGGAAGAAGGATCTCGGTCATGACACGGTCGACGCAACATCCTTTGACTCTGGCCGAGGGTATTCTGGGATGGAATTGAATGAGTGCCAGTTGTGAACACAGTATTTGACCAACGATATCATAGTGAAGCAACTATCAAAGTGAGGTGAGAGTGACAATGAACGACAAATGACTCTTGCACGCTTTAAGAGAGCCCTGGAAAGGGTTTATCGAGGTATAAACGGTATCGTGAGGACGAGAAGAGATTAGGGGCAAATAGAAGCGCATGACGCAGATTACAAAGCATAGAGAATGACAGGGACCAAAGGAAACCGAAGGCAATAAAAGAAACAAAGCCGGAACTCAACCTTCCATCACCAAGGCGCATGCCAGCCTTGAGCCACGAATCGCTGCAATATAAAACACCTGTCTAGCCGCCTGCGGCTATAGTTTGCGACCGAGCGTGCTCGCATTCCACCAACCCGACCATACTTAGTCGTCACATCCGTAGCCGCAACCCCCGCCATTATAACAGTCGGGGTTGTTCTTGCTTTCATTGCACTTACAGTTTTTTGAGCAGAGATTTCGAGAAGTTCCACAGCCATTGATACATACCGCCACGGCACCCACGCAGCGATCACAAGATGCCTCAACCTCTTCAGGGGTAAGGGGCGTAGGCTTAGGCGTAGACGCCGCCGTGGATGTCGGCTTCGGAGAGCAGGTCGTGATTTCAGTGCAAAGCTTGCAATTCTCGTCTAATTGTTGTCTGAAACAGCTGCATATTTCGAGACACACGTCATCGGACGGGTCACAGTCTTCGAAACATTTACCAAGCGTACTTCGACACATAGCGCAGTTGGTATCGGCCGTGGCGGTCGGAGTTGGCGTGAGTGGCGGCGTTGCTGAAGTTTGAAAGGATGGTGTGGCAGACGAACTTCCCGATGCAAGCGATGTGGTGGATAGCTGGGATGAGCTCTTCGTAGAAGTGGTGTCTGTCTTCATGAAAGAGGAATTGCTGCTAGCGGAAGAGCCTCCAGTTGCGGAAGGAGTACCACTTGTTGGGAAGGGATCAGGAGGAGTGAAGATCTCGCTAACGCTTGCGGAAGAAGCAGATCGAGTGATAGAGGAGCTACGGGTGTCAATTAAGGTTCGAAAATTGACGCAAGACAATCTTACCTCATAGATGTGGTGAATGTGGATGATATGGAGCAAATTCCGCCATCCTGTCGTCTTCCATACTTGTCCCGGCGTTGAACGCATCCGTCATTGTGAAGCGAATCACCTCTTGCTAGATTATACACCACGTTTGCTGGTCCCCACCCCGCGAACGCGAGAGCATTGTTTCGCAACCATGCATGGTCTCTCAGTATCTGTTTCATGGGTGTGACCTTGACGTAAGATGTCTGCTGCCAATTCCGTAGGCCATATAAATACGCAGTGAGTCCTGACTACGTCGAGTGTTAACTTCCACTCCAGTCAATAGCACAATCTTTGACTCACCACAATCGCGGCTGCATGGCTTGTGCCACTTCTCTCGCCGACATCCGGGGTCGCACCACCTGACTTCGGGACCACGACGTCCTCGGCGGGCGCAAAAACGGAGATCTGATTGTTGGGATCCAATACGGTTTTGTCCCACACGACACCAGTTGGGGTCACTCCGCCAACAAGAACCATGACATCATTCGCCGCCGAGAGTGTTTGCGGGTAACTGTCATGCACAAAGCGTGCGGCTGGTTGGTTGCCTGCAGCAACAACCACAGGTACCTGCTTGTCTTTACAGAAGGCTAAAAAGTCCAGTAATGTTGACGTCAGCAAGCGCGTCTCTTCAGCCGATTTGCCAGCGCTCTGCATCCCTTCAGTGTTCATCAGTCTCCATTCTGGATAAGTAACGATCAATTGAGGATGGCTTACCCCATGACATGTTGATGACAGACTTTGCAGCCGAATCTTGTCTCATCCTTCTGTCGATGTGTTCTCGTACTTCGTTGAGAAACCAAACGGCAGCCTGCACGGTGATAGGCAGCGTGTGTGACAGCTGTGGATCGAACTTGTGCCTTATCGTGTTCTTGATCTTCACTAGGCACAGATCCGCGTTGGGGGTTATTCCTCTCTCGAGACCAGCGGCAATAGTAGCCATCCTTGTCGAAGTATCAGCCTATCTTTCCACCAAGGATAGTAGAGAGGGCTAGAGCTTACATTGTCCCATGATCGCCACCTTGAATTCGCTCAGGGTCTATCCGATTAGGATAAGCCGGGTCGAACGGAGCAACCAGCATGGAGGTGAATGCATTGGGGGTGACGATCGTGCTGATGCTGCGTGTGCCAGCCTGGAGGTCCTGTAAAAGTCAATAAACCTCTATAAACACACTTGATAAACGTACAATATTGCTGATATCGAAGCCGTCGTCTAGAATATATACTGTAACACCCCGACCTAGAGAGTCATCCGCAAGGTAAGGGGGATCGAATGGAGGACCAGAGTCTGGCACGTTGATGTCACGTGGTGGAGCCGAGATGATCTTCATCCACCAAGGCGCCCCGGAATCTGGAGGTAGCAGCGTCCGTGGAGTCAGATGTGACTTCGATTCTGAAGCAGTTGGAGACCAACCATCTTGACTCGCCAACATAGAGAGTTCAAATGGCTCAGCTTGGACAAGTTTGGAGCTGTCGACCGCTCGAAAACCCTCTAAGCTCCCATCGACATCTTCATCGAATGTATTCGTGATGATAGCTTGGATGAATGTGTGTTGCTGTGGTATTTCTGACACCTGTGAGATGTTCAGTTTGGCGATATACATCTGCTGCTTAATCAAGTCCCATTTGGCAAGCTCCCCGGCTCCACCATCAAGCTCATTGATGAAATGTTTGAACACGTCGTAAGATGTTCCAGGCTTGCTGATGATTGCATAGTGGTTCAGACTAGCGGTGGGTGTCGGCGTCTCACTACTGGACGACGATGTTTGGCTCGTAGTAACAGTAGAGCTCGCGCTCTGTGTCGTGGAAGTCATGTCCGTAGTTGACTGCATAGAAGTGGTCTGCGCGGTAGAAGTTCTCTTGGTACTCTGCATCGAGGCTGTGTCGGTAGGCTTGTATGTCGCACTAGGTTGCCCTGTCTGACTTGGTACTTCAGCGTCTTCCCAAGGAAAGTCCTGGAAGGCCTCCATGGCAGTTTTGCACTGAGCTAAAGTACCACCAACCTTTGCAAACTCGCCCGCGCCTGACTTGACTTTGGATTGGACGTCGGATGATAAGTCATCGAAGTTCTGAGCTAAGTTCTGCGTCGACTTCATCCAATTCAGAGACTGTCGAGCGAGTTGGTGGGCACGGGTAAAGGTGTCGAAAGCACCTTTCGTGAGCTCGTTTCCGGGGAACGACTTTTGGATGCCGTTCAAGGAGGAAACAAACTTGCCTGTGTCACCAATGGCTCCTGTAAGTGGACCGGAGATAGCACCAGTTGTCCCTCCGGCAAATGTCAGGGCACCTGACGTGACGGCATCCACACTGCCGATAGCTCCGCCGAGCGCGGATGTCGCACCTTTTGCAATGCCGCCAAGGGCACCGAAAAGGGCACCGACCCCACCACCACCACCGCCGTCGTCGTCGTTGTCATCGTCGTTCTCATCAGGTGTTGTGGCTTCGGCGGGCTTGGCGCTGATACCCCCAGGGAACGTGGTCTCGCTGCTCAAGTCCGAAGGTAAGGTCACAGTCTGATCTCCGATAATAATCTTGCCGGCAAAGAGCTGTGCAATGGAACCGTCAAGCAGCATTACTTCGGTTGCATCTTCATCCGAGGAGGGAAGACTGTAGCCAATGCCGCCAATGACAGCTTCGAGATTAGTATCAGTTGAAATAGCTGCAGGGACAGTAGAAGCTTGCGATGGCTGGTTCGAAGACATGGTCCCGACGTTGCTAGGCCGAGGTTGCTGACTGGCAGTTATGACGACTGTGCTTAGTGCACCGTTCGAAGCCGTGACAGTGGTTGTTACAAGACTCGGGGTGGGCGTGGCAGATGCAAGTGACGAAGGTAGCGCAGAGTCCGACGCTAATTGAGCTAGTGTCGAAGAAGGGAAGAGGGAGTTCGGGGTTTGCGAGGTTTCGAGGCTTTGTGAGCTTTGAGAAGCGGATGATTGAGTAGCGGAAGAGTAAAGTGGTGACGGCTGAGGACCGGTTGATAGAATTGTAGAAGAGGAATTGGAAGCTATTCCGCCTGTGGTTTGTGCGACAGTCTGAAGCTGGCTCGTTGCAGTCAAGCTGATTGTGCTGGCGTAAACAACGCTAGAACTGTTCGAGCTAGGGCGACCTAAAGCGCTCGAAGAGTTGGAAGAGGTTGCTGTTGATAGGATAACGAGAGAGGTCACAACTACCGGCGCTGTGCCTGAAGACGTGTGAGTTCTAGTGGAAGACGTCGCAGATGTGCGAAGAATAGTCGAAAAGGCGGTTCCTGGCGACGATGCAGGTGCTCCAGAGGGAACGATAGCGGTGCTGGAAGGATTGGAAGCAGGTGGTGGAAGATCTCTGGGTACCAAACGGTCTTCGTCTACTTATTCATTAGTCATCAGTCATTCAGTAATGCGTCAGGCTCCACTGACCAAGATCGGGAAGGTCGTAGGGTAAGGATGCGTGAACACTGTGAAGGATCAGTACGAGAGAAAGCGCTTGAAGTAGCTTCATCTCCGTCTTCGGGCTGCGAGTGCAATCTATGGGTGCAGGCGATTGTAGTGTGGATTGCAAAGTATAATGTTTCTGAGGATGCTGAGACACATAGATACATTGCCAAACATGCCTCTTATATCTGCGAACTGAAAGCATGCTTACCGTTCAACTGCGCCTCTCCATCAAGATGAAAGCACTTGGATGGGTGCCACTGAGGGTTTCCACGTCAGAAGCTGTGTAGGTCTCAACCCGAGACCCTCGCCGCCGCCGTTGATTAAAAATTGTGAGCCGATCGTAAGAGTTCAATGTGGGCGCTACGTCAAGACTGCAGCGTTTCTGGGGGCGATGCAACCAGGTATGGAGACGGAGGACCAACACCGTCGCAGTTTTGGTTGAAGGTCTCACACAGAAGCCTTTGCCGCGTCTTCTAAGGCTGGATAATGAGCAATATGCGCCAATGTGGATTGGACTATCGTATCAGAATGGGTCGAATATGTCGACTGTTTTCATTTCCGAGAGTGTTACAAGAGCTTTGCCGCCTCCTTCTTGATGAACTGATGATTCAATCGATGTAATCGTGCGGCGAGGGGGCCATTCGGTGGTATTTGTCACCACTCGATAGTGTCACTGTGTTATTAGTGAGTTGCTTAAGCGCTGTGACTCTGCAGATGTATATGAGAATCCTTCGGATGCGATTAAAGCGTATTGACTGACTGTCGAGCTAAAGTGCCGCACGTAACCATGCCACCAGATGAGATTTTGCCTGCGGTCGCCGGAAGATGGGGCGAAGGACCTTAAAAATAGGAGATGGCCCCAACTGTGAGTGCTGGCTAGAGCTTAGTTGTATCACTTCAAGAGTGGCGCGACTTCAGACCTGCAGCGTCGTTAGGGGCGATGCAACCCGATGCAGCGACCTTTATACTCTTCACAAAACGAGCAAGCAGAGCCCAGAAAGATACCCGTTCAAGCTCGCCAAAGCTGCCCAACTAACCTTCACCAAGGTTGCTCTTTAATTCCACCACATTGAACTCCTGAATTCGGTACATAATGAAGCTAAAGCCCCAAGATCAGCTAAGGCAATTATACAAGAGATGGGGAGACAGCGGGTGTCTTGTTGTGAGCATCTCTACACGAAAGGTTGAAGCATAAGAGAGTAGACGGTGATAAAGAAGATAAGATGCACAAGACGCAGGAGAGACCGCAACACTTACAAGTGGAAGAGAGTGTGAGTAGAAGTGCAAAGGTTACCCGCTGCAAGTCGAGGCGAACTTGTCTAGCTTTCGGGCTAAACAGTGCTAGAGGGGGGAGACGCGACACGGAGTGATGTGCTAGACGCAGAGGGCCTTTGGATCGCACTAACTGCGGCAATGCCCTCCGTCTAACTCAGGGGTGTATGTGCTCAGTAATTCGTGAAAGCAGCCTTACGCCAACAAGCACCGTGCGTATTGCTGCAAGCGCCCCCAGTTCCTTCCGAGTCGATTGGTGGTATCGGCAGGGATCATCATGTAGTGTAACGTATCGTAGAGACACGGCGGCTCGGCGCTGCGGCGCCGAGCCCCACGATCATTTAACCCACCCAATCGCGAGCAGGCTGCGAGGGCCCTGCACCCCATACTTATCCTACATAGACATATATACCGTTGCTTGCAACACCAACTCGATGGACTCAGAACAAGTATCGTAGAATCAGCACAGCCTCGCTGCTTGAATCCACTATGGCTTCACCTGTGTGACTCATACGCAAGGAGATGCTCTTAAAAGAGAGAAGTATCGCATCTCCAAGAACCTTCGCCTGTGTGACCTTTTTATTAAGTCCGTGGAACCTACAATACTTTTACGCACGGAATTGAAACAAGCATCACTCGTCGTAAGTGCAGCTCTATCGAAGATGTGAGTACCCTCCAATTGCAATATACCCTACTAATAGAAAATGAGGTGCACGCACACCACCACGATTATCGTGTGGTTCGATGAGAATGGCTGAAGAAGGACACGAACAGAGGTCAGGCGAGAAGACTGCGGGAGGGCAATGAGCCCAACGTCTGAAAACAGCCCGAACCGACGGATTCAACAAACCCTAGGCTGCCCGAAAGCCATTTTCGACAACGTTTAGAGGCAGGATATGAAGACGGCAAAGGTTCAAGGATGCGTGGTCAATCTTACAAATTGCTTCATGTGTCTGGGGCGAGGGTAACATCATGTCTTACACAAATCAAGGTGTTTGTTGAAGCAGTCTGCAGGCGGCAAGAGTTTTACGTACACCCCAATCCTCATACGTCTAAACTTGCTCTTTTGCCTTACTCTGAAGCCACGCCTCTAATTTCTCTGCAGCAAGTTCATCGTGACATTGAGCTGATGTGAAATAATTCTCATCTATCGAGCCAGATGTACCTCCAGAGAGAAGAACTTCACTAAATCTTCTGCAAGACCTAAAGTATAGTAGGATTGGGTTGTCATTGCCGTCAAGAGCAATATTCGTGGGATTGAGGTCGTTGTGCGCGAGTCCAAGAGAATGAAGGTGTTCCAGAGCGGAACGGATACCGCGCATGCAAGCCTCTACATCGAGAGGCTGTGGGACATCCTCGTGACGGTATTGCAAAATGACACTGTACTTATTCCGAGCAATACCAGTAAATCGACTGCGATTGACGACGCAACCATGAAACCTGATAGTTTTCTGATGAGGATTCTGTTCGATGATCTGTAACACCTCTGCTTCTCCGAGTAGTAGCTGAGGCAGAAGCTTTGTTTCTGCTTCATTATCCAGACACAATAGCTTAGGTCGCTTGATGTAGAACTGGCTCCGGGTTTCTTCTGGTACTATAGATAGACCGGTAGTCTTCAGCGAATATATCTTCTCGTCCGGGAGCTGTTGCAAAAGTCGATTCAGATTCTCAACAGTGAGATCATATTTTCTTATTTCCGTTGTCTGACCGAACCATACTCTGTCGTGATCATCGATGTACGTGAAGGTTGATCGTATGAATGCGCCGGTCTCAATGTCTTCGACTTCGCAAAGGGACTTCAAATCTCTTTTTGAGCAGATGTTGGCGCTGGTGCATGGGTCAACGCTCATGGTTCGCTTTTATCGAAGTAGACGCAGGACGCAGGACGCGGAACGCAGCACGGAGACGCGGGGCGGAGACGTAAATTAGAGGTGGGAGATAGATACCGAAGGTGGTTATCGCACACGTAGAATCTTCGAAGTATCGACTAGTGCCGCAGGTTTGAGGTTACAACAAGTTCATAGAAGCGACCCACCATGCGCACGTACTCCTTACGATCAGCGGTGGGGAAGATCAGCAGCGGCTCAGCAGATACTGAACGCCTGCCCCAAAAGGATTTGTAGCGTATTGCTACTAGAGGGAGTAGTTGGCCATAAGCTGAGGGGGAACGCGAAGCACTCTAAGAAGTCGTTGGGACCAGCGTTGTTCGGTGTGTGAGTGTTGATCGTTGATGTTCCTCTCGGGTATTCTATGGCATATCACGTGATCAGGGCACCGTTTCAGAGCCTCGAAGCTGCTCATTGATTGGCTATATCACCAAAGGCAGCAGACCCACAGTATCCAACCCCTTGGCTCGGAGTCACTCTACGATATCAGGCCAATATACGGCACGTGACTACATATGCCACACAACAGGACCACGCCTGTAGTCGCCGAATGATGAGGCGAAGGACCTTGAAAGTACAAGAAAGCCCCAACCACTGCGATGTAAAGGATGATGGGATTGAGAAAGCAGGAAGGCGCTGGGAGGCAGACTGCTGAGCCACAGACGTGCATTGGGGCTAGCGTACCGCCGCAATCAATCTGCAGCATCGCACGGCAGTGTTGTCCTTGGTGCTGCATGTCTCGGTTCAAACACTTCGTTGAACTCTTGGAAGTTACTTAGCGATGGGGTGGCGTTGGAGCATATGAACGGGAAGCTGTGCATTCTCGACGATGGCGATGGCATCGGAGGTCGGCAAGTTCATGACATCGCTGCTTACCTTATCGTGATTGGCTGCATCCTCAGCGAGTGGGACCCGAACACTTCAATCCTCATTTGTGTGGCCATTTCCGCGTCGTCAGCTTCACACGCCCGCTCTACTCCACGGCAAAATCTCACCGACCCAATCGTCACGGGGATAAAGGTCGGAATGGACTCTTCGATCGCGTCTCATGGCTGTCATGGCGACAAAGGCTCCGATCTTACCGCAGCGCCGCAGCGCCGTGATCCTTCGCACCATGTGAACGCCGAGGGTAGAGCATTTAGGCAAAATGCAAACGACGCGCTAACATCCCGCTGTGGAGTCTCCACACGCATAGGCTGCCAACTCGAAGAGGCGGGGGCTGGCGGCATGGGTGTCCGTGGACCGGCAGATGCGCGCTGTCGATTTATACGACGCGCGGTGGGTGCTTCGTATGCCTCTGGGTATGCAAGCTGGGCGATAAAGCTTGTCACTTTACCAGAGATTCGGATCTACAAGACATTAATCTTGAGCAGGTCATCGCAGGAAAGGTTCAAAAGGCGGTCGGTCTTGTGCCATCTCCAACACGTAACGATCTCACAAAACGGTCGATTCAGCCGTGATTGCTCAGCATCAGTGTGCACAAGCGCGTCCTCCCCGCGGCGCCTCCACCCTCCGCAACTCTTGTCAAAAGTGCGCCCAGCCGTCAGTGGCTTCTAGCCTGCTTCCTCGCGGGACGTTACAAGCAATAAAGCGCCAATGCCAGGACAGCCACCAATGCTTGAATCGCTGCCGCAGCCCGAAATAAGCGTTGGTGCCATGGAGCTTAACCGCCTCTTTATCCGCCATGGGAAAGCTTCGCCCTATCCACCACTCAGCGTGTAGGCCCGTTACCCGAGACAATGGTATGCTGACTTGGGTGGCCGCCCGAGCGAAATGGAAACGCATATGTAGGACTGCATTCCCCATGTCTTCCACAATCTTGGGATTCAACTGTCCAGGGCTTGTGCGAAGAGCTTACTGACTAACCCTGCACCCTCGTGCTTTGTCCCTTAACGACCTTTACTTCGATCCTACACCCACGAACGCACTCGAACCGTCATCATGGCTCCAGTCGGTGGTGGTGCTGGCGACTTTGAGGTGGCCGCTCTGGCTCGCCGTCAAGCGCTCGCAGGTGCCTCGGGACCTATGGCCCTGGTCAAGAACGCAAGAGTGTTTGGTATTGCATGCTTTGCCTGCTTGGGTGGACTGTTGTATGGTTACAACCAGGGTGTCTTCTCTGGTGTTCTGACCATGCCTTCCTTCAAGGAACGTAAGTACCATCTCACCGCTACAACTGTAGGCAAGTCACTTACAGATCCTCAGACATGGGTGACTACATTGAGAATCAAGAGACCCTCGAATGGAACTCCTCCAAACAGGGTTGGCTCGTATCCATTCTCGAACTCGGTGCCTGGTTCGGAACAATGTACTCTGGTTTCATCGCTGAGATCCTCTCCCGTAAATACGCTATCCTCGTTAGCGTCGCAGTCTTCATGGTCGGTGTCGTCGTCCAATGCACTGCCTCCGCCGGTCAAGGCCACAACGCTATTCTCGGTGGCCGTTTCGTAACCGGTATGGGAGTCGGTGCCTTGTCCATGATTGTCCCCATGTACAACGCCGAGATCGCGCCTCCAGAGGTTCGAGGTGCGCTTGTTGGTCTACAGCAATTGAGCATCACACTGGGTATCATGATCAGTTTCTGGATCGACTACGGCACCAACTACATCGGTGGCACAGGAAGAGACGGACAGAAGGAAGCTGCTTGGCTCCTCCCTCTCGCCTTGCAACTCGCCCCTGCTGTGCTACTTGGTGCTGGTATGATTTTCATGCCTTTCTCTCCTCGTTGGCTCGTCCACCACGGCCGTGAAGCCGAGGCACGGCGTGTACTCGCCAACCTTCGTAGTCTTCCCCAGGAACACGAACTCATCGAGCTTGAGTACGCCGAGATCCGCGCACAAAGTCTCTTCGAGAAGAAGTCACTGGCCGAGCGGTTCCCTCATCTCCAGGATATGAGCGCGTTGTCTGTCTTCAAGCTTCAATTCGTCGCTATCGGCAGTCTCTTCACGACTAGGGGCATGTTCAAGCGGGTTTTGATTTCCACGCTGACCATGTTCTTCCAACAATGGGTAAGCGTTTCTATATGAACGGCGCATGAGACCTGTATTCATTGATTAACTAATGCTTAGACTGGTATCAACGCTATTCTGTACTATGCTCCAAGCATCTTCCAAGACCTCGGACTGTCGGGCAACTCTATCAATCTTCTCGCCACAGGTGTCGTTGGTATTGTCATGTTCCTCGCAACGAGTGAGTCTTTGCCGCAAGATGCCACCTAAAGTTCTCGTGCTAACGCCCTCACAGTCCCTGCGGTCATGTACGTCGACAAACTGGGTCGTAAGCCGGTACTCGTCAGCGGTGCCATCGGTATGGCTGCCTGCCACTTCATCATCGCCGGTATCTCTGCCAGCTACGAGGACAGCTGGGCCAGCCACCAGGGTGCTGGTTGGGCTGCTTGCGTCTTCGTGTGGCTCTTTGTCATCTTCTTCGGCTACTCATGGGGTCCATGTGCTTGGATCGTCATTGCAGAGATCTGGCCCATGTCTAACCGACCATATGGCATCGCGCTCGGTGCTTCGTCTAACTGGATGAACAACTTCATTGTCGGTCAAGTCACTCCAGACATGCTTACCCATCTTCGCTACGGCACCTACATTTTCTTCGGCATCTTTACGGCTATGGGCGCTGCGTTCATCTTCTTCTTCTTCCCTGAGACTAAGGGTGTTTCTCTCGTAAGTGATACACTTCCGTCTCCGTGCATGAGTTTTGCTGACGACCATCTCAGGAAGAAATGGACACCCTCTTTGGCTCCGCCGGTACTGCAGAGCGCGAGAAAGAGCGCTGGGCCGAGGTCCACCGCGAAGTCGGACTTACCGACTTACTCGCGCGCTCTGGTTTGGTGCATGACAACGGCGTTGCAGACTTCCACAAGGAGAAGGGCAGCATGGAAAAGGAGAAGCCAGAGGTTTTCGAGCAGGCATAAGTCATGTCCAGTAGACTTGTCGAATCAAGTCAGAGAGTTTGTTGAGGAGGCTATCGGAGATCAATGACTTGTACATACTTTTTCGCTTAGCATGTCGTTCAATCTTGATATATTGCGTCGCAAGCTTCTAGGCCATGTAGTACAATCCGTGCCATTACACCGACCGGCCATAGCCACTGTTAACTACTCTAGAAGTCTGCCTCGTGGTCTGCCTCTTAACCCTCTGCTCACCCTCACGCCTCGCAACAGGCCTAATCATCGGTCTCTTCGGCGCCTCTTTCTTCGCCCTAACACCCCTCTTCGCAGCCTCATTCCCAATCTCCTGCTCCCTCTCCGCTTCCTCCACAGTCTGCTCCTGAATCCTCATAGCCACTTCTTCCCATACGCCCGGCACACCTGTCTTCATCGTATATAAACGTCCTTCTTTAACGTAGAATTTGAACCGCGGCTCGCTCGTAACTTCTAGCATGCGCTTGAAGATTCCCTTCTCCCTCTGCCTCTTAATCCATGCTTCACTCTTCGGTAGCTCGATGTTGGCTAGGCGCAGTTTTTTTGGTGGTAAGGCGCGGAGTTCGTGCAGGAAGGCGGTTGTGTGTTTGCGGAAGGGGAAGATTCGTAGAGTAACAAATTCCAGCTTCGTGTTTGCGGTGGCGGCGGTGTTTTGGCGGAGACTCCTAGCGAAACGGAGCAGGTCGGGGCGGGAGCGGCGTGCGTAGTTGGCGTGCGTAGGGATTTGGAGGAATACTTGGTGGACGAAGGGGGCGGTTAGGTAGGCGAGGGTTAGGGTGGGGATGGTGCCGAGGATGCCGACTAGGGGTTGTTAGATGGAATGCGTGGCGTTTGGTCGGTTGATTCTGGAGGGGACTTTGTGGTTGGAGGAGGATGTGAGGAAATACAATACCGCCACCACGTGACAAGAGCTGTTTCGAACCCGTGCGAGATGAATCGAGCAAACCGGGGACACAGAAAGCTTAAGCTCATGGACGATAGAGTAGAATTCAGAGCGAACCAATGTGACGGAGAAAGGGGGGTTGGTTCGGTGTATTGGGCATAACAAGTGGTGTAGATGAAGAGAACCAAGTCGCGATCGATCACAAGACAATAACAAAGGCCACTTACCAGTGATGGCCTGAATCTTCCGTACTCTTTCATCAGGCTGATTCTCATTGTTCCATAATGGAGGCACACCAAAGACGAGAGTTGTGCCGAACTGCAACAGGGCCATTGCTTTCCAGAAGGATATCCAGGTAGTCCGTGCGTCGCCCGCATCGTAGATCAGGAGTCGTGAGTTATACACTGCAAGTACTCGTTAACGATGGTCGTTTCTTGTTTGTCGTCTGACTACGATAGAGTGGTTACATACTCTTTTCTTTCTCTTTCCCGACAGGTTCGGCTGCCGACTTGGCCTTCTTTCCTAGCCATCGTAATGTGGGCGATGTGGAAAACTTCCGTTGGCAACTCCGGCAGATATATCCATTGAGGCGAGCTTTCACAACTGGTCGTGTGCCTCTCGATGTGGGTGCTGAGCTCCGAAACGCGGCCGTGAAGGCGAGGAGTCGTGGCTGCATGCTACCTGCAGTGAAGGGACGTGAAGGAAAATTGCGCACGTGTGTGGGCTTTGTTAAGCGTCAATGTGCTGGACCCCTTGGCTGCGCGACCGCAAAGCTCGTCTACTAGATGTCTTAGCACCAGGCTTACTCAGCAACGAAGTTGTGTGGACGTGTAAGAACGTGTGTGGGTTGGCATTGTGCTTTGTCGAAATGTCACGCTGTCACGTGGGAAGATCGGCTCGCCGCGGCAACTCTAGCCGAAGCGGGTAAGGCTGATGTGCGGAGAGATGCCACGGTTCCCTCGACCAGCTGCAAGCGGCCCACTCAACTACCGGCGCCGTCATGCTCCTTTCTCGGTCGTGAGCTATCTTCCGCAGTGTTTTAACTTCGTTGTGGGCGCTCCATGTGACCAGTTGAGAGCATGTTGTTCGCATTCGCGCTGCTGTCGCTCGTTTCCTTCCTGTCCCTCGGATATGCCTACGAGGGCCTCAGCGACGATACCCTCAAGCACCTACCAGGACCGGGCGACGACTTCGATATCAAGAAAGGCTCTTTGCTGGCGCCAATTCTGGTTCCCAGAGTCTCTGGAACGGAAGGGAATGTCGCCGTACGCCAGCATTTCCTGGACTTCTTCAAGTCGCAATTGCCGGAATGGAGGATAGAAATGCACAACTCGACGTCGACGACGCCGGTGAGCAAGGGCAAGGAAGTGCCTTTCGTCAATATTATCGCGACACGCGATCCGCCGGGTAGCTCGCCGGGGGATGTGTCAAGACTAGCTCTCGTGGCACATTACGACAGCAAGTACACGCCGACAGGCTTCATTGGGGCGACCGACAGCGCGGCCCCATGCGCCATGATCTTGCACATAGCGCGCAGCATAGATGCAGCGTTGACGAAGAAGTGGGCAGCGGCTGACCCAGACGACTTTGACGTGGAGCACAAGGGTGTGCAGATACTGTTGCTGGACGGCGAGGAGGCTTTCAAGAGTTGGACCGACAGCGACAGTCTCTATGGCGCGCGGTACGAATCTCTCTTTTTCTCCTAGAATATGAATACTGACACCTGTACAGAGCCCTCGCTGAAGACTGGGAGTCGACTTTCCATGTCGCATCATCGATATACCGCACCCCACTCGATTCGATCGACCTATTCCTACTTCTTGACCTCCTGGGCTCTAAGGGCCCGAAAGTCCCCTCATACTTCAAAACTACACACTGGGCATACAAGCACATGGCGACTGCTGAGGCACGCCTGCGGAAACTAGGCTTGATGAAGTCTTCCCCAAACCACGAATCGAAGATGGCAAAGCGCGAGAACAAGAAGCCTCGCGACGAACGTCCATTCCTGCCCGATGCGAACAAAGGGAATGACCAGTTCATGGGTGGCTTCGTACAGGATGATCACGTTCCATTCATGGCTCGCGGCGTCGAGATACTGCACATGATTCCCACGCCTTTCCCGCATGTATGGCACACTATTGATGACGACGCAGAGCACTTGGATATGGATACGGTGGAGGACTGGACGAAGCTGGTCATGGCATTTACCGCAGAGTGGATGGAGTTAGAGGGTTTTTTCGACTTCAAGGCAGAGAAGCGGAAGCTGGATGCCGAGAAATCGGAATTGTAAGCATCTTCCCATCAACTTGATCGCATGTAAGTTAACATACCGTAGTGAGATACCCTAGACCCTATGAATGGATTGTTTCGAATGTTCAATCGAAGTGTGCAAAGCATTGTGAATGTTTTCGAACGACTCGAGACCACGCTTGATGATGCTCATAGAGACAAAGGCAAGTCATGTTCACATAGCAGATTGCGCTCATGTCTTTGACCCGTGACCCGTGAAAGACACAGGCTTGGCCACTACATGTGCCCTCATGGAGTTGCATTCGCAGCAATGCCGCGAATATCACCACAGCATGTTTCGTATACAATAAGCGCTTCTGGTGATAAATGCTTGTTTCCGGGAGTATTATCATTCACCCATTTGCAAATATTTCATAAAATACTACATAACAGCAACCACGATGCCAAAAGGTAAAGCCAAGAGTGATAACCCACGACTGTACCACGGGTCCCCAGAGTCATATCTGTCTCGCCAAGGCACATCACATAGGCGCGGTGGTACGCACAAAGTACGCGATGAGAACAAGACGGACTCTGTCTACGACAACTTGAACTACAAAGAGCTTGTAGAAACAGCAAGAGAGCGCAGTATCTATCGCAAAGATATGAAGAAGGTAGAGATGGCTTGGGCCCTGAAGCGCGACGACGAGAATCGAAAGCGTGCTGAACAAGACGCCCGTCTAGCACGTCAAAAGAAGATAGAGGAGGCGAAGAAGCAAGAGGAAAGGAAGGCTGCCGAGAAGAAGGCACAACTCATTGCAAAGTCCAAGAAACGGAGGGAGAAAGAGATGAGAAGAGAACGCGATGAGAGCGTCAGTGACGATACTGTGAGCGATGCCGACATGGAAGAAGACGAAGACGAAGGAGATGAGTACAAGCGCGAGAGGTTTGGCCAGGCGCTCAGTGAGGAGTCGTGGGATAGCAGTTCTACGGAGTCTAGTGCTGCATCGACCAACCAGATCATGAAGCCTGACTGCAGGCTTCGCCTCTTCGAATGGCCCAACCAAACCATGCCATCAGTCACACCCGAAGGATGGGATTACAAAAGGTGGTGTCTCCTGCCTTTGCCCTGCCCAGTCCCTTATGCACCTCTAAAGATTACAACGATGTATAGTAAGCAGAAGCTCATGCTGCCTGGTGCAAAGTACCCGTCAGGTGTCGACCCAGACTTCGTCCCCATTCTCAACCCCTTGACCCGAGCCGCAGCTCGCAACGGGCATCTCATCGGCCCACTCTGCAAAGCCAGCATCGAAAGAGGTACAGATTGGGCCCAGCGCACTCTTATCCAAGGCTGCAATGGCCACATGTACTTCCACCTCGGCTCTCGAAACGAGACGAAAGTCCTAGCCGACACCTACAACAAATGGTATCTCGAGAACAGAAAGTTGCTGCGTGTCAAAGGGAAGGGCAATGGCGATCCTAGTGATCGGGCTGCACGCCATGCTCAACGGCAGAGAAATCAGGCTAAGATGACGGCGGAGGTGTATGAGGTGTCGCAGTATCGGCCGTTGGCCATGTGTTTTGTGCCGGCTTATTTGGACTATGGCGAGCCGGTCCGAGATGAGATGGGCAAGAAGAGATTGGAGAACTTGTTCTTTGTTAGGTTTGCGGGGTGTGATGTACCGCATTATTACTTTTGGGCGAGGGAGGGGGAGTGGGATGATCATACTATGGTGAATCCGGGGTGAACAGCTCAACAATTGAAACACAGGGGTACTGTGCACACGAAAGAGAATGAAGATGGGAAACGGGAGGAGAGACGTCGCAAGCCAACCCGAACGCAGTACATACGCGTCCGCAAACTCTCTCCCGCCCTGCCTTCCTGTCCTCTTTTCCTAACCCCATTGAATATTACTGAGACCATGGCCCTGATTGAGCACCAACTCTACTCCGAAGGCCTCTCCAAAACCCTCGCCCACTATCGCCAAAGGTGGGTAGCGAATGGAAAGCAACGTGCCTGGAAACCCTTCGCGGCGGCATTACCAAAGCTGTGGCCCAGTGGCGAGATACCAGACGTCCCACCAGTGACCAGTAAACCTGGAGTGAAGCTTTCGGTGAAGCTAGTTACTATCGATTGCCTGAAAGAATATGGTGAAACGCCGTTTAGTCCGCTGAGTGGTATTGAGGCGTGGACGAGGGATGATGATAGGGTTTGGGATGTTGTTGAGGTTGATGTTGATGAAGACCCTGTGTCACCTAATGCTTCGAGGGAATAAGACGAGGACGAGAGCAAGGATGGAGAAGAGAAGACTGGTGGTTCGATAGAATAGGACGGCAGCGAGGCCGAAAATGAGGCGTTGTATCGCCGTGATAGCGTGATGTCCGTCCTGGATTTCACGATGTCAAATCCAGTGCTGGCATGGTTGAAACAAGTCAACGATGTTTCTGCAGTGTCGCCCATGCTGAACGAATCACTTGATGGGGAGGTGGAACTATGCGAGCGGGAAGAAAGGTACCTGCAGGCCGGCAACAACGCGGGCGGTGGTGATGTAGGTGGTGACTAGTGTCCATTCTGCTGCACACATTGAGCGGGAATAGAAGCTATAGTACCCAGGTACCTAGACGTGGACTTGTGTACCACAGAAACAAGCTGAATTTTACCTAGCTAAGCCTTGAAGCCGCTGAACATGAAGATGCGCAGTCCCATACCCGCTCTCAGGACAACGAAGGTTCGTCCTTCTGATCCAGCTTCGTGGTGGTTGCCGAAGCAGCGCCTGTTCATTATCTAGGCGAACCCCGTCGCATTGGTACCGATTGTCGTGTTCCTTCGTGTACCTGGGGACGGTTGGCGCAGCGGGCGCTTCTGAGGCTCCGACTGATTGCATCGCCACACCGCGACCGAAGGTCTCTTCATTCTGCGATCGCGCAATAGTCACCGCCATGACCGATTTTTCTTTCCACGATAATGAAAAACTAGGGACTTCACGATCGATAGTACCAATGTCATGCGCACGGTGGCCGAGGCGAGCAGCATTACCGCTGCACTGGAAGAATCTCGCGGTTGGTCTCTAGACAACAAACCTGAGTATCCTACGCATCATCGTCTACACCGCGTATCGCCGTATCGCGCGAATGTTTGTGTTTCGAGTCTTCATTCCAGGTATCCAATTTCATCTGTAGGGCTTCGTTTCATCGAGGAGCTTCGTCGCATTGAATCCGGGAGAGGTGTGGCGCTGAGTCTCTTCGCAGGGACCCTACTTTATAGGTGCCTCTTCTGTGTCATACTAGTACATATGCTACAGTCGTTGTGATAAAATGATACGCAATTTCCCATGTTCATTTACTGCGATAGGCATTCTTCTTCCATTACTGCCCAGTGAGGGGTCCTCGAGAAGCTGTACTACAAACGCCGCCTAGACACCAGACATGCGGACGAACGCGAACGGTCCGCGCCGCTGTATGCTCACTGAGTACGCATGTGAAGATTGACATATTCCATTTACGAAGTAAAATTATGGGTGATGGCTGACGTTCAACGGTAGATGAACACCTGAACTAGTGAGATTCCGAAGTCATTTTCTTAGGAGTGGTGCTGGGTCGCACTCTTCTCAGCGTCACCGGTACTGTCCCTTGAGTCTCATTCCAGAACAACTCGTACACGCCGCTGTCCTGCAATTTCATTCCGCTAAAAGAGGTTGCGATGCTACCGTTATCGCCGAGAAGCATAGCTGTGGACCCATAGAATGCGAAGCCGGATGTTTGAGTAGTACTGTTGCCGGTACCGTTGTTCGGTGGAAGGAAGCCAACACGTTTATCTCCTGAAGAGGGCTCGGGAACAAAGAGCGTAATGTTGGACCATGAGGGTGCGACGTTACTGAGGGTACTGTTCGGATTGCCGATGAAATGATGTTCAGAATCGATTGTGACTGACAGTGTCAGTGATCTCGACTTTCACTTCGTGGGAAGTGCGACGAAGACCGTACGCGAAGGGGCTGATAAAGGTGCGATACTTACAGATCACAACAGCAGCCTCAGAGCTGTTAAAAAGACTTGGATCACCGATGTACGCAAGGCCATCGGCATAGAAGAGCGGCAGACCCCCGAAGCTATCGCCGTACGCGTAAAGTTGAAAGGTTGCGGATGGAGATACATCACGTTTGCGCGCACCCAAGACCACGAGTGGAAGAGAGGAAGCGAGGAGGTTTCTCACGTTGAGACGCATGCTGCGAAGAATTGACTTTGGCCTGTCGGGATGATGTTAACAAAGGAGCGTGGTGGAAGTTGGGTGAAGGATAGTCATACTTGCAGCGCGAACGCTTTTATGGATCTCGGCACCAATCATGGAAGAGCTCTCTTCCTAGATGCTGGTAGGCAACGCAAGCACGCCGCGAGGCCTCTACACCCTACGGTGGTATCACGAGGCCGACGTAACGTCCTAACGCTATCTTGGGAAACACCGATGGCTTGCGACGCACGACGCACGACCCACGTACGCAGGGGGATCCGCACTATTGACGGATTCATCCGCTGTGTAACCTACCGATGACCTGGCTGCGGTCAGGGAATGCTAGCTACATCAGATGACTCCTCAGCTCAAAACATCTGATAAGGGATGTTTATTCACCCTAGTCTAGTCATGTTGTTGTTCCTGAGTCGAGATGGTGCGTGCGGTATCTTGGCGGCAAGGCGACCCACCACCCATGTCTTCATGCGCAGCACTTTCCCGGCTCTCTCAGCCACAGTCTACGTTCCCGGGACGAGGCTCTGTTAACAAGCCTGGCCCGTTCCACGATGTCCATGGACTGTGCGTCTTATGCTACCTCTAGAGGATGAATACCTCCTAAACTTTCTTCTGATGGTACAAGAATAGTCACGACGACATGTGGACCTCGTTTTAGCGCTTCGTCGACCAAAGTGGCTTGGTCGTTTTGCGATATCGAGATTTTCGATGCCTCAATTCCATGCCGCGCGGCCTCAAAAGCCGGTGGGTATCGGAGAAGAGCGTCTTGAGACACAACTGTCAACATTGACCCTGGACTGCGAGTTGACGCGACTGCAAGGCTTTGGGAGGAAGCCTTGGAGTTGCGCTAATGCTGAACGTATATAGGTTATTCACTCTGTACTTATCCAAAGTCATCCAGCTTTCTTCACACTCGTTTCCATTGCTCTACTCTCTTTTTTATCTGCGTTTCAGTGACCGCTCGCTGTCTTCCGTCGTTCTGTCGATAGCGCAATTACCCTCCGCCTTGTATCCTACTATGCTTCTCCACGGTATCTTCAGCGTTGTAGCTCTCGCTCGTTATGCTACTTCCAGTCCTTTCGCGTCGGAACTACGTCCCAGAGCAGCCTGTGACGGCAACACCGCCTCTACGCGTTCAGAGTGGTGCGATTACTCGATTGAAGTGGACCCAGCTGACGACGTTCCCGACACTGGAAGGACCCGTGAATACTGGCTGGAGCTTACCGATGTGACCGTCGCACCGGATGGCGTATCACGCTCGGCCATGGCTGTTAATGGGTGAGAAACCTTTTTCTTCGAACGACTGGCCAGGGACACGCTGACTTGGTTCACGCATCTTTCAGATCTATACCTGGGCCAACCATCATCGCAGACTGGGGTGATACAGTGATCGTACATGTCACGAACTCGCTTACAACTTCGAATAACGGTACAAGCATTCATTTCCATGGCATCTGGCAGCTGAATACCAATGATCAAGACGGTGTTAGTGAGTGACTTCTCTACACGAATTACATCTGAGGCGGTCACTAACTTCGTACTTCCATTTTAGGCTCGATTACCCAATGCCCAACTGCCCCGGGTGAATCAATGACCTACACTTGGAGAGCGACGCAATACGGTTCATCTTGGTATCACTCTCACTTCGCGCTCCAGGCATGGGAAGGTGTTTTCGGCGGCATCATCATCAATGGGCCCGCTACCAGCAACTATGATGAAGATCTGGGCGTACTATTTCTCAATGATTGGGATCATCAGGTATGCTTCAATTCAGAAGGAGCTTGTCAGGATTTCACTAATGCAACCTAGACGGTTGATGAGCTTTATATCTCCGCCGAGACGTCTGGTCCGCCAACCTTGGACAATGGACTCATTAATGGCACAAACACGTACGAGGACGGAGGCTACCGGTTCAACCAGTCTTTCACATCCGGCACGTCTTATCTATTCCGTCTCGTAAACGCCGCGGTCGATACGCACTGGAAGTTCATGATTGATAACCACACTATGACGGTGATCGCTTCTGATCTTGTCGCTATCGAGCCGTACGAAGCGTCAGTCATCAGTATTGGAATGGGCCAGCGTTATGATATTGTCGTAACAGCCGACCAAACCGATGTGACTGACTTCTGGATACGCGCAATTCCTCAGTCTGCTTGCTCAGAGAACGACAACCAAGACGATATTCGTGGTATCATATACTACGGAAACGTGCCTGGTACCCCTACGACCACATCCTATGACTACGAGGATAGCTGCTCCGACGAAACTGACAACATCGTGCCATATATCTCCAAGACCGTTGGTTCTACAGCTAGTGCGACAGCCGATGAACCCGTTGCCGTCGGGTTCAACAGTGATCTGCTCTTCAAGTGGACGCTCAACAGCACAACCTTCATCTCGGAATGGAATAACCCAACTCTTATGAAGATCATGCAAGGCGAAACGGCTTTTGAGACTTCCAACGCCGTGTTCCAGGTACCAAACGCCAATGAATGGGTCTACGTCGTTATATCCACGACGCTCGCCGTGCCTCACCCTATTCACTTGCACGGCCATGATTTCTACGTTATCGCGCAGGGTACGGGTACGTATACCGACGGTGAGACAACTCTCAACCTCGACAATCCACCCCGTCGTGATACTGCTATGCTTCCCGCATCTGGTCACTTGGTTCTTGCGTTCGAAACCAATAACCCTGGTGCTTGGTTGATGCATTGTCACATAGGCTGGCACACATCTGAGGGCTTCGCAATGCAGTTTGTTGAGCAGTATGATGCGATCGCGGGTATAGTCAACAACGACACGCTGTCTAGCACTTGTGAGGGTTGGGAGAGTCATAGCGAGACGGTCGGCATTGAGCAGGATGACTCCGGTGTTTAGTTTGTGAGACATGTGGATGCTAGAGACATAGTACATCTTTTAAATTTACTGTCTAAGCTTTTAGTTTCTACAATTTGGTATAGCTTGTTTAGCCTGTAAGTTTGGTTTTAATGTTTTAGCTCTTTGTGTATAGAGAGTACTTTAGGTCTTAAGGTTGTAGTATTCTTAACGCATGTATAAAGCGAGTAGCTAGAATACGTAAGTAGCTAGCTTTTGCTAAGACTCTACTAAAACCTTAACTATATTAAACTTTAGAGCAATATTAAAAGTAATTTCTAATATCTATAGTAGACTAAATTAATTTAAAACCTCTATTATATCTTACTAGTATTGTTACATAGAGTTAGGCTATACTTCTCTAGGCTTAGTCTATACTAAGGTAAGGTAGACTAAAGCGGTAGTCTGTAAGGTTTGTCTAGCAATTTAGTAGAAAAAAGTTATTATAAAATAACTTTAGGTAAAAATAATCTATTTCTATAAATAATAGAATAACTATTTTATAATTTATATAAGAAATAAACTATTTAAGTTAACTATAATAAGTATAATAATAAAATCTAATATATTCTTATACTTATTACTTTAGGTTCTATTCTCTCTAGCTTTCTATCTAAAAAAGAAGTTTAAAAAAACTATAGCTTCTTTAGCTCTACTAGCCTTCTAGAGGCCTAGTCTTAGTAGAATACTAATTCTAATTACATTACTCTAAGCTCTATAATTATTATTACGTTCTAACTTAGTTATAGTTAGCTTTTAACTTCTTTACTCTATATTAAGAAGAGAATTCTTTATATTACTTATAATATTATTCTCTCTCTTAGGTATATTGTCTTAATACTTTAGATTATTATTTTCCTATACTAATTACTAAGGCGTAAGCTATATATAAGATCTACGCGCTCTAAGCTATTATAGCTACCTCTTTCTACCTTAAGTGTCTCTAACTATACTTAAGGTCTAATCTTTAACTTACTATATCTACTTATAAAACTTAACTTAATAGCGCTAGGCTTAGGCTAATTGCGTTTAATAGTAAGAGAATAAAATAACGTTTTATTATAAGCGTTGTAAAGAAAAGAACCTTTATTATTTTATTTATACTATGTCTAGATAGTATACTAGTTATATTTTTATAAAAGCTAAGTATAGTCTATTTAAAACTAAGAAAGAGTAGAAGAAAGTTAAAGCTAAAAAGTATAAAAAGCACTTAGCGCTTCTTTATGTAGAGGCTAAGGTTATATAGCTTTATTTAGAAGTTATAGAGACTAAGACTTTAGAGCGTTTATAAACTAACTAGAATTATATAATTCTAAGTCTATAAGATTACGCAAAAAAGCAAGCTAAGAGAAACTCTACTTTTAGCATAGACTTTCTAATAACTAAACTATTACTACCTAGGTTATTAACTAACCTAGGCTAGTTATAGGCTAACGCTTCTTTTAACTCTTTTTTTAATTACTTTCTTTCTTTTAAGAACCTAGTTCTCGCTTTCTTAGGTATTTCTAGTAGTACTTAAGTACTAGTAACTTATAGTTTATTAGGCTTTTTTTTAGTTTCTAAGTATTCTAGGTCTCTAGCTATTCTTACTACTTAACTAAGTATATCTAATAATAACTAATTATCTATAAGTCTCTAATTTCTTTAACCTTATACTTATTATTTTTAAGCTCTATATCTATTACTAGCTTAGTATCTAGAGGTGCTAGTTCTAGAAGTTTCTTATAAAAGACATAGTAGATACGTATATTTAGTAGTAGTTAGAGTTTATAATTTACTATACTTATTTTCTCTAGGATTTTAAATAGTTCTACTTAGAAGTTATTTAGTTTCTTACTTAGTTACTTAGTTTTTAGGTTTTATTATAATAGAAAAACTTTGTTTCTTTTCTTAAAAGTTAGTCTCTTAATCCTTTGTTTATTTACTATGTTAGACGTTATAAGGTTTCTATAAGTAATATTTTTACTTAGTTCTTTTTATAATTTTTATATAAGATAGGCTTTATTATCTACATCTACTATAATACTTTCTATATTCTTTAGATCTTAATAAGTAGTTAGCTTATATCTATAGTTTGCGTAGTATAGTAAGTACTTTATAGTTGCTAATCTTATACTATTATAGGCTAATTATACTATTAGTAAGAGCTTAACCTAGTTATTTTATAGCTTATTAGCGTATATTCTTAGATACTATTCTAGTGTCTAATTTATTTATTCTATTTAGCTATTTATTTTAGAGTAGAAGCTAGTTAATAGCTTCTTCTTTATACCTAGTTTTGTTAGAAATATTGTCTAATACTTAGATATAAATAGTTTATCTCTATCTATTATAAATTCTTCTAGTATACTATGCTCTAATATTAATACTTTAGAGACTTTATACGCGCAATTTTCTACTATAATACTTTTTTCTATTAGTATAAACTTTAGTTTTTTAGTTTATTAATACATAATTACTAGAATTATATTATAAAGTTATCTTAATTCTAGTTCTATGTTACGACCTAGGGTCAAAACGCTTACGACCACGCCGCAACCGCGCCACACGACTTAGAACCAGGATAACGATCCTCTAAGGTGATGACTGTCAGCAGTTACGTAACCAATTACTCTGCTAAGAGCTATCGCTTACTTCGCCAAGGACTATTGCTAGGAGCGATCACGACTATTGTGACTACCGCTAGGAAGTTACACCCACTATTGTTAGGAGTTACTATGACTACTATACAAGTATATAGCTTAGACACTGCACCCTTATGGTTTAGTGTGTTTAACTTTGTACAAGACTTTAGTATTTAATCTAAGGATTATACTTCTTTCTACAAACCCTTGTAATATTACATTAATCTACTAATCGTGCTATTACACCCCCGTACTATTACATCGATCTACTAATCGTGCTAGTACACCACCCCGTCCTACCTCGCTCACTCGTCCCCGAGAACAAACTCGAAGGACGACCTTAACATTCTAATAATTTTAGAAGCTTTACTATAAAGTCTTTTATTACGCTAGCCTATAGTTTAGTTAGTAGCTATAAAAGTTATAGTAAGCTATAGAGCGTATATCTCTTAGGCTTATTATAATAATAAGCTAAATAGTTGCCTAAGACATTCTATACCTTCGCTTACAAGCGTAGTATTCTAAATACCTTAGCTAGTTGTCTAACTATTTCTTTAGTTAACGTATGTTTAGATTCTAGAGATTTGTATAGTTTCTAGATAAGACTTAATCTTATGTATAGAGGTATATACGTTTAATCTTCTTAAATTATATTCTAGTATTCTTATTTATTTTATAGAAGTTTATTAGAGCTATTTTTGTTAAGCTTAAACTACTAGCTAGCTACTCTCTACTACTACTACTACTATAGTGTTTTTACTAACTTAGCTACCTTAGCTACTTTAGCTAGATCTAGCTAGTTATATTATAGTATACTATTAGGCATCTTCTTAAATATAGTGTTATATAGTTTATTATAACTTTCTTCTTATAGATTAGACCTCTAGCTTAGAGTATCTACTACTCTATTAAGCGTTCTAGCGTAATACGTTATTCTAAAGTTAAACTAAGCTTATATCTTAGTATATTAGACTTGTTGTTAGTTAAGTTTCTTAGTTGTTATAAAGCTTACTAAGTTCTAGTACTTGGTAAAAACCTTAATTATATATAGTAGTTCTAGCAAGTAGACTTTCTATTATTTAAAGGTAGCTACTATTCTGAGTAGTTTCTTATTATAAATGTTGTAGTTAAGTTCTGCTCTAGAGAACTTTCTTAAATAGTAGAATACTAGTCTCTATTTCTTATCTAGGTACTACTATAATAATATAGCTCTAAGTATATAATCTAACGCGTTAGTCTTAACTTACTCTTCTTCTCTCTTCTCTCTCCCCCCCTCTAGGCCTTAGGGACGGGACCTATAGTGTACTTTTTTTAGAATTACGCAATAACGCGTTACTATGTTAGACCTAATAGTAAACTTAAAAATCTCTAATATAAGCCTAGATTTGCGCCTTATAACTTTACGCTGTATTCTATAATTACTACTAATATAATAGTTACTACGCGCGTAATTACAACACGCTAACTATTTTATATTTATTACATATTACTAAAAGTTATCTAGGTTCTTAATTAGCAGTACTAATACCTGCTCTATGCAATTGCGCAACACTAAAAGAAAACCTAGTCTACCTGCACTAGCACAAAGCCTCTAAGACAACCTAAGATACCTATATAATTACTAGCAACCTATATTCTATACGTAATTATCTATAAGCCTAGCTACATTAGCTATATTACGCTATTCTCTATTACTCTAATTAATATACCCTATAGGCGAGTTAATTATATAGGCAAGTTAATTACTCTGCTAAGACTCTACTAAAATGTACTATTACCTACTATACAACTATAATAAGCTAATAACTAAATAGTCTACTAGCTTTAAAGGAGGCTTAATTATAGCTTATAATTTAGGCTATCTAAAGCAACATAACTCTCTCCTAGCAACGCGCTATAGCTATCTATAATATTACTTAAAGTACGCTTAGTAACTAACGCTATAGAATAATATATAAATGTAATTACGCGCCTAACTTAAGAAGGCTTCTTAATATAAAAGAGAAGGTAATTATTAAGTATATTCTTAACCTTAACGCGTAAGGATTTTCTCTCTAGCTTACTACTATTAAAAATATAGCTAATTCTTTGCGGGATAAGCGTTGCCTATACTTAGTTAGTATTAACTAGACTATAATCTTTATTAAGTGCTGCCTAAAGTTTAAAGTTAAGTTTAATTAAAAGTATAACTATATTTAAGCTCTCTGCAAGAATTCTAAGGTTATTAGAGACTAGTTCTAGCTAGTATATAATTTAAAAGTAAAGTACAGCATTTAAAATAAAAATACGTATAACTTTAATAAGATAGGCTTTATAATAGGCGTAATATTAACTAGAGTAGTAGTTATAGGCTTAGACTATTAAAGACAGCTAAAGATAGTTTAGTAGAGTAACTAAGAGTAGGTAATAGTTATCTAGGGTATTAACGCTATAAGATAGGTAATTCTACTCTTTATTATCTTTATTAGTAAGTACTACCTCTCTACCTAGTATAAAGAGAAAAATCTACTTTATAATTAGGTTATTAGGGTCTCTAAGAATAGCTAGATAATAAATAAGCTTAGTCTTAAGTAGCTAGAGCACTTTAATAATTATATAAAGAGGAGAGTTATTAGTAGTTACTACCTACTAGTTATTAATAGTTATAAGAGCTATAACTTGCTTAAGTTCTAGCAATACTATAAGAAA